CCAATTCCATATAGTCCATAAGTTTCATCTGCCATTCCTCCAGCGTGGGAAGTTCTTGTGTCTTCCAATACTTTGCGATGAGTATTCTTGCTGCTGTTGTTGCATACATAAAGAAAGTTCTATCCTTTTTTAACACCATTTGGCCCACTATGCCCAGGAGAAAGCATTTGCCCTACAATTTCTAGGCACGGGTCCACATCTCAACCTGATGTGTCCAAACACTTCTTTTTTTCTTTCTTTCTTTCTTTCTTTTTCTTTCTTTCTTTCTTTTTCTTTCTTTCTTTCTTTCTCTCTCTCTCTCTCTCTCTCTCTCTCTCTCTCTCCTTTGCTACTTTCCCCAGGAAAACCTGCTCTTCAGTGCTGAATCGGAACAAACAGCAATTCAGGTTTTCTGCAGAATTGTTTTCAGTGGTAAGAAGCAGGTTTTTGTGGGGAATGTGCTGGGAAAGAAAGGAGGGAGGAAGGAAGGAAGGAAGGAAGGAAGGAAGGAAGGAAGGAAGGAAGGAAGGAAGGAAGGAAGGAAAATGCTCAGACACAAGCTTTAAAGCACAGCCCTGTGGCTAGAAACAAGGCAAAAAAAGAATGTCCGGATGATACCTTTTTGAGTAAAATATGTCCTAAGTTGCAATGTTCTTAATTAGTAAAACTGGATGTGTGCAGTGTGTCTTCATCTCAAAGAGCAATGCTAAAATGAAGTTGCCTGTCTCTTATCTTTGGGGCATGAGAGGAAAATGATGGACAGACATCCTGCTTTGAGGCACAAGCTGCCCTTTGCTAGCCTGTTACTGTTTTGAATTCTATTGTGTTGTTATGTTCCTTAGGGGGTCCTGCAAAACACTATTCTGAATAATAATAATTTCTACCCCGCCCATCTGGCTGGGTTTCTCCAGCCACTTTGGGTGGCTTCCAACAGAAGGTTAAAAATACATTAAAACATTAAAAAACTTCCCTAAACAGGGCTGCTGCCTTCAGATGTCTTCTAAATGTCATATAGTTGTTTATTTCTTTCACATCTGATGGGAGAGCGTTCCACATGGCAGGCGGCACTACCGAGAAGGCCCTCTGCCTGGTTCCCTGTAACCTCACTTCTCGCAGGGAGGGAACTGCCAGAAGGCCCTTGGAGCTGGACCTCAGTGTCCAGTCTGAACGATGGGGGTGGAGACGCTCCTTCAGGTATACAGGACCAAGGCCATTTAGGGCTTTAAAGGTCAGTACCAACACTTTGAATTGTGCTCGGAAACATCCTGGGAGCCAATGTAGGTCTTTCCAACCCGGTGTTATGTGGTATCGGCGGCCGCTCCCAGTCATCAGTCTAGCTGCCGCATTCTGGATTAGTTGTAGTTTCCAGGTCACCTTCAAAAGTCGCCCCACGTAGAGCGCATTGCAGTAGTCCAAGCGGGAGATGACTAGAGCATGCCCCACTCTGGCGAGACAGTCCATGGGCAGGTAAGGTCTCAGCCTGCATACCAGATGGAGCTGGTAAACAGCTGCCCTGGACACAGAATTGACTTGTGCCTCCATGGACAGCTGTGAGTCCAAAATGACTCACAGGCTGCGCACCTGCTCCTTCAGGGGCACAGTTACCCCATTCAGGACCAGGGAGTCCTCCACACCTGCCCGCCTCCTGTCCCCTCAAAACAGTACTTCTGTCTTGTCAGGATTCAACCTCAGTCCATTAGCCACCATCCATCCTCTAACCGCCTCCAGACACTCACACAGGACTTTCACCACCTTCACTGGTTCTGATTTGAGAGAGAGGTAGAGCTGGGTATCATCCGCATACTGATGAACACCCAGCCCAAACCCCCTGATGATCTCTCCCAGCGGCTTCATGTAGATGTTAAAAAGCATGGGGGAGACAATAATGCTTTTTATAAAGTTGCACAGAGGCCACTGGGATGAGTTTGTGGAGCCAAGGGGCAGTGGCCCACAAAAGCTTGTCCACACTGCTGGTGTGGACAGTGCTGCGCTAGCTGGACTGAGCAATGAGGTCCCAAGTGGGTTTTGCAGTGACCCTGCCCTGACCACCAGGCATGACTCATAGATGAGATCCCACCTCCCACAAAGCATGGTGCCATTTGCACCTCCCTCAGACAACTCTGTGCACTGTCCCTGGCTATCACTCAGCCTAGCTGGGCATAACTGAGCCTGAAGCCTGGCTACCCGTCAGAAAGGACCCGCTGTCAGCTTGAAATGAGGGTGAGCAAGTGGGGAGGTGTTGTCTTTTTCCTTGATGGATCTTTCTCCAGAGGAGAGCAAAGGCAGCAAGTTGACCCTCCAAGCCAAGCCGAAGAGCTTCTCTTCTGAAGAGATGGGGTGAAGCATTCCTGGCTTCAGGGAATGCTCTGATAAAAGCCACACCCTTTTCCCTCTGGGGAACAGTATCTCTGCAGCAGGAAGAACAATAGAAGTCATTATGCAAGAAATGGGAGGGGGAGGAATGATGTCTCAATGGGGGAAAGGATTCATTCTGGAAGGAAAGAAAGAAATGCACAACTTGCAAAACAGACATTTTCTTCATCTTAACTTTGTTCAATTGCAACATCTGGAGAATGTGGGAAGAAAGCATTGTAATAAGGGAAGGTAAAAGCTGCAGAAGGCGGTTTTTTAATAAGTGCACAAAGAAGCGAATGACTTGGAACCAAGAGCGACAGGCAAGTGCGCAATACTTTCTCGCTGGCTACTAAAAGGCCTGTACTGGACAACGTCTTGCTTTGGAGGCCACGGAAGAAATCCCGTTCCCCATGTACTTTCCAGCATTGCTACACAACAACAATTGGTGGCTTTAAAAGATTAGGCATATTCAAGGAGGTGAAGATAAAGGACCCTGGACAGTTAAGTCCATTCAAAGGCGACTTTGGGTTGCGGAGCTCATCTAGCTTTCAGGCCGAGGGAGCCCGCGTTGGTCCACAGACAGCTTTCTGGGTCATGTGGCCTAAACCGCTTCTGGCGCAATGGGACACTGTGCCAGAAACCAGAGTGCACGGAAACGCTGTTTACCTTCCTGTCACAGCAGTACCTATTTATCTACTCACACTGGTTATAAGAACTTTAAGGTCTCAAAGACAGAATAAATATTCATAAATATACACGAACCATGAGTCTGAAATAGTATGGGAGAGAAATCCTGGAGCCATTTCGACTCTCCCAATGACCTCAAATATTCCTCCGCTGTAAGGGAGGCAAATAGGAAAAGCCTTCCCATTGTCTTTTTGCTTGCAAATCCTGTCTTAAGGCCACATTTGTGTATCACTAAGGGTGAGCCTGTGACCTGGATTCAGGAACTAAAGTATTAACGGTCACAAAAGAATGGCTAGACTGCCCAGGTAATACAATCAGTGACCATTATCAGGTATCCTGGCAGGCAGGATTTCTGCTGTAGACCGCCTCCTTCTGTGATGTATGTATGATGTTTTTGGGGGTGGTCTTGGGCTAAAGGGTGGGCAATTTAAAAAGTCTATATAAGGGCTTGCACACCATTGCTCTGGGTTCTCTCCTCCCTCCTGCATGTGGGGAGTGGGGACCCTGTTGCAACAGTTCCTTTAATAAAGATCAGGCTTACTAGCCAATCCGCTTCTCAAAATACTCTGGCTGGCCTTTGTTTTCTCCTACTGACAGGGAACCCACTTAAGGACTCTATTCAGGCTCCGGAATACCCCATAAGGAAAAGGGAGAAGTTTTTGAAACACTGGTGTGCTTTCAAACTGCTAGGTTGGCAGCAGCTGGGACAGAACAACAGGAGCTCACCCTGTCGTGTGGATTCGAACCGCTGACCTTCTGAGTGGGAAGTCAAAGAGGCTTAATGGTTTAGACCGCGTCCCTTAACTTTCAAGGTGGAGAAGGCAATCAGTGACTACAAACCCTGATGAGTATATTCTGCCTCCAGCGCCAGAGGTGATGGTGCTTCTAAATATCTCTTGTTGGAAACCACAGAAGGAAAGGTTTGTCTTGCACTTCCTACTGACAATGGTGGAGCTTCATGCTCTGGCACGGGGGGGGGGGAGCTGGCGGGGACCGGGCTGGTGTGCATCCTGGGGGCGGGGCACCCAGCGCAGGTGGGGGAGCAGCCGCGATGGTACCCTGCAATGGAGTGAGCTCCCATTGTTCGGTCCCAGCTCCTGCCAACCTAGCAGTTCAAAAGCACATCAAAGTGCAAGTAGATAAATAGGTACCGCTCTGGTGGGAAAGTAAATGGTGTTTCCATGCACTGCTCTGGTTTCACCAGAAGCGGCTTAGTCATGCTGGCCACATGACCCAGAAAAACTGCCTGCGTAAAACGAGATGAGTGCCACAACCCCAGAGTCGTTCGCAACTGGACTTAACTGTCAAGGATCCTTTACCTTTACCTTTTTAAGGATGCCTGAGATTGCATTTGTGAAGTCTTTTAGAACTCAATATAAGGACTGAGTAAAGCAAGAGCCAAACATGATTTCTCTTGTTTGCCTCTATTTTGAGACAAGGTGTTCCCAAATTCCCCCTGTTACAATGTTATATTGGGTACATAGGCACTCAGCCGGTGCGCCATAGACGCTTTTTATATGGAGAAAGTCAATTTGGCGTGCAAATTGTGCAAAGAGCCAGCCTAATCGAAATAGCAGAGTACTGTTGACAGGGAAACCAGTGAGAAAAAGCCATCAATCCCCACCCCCCACTCCAATTTCCTCCTCCTCTCTCTTTCCCCCACAGTAGCTGCTGAAAGGCATATATTTTTTTTTAAAAAAAAGATAAAGACGCTCCACACCTCCCACACAGTTCAGCAGTGAATCTGTGAGCATCCATTCCTATCATGCTTTGAGACTCCAGAGCGAGGAGATGTGAGTAAAACATCTTGTGGAATTGGATTTGCAGCCAATTGCTTTCTCTTTCTCTCTTTCTCTCTTTCTTTCTCTCTCTCTCTCTCTCTCTCTCTCTCTCTCTCTCTCTTCTCTCTCTGTCTCTGTCAGTCTGTCTCTCTCTCTTAGCAGCATTAATGCTTCTGACCAATTTAATTCCACCCTCAGCTGGCAAAATGTCCAGGGCACCTCCGCTGGGGATGAACGCGGCTCCTCCCGATTTTGCGAACGCAACTGGCCACCCGGCACCTGCCACGGGGAATCAAACTGCGGAGGAGGAAAGGTGGTCCGAAGACACTTCGCTCGGCTTGGGCGTGCTCTGCACAATCTGCGTGGCATACGCCGCGATCATTGCCGTTGGTCTCCTTGGGAATGTGATCCTCGTTCAAGTCTTCTTCAAGATCAAGTCGATGCAGACCGTCCCAAACATCTTCATCACCAGCCTGGCTTTCGGAGACCTGCTCCTCCTGCTCACCTGCGTCCCCGTGGATGCTGCGTGCTACATCGTGGACACCTGGCTGTTCGGAAGAATGGGCTGCAAGCTGCTCTCCTTCATCCAGAGGACGTCTGTCGGCGTCTCCGTGTTCACTTTAACCGTGCTCAGTGCGGACAGGTGAGTTGGAAGGACCAAGAGTCTGGCAGCGGGGCGGGGTTTGCTCGCGCGTTGGCTTGGATGGGGCTGAGTTCCGAGTCGGGAGTTTTGGTGTCTTGCAAACCCTCCAACATTTCTCCAGTAAAAAAAGAGGGACGCTCATTCCATAATGATAATTTTACTGTTTCTGCTAGAGATGGGAGGGCCTGGGGGGGGGGCTGGAAAAACTGGAGGAAAACAGGTGTTCCCCATTTTCCTCTGGGGGTCCGTTTTTTTCCAGGAAAAATGGGGGGGTATGGAATATTAAAACTATATCCAACTTTTTTTTCTTTCAGTTTTCCCTGGAAAAGACGGCTTTGGGGAAGGGCGGAAAAAACGTGGTGTGCCCCCCCCCCAATTTTTCTGGGTTTTTTTCCAGGCCTTTCCAACTCTAGTTTCTACCCCATCCATCTGACTGGGTTGCCCTAGCCACTCTGAGCAGCTTCCAGCATATATAATAACATAATAAAACATATACAGGGCTGCCTTCAGATGTCTTCCAATCAACTTGGCTTGGGGGGGGGGGTCGCATAACTCCATACCCTCCAACATTTCTCTGATGAAAATAGGGACGTCTTAAGGAAAAGCAGGAAATTCTGGGATCAAGAAACTGGGATGGCTTTTGTAAATCCGGGACTGTTTCTGGAAAATAGGGGCACTTGGAAGGTCTGAGTTACCTGCCCAGGGACACCAGTGAAAGAGTCCATAGGGGCCATGGCACCCTGTATTTATCACCTCTCATTTTAAAAACTGCCTTCTAACAATAACTCAGTTGCATCCTAGGCATTTTCAGAGTGTTGTCCCCCACCCCCAAAATAATCCTGGTAACATTGGTTTGTTAAGGGTATTGGGAATTGTAAAGCTGTGAGGAGATCAAACTGTTATTTAATTATTACCTTCATAAAGGTAAAGGTAAAGGGATCCTTGACCATTAGGTTCAGTCGCGGACGACTCTGGGGTTGCGGTGCTCATCTCGCTTTACTGGCTGAGGGAGCCGGCGTACAGCTTCCGGGTCATGTGGTCAGCATGACTGAGCCGCTTCTGGCGAACCAGAGCAGCGCACGGAAACGCCGTTTAGCTTCCCACCGGAGCGGTACCTATTTATCTACAGTGGTACCTCAGGTTACATACGCTTCAGGTTACAGACTCTGCTAACCCAGAAATAGTGCTTCAGGTTAAGAACTTTGCTTTAGGATGAGAACAGAAATTGTGCTCCGGTGGCACGGCGGCAGCAGGAGGCCCCATTAGCTAAAGTGGTGCTTCAGATTAAGAACAGTTTCAGGTTAGGAACAGACCTCCGGAACCAATTAAGTACTTAACCCGAGGTACCACTGTACTTGCACTTTGACGTGCTTTCGAACTGCTAGGTGGGCAGGAGCAGAGACCGAGCAACGGGAGCTCACCCGTTGCAGGGATTCGAACTGCTGACCTCTGATCGGCAAGTCCTAGGCTCTGTGGTTTAACCCACAGCGCCACCCTTGTCCAATTACCTTCATAGACCACATTTTTCTTCCAAGGAGCTTAAGAGAGTGTACATGCTTCTTTCTCCCTCTCCCCCAATTCATCCTCACAACGACCCTGTGAAGTAGGTTAGGCCAAAAGGCAGTGACTGGCCCAAGGTCGCCCAGTGAGCAGGATTTGAACCCTGGTCACTCTAACCATTATGACACTGCCTCTCTATGGTTGTAGTTACTGTTGTTGCTGTTATTAATTAAATTTATGTTGCTCAAGGAAACCTAAAGCAACTTACAACCAGTTCCCAGGTTCTTTGAGGGGTCCTTTACCTTTTTTACCTGTCAAGGGGGCTGGGAATTGTAGCTCTGTGAGGGGTGAACTGCAATTCCCAGGATCATTTGGGCGGAGAGGGATGTCATGTGCTTTTAATGTACAATGTGTATACAGTCTTTGAAACGACCCCTTAGCCTGGGGGGGGGGGATTTGAGCCTGTGCCCCACTCCACTAGGTACTGGATTCCACCTCCCCAACCAGCACGGCCAACAGCCAAGGTGATGGGAGCTTTTGATGTCCCTGTTTCCCATTATTTCAAAGCTTTGTATTTCCAGTCTGTGTTTGGAGATTAAGACCTCCCTTTATGTTAATGGAAGCAACTGTATTTTTTAGCAATTTGTCTCAGATATGTAAAATGTTAACTCTTGATTCCTGAATAACGGACGCTGAATGTGACATGGAATATTTGGAACAATCCCAAATGATTTAACTGCTAGCATCTGGAAGAACAACATTTCCCACTTTATATGATAGTGATAACGATGGTGATGGTGGTGGTGGTGATGATGATGATGATACAATGTTGTTGTTGTTTAGTCGTGTCCGTGGACCAGAGCATGCCAGGCACCTCTGTCCTCCACTGCCTCCCGCAGTTTGGTCAAACTCATGCTGGTAGCTTCGAGAACACCGTCCAACCATCTCGTCCTCTGTCGTCCCCTTCTCCTTGTGGCCTCCATCTTTCCCAACTTCAGGGTCTTTTCCAGGGAGTCTTCTCTTCTCATGAGGTGGCCAAAATATTGGAGCCTCAGCTTCACAATCTGTCCTTCCAGTGAGCACTCAGGGCTGATCTCCTTAAGAATGGATGATGATACAAACCAAGTGCCAAAAGGCAGGATAAAATAAGTTGTGTCTTGATGCCACCTAGTGGTGTATTAAAGCAGTTCAGGAAGAGCAAAAATTGAAGTGTAAGAATGACATAAAACTTTTGCAGCCCATTTATCAGTGTAGATCAGGGGTCAGCAAACTTTTTCAGCAGGGGGCCGGTCCACTGTCCCTCAGACCTTGTGGCGGGCTGGACTATATTTTTTTGGGGGGGGGATGAACGAATTCCTATGCCCCACAAATGACCCAGAGATGTATTTAAAATAAAAGCACACATTCTGCTCACGTAAAAACACCAGGCAGGCCCCACAAATAACCCAGAGATGCATTTTAAATAAAAGGACACATTCTACTCATGTAAAAACACGCTGCTTCCTGGACCGTCTGCGGACCGGACCGAGAAGGCGATTGGGCCAGATCCGGCCCCGGGCCTTAGTTTGCCTACCATGGTGTAGATGAAGCCCCAACCAAAAGGCAGAATAGAATCTCCAAGGCTCAATATATTTGTCCAAACAGGCTGAGATCAGCTAAGCCAACTATGTTCAATTTAGTTAATTGCCATATGCATGCAAGCGTTAAGCATTCGTAACAGATTGTTCCAAAAGTCTGGAAGCCAAACACATTTCCTGGAGTCTGATGGGGCACAGAGAATGCCAGGGAGACTGTTATTGGGAAACGGGGTGTTCCTTTGATTTCGCTCAGTGCTTTCATTGCTTTCAACACTCTGACCTTAATTGCCATTCCAGGTACAAGGCAATTGTGAAGCCCTTGGAACTGCAAAGGGCTGATGCCGTCCTGAAGACCTGCTGCAAAGCCGCGGCCGTCTGGATCATCTCCATGTTATTAGCCGTTCCAGAGGCCGTGTCCTCTGACCTCTACGCCTTTCACATTCCTGATAAAAACGGCTCCTTTGAGACCTGCGCGCCTTACCCCGTCTCCGAGAGAATCATCCAGGAAGCTCATTCTCTGGTGTGCTTCTTGATGTTTTATATCATACCGCTGGCAGTTATATCGATCTACTACTTTCTCATTGCAAAGGCGCTGTACAAAAGCACATCCAACATGCCAGCAGAAGAGCACAGCCATGCTCGCAAGCAGGTAAGTAGAGATCTAGGGCAGCCTTCGCCAAGCTGGTGCCCTCCAGATGTTTGGGGTTGCTGCTCTGGCTGATTGAGAGTCCATCTCCCTGGAAGCCCATAGCAGAAGCTTCTTCACTTATGGAAGGTTGTATCAATAGGTGAGCGAGGAGCCATGCACCTGGAAAGCGCCACTTTGCTTAATTAAGTAGCTAATCAGCAATGTTAATTAACTGTGCTACTGAGATGTATGTTGTGCTGACCTGAGCAGTGGTTTTTAACTACTGGTGGTCATCTACTTCGGGGAGTTGAAGGCCAGACTTCTGTTCATTGATGGGAAACATCGCTTTCACGCGTCTCCTGCATCAAACCTTACTTTCTTTTAACTCACCTGGTTTATCAGCCCAGTTGAGCTTCTGTGCTAAGAAGGTATGGAACGGAAAGCCACCAATGTTCTCCTCCACCACTGAGAGGGTTTGGTTGGCAAATCTCTGGTCATACCTAGCCAAGCTCATATATATTGATGAGGTTGTGTGAGTCAGGCTGTTTCAAAGCCTTCCTGCAAAGGACAAATCTTCATTTGCAGGTGCAGCTTGAAGAAGCTGTGGTTCGTTGCAGGATTAAACAATTAATTTCATCCCCCCCCCAAATGTACAGTTGAATTGGTAATTCTGGATGTCTCTGCTACCAGTGAACAAAATATTGGTGTTTTGCAACTTTAACCTGTTGCACGATCTCAGCCAGACCCAGTTGAGTATAGCAGAGCATACGCAGACTTCCAGAAGCAATCAGTTGCAGGCAGGAAGGATGAAGCAGGAACAAGACGCTTCTACTAGTAACTTGGTTACTTAGAGGTGTTTATTATTTACAGCAGACTCTACAAGTTACTGTATACATGAACAGATACGGATCTTAAACTAGCTCTCTCTTAACAAACTCCAAACGACTCTCAGAACACCACACTGACCAATGCTATCCAGTCAGGGAAGCTTATGAGTCATCATGCCTAAGTGGAAACCTCGACCAATAGCAGAGTTGTATCCAAGATCCCATATCTCTAGGCAGAATTACTCCCTCTGCTCAGTCTTCTTGGCCTTCGGACAACTCTTAATTGCTTTGTATGAAGCTGCACATAGGCAAAATCCCAACACAAAATACATTTGATAAAATGCTGTTGTGTTTGTCTGAACCTTGCTTTGACCAAGGTTTTGACCATAATCAATGAGCATGCAACAGAAGAATTCTACTGTTTTTTCCAAAGTGAGCAAATCCTGTACTCAGAAGTAAGTCCTGTTGAATTCAGTGGGAAACTCTTCGGTAAGGGAGTACCCTAGGCTTTTTGTAATTTACCAAGGTAACAAATATTTTGACGATTAAAGCATTTTTGTTGTTGTTCCAAGAAAAGTTAATACTTTAAAAACACATTGCCAATATTTGACATTTAAGTTGGTCAGCCACTCAAATCTTCTTGAACTATTAAAATCTCCTAACCTTCTGCAAATAAATAAAGTTGCAGGATGGAGAGTTCATTTTGTTTCCTCCAACACATAAACCATAGCTCCTGCCCAAAGAAACTTCAATACAGCTTTCCCAAACCTGGTGCCTCCCAGATGTTTTAAAATACAATTCCCATCATCCTGAGCTAGCAGAGCTCACTGGGCACCAAGTTCAGGGAGACTGGTCTAACCTTTACTGCCATGTTGTTTCGGGGCTATTTTCTTTTAAGATTATATGCAGAAGGACACCCAAATACCCTGGCTAACACACCACCAATTGCACACCTTCCTTAACAATGGGAGGACGACATAGGCTACGAAATCAACCCCACCCAATGGACCAAAATGTGGTCTAAACCTCCCTTTAAGTCCATATCAGTGAAAAGAAAAGAACTCACTCTGAAACTCACCTACAGGTGGCACCTAACACCACAGAAACTAGCGCTAATACGCCCAGGAACGTCACCAAAATGCTGGAGAGGGTGCACCTCCACAGGCACATACCTCCCCATGTGATGGGATTGCCTCAAAATCCAACCCTTCTGGACAGCAGTCATAGAAGAAATAAGCAAAATACAGTGGTACCTCTGGTTGCGAACGGGATCCATTCCGGAGGCCCGTTCGCAACATGAAAAGAGCGTGGGTTGCGATTTGCCGCTTCTGCGCATGCATGTGACATCATTTTGTGATTCTGCACATGCACGAGCGGCAAAACCCGGAAGTAACCCTTTCTGGTACTTCCGGGTTGCCGCGGGACGTATCCTGAAGGAACGTAACATGAAGCGGACGTAACATGAGGTATGACTGTAATTAAACAGGTATTAGACGTCACCCCAGAACTGGCCCTACTGAACATCTTCCAAGATAATAATGCCCAGTCATAAAGAGCTCATAACCCATCTACGCTCAGCAGCCAGACACTGAAGAGACCTGTCAGGAATAAACATGGACCAATGGTATGAAATTGTATGGGGAACGGTCTTATTAGAAAAACTAACCAATAAACTGAAGCTACCACAGGGACAAAAAGAAGACGACGCCTTCATTCCAGTTTGGTTCCCTTTATCACATACACAGCCCAACAAGACAACGACAAGAATCCACCGTCAGGAAACGAATCAATATGGCTAACCTGATTCAAAAACACCCACCCACCCATCCCACAAATGCAAACAAACCCCACTGCAGCCAACCACAGACAACCAACCACACCCTGGCCCCCAATACCTCTCACTACCAAGGAAATGTAATAAATGAATAGAAAGAAGAACCTACCCAGCTAACGCTGACACAAAACCCCACACATACACTAAGTAAAAAAACATAAGCTTTACCACCACCCTCCCCCTCTCCAACTCTTTTCTTCCTAACCTTATAATGCATATGACACCGATGTCTCACAACAAATGAAACTGATCTGTAGGAAACACAACCTGAAGAAAGAGGCAATGCTTGTGCTTTTCTGAATGAGGAAAATATTTAGTCACAATTGTTATTTTTTTAAAGAGATTGTATGCAGATTTAATTTTTTTTGGACAGGAAATATTTTAAATATCAGAAGTCTACAGAAACACTTTGTTAAGCAGCTGCAAATCTTCTACAGTGGTACCTTGGGTTACAGACGCTTCAGGTTACAGACTCCGCTAACCCAGAAATAGTACCTCGGGTTAAAAACTTTGCTTCAGGATGAGAACAGAAATCGCGCAGCGGCAGCGGGAGGCCCCATCAGCTAAAGTGGTGTTTCAGGTTAAGAACAGTTTCAGGTTAAGAATGGACCTCCGGAACGAATTAAGTTCTTAACCTAAGGTACCACTGTACATAACATAGATGTATCCTGATGGCAACTCTTAAATTCTCCCAGAATTACCACAGAGCTAGCTGCATTCACTTTCATATCACAGGTGCAGAGCTGCGTGTTTACTCAAACTGAACAGACTCAGGTTTTCATCAGCTATGCACAAGGAGGACACAGGCTTATATTAACATTTATTTCAATTTGCTGAAGAGTTTCTGAGCCACACAATGGTCTCTAGCATGCAAGAAGGCAAAGAGTGCCTCTGTACACTCCTCTAAACGTTCCCAAGCTTTCACACATTTCTCAATCTGTTCACAATGCTCCCTGACGGTAGTTTAAGGATCCACAAGCTCTTCTTCATCCTTCTCAGCACGTTTTCCAAAGGTGACAACCTTCTTCAGAGGGCTCCCTTTCACGATTTACAAGGGGTGATGTGGGGTGGGGTGGGGGCGTCTGGCGTACACATTGCTTTTCGTGACTCTCGTATGCAGATTTATTTTTTTTAAAAAGTGGGTTTTTTTACATGTGCAACGATTTCCCTCTGCAGATTGAATCTCGCAAGAGAGTCGCCAAAACTGTGCTGGTCTTGGTTGGCCTGTTTGCCCTCTGTTGGCTCCCGAATCATGTCCTTTACCTTTATCGTTCCTTCACTTACTACGCTTCTGTCGACACATCCACCTTCCACCTCGTTGCCACAATATTCTCCCGGGCTCTGGCTTTCAGCAATTCCTGCGTCAACCCCTTTGCTCTCTACTGGCTGAGCAAAAGTTTCCGCCAACATTTTAAGAAGGAAGTCCTGTGCTGCCAAGCCAAGACCCCTCCGGGCCATTCCCGCATCGTCCAGAGTGCAACTCCCACCAGGGCCATGTCGGTCACAGGCTCCGAAATCAGTGTCACTCTGCTGACAGATTATAGCATCACTAAAGAAGAGGAGAGTGTTTAATTCTGCCCGGCCTGTGGATAACTGTCCTGCCAAGGCCCACCGAGATTAAAGCATGTCAGGGTGCAGGAAAGAGGTAAAGCCGCTTTTTTTTTTTTTGCTTTTTAAAAAATATTATTTTATTTATTTCATTAATTTTCCAAAACCAACAAAAAATAAAAGCAACAATACATATTCAAACATAGGGGGGGAAATAGAGTTGACTTCCCCTTATTCTCTTCCCTGGTTCCATTGTTTATCATCCTACTGCATGTCCATTTTAAATCATGAAATCATTAAAATTACTTCTGGTCCAATCATAATGTCTTTACAAGACTTTTTAAAATCCTGCCAATGTATTAAGCTGTGTACATTGCTTCTGTATATATGCAATAAAGTCATGACCGACTCTGGGGTTGCGGCGCTCATCTCGCTTTATTGGCCGAGGGAGCTGGCGTACAGCTTCCGGGTCATGTGGCCAGCATGACTAAGCCGCTTCTGGCGAACCAGAGCAGCACACGGAAACGCCGTTTACCTTCCCGCCGGAGTGGTACCTATTTATCTACTTGCACTGTGGCGTGCTTTCAAACTGCTAGGTTAGCAGGAGCAGGGACCAAGCAACGGGAGCTCACCCCATCGCAGGGATTCGAACCGCCGACCTTCTGATCAGCAAGCCCTAGGCTCTGTGGTTTAACCCACAGCACCACCCGCCTCCCAAAGAAGAGTGTAGTTTATTGCAAACACGAATAAACTTTAACTGCATTCAAAACGTTGTTACTCTTTTTTTTTTTTAATGATATTTATTAAAGTTTCACATGAAAAGAAACACATTAATAAAAGAAAAAAGAGTTTAAAAATAAAAATAAAAATACACAATACCGAATACAAAAAGAAAAAAGAAAAAAACAGTTAAAAACAATTCCATCTTTTCATCACTACTTTTACATTTACTTATTTCCCGGACCTCCTCATACCTCCCTCTTTTGTATTCCAGTTCAGTTTGTTTGTCCAGCAATTCCTTTCCCTCCTTTTTAATCCCAACCCTTAATCTTAATATAATATAACATTAAATTTTTACCTATTAAAAACCAATTTTCCATTCTTTTAACCTTTTTAATCCTAATCCTTAATCTTGATCTATATATAACTTTAAAGCCTGTACAGCTAGAAGCCACTTAGTTTCGATCCAACATCACTCTAACATTCTTTAATTTTGCAATATTTCTGTAAGTAATCTTTGAATTTCTTCCAGTCTTCTTCCACCGACTCTTCTCCCTGGTCACGGATTCTGCCAGTCATTTCCGCCAATTCCATATAGTCCATCAATTTCATCTGCCATTCCTCCAGTGTGGGTAGCTCTTGTGTCTTCCAATACTTTGCGATGAGTATTCTTGCTGCTGTTGTGGCATACATAAAGAAAGTTCTATCCTTTTTAACACCGATTGGCCGACTATGCCCAGGAGAAAGGCCTCTGGTTTCTTCAAGAAGGTATATTTAAATACCTTTTTAATTCATTATATATCATCTCCCAGAAAGCCTTAATCTTTGGGCACGTCCACCAAAGGTGAAAAATGTACCTTCAGTTTCTTTACATTTCCAACATTTATTATCAGGCAAATGGTAGATTTTTGCAAGCTTAACTGGGGTTATGTACCACCTGTATATCATTTTCATAATATTCTCTCTTAGGGCATTACATGCCGTAAACTTCATACCTGTGGTCCATAACTGTTCCCAGTCAGCGGACATAATGTTGTGTCCAACGTCTTGTGCGCATTTAATCATAGCAGATTTCACCGTTTCATCCTGAGTGTTCCATTTCAGCAGCAAGTTATACATTCTTGAAAAATTCTTAGTTTTGGGTTCTAACAGTTCTGTTTCTAATTTTGATTTTTCCACCTGGAAGCCAATTTTCTTGTCCAAATTGTATGCCTCCATTATCTGATAATAATGAAGCCAGTCTCGCACTTTGTTTTTTAATTTTTCAAAGCTCTGCAATTTCAGTCTATCTCCATCTTGTTCCAAAATTTCCCAATATTTCGGCCATTTGACCTCCATATTGAGCTTTTTCAAGGCTTTCGCTTCCATTGGTGACAGCCACCTTGGAGTTTTGTTTTCCAATAAATCCTTGTATCTTATCCAAACATTAAACAGTGCTTTCCTGACAATGTGATTTTTAAATGCTTTATGTGCTTTTACCTTATCATACCACAGATATGCATGCAATCCAAACACATTATTAAAACCTTCTAGATCCAAAATGTCAGTGTTTTCAAAAAGCAGCCATTCTTTCAACCAGCAAAAGGCTGCTGATTCATAATAAAGTTTAAGGTCTGGCAGGGCAAATCCACCTCTTTCCTTTGCATCTGTTAGTATTTTGAATTTTATTCTGGGCTTCTTGCCCTGCCAGACAAATCTGGAAATATCTCTCTGCCACCTCTTGAAACAGTCCATTTTGTCCACAATTTGCAGTGTTTGAAACAAAAACAACATTCTAGGCAATACATTCATTTTTACCGCAGCAATACGGCCCAGCAGTGAAAGCTTCAAATTTGACCAAATTTCTAAATCTTTTTTTCACTTCAGCCCAACATTTTTCATAGTTATCTTTAAATAAATTCCCATTTTTTGCTGTCATGTTAATCCCCAGGTATTTAACTTTCTTAACCACTGTTAAACCTGTCACATTCTGAAACCTCTCTCTCTCCATTGGTGTTAGATTTTTCTCTAAAACCTTAGTTTTTAACTTGTTCAATTTAAATCCTGCAACCTGACCAAATTCTTGAATCAGTTCCAAAACCCTTTTGGTACTAGATTCTGGCTCCTGTAACGTCAGTACTAAATCATCTGCAAATGCTCTCAATTTGTACTGTTTAGCTCCGACCTGTATACCTTTAACCAACTGGTCCCTTCTAATCATGTTCAGCAAAACCTCCAGGACCGAAATAAAAAGTAGTGGGGAAATTGGGCAACCTTGTCGTGTCCCTTTTTCTATTTTAAGTTCTTCCGTCACACAAAACGTTGTTACTCTTTACCTTCTTCGTCTTATTTTATCCTGTCTCTTAACTCTTCTACCTCCCCTCACACAAAAACCAACTGCACTCACTGTCTTTCTAATTCCAACTGTCTGCCAACTGCTTTTCCAACTGCCTTTCCCAGCCAACCAACCAACTACTACCACCCAAACCTTGGGCAAAGCCCTTTTGTAAACAGGTAGGCTCCAGCTTTCCTATTGGTCTACATATTAACCCTTTCTCTCCCCCTGTATGGACATTTTCACACAGGCAAACGCCACAACGGCGAAGGAAGATCCTTTGGCAGCTGGCAAAGAGGGATTAGCAAGAGAAAATGATCCGATTCCTTCCCCGCTGATTATACCCAACTCTGTCTCCCTGTCTCCATCCGCCACCATTTATTTCTGAGATCTACCGTATTTTTCGCTCTATAGGACGCACTTTTTCCCCTCCAAAAATGAAGGGGAAATGTGTGTGCGTCCTATGGAGCGAATGCAGGCTTTCCCGGGCTTCCTGCAGCTCCGCGCCACCCTCCGGATCCCGGCACGAAGCCGCGCGGGGCTCTGGAGGGTAGCGCGGAGCTGCCTGCGCTCCAGGGCTTCTTGCAGCTCCGCGCCACCCTCCCGATCCCAGCGCGAAGCTGCGCGGGGCTCTGGAGGGTGGCGCGGAGCTGCCTGCGCTCCAGGGCTTGCAGCTCGCGCCACCCTCCAGACCCCGCGCGGCCGCGCGGGGCTCCGGTGGGTGGCGCGGAGCTGCCTGCACTCCCAGGGCTTCCTGCAGCTCCGCGCCACCCTCCCGATCCCGGCGCGACGCCGCGCGGGGCTCCGGTGGGTTGCGCGGAGCTGCCTGCGCTCCAGGGCTTCTTGCAGCTCCGCGCCACCCTCCAGACCCCTGCGCGAAGCCGCGCGGGGCTCTGGAGGGTGGCGCGGAGCTGCCTGCGCTCCAGGGCTTCCTGCAGCTCCGGGCCACCCTCCCGATCCCGGCGTGAAGCCGCGCGGGGCTCGGGAGGGTGGCGCGGAGCTGCCTGCATTCCGAAGCCTGGTGCGCACTGAAGAGCGCGCCCAGGCTTCGCGCACCTCTCCACAAGCCTGGGGAGACCGGCTCGGTTCCCTAGGCTTGCGGATAGCAGGCTGTTCTGGGGGCTGGGGTCGGGGAAGCTCAGGCTTCCCCCGCGCCTGCCCCGTGCCTGGGGAGGGAATTTTTTTTTCTTTATTTCCCCCCCCCCAAAAAAAATAGGTACCTTGAACGCACCTTGTTTTAGAGGGAGAGAACAAGAAAAAAAAATTTTCCCCTGTTCTCCCCCTCCTATGATCCGGTGCGTCCAATGGTGCGAAAAATACGGTATCCCAGAAATCTCTAGGCCCATCAACTGAGGCCTGGGAGTAGAAGATTTGAAAAATCCTAGTCTAGGTAACAGACAATTTAGATTTGGAGCAGAAGGGAAGTCCGGGCAGGGAAAATGAGAAGGGGGGAAGTCGGGGGGATGGAGAGGCAGAGCAGAGGGGAAAGGCTGACCCATACCACTTTCTCCATATGTTGCAAAGGCAACAGCGCCCCCAAACCCTTCTCTCCTTGTCTGAGAGACTGGGGGACTTCACCGCCTGCCCCCAGGGGCTCCTCTTCCAGCCTCAGCATGAAGTCCTCTGCCAGGGCCACCGCCTGGACGCAGGTCTCCGGGTCACGATCCTTGACCCAGCTCTGCACTTCCGGGGGCAGGACGGCCAGGAACTGCTCCAGGATCAGCAGCTCCAGGATCTGCTCCTTGGTGCGCCTCTCGGGCTTCAGCCACTGGTAGCACAGGAACCAGAGGCGGCTGCAGACCTCGCGGGGGCCCTCAGCCTCCCGGTAGCCAAAGTGCCGGAACCGCACATATTACAGGCACAGAACAAGGAATAAATCAGGAGTTTGATTACTGAAATATACTCGGAGTCGAGAGTGGATTTCATGCTCTTTATTCAGCTCATAGTTGTGAGGAGGAATGGAAGTTCCCCCAGAATGTCTGCTTTATATACATTACACAATGGGCCCCACATGATTGGCTAATTCCGGGATTCTCCTGTAGGCCAATCAGGTCGCGGATTCACTTCCACCTGGAGCAGGATTGGGTGGCTCCTGTGGACCAATCAGACTGCTGCATTCTGAATCCTATTGTTCTAGGACCAATCAGACTGCTGCATTTTGGATTCTATTCAACTCAGTACATAACAATTACTTTTCAAGAAAAGCTATAGATATTATCATGCTGTTTCTGAACCATACCATTAGCACCCCAGGCAGGACTTAAATGCATTTGTTAAATATCATATCAAAAATTTCAGTCTGTCTTTTAGGGCATATATTATTTTATATTATTTTATATATTATATTATTTTATTTTAAACAAATTACCGTATTTTTCGCACCATAGGGCGCACCGGACCATAGGGCGCACCCAGTTTTTAGGGGGGGGAAATCAAGAAAAAAAATCTTTTCCCCCCACTGCCCCAAAGAGCAGCGTACAGGCTGCGCATAACCTCTCCTTGCAGGAGGGGTTGCGCGCAGCTATGGAACAAGCCAAGTTTTGGCTTCCTCTTTAGCCCCGCGCAACCTCTCCTTGCCGGAAGACGCTGCGCAGGGCTAAAGAAGCCATAGCCCCGTGCAGCCTCTCCTTGCCGAAGGGGCTGTGCGCAGCTATGGAACAAGCCAAGGCAGCGAGCGGGATGGATCCCGCTCGCTGTTTTGGCTTCCCCTGTAGCCCCGTGCAGCCTCTCCCTCCCAGGAGAGGCTGCGTGGGGCTAAAGAAGCCATAGCCCCATGCAGCCTCTCCCTGCCGGAGGGGTTGCGCGCGGTTATGGCACAAGCCTGCATTCGCTCCATAGGACGCACACACATTTCCCCTCCATTTTTGGAGGGGAAAAACTGCGTCCAATAGAGCGAAAAATACGGTAACTGAACAAAGAAAGCTATCATGTTAATAGGAAGAGTACCAGCCATCTGCAGCTTTTAAAAATTATTTAGATGGAGGGGCATTTAATTGTATGAAAGACCACAACAATTGGAGGTAGTATTGTTCAGACAGGTGACTGGAGCCCCTGCCCCTTTAAGACTTGTATAGCAGAATGAATTTCATCCACAAACTACACCTGTGGGCATGCCCTCTGTTATAAGAAACAAAAGGGAAAGAGGTGGGGGAACAGTAGCAGAACAGAATAATGGGGTTTGTTTTTGTGGGTGTTGCAAATGCCTGGATGAGAATGCTGTCCTTTCTCTATAAAGGAGGAGCTGGAGGAGGAAGGGACTTTGCAGTATTTAGAGTCCGCCCCCCTCCTCCTTTTCAAATTTCTTGGCTTCTCTGAGAATCAGTGCTCCATGGTTTTAACCCTTTTAAAGGACCACCGTTGGAAGCAAAAAAAAGGGAGAAATGGTGATGAGCAGCAGCGGCTGATGTCCATCGAGAATGATAAGGCGGAGGGCAGGGAGCCCGACAGTAGGTGGCGCCGGAGAGCCGATGACCAGCGGAGCCGACCAATTCTAGTTGAGCCACCCACCTTCTTCCTGAATCTAATCCAACATCAATACATTAGTGACTAGGAGAGAGAGGGAAATAAGTAGTGTACTATAAACATTTCTTATTCTATTTTTTCCATTGGAATTTTATTAAATTGTTTCAAGTATCTCAAACTCTGCAACAATTCAAACACGCTCAGGACAAAAGCAGCAACGAAAAAGATTAAGCAGAGCCATAAGCAGATTTCAAGTAACTCCACTGGGGCAAATAAAATAACCATCGAACGCCGACCTGGTGGAAGCAGGAACTCCAAAATTGTATATGAGTTTCGTAAGATGTCTCAGTCCGGGGAGCGCTCATCAGAGGGTGACTGGAAACCTCTGCTTCAGAGTAAGTGTCAGATCAGGCTCAATCTGGGGATGAGGAGCCAGGATCCTTGGGACGAGGCAGAGCAAGGCCTGTCTGCACAAGAGCTCAGCTTCTGCACCATCAAGGTCCCCACCCTGCAGATCTCTCCCTGCAGCCACCGGAAACTATTTTGATTCTTAACCATGCCCTTCTGCATCAGGAACAGCGGCCCTCTGAACCAGGGTCTCTAGCTGTTCTTGGACAACAGTTCCCATCGTCCCTGACCACTGGCCCTGCTAGCTAGGGATGATGGGAGTTGTGGTCCAAAAACAGCAGGAAACCCAAGTTTGGGAAACTGCTCTAAACATCGCTGAGCTACAACTCCCATCCGCCCCAGTGAGAAGGGACAATGGGAGTTCTAGTTCAGCAGCTCCCAGAGGTTCCCCCACTTCCGTTCTGCACAGACATTCTTGCGCCTAACAGAGCCGGAGTTTTCAACATCCCCATTTGTCCGAAACGTGCCTGGCTTTGCTTTTTCTCTCTCGAGAGCCGAGCGCTTTTCACACGGCCTCCCTGGTGTGGATTCTCTTGTGGCTGAGAAGGCGGGAGTTCTGGCTGAAGCCTTTCCCGCAGTAGGAGCACTCGTAGGGCTTCTCACCCGTGTGCGTCCTCTCGTGAACAATGAGGTTCGAGCTGCGGCTGAAGCTCTTCCCGCAGCTGGCGCACCGGTAGGGCTTTTCCCCCGTGTGGGTCCGGGTGTGCGCCAAGAGGTTCGAGCTCTGGCAGAAGCTGATGCCGCAAACGCCGCACTTGTAGGGCTTCTCGCCCGTGTGGGTCCTCTCGTGGGTGATGAGCTCAGAGCTCTCGATGAACCTCTTCCCGCACTCGGCGCACTGGTACGGCTTCTCGCCCGTGTGGATCTTCTGGTGGCGGATCAGGAGTGAGCGCAAGCTGAACGACTTCCGGCACTCGGCGCACTGGTACGGCTTCTCGCCCGTGTGGATCCGGCGGTGGCTGATAAGCTGCGAGCTTCGAGAAAAGCTCTCCCCGCAGTCCAGACATGTGTAAGGCCTCTCACCTGTGTGGGTCCTCTGGTGGTTGATCAGGTTCGAGCTGCGGGTGAAGCCCTTCCCGCAGTCTGAACATTTGTACGGCTTGTCGCCCGCGTGGGTCCTCTGGTGGCTCATGAGGTTCGAGCTGCGGGAAAAGCTCTTCCCACAATCCGTGCAGTTGTATATTTTCACGTCGGTGTTCACTCCCTCGGGCGCTGGGCGGTTGGGGCACACCCTCGAGAAGTCCTCGCTTTCACCCTTGGAAAGTCCTTGCAGAGTCCCAGCCACGGTGAGATTGCCACTGTCCTTTTCTCCACTGCAGCGGGACAGTCTATTGGACTTGATCCCTCGAAGGGGCTCCTGCTTCCTCTCTGACCTGTCCAGATTCTTAAGGGCATCCCCCTGGTTAGGACACTGGACCACGTTCTCCTTGGCCTGCCTCACGGTCGTCATCTGCTCGCTTCTTCTGAGTAAGAGGTTTTCCTCGCTTCGCCACCCACCTGGAATAAGGTAAAAATAAAAGAGAGTTGGCACGTGAGTCATACCTTGTGCCTAGGAGACATGCTCCCCAGCCCTGGGCAGGGCAGTGGTTTTTTGTGTGGGTGTATTCTGCAACATGTGGTGCTGTGGTCTAAACCACTGAGCCTAGGGCTTGCCGATTGGAAGGTCGTTGGTTCGAATCCCCGCAACGGGGTGAACTCCCGTTGCTCAGTCCCTGCTCCTGCCAACCTAGCAGTTCGAAAGCACGTCAAAGTGCAAGTAGATAAATAGGTACCCCTCCAGCGGGAAGGTAAACGGCGTTTCTGAGCGCTGCTCTGGTTCGCCAGAAGCGGCTTACTCATGCTAGCCACATGACCTGGAAGCTGTCTGCGGACAAACACCAGCTCCCCCAGCCTATAGAGAGAGATGAGCGCGCAACCCCAGAGTCGCCTGCGACTGGACCTAACGGTCAGGGGTACCTTTACCTTTTTATTCTGCAACATGGACTGTCAATTAGCTACTAGGCCAAGTTCAACATGCTGGTTTGTTTATTTACAGTGGTACCTCAGGTTAAGAACTTAATTTGTTCTGGAGGTCCGTTCTTAACCTGAAACTGTTCTTAACCTGAGGTATCACTTTAACTAATGGGGCCTCCCGCTGCCACACGATTTCTGTTCTCATCCTGAAGCAAAGTTCTTAACCTGAGGTACTATTTCAGGGTTAGCAGAGTCTGTAACCTGAAGCGTCTGTAACCCGAGGTACCACTGTATTTCATAAAATTAATCAACCTCTTGATTGTAAAACAAGACCAAAACCACCAGCTGGACAAATTTTCTGGCGGTTAAGAGCTGTTTGATCGTGGAATACAACTCTCTGATTCTCTACCAAAGCAGTTTACAACAAAACAAAACAAAACAAAACAAAACAAAACAAAACAAAACAAAACAAAGAAAAATAGCAATCGAAGACATTTGAAAAATTAAAACAGCAAGAGACTAAAAGCAGATTAAAACTCACATGGCTTGGATGTATAAAGGCTATATAGCTTGGGGCCAGGATACTCGAAAGATCATTCCTATATTCTCAATTGATTGATGCATTCTGCAGGTGGAGGGAGGCTTCTGCAAATGCCACCTTATCAAGAGTTCTGTTCTGTGCAATGTAGGAATCAGGCCTGTAGGGGGGGGGCACCTTCCCTAGGGAATCTCCTCCCATCTCTGCAGTCTTTCTGCTGTCTACTGAAGGCCAACCAGTCTTTTCAGCAGAGATCCTTCCCAGTGTACATGTGCTGGAATTGTTTTTAAGACGCTTTAAAGAAGTTTTATGATTTTTAAATTGTGCTCTTGGGACGTTATCAGGTTCTTCTTCCTGCCACTCATTGGGAAAGGGGCTCTAGATTTTTATTTTGTACTTCAGCAAACTTGGGTATGTCCCCTCACTCCCAAGTGTGCCAATACTTCCTTTAAGCATGGATCGTTCACATTTTATTCATTCATTCATATGTTTAGTGAGTTTCACCCCCCACCCTTCCTCCCAAAGGAGCCAAAGGCAGGAAACAGCAAGTGATAAAAAATCATTTAAAAAAATCATAGATAAGATAAAACTTTATGGCCATAGCAACAGTAAAACATTACAGTATATGCAGAAAATGAAATTTGATAGAAGGAAGACAGCATGAAGGACTAGAAACTTAACTTGCATATTTAAAAAGAGCCAGCACCGAAATCCCATTATTAATGTTGCCGTCTACTGCCGATGACATGTTTCTCTCCTTACCCAGCAAGCCGGCATCTCTGTCCCCGTCTAGCTTGCTCCCTCTGCTGAGGTGTTTCTGCCAGATGTCGGAAAGCGTCCACTCAGCCGTTGAGAAGTTCAGAGCCGTCGTCTCCAGAGGCCCCGGGACCTGCAACAGCAGCAGTGAAGGTCTTGCATCAATGCAGGGGGGCGGGGCTGAAAAGGGAAAAGCTACAGGCAAGGGCTGGATGCCGTGAGCTCACACAGACGGCACACATACCGACACACGCGCCCCTTCCCAAAGTCACCCATGTGAAAGCCTTTGCGAGGAACATTACAAGTTAGCAGGGCAGCAATGGGTCTAATAGCTGGTTTCCAACACACAGTGCACTCCAGCGCATCTGCACGCTGCATTTAAAGCAGAATTATATGACGTCAGTGCTTCCCCCAGAGCATCCAGGGAACTGTAGTTTCCTGGGGGTGCTGAGCATTGTTAAGAAACCCTCTATTCTCCTCAAACAGCTACAAAAAGAGGGACTGATATTTAAACCACCCTGCGCATTGTAGCTCTGCCTCACTTGTTTTCCTTATGTAGGAAGTAGCTCTTGTACGCTGTGGTCTAAACCACTGAGCTTTTTGGGCTTGCCAATCGGAAGGTCGGCGGTTCAAATCCCCACGACGGAGTGAGCTCCTGTTGCTCTGTCCCAGCTCCTGCCAACCTAGCAGTTCGAAAGCATGTCAAAGTGCAAGTAGATAAATAGGTACTGCTATAGCAGGAAGGTAAATGGCATTTCCATGTGCTCTGGCACTTGTCACGGTGTCCGGTTGCACCAAAAGTGGTTTAGTCATTCTGGACACTTAACTCAGAAAGCTGTCTGCAGACAAACGCTGGCTCCCTCGGCCTGAAAGCGAGATGGGCGCTGCAACCCCATAGTCGCCTTTGACTGGACTTAATCGTCCAGGGGTCCTTTACCTTTTACCTTTACCGATAAAGTAGATCTAGATAGGCAAAGTAGCATAGAATAGGCAAAGTAGCATAGAATATGAAATAATGTATCTTGAGTCACGCAATTGCTGGTCCACCTAGCTCAGTATTGTCTACCTGCACTATTGTCTACCTGCACTATTGTCTACCTGCAATAACAACAACAACAAAACAACAACAACAACAATAATTCCCAGCCACTCTGGGTGGCTTCCAACAAAGACCAAAAATACACTAAAATGTCACACATTAAAAACTTCCCTGAACAGGGCTGCCTTCAAATGTCTTCTAAATGTCAGGTAGTTGTTTATCTCTTTGACATCTGATGGGAGGGCGTTCCACAGGGCAGGTGCCACTACCGAGAAGGCCCTCTGCCTGGTTCCCTGAAAGTGGCTCTCCAAGGCTGGAGTTGGGAGACATTCCCAGCCCTTACCCAGCAATGCCGAGGATTGAACCTGGAACCTTCTGCATGCAAAGCCGAAGTGCTGCCTTTAAGCTACAGCCCTTCCAGTTGCAGGGAGACTGGGGGGGGGGGGAGACACCCACCCACCATCACAGCACCCATCCTTGCCCTCTCCCGCCAGAAGTCTGCCTTCTGACACTTCAGATCTGCTCTGCAGCCCATTCCAGTCCTTCCTCCTTCGGGGCAAGAGATGCTCACCTCACACTGCTGCTTCTCAGCCTCTCGACACCTCAAGAGGAAGGCCTCAGCCAGGGCCACAGCCTGGGCACACGCTGCCGGGCAGCGCTCCCTGACCCAGCTCTGCATGTCCGGCGGCAAGATGGAGAGGAACTGCTCCAGGATCACCAGCTCCAGCACCTGCCCCTCCATGGGTGTCTTGGGCGTCAGCCACTGCTGGCAAAGCTCCCGGAGTCGGCAGCAAACCTCCCAGAGGCCCTGGGCCTTCTGCGGACACAGCTGTGGGTCCTGCATCTCTGTCCCCACGAAGTCTTCCCTACCCTTCCCGGAGGACCCCACCTGGGCCACGTTCAGGGGGCTGGAAGCTCGGTCCTCTTCTCTGCCGGAGGAAGGTGCAAGACGGGTCACCCACTCGCCTCGAGCCCAGCGGCGAACGGTAGCTGCTCCCTCAAAGGAGGCAAGAAAGGCCATTGAGTCGCTCCATGGCGGACATGCCGGCGGGTCTTCAAGTGTCGAGCAAAGGGATGGTGTGGCCTTCAAGAATTCTTGCCACTGGGCTTCCCAGTGCTCAGTCAGTTTGTCATCTGCCTCTTGCTTCACCTGAGGGAGTGGCGGCCATCTCAGGAAGTCCTCAGTGGCCCCACACTGGATAATTCGAGGGTTTTCCTTCCCCTCTTGCTTTTCCTCCGCTCGGTCCCCTGGCCCACGGCCCTTTGCATCCAGCTCCTCCACCTTCGCTCCTGACTTCTCAGGCACATCTTGGTCCTGGCTTCCTGCCAACTCCCATTTTGACACCCTCTTTCTTTCCACAAGAGACATCTCTGAAGTCAACCGTTGTCTTCCTCAGGCTTACAGCTGCTCTCAGAAGAGCCCACCATGAAGTCTTCGCCGTCCCACAGCCCATGAGTTTTATGCTCAGCCTGATGCTCATTCAACAGGCTGATCCGATGCCACGGATGCGACCTTCTGCAGTGTCACAGTTTTGGAAAGTAATGGCAGTGATGCCATAGGCTCAGGACAAGCTCAATTCTCCCTGTTTGTAAGAAAAAGAAAAGCCTCAGCACATTTTTGCCCCTATTTGAAAACAATTTTTTTTATAATTGTCCAAACCTTCCTTTTGAGCTTTATTAAACCAGTATCTTCCAAACTAAGTTATTAGGCAAAACTGTTTGCAGTATTAAACTGTGTTCCACAAATATCAGTCATTTGGCAATCGATCGGCCTTTGGAGACCGCACTCTCCCCCCCTCCGGGCCCTAGAGCGGGGGCTGCTAGACATCCCTTAGCCTTCTCTCTCGCTCTTAATGAATATAAAATACTTCTGCAAACAGCTGCATTGTATATTGTAAATGTTTTTTTATAAAAGATTTCTTACAATCTCAGATTTCTTACACGCTGACGCAGCTCAGGAACCCATTATGTTCTGGAATGTCTCTCCTGATGTGAGAGACCTTTAGATCTTCTTCTGAGGCCCTTCTCCAGGTCTCCACTCTGAGGGAGGCTCTGAGGATGTTGAAATAAGATGAACCTGCAAGCAGGATCCGAGCACAAGGGCACGCTCACCTCCTGTCGTTTCCAGCAACTGGTATTCAGAAGCATTATTCCCTCCAAGCATAGCCAAGCATAGTCATCAATAACTGTCAGGTTCAGTCCCCGGCATCTCCATGTTAAAGGCTGGAAATTTCTCCTGCCTGAAACCTCACGAGAGCTACAGCCAGCTCAGCTAGATCGTCTAAAAAACAATCGGTATAGGGTTGTGGATTCGAGCCCCATGTTGGCCAAAAAGATTCCTGCAATGCAGGGGGGTTGGACTGGATGACCCTCGGGGCCCCTTCCAATTCTGGGGTTCCAAAGTTACACTCCTAATTTGATTCTGAATTGATTTTAGAATGAATTGATTTTAGAATGCATTTCAATTAATCGATTCTGATTTTATGTAAACTGTGTTACTTTTACTGTTGTTAGCCGCTCTGAGCCCGGCTTCGGCTGGGGAGGGTGGCATATAAATAAATAAAAATTATTATTATTATTATTATTATTATTAGCAACCCACCCCACCCTAGCTTTAAAAAGAAAGGGAAACGGTGTGGGGTGGGAAGGAGAGAAAATCTGTGTTGTTCCCCCCACCCCCCGCCGCAGTGGCTTTCAACCAACCAACCGAATTTGCAGGTCCTTTTGGGACTCCAAACTAAGAGGAAACTGCAAAATAAAAAGCTCCACTGTTCACCTCGGCCTGGAAAATAAATGCTGAATTCGCTCCCCCCCCCCCCCGATGAGAAAGGAGGCTCCGCGCATCTCTCACCTCCTCTGAGGGCGACCCCTGCAAGGTCGCTGCTGCAGCTGAACTCCAGGTGCCACTTCTGCCAACAGCGGGAGGGCGGGCGGGGGAGGGTCCAAAAGGCGGAACAGGAAGGAACCTTCAACACAAATCGGCGCACACCCACGTGCCCACTCATTCTCAGGGCCGCTCTAGGAAGCGAGGCTCGCTTTATCTTTTTTTACCCTTAACCCTTTCAAACCCATCACGCCTCTGGAATCGATTAAAACGCACCCAGTAGGTTTGTTTGATTGAGATTTGTGCTCCTCCTTTTGAAGGTGCCTCGTTGCCAAAAAAGGCAGGGCTCCCACACCTCGTTAACCTGTGCATTAAGCAGTTGCTGCAATATTAATATGCAATGTTAAAATCAGAAGAAGAGGGTGGGACCTGCAAAGTCAAAGTGCATTTTGCTGGTTAACTGACTTACTGGTCCCACAACCCTCTTCCGATGGCCATTTGTACTGCTTTGGCTTTGAAGCCCACTGTCAACATTTCTTACCCCCAAACCACATCTCCATGCTTGACTTCTATTTACTAGAAACATTACAGCAAACAACAACACCCTGTTCCTGTAATGGCCTTCTAAAATGTTTTATTTTTTGCAATTTGGAACAATTTCATTATTTTCACAAACTGTGTAATTTGGACATAATCCACCAGTGGCATATCCAAAAAATCACCAGGCTAAGGGACAGCTATGAATTTTGCCTCCTCACTTGCTCATTTAGCTGTTCTTTACTTTCAGCACCAAAGCACAGCCTATGTAAGGGAACTGGAAGTGACAAATTTAAGCTAACCTTTGAATAAGCATAAGGTAAAGGGACCCCTGACCATTAGGTCCAGTCCTGGCCGACTCTGGGGTTGCAGCGCTCATCTCGCTTTATTGGCTGAGGGAGCCGGCGTACAGCTTCCGGGTCATGTGGCCAGCATGACTAAGCTGCTTCTGGCGAACCAGAGCAGCGCACAGAAACACCGTTTACCTTCCCGCTGGAGCGGTACCTATTTATCTACTTGCACTTTGACGTGCTTTCGAACTGCTATGTAGGCAGGAGCAGGGACCTAACAACGGGAGGGGATTCTAACTGCCGACCTTCTGATTGGCAAGTCCTAGGTTCTGTGGTTTAACCCACAGTGCCACCCGTGCTTGAATAAGCATAGAACCCTATAATAGTAGAGTTGCAAGGGACCCCCCCCCCCCCAGGGTTATCTAATATAACCCCCTGAATCTCAGCAAAAGCATCCGTGACAGATGGCCACCCAACCTCTGCTGGAAAACCTCCAAGGAAGCAGAGACCATCACCTCCCGATGGAGTCCTTTCCACTGTCGAACAGCTCTTACAGTCAGAAAGTTCTTCCTGAAGTTTAGTCGGAATCTATTGTAGTTATTCTTTTGTTCTGGTTATTGTTGATGAAGATTAAATACCAATAAAATAATGATTTAATTGCTTTAATTGGAATGTTTTCTGGATTTGTCACTCCTCAGGGGTTGCCAGAGTGGGGCCTGCGGGTGCCAGTACCCCCTGGCGGCACCTGCAGGTCTCAGTAAATATTCCCTCATAAAATCACAATACCCGAGAGACTGTGCATGCTGATCAGCTGAGGGAGGCTGGGGTTACCATACGCTCTGTGATCATCAAACTATGGTGCTGATGCCTGAGGAGGGGCCATTTTTTATCCACTGGTGAGAGCCAGTGTGGTGTGGTGGTTGAGAGCGGTAGTCTCATAATCTGGGGAACCGGGTTCGCGTCTCCGCTCCTCCACATGCAGCTGCTGGGTGACCTTGGGCCAGTCACACTTCTCTGAAGTCTCTCAGCCCCACTCACCTCACAGAGTGTTTGTTGTGGGGGAGGAAGGGAAAGGAGAATGTTAGCCGCTTTGAGACTCCTTCGGGTAGTGATAAGCGGGATATCAAGTCCAAACTCTTCTTCTTCTCTTCCTCGCAAGAGGGCTGGGGTCTGCTCATAGCAGGACTCTCACTGTGTGTGAGCTGGACTGACATTACCCTTGCCAAAATCAGTGTTTGGGGGTCCAGAAAAACATGCAGAGGGCAGAAATCTGCCTAAATGGGAATTAGCCACCCTTGCTTTAATCAAACATTTTAATAGACGCCCCCCCAACCCACACCACAGCTCTTTTAAATACACATCCCAATTAACCATCCATTTTTAAAAGAAATATCCATTCTTTTTTTTAATACAGATGCAAGTGAAAAAGGCATACAACAGACACCACCTTAGGTGAGGTATTTTCCCTTTCACATGAGGGGGTGCCCTTCCATCCCCAGCATGTGTACATACACCATTGAAAAAATGAAGACAGTATGCTTTCCCCCTTTCAAACAACTATTTTCAGTCATAAGCAAATGTGAGTTGGACATCTGGACACAAACAGGGTGTGAGGTATAGCTGCCCTTCCAGGCGTCTTGTTTATTGAGCATTCACTGTAATTGGTTCACAGATTAGACAGGTGTTGGCTGCAGAACATCTGCTTTGCATGCAGATTTAATCCCTGGAATCTGTGGGAATGCTGGGAGAAGATCCTGTTTGAAATCCAGGAGAGCCACTGCCAGTCAGATTAGAAACTACTGAGAGCAAGATGGACCCAAGGTCTGAACTTGGTAGATAAGGCAGCTTCCTATGTTCTCATGAATTCTGCTTTGTTTGTGGGAAGGCTACATAAGACGGCGTCCAAGCAAGGGTTACCTCAGTGAGTTTCCCCATCACTTTCCTTCCTGAAAAAAGTCTAATCCTTTCTTGGGGGGATGGAAGTGGATTTGTGGCTCAAGACCTCCCCATCAACTGCAACTGTACAACCTGCATTTGCTGGTATATGAAGGAATCCTGCCCGCCAAATAGCGAGAGTCTGGAAGCGCCCTCTGTGGCAGTTAAAACCATGTTAAGAAAAAGACAAGTTGGGATTAGAAAAATAAAGAGCAAACACCTCGCTTACTGGAACAACAACAAAAGCAGTGGAATAGCTTATTGTTTGAATGAACATTCAAATGGAAGAGGCTTGAGTTGTTGGGGGCTACAAGGACCACCCACAATTCATGCTGAAGCCCTGAGAAATGCAATTCACTTATTGTGGACTTGGTACTGTTCACATTTTCCACAGCATCTTGACCATGTCATCCTCAACCAAATGACGTCCCTTCCTCCCTGCCCAATTTAATCTGTTTTTACAGCTTGTTTGTTTGTTTTAAATTTATTGGATTAAATTCCACAGCAACAGGTTTTCCACAGCGACAGTACGTCTCAATTAAGGGGGAAATTATACAGGATAGCATTTTGATGAGGACAATAGCATGTGGTCAGCCACATTTTTTGGGCCAGTGGAATTCTGAGAAACTGCCAGCGGAGCCTGTCACAAAATGGCTGCTGTGGGGATGTGGCATAGCACAAAATGGTGGGCACATCCACAAGAGCAGGAAAAGAGACAAGGCCGCAAAAAGATGCAGGCACGCACCTTCTCCCTCAAGAAAAAACAGGTACCTACATCTGCCACCACTTACAGAAAGAAGTTGCTCTTCTCTCCCATTCAGAACATCTCTCTGAAGCCCTGGCACCTAGTGAAATGTGGGCAGCTATAAAGAGGCGCATTCAATTTAGGAGGGGCTGAGACAGTGCAGGCAGGAACTGAGCAGGGAGGGCAGGGTCCCTTTCAACTTGTGGATGTTTGAGAGGTGATTTATTGAAGTTTTCCACAGGTGCCACAGGAGGGCACACTGTCTCCTGTGGGTGTTGTTTGGCGACACCTGGTGTGGACACATGGCACTGCTGTGGGGATGCCCCCACAATCAGATTTGCTAACGGAGCCCACTGTTTGGCAGCTCTCACGTGTAACTGAAGTTTCCCCCCACAAGCACCCCACAGACCAGAGGTTTGAGGTCCAACCTCTGCCCACCTCACACCCTGACCCTCTGAATGAGAAAATGTAAAGTTATTCTGTCAGGTGAGTTCTCTCGTGCTTGGTAAGCTTTGACCTCTGGCTGTAGCTCTTCCCGCAAGCCGAACACTGGTAAGGCTTCTCTCCCGTGTGGGTCCTCATGTGGAGCGTGAGGCCTGAGCTCTGGCTGAAGCCTTTCCCGCAGGCTGGGCAGGCGTATGGCCTCTCCCCGGTGTGGGTCCTCTCGTGTTTGATAAGGCCCGAGTGGTGCCGGAAGCTTCTACCGCAGATGGAGCACTTGTACGGCTTCTCGCCCGTGTGGGTCCTCTCGTGGGCAATGAGCGTTGAGTTGTGGCCAAAGGACCTGCCACACTCGGCGCACGTGTACGGCTTCTCTCCCGTGTGGGTGATTTCGTGCCTCACCAGGTCCGAGCTGCGCAGGAAGCTCTTCCCGCACTCGGAACACCGGAAAGGCTTCACCCCGGTGTGGGTCCTCTGGTGCAGGATAAGGTTGGACCGCTGGCTGAAGCTCTTCCCGCAATCCCCGCACGTGTAAGGCCGCTCGCCAGTGTGGATTCTCTTGTGGAAACGGAGGCCGGAACTCTTACTGAAGCTCTTCCCACAAGTCGGGCATGTGTAAGGCTTCTCTGCTGCCAGAGTTTTCTCTGGCACGGAAGGAGGGCTGTCGCTCCGGCAGATTCGCTTCCCGGCCTCAAAGGGCGCATACATCTCCTCTCCAGCGTGGGTGCGCTTGTGTTTCATGAGGCTCGAATAGAGGCTAAACTTTTCCCCGCAGGTTAAGCACGCGTAACGCTTCTCTCCTGCGTGGATTATTGCACGCTTAACAAGTGCCAAGCCCCTGTCCAGGTTTTCCCCGCAGTCTGAGCATCTGCAAGCCTCTTCTTCCTGTGCGTCACTTTGCTCGTGCTCAGCTGGGCTTAAATCGGAGTGCAAGCTTTTCTCGCAGCTCAAACAGCAGCAAATCTTCTCACTTGCCACTTGGGCTCCCGCGCGATGCTTCATAAACTCAGCTCTCTGACTGGGCGTCGCAAACTCTGAGCGTTTGTGGGGCTTGCCCTCAGCATCAATTAAGAAGTCCGCATCGTCACCAAAATCGCCCCCCTCTTCCTCACAGGGCTCCACCTTCTCGAACGCAGACCTCGCTGGGGTGTCCTTGACATCGTCTACTCCAAGGAAAGAGGCACCTGATCTTTTGTCTGGGCTGCATTCCTGCTTCCTCCTTGTCCTGAGCCATTTCTTGGAAGTTTGTCCTGGTTTTGGATGGTGCCGGGAAACACATTTTTCTCTTCTGAGCAAGGCTCCATCAACCTCTGTTTGCTCTGGATTCCCCACGGAAGCCTCATTTTCACTGGATCCCTCGAGGTCACCTGTTAGAGACAACATCCAAAGAGAGATCTGTATGAGTGACAAGGTCCTGGGGCTCTGTTTCTGCCCAGCAGGGCAAAGGAAGTCTCTAGCTTTCATGGCTGCAAAGGCAGGTTTCAAAGCAACACAAAGGGAAGACTAACCCATGTACTGGACTTACGACAGACGCTCCCATCTGCTGGGTCGTTCTCTTGCTCAAGTTCACTGTCCAGCTGTGTCTGGTTGGAATCCAACAGGATCTGCTCACCCTCGAGGGAATCCCCAGCTCCTTCCTCAAACAGCCCCAAGACCTGAAAAGGCAGCAAGAACCCAACAGTAAGGACGGGCAAATCTGTCAATTACAGTTCCTCTCAGTTCCCCATTTTTCTAATTGTAAGTTCAGCTCCTCACTCTCCCTCGTCAGTTTGCTATTATTATTTTTCTGGGCGAGATACCACAACACACTTTTGTATGCAATTTTGCATAAAATACACATTTTTGCAGCGCATTTCCTCCCCACAACAATATAATGCATTTCTGGCTGTTATTTTCACTAATTTTTATGCATACTTCTTTACCCCGACATATGCATTTCTGTACATGTCACTTGGCCAGAGAACTGCATGGCAAAACTCAGAGAAGTGCATATTTCGAATGAGTTGTAGTCCAAAAACAGCTGGATATGAATGAATATATAATAATCATATCATCTGGGCAGCCCGGGGCATCCATACACACAGCCGAGGCTTGAGCCCCCAGGTCGTCACACTCCAATGTCTCTCGAGACAGGGAGAAGGCAACAACCACAACAATACAGTGGTACCTCGGGTTACATACGCTTCAGGTTACAGACTCTGCTAACCCAGAAATATTACCTCGGGTTAAGAACTTTGCTTCGGGATGAGGACAGAAATCGCACAGCGGCGGCACAGCGGCTGCAGGAGGCCCCATTAGCTAAAGTGGTGCTTCAGGTTAAGAACAGTTTCAGGTTAAGAACAGACCTCGAGAACGAATTAAGTTCTTAAGCCAAGGTACCACTGTACTAGGAAGCAGGAGCAGTGAGGGGTTGGCCTGGGGCAAGCAGAGGCTGTGTGCAGCCCCAGGCCTGAGGTTCCCAACCCCTGAGCTAAAGGCAGCCCAGCTTGCATGTCTGAAGCACCACAACTTCAGGGGCAGAGCAGATGCAAAATGTTCAGCCTCACTCATCTCTGGTCATGGCTGGGAAAGCCGCTGGCCAACCGGTGCCAGCAGTACTGGTCTGTAAGGAGCAATAGCAGCTCTCAGACTTTGCCCTCTCCCTCTCGGCAGCCTCACCTCCTCTTCCTGGCGCTCGCCCTCTCGCTGCCTCAGCAGGAACTCCTCCGCCAGGGCCACCGCCTGCCCGCAGGTCTCCGGGTCGCTTCCCTTCACCCAGCCCTGCATCTCCGAGGGCAGGACGGCCAGGAACTGCTCCAAGATCACCAGCTCCAGGATCTGCTCCTTGCTGCGCCTCTCCGGCTTCAGCCACTGGTGGCAGAAATCCCGCAGCTGCCCGCAAACCTCCCGGGGCCCCTCGGCCTCCTCGTAGCAGAAGAGACGGAAGCGCTGGCGCTGCCACTCCCTGCAGCTGGCCTCCCCGCGCAAGATGGCCGCCTTCATCTTCCCGTAACTCTCTCGGGCGTTGGGGCCGCCCAAGCCTTCCTCGGCTGCTTCTCCCAGCCGGGTCGCCCACTGGTTGGCCTCGCCGGCCCCCTCAAAGTGGGCCAGGAAGGCCTTGATGTCTCCCCAGGGCATGGCGGGCTCTGTCGGCTGCGAGCAAGGGGCCTGCTTCCCCCCGGGGGACTCCAGCCACTCGGACCCCTGGCTCTGGAGCAGGCCCTCCTCCGCCTCCTCTTTAACCCAGGGGATCGTTATCCTCTTCATAAGTCTCCTGACGCTCCTGGGATGAAGGATGCCGTGAGGTGCTTTCCCACGTCTTCCAGATCCCTCAACTTGTTCAGGGCCCGTGAGGTCCTCCTCATCCATTTGGTCTTCATCCAGAGCAGCCTGGCCTCCCAGAATCCTTTGCTGGTCAGCCATTTTCTTTCCGAAGCTATGGGACAGGCTTATCGCAAGTCAAGCTTCACACCACTCTTCCTCGCCTTCTTATAACTTCAGACTTTCGGATAAATGGCCTGTGTCTCTACCGTACTTCTGCCCTTCAAACAAGTTGCACTCACAAATGATGGGCCTGTTTAGAGAAAGAGATATGGATTTTTTGGTTTGTTTTAATTTTTATTCATATATTAATATGATATATGCAGAATAAATATACAGTATATATAAATGACCAGTTAGTGTGACACTTTGGAACTCCCTCCCATTGACATCAGGCCGGTCCCTTTCCTGTACTCTTTCTGGAGCTTGCTGAAAGTATTTTTCTTTAGGCAAACCTACCCAGATATGTAGACTATTTACATGTGTTTTAATCTGTTTTTAGTGGATTTTTATTATTATTTGAATGTTTTAAGCAGCTGCTTTTAACTGCTTTTAGCTCTTTTTACCGATCATTTTAGTTTTATTCTTTTTGTACATCTCTTTGAGCGTTTTTTTCAGTCAAGCAGTATATAAATTGTATGAGAAAACTTGTATGAGATAAATTGTATAATATATAAAAATAATTTCACAGAAATAAAACAATGTTGATAAAAATATATTTTTTAAAAAGAAATAAATAAATCCAAAAAAAACCAAAGTGCTGCACCAACAAGCACAAAACAACCTCTCTGCAGTGCCACAAATCCAACTTAATGGTGCAACGTTGGAAAGTGTCAATCACTTTTCCTACCTGGGCAGTTATCTTTCCACAAGGGCTGACATCGATGCCAAAATCTGGCATTGCCTGAGCTCTGTGAGTGCAGCTTTCTCCTAATTGAAACACAGAGTGTTTAAGGACCGGGACATTCGCAGGGAAACCGAAATGCTAAGCTATTGTACTACCGACCTTACTTGTGAAACATGGAACACTTATAAACGCCATCTCCAACGCCTTGAAAGATTCTATCAAGAGTGTCTCCGAAAATTTTTACACATCACTTGGGACGACAGGCGACCTTATGTCAGTGTACTGGAAGAAGCAAAGATCACCAGTATCGAAGCAACAATACTTCAACATCAGCTTTGTAGGGCTATTCATGTTGTGCGGATGCCTGATTATTGTCTTCCAAAGCAACTACTCTATTCCCGGCTTAAGAATCGAAAGCATAATGCTGGTGGCAAAAACCAAAGAGGTTTAAAGACTCTCTCAGGACAAATCTTTTAAAATGTAGTGTAAAGGTAAAGGTAAAGGGACCCCTGACCATTAGGTCCAGTCGTGACCGACTCTGGGGTTGCGGAGCTCATCTGGCTTTACTGGCCGAGGAAGCCGGCGTACAGTTTCTGGGTCATGTAGCCAGCATGACTAAGCCGCTTCTGGCGAACCAGAGCAGTGCATGGAAACACCGTTTACCTTCCCGCCGGAGCGGTACCTATTTATCTACTTGCACTTTGACGTGCTTTCGAACTGCTAGGTTGGCAGGAGCTGGGACTGAGCAACAGGAGCTCACTCCGTCGTGGGGATTCGAACCGCTGACCTTCTGATCGGCAAGACCTAGGCTCTATGGTTTAACCCACAGCGCCACCTGCATCCTTAAAATGTAGTATAAACACCGACAACTGGGAAACACTGGCTTGCGAGTGCTCCAACTGGAGAACTGCCTTTACCAAAGGTATCATGGGCTGTGAAGACACTCGAACTCAGGACGCAAGGGAGAAACGTGCTAAGAGGAAGGCACGCTTGGCAAACCCTCACCGTGATCAACTCCAGCCCAGAAACCAATGTCCCCACTGTGCAAGGGCGTGTGGATCCAGAACTGGCCTCCACAGTCACTTAAGGTCTCACTGTTAAGACTGTGTTCATGGAAGACAATCTTACTCAGCTACGAGAGACCGCCAAAGAAGAAGAAGAAGAGGACTCCAAAGCACATAGTGGAAGCAGGAAGCAGATGAAATAGCCAAGCAGAAACTGATTGTGGCAGGTGAAATTTGCACAGATAGTATAGGTGTTTGTTTGCTTTTTAAATGACTGGAGGGTGGGTGGGTGGGTGTGGGTGCCTGGTCCCTGCAGCCCATTACCTCCCTCTCCTGGTGTCTCTCCCCCCCTCCTTTCTGGTCTGGCACCCACCCCTTTAAAACTCACCTCCCTTCCAGAGATGCAGCAGAAATAAATCCAGAGCAAAACTCTTTTGCAGATCAGCCAAGCAATGCAGTGCAAACCGTGGCTGGGGATTCAAAAGGCAGGCTCCCTCCTGGAGAAGGTGGAGCAGGAAGGAGACTGGAGGGTTTCCCATTCTCCACCCCCCAGCCACACACACACACACACACAGAGGCTCACTTTTAAGAAAGGAAAACCCCCAGATTTCCGGCCCTTCTCTAGCAACTACAGCCTCTGTTGACTTAACTCTTTGCAGCATCCCAAGAGCTCAGTTTAAAAAGATCAAGGAGCTTGGCAGGGCGAGGAGAAGGAGGAGCTTTCTCTGCCAGCCAGAGTTTTATTTATTTGTTGCATTTATATCCTGAATTCGTTGCATTTAGACTCTTTCCAGCCACATGCCCTGTCATAGACTGGCCTGCTGCTTTACAGTGCTGGGCTTTTAATTGTTGCTGTCATGGGCATAGCCAAGGGGGGCAATAAAAATCAATATGTTTTTGACAAATGTTGTCCCTATTTTCAAAAAGGGGGAAAGAGAGGACCCAAATAATTACCGCCCAGTCAGTCTGACATCAATACCAGGGAAGATTTTGGAGCAGATCATTAAGCAAACAGTCTGTGAGCACCTAGAAAGGAATGCTGTGATCATCAATAGTCAGCATGGATTTCTGAAAAATAAGTCATGTCAGACTAACCTGATCTCGTTTTTTGACAGAATTACAAGCCTGGTAGATGAAGGGAACACAGTGGATGTAGCCTACCTTGATTTCAGCAAGGCATTTGACAAGGTGCCCCATGATATTATTGTAAAGAAGCTGGTAAAATGCGGTCTTGACTATGCTACCACTCGGTGGATTTGTAACTGGCTGACTGACCGAACCCAAAGGGTGCTCATCAATGGTTCCTCTTCATCCTGGAGAAGAGTGACTAGTGGGGTGCCACAGGGTTCTGTCTTGGGACCGGTCTTATTCAACATCTTTATCAACGACTTGGATGATGGACTCAAGGGCATCCTGATCAAATTTGCAGATGACACCAAACTGGGAGGGGTGGCTAACACCCCAGAGGACAGGATCACACTTCAAAACGACCTTGACAGATTAGAGAACTGGGCAAAAACAAACAAGATGAATTTTAACAGGGAGAAATGTAAAGTATTGCACTTGGGCAAAAGAAATGAGAGGCACAAATACAAGATGGGTGACACCTAGCTTGAGAGCAGTACATGTGAAAAGGATCTAGGAGTCTTGGTTGACCACAAACTTGACATGAGCCAACAGTGTGACGCGGCAGCTAAAAAAGCCAATGCAATTCTGGGCTGCATCACTAGTAGTATAGCATCTAGATCAAGGGAAGTAATAGTGCCACTGTATTCTGCTCTGGTCAGACCTCACCTGGAGTACTGTGTCCAGTTCTGGGCGCCACAGTTCAAGAAGGACACTGACAAACTGGAACGTGTCCAGAGGAGGGCAACCAAAATGGTCAAAGGCCTGGAAATGATGCCTTATGAGGAACGGCTAAGGGAGCTGGGCATGTTTAGCCTGGAGAAGAGGAGGTTAAGGGGTGATATGATAGTCATGTTCAAATATATAAAAGGATGTCACATAGAGGAGGGAGAAAGGTTGTTTTCTGCTGCTCCAGAGAAGCGGACACGGAGCAATGGATCCAAACTACAAGAAAGAAGATTCCACCTAAACATTAGGAAGAACTTCCTGACAGTAAGAGCTGTTCGACAGTGGAATTTGCTGCCAAGGAGTGTGGTGGAGTCTCCTTCTTTGGATGTCTTTAAGCAGAGGCTTGACAACCATATGTCAGGAGTGCTCTGATGGTGTTTCCTGCTTGGCAGGGGGTTGGACTCGATGGCCCTTGTGGTCTCTTCCAACTCTATGATTCTATGATTCTATGAATAGCAAGCTCAGGTTCTGCCCCCCCAACAAAAGGCAATGCAGGAATTAAATAAACACTAGTTATTTTAAATTGCCAATGAACAAGCTTAGCAATGCAACTTTAGGACCACCCGGTACCACCCGGCCTGCCGCGATACTTTCTTAGTTCATCATGAACTTCCGAATAAGACCAAACGTTCTCGCAGAGGCAGTGTGGGGTAGTGGTTAGAGCAGGGGTCAGCAAACTTTTTCAGCAGGGGGCCAGTCCACTGTCCCTCAGACCTTGTGGGGGGCTGGACTATATTTTGAAAAAAATAATGAACGAATTCCTATGCCCCACAAATATCCCAGAGATGCATTTTAAATAAAAGCACACTTTCTAATCATGTAATAACACCAGGCAGGCCCCACAAATAACCCAGAGATGCATTTTAAATAAAAGGGCACATTCTCCTCATAAGATAAATTTATTGTCATTGTCCGTATATACACAGTATACACAACAACGAAAATCAAACACCCACCCAAAGACCGGGTTCACATACACATTTGCACGTATCTCCAACACTCTCATCCTATTCAGACATAATCTATAAAAACATATCATACTCCAGAATGTAACATAACCTATTAAAAGCATAACATAACCTAAAAACCTGTCTCATTCCTTCCTACTCCCTGCTTGCTATTTCTTGCAACTGGCCCTGAGATCATTATTTAGTGCAATCAGAGCTCTTGGATAGAAACTATTCAGAAGGCGTGTGGTTCGTGTTTTCATTGTCCTATATCTTCTGCCCGAAGGCAACAGTTCAAAGAAGTTGTGAGCGGGATGGGTGGGATCTCTCAGGATATTGTGTGACTTCCTCAAAGTGCGAGACGTGAAGATCTCATCCAGGGTTGGTAGTTGGAGCCCAATAACATTCTGGGCAATTTTAATTATTCTCTGTAAAGCTTTTTTATCCGTTTCAGAGCTGCTCCCATACCACGATAATATACTATAGGTTAAGACACTCTCGATGGTACTGTGATAATAGGACAGAAGTAGGTGCTGAGATAGATTCAGTCCCCTGAGCATTCTCAGGAAATACAACCTCCCCTGCACCTTCCTCACAACCATATTAATATTTGCAGTCCATGAGAGGTCCTCAGAGATGTAAATGCCCAGGTATTTAAAACTACCAACCCTCTCCACCTCCTCGCCATTTATGTGCAATGGTAAAAATACACTTTTCTTTCTCCTAAAGTCAATTATGAGTTCTTTGGTTTTTTTGGTGTTAAGCATAAGATTGTTTTCTTTACACCATTGAATTAAAAACATGTAAAAACATGCTGATTCCTGGACCGTCCGCGGGCCAGATTGAGAAGGCGACTGGGCCACATCCAGCCACTGGGCCTTAGTTTGCCTACCCCTGCTGTACGCCCCTCTGAGCTCCTTAGAGAAGAAGGTGGGGGGGGGATGCAATATGTTGTTGTTATGTTTTTACATGTGTTGGAAACCGCCCAGAGTTACTGGGCCAACCCAGCCAGATGGGTGGGGTATAAGCAAAATTATAAATAAAATTATAGTATAAAATTATAAATATCTATCAGTGCACATCAAACGCAGAACTTCCTGAGTTATGGGGGTTTCCACCATCCTCTCCCCTAAGGGATATTGCATCTTTCAAGTGGCAGGCAGAAATTTAGCAGCAAAGCTCTCCCCTGGCATGGAAATGCAATGCTGTGCCTGGCTGCACCTGTTAGATGTCTGCCTGTCACGCTGCTGCTTCAAGGCCAGGGCTTTGTTTGTTTTTTAAGGAGTACCTGGCCTTGTGAGAGTGATGGTGGCTTGTCCCAGAGAGAGAGAGAGAGAGAGAGAGAGAGATGTCTGCAATAAGGGTTAAAAAAATAAAGCGTCACCCAGGCACTTCTCTGCTTCCTAGAGAGGCCAGGAAAGGCAGGCGGCTGCAAGGGAAGATCTCCTTTCCTCTTCCCTTCAATGCCCTGGCGAGGAATCCTTTCCTGTGTTTTGCCACAGAGGAAAACCAGAGCCTTGGCAGGACATTGCCAAGAAGGTTTGCAGGGCAGCAGCTGCAAGGAGCTGGTGAGTTGGAGGAAGGAGAATGGGGTGATCTTTGTGGGGGGAAGGAGGTTTCACTGGGGTTGGAGACGAAAAGAAACAGCTGGGGAGAAAGGGATTACTTTTTGCTCCGTGCAAAGAGAGAGGGGCATTCTCCCCAAATGTGCCCGGAAAGAGAAAATTGTATTTACTGGCACATTGGTGCTGCGCTGTTCATTTTGAGCTGCTTTCGTTGGCATAACAGGGTGGTGTGCAGTTCTATCATAAGGCAGAAAGCCAAATGGTCAAATATTTTGGCAGGCGGACAAGACCAATCTGATCAATAAAAAAATGTTTGTATGCCGCTAAAAAATATCAAAGTGGTTTACAACAAACGAGTACACACAAACACACACTAAAGAAACATGTAAAAATGAAAACCCAAGATCATCCACTAACTATTTTTAGTAGCCTGCATAAGTCTGGCAGCATGGGAAAGTTCGCAGCAGACTTTTAAAGATTAAAGAGAAGGCATCCATTGGGTCTCTATTGAGCTTTCCACAGGATTGGGTCAATGACCCTAAAGGCTCCCGTTTCTTGCTGCTCTCAGCCTGGATGTGATCCCTCTGATCTGAGCCAGGCTATAAGGCTTGAGGTGGCCCCTACACATTTTGATCCCCCTTTCATCTTCCTTCTCTCTTTGCCGAAACTTATTTTCCTGGCTGTAATCATATTTTCCACCCTGGGCTCCTTTGGGGGAAGGGCAGAGTATGTCTTAAATAAATGAATAAATATTCCCCTGGAAGGGTCTTGAATACTTCTCCCTTAAAAGGGGAAAGCTAGAAACCTGGAGAGTATTTTATTACTATCACTATTATTTCTTTGTGTTCTCCAGATGTTTCAGACTATAACTCCCATCGGCCTCAGCCAGTGCAGGATGGCACTGATGGGAGTTGTAGTCCGAAACGAAATGTCAGGAGGGTGCTGGAGAAGGCTGATGTACCGTATATAAAGCTCTACATCTAGGGCAAGGGTAGAAATTTGGTTCACTAATTTTTATTATTAGTTACATTTGCATACCATAGATCTCAGGGAGATCCATAGATCTCAGGGAGGTTCACAGCATTGAAATACAAGATAAAAACACAAATGCATAATAAAAACAAGAACAAAGCAAACCAATAACCCCCAGCCCTCCTAATTTACACTTCCTGGAAATAATATGTGACCAAAACACCGGGATCCTTCAAAATGTGCACTTATCCGAAATTTGCATTGCCATTCCCCAGCCAAAAGGATGTGTATGAAACTGCATATATTTGTGAGACATAGAATATAGGAAAAATATTTTCCGTTTGTGAAAGTCGCTTGCCAAAAATGTACATATTAGGCAAAAATGCATAGAAAGAGGTTTATTTTAGGTCAAATGGGCACTAACAAAGTTTCATAAGGAACTTTTTTTAAAAAGTAAATTGCCAAAGGATTCCCTTTATGGCACGACAATGGACGCCAAAATATTGTCATGCTTTCTCATCAGGCAAAAAACAAAGAGGTGCAAACCTTGAAATGTGAAGAGGGCGCAGCGCATGCCGCCTCACCTCTTGCAACATGAGCGGCAATGCCTAAACCCATGGAAAAGGTGGCAAAATTGCAGTGAGAAACACCACCAGGTTGAGTGGGATGCAAACAGATTTCTTTGGGAATCAAATGACACGGAAACAAGTGCTAAACTTGTGCGATATGCCATTGCATTGCAGCTCAAATATTATGCGCAAAATAACAGGGAAATATAGGCACGCAGGTGGCGCTGTGTTAAACCACAGAGCCTAGGACTTGCTGATCAGAAGGTCGGCGGTTCGAATCTCCGCGACGGGGTGAGCTCCCGTTGCTCGGTCCCTGCTCCTGCCAACCTAGCAGTTCGAAAGCACATCAAAGTGCAAGTAGATAAATAGGTACCGCTCCGGCGGGAAGGTAAACAGCGTTTCTGTGCGCTGCTCTGGTTCGCCAGAAGCAGCTTAGTCAGGCTGGCCACATGACCCAGAAGCTGTACGCCAGCTTCCTCGGCCAATAAAGCGAGATGAGCACCGCAACCCCAGAGTGGGTCACGACTGGACCTAAAGGTCAGGGGTCCCTTTACCTTTACCTTAACTGGGAAATGGAATAAACTGCAGCGTGAAGCTGAAAGCAGTCTGCTCCAAAAGTAACAGCAGTTTAACAGCTTTTTCTTCTCTCGGTTATCTTCTTTCAGGGAGAAGGCCCAGTCGCCAGTCGAAAAGGCCCCCAACTTTTCTTTAGGTACCAGTTTGGCAAAAAGAGACTCCGATCCTCATGTTTGGATGCTTAGCCATCTGCCCTGGCACATTGTTTCCCTCGGATGTCTGCTAAGCCCTGCGAGTTTGAGAGCCACGGCTGAGGGAAGGCCAAGACAAAATGGCCGCTGAGGAAGGAAGCGCCTCACCATCCTTGAGCCTGCAGTTCCGGGTTGCACTCGGACAACATGGCGGGATAAAAACAGAGGCCCAGGACCTGGCTGACGCCGACGCTCATGATATCCAGATGGTGTGCATCGGGGAGCCTCATGCGTGGACTGCCTCAACCCATGTCAAGCCGGAACTGGAGGAGGTGCATTGGGAAACCCGAGAAAACGAGGTGTTCTTGAAGGCGAGGCCGTCCCCTCGCTCAGGGTGGGGAAGCCTGCCGCCGTGTCAGGAGGCCCTGCCTTGGGACGGGGTCAAAGTGTTCCCCGCCTCCTTCGAGGGAGCGCTCACGACGTGCAAATGGCTGGCCAGAGAGTGGGGGTCTCGACAGAGGGCACCCGCCTCCGAAATGGAAGGGCAGCAAGCGACTGGCACGCCAAACGGTGCCAGAGCAAGGAGGGGCAGCAGAAAAGGGAAGGCCGCTGTTCTTCTGAGCGGTGCGGTCGAGGCAGAGGCCCAGCGCCAGCAGTTCAGGCGCTTCTGCTACCAAGAGGCCGAGGGTCTGCACTACGCCTACGGCCAACTCCGGAGCCTGTGCCATCGGTGGCTGAAGCCGGAGAGGCACACCAAGGAGCAGATCCTGGAGCTGGTGATCTTGGAGCAGTTCCTGGCTGTCCTGCCCCCGGAGATGCAGAGCTGGGTCAAGGAACGGGAGCCTGAGACCTGCGCCCACGTGATCGCCCTGGCTGAGGATTTCCTGCTAAGGCAACAAGAGGCAGAACAATTGGGGCAGGAGGTGACTGGGGCGGTGGCCGGCCTGAAGTTTGGGAGGTTCACGTGGGAATTTGCTAGGTTAGGTGGGGGCCGAGTGCCTGGATCTGTTGATAAACCAGAGTTTAACCTGAGTGGGTGGGGCAAAGGGAGGGGAGTGAACTGGAAGTGTGGTATAGTGTGTAGAGCAGTGTGGTGTAGTGGTTGGACTCTGGCCACAGTAGAATCCTAGAATGGTAGAGTTGGAAGGACCCCGAGGGTCATCTGTTTCCACCCTCTGCAATGCAGGAATCTTTTGCCCAACCTGGGGCTCGAACCCAGGACCCGGAGGTTAAAAGTCTCATGCTGTACATTCAAAGCATATTCATCACACTTTTCACAGTCATGGCTTCCCCCCAAAGATTCCTGGGAGCTGTAGTTTTGCCCTTCACAGAGGTATAATGCCATCCAAGCTCTGCTTAAAAACCTCCAATGAAAGTCCTTCCTAATGTTTAGTGGGAACCTCCTTTCTTTTAACTTGAATTGATTGGTTCATTGTGGTGCCCAGAACTGGACACAGTGTTCCAGGTGTGCTCTGACAAAGGCAGAATGTTGTTGTTTAGTCGTGTCCGACTCTTCATGACCCCCTGGACCAGAGCACGCCAGGCACTCCTGTCTTCCACTGCCTCCCGCAGTTTGGTCAAACTCATGCTGGTAGCTTCGAGAACACTGTCCAACCTTCTCGTCCTCTGTCGTCCCCTTCTCCTTGTGCCCTCCATCTTTCCCAACATCAGGGTCTTTTCCAGGGAGTCTTCTCTTCTCATGAGGTGGCCAAAATATTGGAGCCTCGGCTTCAGGATCTGTCCTTCCAGTGAGCACTCAGGGCTGATTTTCTTCAGAAAGGAGAGGTTATCTTCTTGCAGTCCATGGGACTCTCAAGAGTCTCCTCCAGCACCATAATTCAAAAGCATCAATTCTTCGGTGATCAGCCTTCTTTATGGTCCAGCTCTCACTTCCATACATCACTACTGGGAAAACCATAGCTTTGACTATATGGGCCTTTGTTGGCAAGGTGATGTCTCTACTTTTTAAGATGCTGTCTAGGTTTGTCATTGAAAGGCAGAATAGAGCCATCCTATTACTTCCCTTGATCTGGACACTAGACTTCTGTTGGTGCAGCCTAGAATAGCATTAGCTTTTTTTGCTGCTCCATCACAATCATTCCATTGCAATTTACCTTTATGAAATGACACATTTCTTAACAAAAATCAGGTGAAATTTCTCCCACCACCTCTATTGGATCCTTTCCCTGTCCCAGCTCTGACAGAAACCTTTCCGTTCTTCTTACAGGAGCTGGGACCCTTTGTGGAGGTGATGGTGAATTCTCCCGAGGGAGAGCAAGTTCCATCGGATGCTTGGCAGAGACCACTCTTCAAGGAGATCAAGCAGAAGGGCGACAGAGATGCAGAAACAATCGGTATGGAGTCACTTAGCTAGCAGGAGTGGGAGGAGGGAGGGGGAGGAGCTAATAATATACCTGAAGGAGCGTCTCCACCCCCATCGTTCAGCCCAGACACTGAGGTCCAGCTAGGAGGTCCTTCGGGCGGTTCCCTCACCGTGAGAAGTGAGGTTACAAGGAACCAGGCAGAGGCCTTCTCGATAGTGGCTCCTGCCCTGTGGAACACCCTCCCACCAGATGTCAAGGAAATAAACAACTACCAGACTTTTAGAAGACATCTGAAGGCAGCCCTGTTTAGGGAAATTTTTAATGTTTGATGTTTTATCGTGTTTTTTATATTCTGTTGGGAGCTGGGGGAAACCCAACCAGATGGGAAGGGTATAAATTATTATTATTATTATTATTATTATTATTATTATTATTATTATTAAACTTGTAAGTGAAAGGAAGGCCACACCACTCATTCAAAGCACTTGTCATGGCTTCCCCCAAGGAATCCTGGGAACTGTAGTTTGTTAAAGGTGCCAAAAGTTGTTAAGCGACACACACACACACACACGCGGCTTTATTCCCCTCACAGAGCTACAGTTTAACAATGGTTTAACAGTCAATCAATCCCTTTTCCACGGGAACTCTGGGAACTGTAGCTCTGAGAGGGGAATAGGACGCCTCCTAACAGCTCTCAGCGCCCTTAACCACCTACATTTCCCAGGATTCTTTGGGGGAGGCCATTCAGTTGTACCTTGGTTCTCGAACGGAATCTGTTCCAGAAGTCTGTTCAACTTCCGAAAACGTTCGAAAACCAAGGCACAACTTCCGATTGGCTGCAGGAGCTTCCTGCACTCAGTTGGAAGCAGTGTTGGATGTTTGGCTTCCAAAAAACATTCGCAAACTGGAACACTCACTTCCGGGTTTGTGGTGTTCGGGAGCCAAAATGTTTGAGTCACAAGGCGTTCCAGAACCAAGGTACAACTGTACTATTTAATGTGGTATCATACTACTTTGAATGTACAGTGGTACGTCGGGTTACAGACGCTTCAGGTTACAGACGCTTCAGGTTACAGATTCCGCTAACCCAGAAATAGTACCTCAGGTTCAGAACTTTGCGGGAAGAAGTGACATTAGATGGGAAACTGCTTCAGTTTTTGAACTATTCTTAAGTGGCATCTAAATCTTATTAAATAAAACTAAAAATGATTTGGCCGGGGGTGGGTGTCGATGACTCAACCGTGTCTTTTACTTCAGACAGCCGTACGACGTCCCAGGAAGAGGAAGAGGTCAGGCAGCAAAGAGGTTCGGGGTTAGCGGAAGCAAGCAGGATGTTCCTGGGCAAATCCGCCGGCCGCCTCACGCTGAGGTGCGAGAGCTTTGAGGAAGCTTGCGGATCGAAGCGGCAGCAGGAGTGGCTTCCCGCGGTGACATGGGAGGAGCCGTCGCACCGGTCGGAAGCCGACGGGCCTGTTCCTGAGGCGGGGCTCCACGGCGTGGCGGTCAAGTACCTTTGCCCCGAGTGCGGCCGGAACTTCCAGCACAAATCGACCTTAATCCGCCACCAGAAGATGCACACGGGCGAGAAGCCCCACGTCTGCCTGGAGTGCGGGAAGAGCTTCCGTCGCAGGGACAAGCTGATCCGCCACCAGAGGATCCACACGGGGCAGAAGCCCCACGAGTGCGCCGAGTGCGGGAAGAGCTTCCGCGAGAGAGGGAAGCTCACCAACCACCAGAGGATCCATACCGGCGAGAAGCCCTACGCCTGCCCGGCCTGCAAGAAGACCTACCGCTGGAAGGAGGAATTTGTGAAGCACCTGAGGATCCACACGGGCGAGAGGCCCTACGGGTGCGTTCTCTGCGGCAAGTCCTTCATCAGCAAGGCCCACCTGGTCTCCCACCACCGCAGCCACACCGGAGAGAAGCCGTACGAGTGCGCCGAGTGCCGCCGGCGGTTCTGCAGCAAGCAAAGCCTCGCCAAGCACCAACGGGTCCACGCGGAAGAGAACGCCTACGAGTGCCAGGACTGCGGGAAGGTCTTCCGCTATGTGTCGAACTTCGCCAAACACCAGAGACTCCACACGAGCGACAGGATCCTCTAGGGAGGAATAATTATAATAATTTAATTTTTGTACCCTGCCCATCTGACCAGGTTGCTTCAGCCACTCTGCGCAGCTTCCCACAGAATACAGTGGTACTTCGGGTTACAGACGCTTCAGGTTACATACGCTTCAGGTTACAGACTCTGCTAACCCAGAAATAGTACCTCGGGTTAAGAAGTTTGCTTCAGGATGAGAACAGAAATCGTGCAGTGGCAGCGGGAGGCCCCATTAGCTAAAGTGGTACCTCAGGTTAAGAACAGTTTCAGGTTAAGTCCATCACCTATATGGAACTGGCAGAAATGACTGGCAGAATCCGAGACCAGGGAGATGAGTCGGTGGAAGAAGATTGGAAAAAGTTTAAAGATTATTTACAGAAATACTGTAAAATTAATGAATGTTAGAATGATGTTGGATTGAAGCTAAGTGGTCTTTAGCTGTAATGTTATAAGGGAATATGAGAAAATGGACTATTAATATGTAAAAATCTAATGTTATAATATTTAAAAATTGAAGATTAAGATGAATGAAGAGGGGAGGGATTTGCTGAAATAATAATTTGAACTGGAATACATAGAAGGAAGGTGTGAGGAGGTCCGGGAAATAAGCAAATGAAAAATATGTGATGATTGAATTGTTTTTTTAACTATTTTTATTTTGTATTTTTCCTTTTTGTATTTTTCTTTTTTCCTTTTTATTCTGTAATTTCTTGAAAATCTTAATAAATATCTTATAAAAAAAAAGAACAGTTTCAGGTTAAGAACGGACCTCCAGAATGAATTAAGTTCTTAACCAGAGGTACCCCTGTATGCTAAAACACCACAGGCCGTCGTCGCACATTAAAAGCTTTCCGACGCAGGGCTGCCTTCAGATCTCTATGGAAAGTCGTATAATTATCTCCTTGGCATCTGAGGGCAGGATGCATGAGTGTAACCAGGATTTATGTGGCGGGGGGGGGGGCAGACACGCGCCTGCCATCCTCCTCCGTCTGGCTCTGTCTAGCAGATTCGGAATGAAACGTCTCAACAACCGTTCTTTTAAATTACTTTCTTTTGACCCTAAGTGCTCAGGGAAAATCTGTCAAAGCCTTCAGTCATTTGAAAGCTAGGAAGTTAAATAAAAAAATTAACATCATCGACTGAGGGCTTTCTGCTGTATAGAAACTTCCAGTTGTTTCTAGGCTGGCCCTGCTGGTGTGCGCTCTCAGGAGAAATGCTGGAAATGATGAGAAGCTTCCAGAACTGAGCCACCTGCAACGCGATTGGTCAGTTCATGGAAGCCATGCCGATCGCTCAGTTGAGTTGCTAGAATGCACCACATCATCCAAGTGACCTCAGCGAGCATTTCAATTTCAAATATTCTGATTCATTTAATTATTTTTATTTATTTACTTGATTGGGGGGGGGAGCTGCCCTTCTGCCCCCTCAGCTACACCCATAAGTGGGCGTTCCACAAGGCAGCCGCCACTGCCGAGAAGGCCCTCTGCCTGGTTCCCTGTCGCTTCACTTCTCGCAGTGAGGGAACCGCCAGAAGACCTTCAGAGGAGGACTTCAGTGTCCGGGCTGAATGATGGAGGTGGAGATGCTCCTCCAGAAACAATTATCATTCCATTATAAAAATCCACTTCTCCTTTGGCACTGTCAGACACCACAGCTTGTCTCCTGAGCTCCCCAAAATCCCACCAGCCTGCAGACATGAGAGAATCCACTTGCTCAGTGGAAGGGCCTTATCTCATCTGCCTTTCATGCAGAAGTTCCAGGTTCAATTGCCCAAAAGCATTTTCAGGGACAGCAGGGAAGAGTCCCCCTGCCTGAAACCCTGGACAGCAGCTGCCCGTCAGTGTAGACACTACTGAAGTAGATGGAGCAACAGTCAGGTTCAGGAGAAGGCATCTTCCTATTATCCTGTTTATAACTGCTTATAAAACCTATTGCCTCGTTTTGGTTAGCCTTGTATGCTCAAAATCTTTGTAGCCACGTAAGGCTAGACAGCTGTGCATTTCTTTTTTTGTCTGAATGTGAGGAATGATGGTCTATTTGTCAAACTAAGCTATTCTGGCTAATTTGAGCAGGGAAACCCTCTGCTCAGTGGACAAACATTTTGAGAAGCAATTTACACAGCCGACCACCAACAGATTTCAGTGACTTCAGTGACAGAAACCACTTAAACCATTCAAGGGCCAGATGTGGACTTGCCTCGGACTAGAGTCATTTTTAAAAGTCTTTATAATGGAGGGAAAGGGTTCAGAACGTTTTGACCGCAGAATCACAGCTGAACGGTGGAAGTATGAATGGCCACAGGGAACGTTTCTAGAGAAAAACCTGGATCTGAACTGGCAGGTCCCTTCCCAACCCCCCTGGTCTCAATCCATAACATCGTGAGCTGGTGCTTCTATGTGCAGTTTAGGAAATGCTGGTAAAATTAGTAACACACTTTCTCAAATGTTTCTGTTGTGATTCTTTCTCCTCTGCTTTGGTGTTTCTTTGTGTGACATAAAAGAGGTAAAGGGACCCCTGACCATTAGGTTCAGTCGCGGACGACTCTGGGGTTGCGGCGCTCATCTCGCTTTATTGGCCGAGGGAGCCGGCATACAGCTTCCGGGTCATGTGGCCAGCATGACTAAGCCGCTTATGGTGAACCAGAGCAGCGCATGGAAACGGCATTTATCTTCCTGCTGGAGTGGTACCTATTTATCTACTTGCACTTGGATGTGCTTTCGAACTGCTACATGGGTATTCGTAATAGTAGTAGTAGTAGTAGTAGTAGTAGTAGTAGTAGTACTGTTATTATTATAAATTATTACCTGCCCCTCACCCTAAGATCCCAGGCAGGTTAGAGCAATTAAGAAACATTTTAGAAAGAGTGTAAAACAACTTGAAATTACAAAAAATAAGTTGAGTCCTGAAAATATGCACCTCAGGGTCGAAAGCATTGTTTGTTATAAAACCATGGCTCGTGTGGTGAAGGTGAACAGGGTTGCATATATGCTGTACCTTTAAAGCACATTCTTTCCCTCAAAGAATTCTGGGCCTTGTAGTTTACCCCTCACAGTTACAATTCCCAGCAGCCCTTAACAAACCAAAGTGCCCAGAATTCTTTGAGGTGGGAAGAATGCGCTCCAAATGTGCTTTAAAGATGGTGTCTTGTATGAAGCCTAGGAAAGCTTTCTCTCTCTCATAACATTAGAAATGGGAGTCATCCAGCGAATCTGACTGACTGGACTTTCAGGCAATGAGGTAGAGCATCAGACTTGCAAATAGGCAGTGCGGTGTAGCGGTTAGAGTGCTGACCTAGGACTTGGGAGATCAGGGTTAAAATCCCCACTCGGCCATGACACTCGCTGGCCAGTCACTGTCTCTCAGCCTAAGCTACCACGCAGCGTTGGAACCGTAGAATCATAGATTTGGGACCCCAAGGGAAACCTAGTTCAACCACCTTGAGCTCCTGGGATGCTGATGCTGCAGAAAGGTCCCTGGTTCAAACCCCAGCATCTCTAGGTAACATTGGGAGAGACCTCCCCTTCTAAAACCCTGGAGAGCCCCTGGCAGTCTGTGTAGAGAACACAGATTATCAAAATCAGCTTGGTAGCTTCCTCAGTTTGCCACGGGTTCCCAAAGTCATGTGGCTTAAAAGGCGTTGCTTATTTTCACTTGTGACGCAAAGAGGGCATTTGTTGGGAAAGATCAACAACACGGTCCTCGCAAATCTGCTCAGAAGGAAGCCTGATGGAATTCGGCGGGGCTTTCTCTCGGGTAAGTGGGGTTCAGATCACAGCCTAAGATGCCTGCCTTAACACTGGCTCTGCTACAACAGGAAATACGTTCATATATTATAGAATCACAGAATACCCCCTACACAATTATTAATAATTAATAATCTGCAATTAAGTTTGCAGATGACACCACCATAATGGGTTTAATATCAGGTGGGGATGAATCAGCGTATAGAGGGGAGCTCCAAAAAATATCTACATGGTGCCTAGGGAACAACTTGCACCTTAATATCAGCAAGGCAAAGGAGATGGTGTTGGACTTTCGGAGGAGAAGAGAACTAGCCCCACTGTACATCAGGGAGGGCTGTGTGGAGAGAGTCTCTTCCTTTAAATTCCTAGGAGTTTATCTCAGTGAAGACCTTACTTGGAAAATAAATACAACCCAGGTAGTTAAGAAAGCCCAACAGAGACTCCATCTCCTCAGAATATTGCGTAAGAACAGTGTCAATCAACATTTGATGATCTCCTTCTACCGGTCAACAATAGAAAGTGTCTTTTCATACTGCATCACGGTGTGGTACGCTGGTTTGGCATCAACTGATAGGAAGTGCCTACAGAGGGTGGTGAATACAGCACAAGATATTATGGGCTGTCCCGTGAATCCGCTGGATGAAACAGTGGAAAAACTTGCTTCAGGAGAGTGAGGAAAGTTCTCAGGGATAATTCACACCCTGGCCGGCACTTTCTTGATCTCCTGCCCTCAGGCAGAAGATACAGAAGCATGATTAGTCACACCAACAGGGTAAAGAACAGCTTCTATCCGTGGGCTGTTAGGCTGCTGAATGAAAAGATAACAATGAGGCAACTGACTTTCGGGTTTGGTGGGTGTGCGTCAGTAAAGGAGGGGAATTAAGACTAAGAGAGCTGAGTGGGGGGTGCTCGTGTAATCTCACTGTATGCAAGTTGTACAAGTGACAATAAAGTATTTCAATTTACATGCAGGAATCTCAACTAAAGCATCCCTGACAGATAGGATGATCAGTGACGGGGGGGGGGGGGTGGCGGCAAATGCAGCCTCTCCCCAGGCCATGCCTCCAACTGACTTTGCTTCAAATTCTCCCTGAGTGTTTGGGCCTGGCTGATATGTCCTTGAGACCCAGTGATTGCCTGGATGGAGGGTGGAGAGGGTTGTGTGCGCATGTGTGGACACCAGCCCCCACTGCCTCTGGCCCTTCCCACCACTTGCATGTGGCCCCCAGAAGGAAAAACCTGAAAATGGTTCTCTGCCCTCGCTCTATTCCAAATTGGGTTCTGTGCACCTCACTGGGTGAGTGGTGGCAGCAGAATGTTTGCAGGCAGAAATTCAACCAGTGCCACTTCCCCAAACATTTGCTGCCCAGCCCCCCAGCCCCCAAAACACACTCGGCTGCTCTGCTGCAGATACAACTGATGGGGATGTGAGTTAATGCAGCAGGTACAAAGCTGTGCAGAATCATTGTCCCGCCAGATGTTAGGTAAAGGTAAAGGGACCCCTGACCATTAGGTCCAGTTGTGGCCGACTCTGGGGTTGCGGAGCTCATCTCGCTTTATTGGCCAAGGGAGCTGGCATACAGCTTCCGGGTCATGTGGCCAGCATGACTAAGCCGCTTCTGGCGAACCAGAGCAGCGCACGGAAACGCCGTTTACCTTCCCGCCAGAGTGGTACCTATTTATCTACTTGCACTTTGACGTGCTTTAGAACTGCTAGGTTGGCAGGAGCAGGGACCGAGCAACGGGAGCTCACCCTGTCACGGGGATTCGAACCGCCGACCTTCTGATCGGCAAGTCCTAGGCTCTGTGGTTTAACCCACAGCACCACCCACATCCCTGGCCATTGCCCGTGCTTGCTGGGGCTGATGGGAGTTGTAGTTGGACATCTGGAGGGCCGGAGGCTGACTGAAGCAGAGCCTCTGGCCCTCCACATTTCTGAATACAGATCCAGAAACACTCCCTAGCCCCAGTTTTCCACACTGGGGAGCTGTAAACCTTTGATACCCCACCTGTCTGGCCTCCCCTATTCCCCAGCATTGGGATCGGACGTAAATCAAGCTGTCCCCAAGAGGAACCTCTTTTTTTTCTGCATGGGCAACTCTCTGCTTCTAGCCTACCTCACAGGGTCGTTCTGAGGATGGTGTGAGACCCAACAGCAGTGCCCTGGGGCCAGGAGAGAATAAACAGTATAGTCAATAATAATAAACATTGTTGTTTAGTCGTGTCTGACTCTTCGTGACCCCATGGACCAGAGCACGCCAGGCACTCCTGTCTTCCACTGCCTCCCGCAGTTTGGTCAAACTCATGCTGGTAGCTTCGAGTACACTGTCCAACCACCTCGTCCTCTGTTGTCCCCTTCTCCTTGTGCCTTCCATCTTTCCCAACATCAGGGTCTTTTCCAGGGAGTCTTCTCTTCTCCTGAGGTGGCCAATGTATTGGAGCCTCAGCTTCAGGATCTGTCCTTCCAGTGAGCACTGAGGGCTGATTTCCTTAAGAATGGATGGGTTTGATCTTCTTGCAGTCCATGGGACTCTCAAGAGTCTCCTCCAGCACCATAATTCAAAAGCATCAATTCTTCGGTGCTCTGGGAAAACCATAGCTTTAACAATACGGACCTTTGTCGGCAAGCTGATGTCTCTGCTTTTTTAGATGCTGTCTAGGTTTGTCCCCTTAAGGAGTCTCAAAGCGGCTCACAGTCTCCTTTCCCTTCCTCCCCCAAACACTCTGAGAGGTGAGTGAGGCTGAGAGACTTCAAAGAAGTGTGACTAGCCCAAGGTCACCCAGCAGATGCATGTGGAGGAGCGGGGAATCGAACCCGGTTCACCACCGCTCTTAACCACTACACCACGCAGAGGCAATAATGCCTCTGAATACCATTTGCTGGAAACCACGGGGGGAGTGTTCTTTTGCTCTGGTCCTCCTTGAAGATTTCCCACAGGCCACTGTGACTTGAAACAGGATGCTGGGCTGCGATCCCAAGGGATGCTAAACAGAAATGGCCCTCCGCTTTCTGAGCAATTTGCTTTATGGCCGTTCACTAAAGGGGTTAAGTTCATGGAGACTTGCATTTCCTAGAGATACTAAGAGCCTTTGGGAGCAGAGGGATGCAAGAGAGCGCAACTCACTTCCTGCCCCGCCTACTGTGGGAAAGCAGGGGTTTAAATTTCCCAGGCGCTGCAGGAGGAGCAGCGGTGCTGATCTCCCACCTCCCTTGTTCTTTTTAGGAAAGATCAGGTGAGTGGGGGAAAGTGGGTTTGCAGCAGGAAGAGATGGAGAATTTCAGTAGAGAGATTCTCCGGTTGGGCTTCTGTGCCTTTCGTAACAGGGTGGCAGGCAGAAGTTGAACAGGTGAAGCTTTCCTCCATCATGGCATTTCTGTGTTTGGGGGCAGCTGCACCTGCTGGATTTCTGCACTGGGGTTAGCTTGTGATGGTGCCTTTTTGCACGCACACACGCCCTTCCTCTGTTGGATCGCTCTGAATCAAGGACCTAGGGAGATAGCTCAGTCGGTAGAGCATGAAATTCTTAATCTCAGGGTTGTGGGTTTGACACCCACTTTGGGCAAAAATCCTGCATTGCTGGGGGCAGGATTAGATGACTCTTGTGGTCCCTTCCAACTCTGCAATTCTGTGATTTTATGCTTCTTCGCTTGATAAAGCATTCAGTGGCTGCCAGCCGCAGTGTCTGTGTTTTCCTTGCACTGGCAAAGGCAGAATACGCCTCTGGTATCAATTTTTGGGAATCACAAGTGGGAGGAGTCAGTGCTGGGCCATTTATTTACTAATTATATTTTATATCCCACCTTACCTATGAGGAATTATTATTATTATTATTATTATTTATTTATTTATTTATTTATTATTTATACCCCACCCATCTGGCTGGGTTTCCCCAGCCACTCTGGGTGGCTTCCAACAAAACACTAAAATACAATAACCTATTAAACATTAAAAGCTTCCCTAAACAGGGCTGCCTTCAGATGTCTTCTAAAAGTCTGGTAGTTGTTGTTCTCTTATACATCTGGTGGGAGGGCGTTCCACAGGGCGGGTGCCACTACCGAGAAGGCCCTCTGCCTGGTTCTCTGTAACTTGGCTTCTCGCAGCAAGGGAACAGCCAGAAGGCCCTCAGCGCTGGACCTCAGTGTCCGGGCAGAACGATGGAGGTGGAGACGCTCCTTCAGGTATACTGGGCTGAGGCCGTATAGGGCTTTAAAGGTCAGCACCAACACTTTGAATTGTGCTCGGAAACACACTGGGAGCCAGTGTAGGTCTTTCAAGACCGGTGTTATATGGAACTCAAGGTGGAAGACATAGTCCTCCCCAATTTATCCTCAGAACAGCCCTTGGGGGTAGGCTAGGCTGAGAATTGCTGACTGGCCCAAGATTAAGGTTACCTGTTTTTTTCAATGAATCCAGGGACACTTTTCAACTTCAATTGATTTTGTATGGGGACAGATTTGTAAATCCAGGGACTGTCCCTGGGAAACAGGGACGTCTGGTAACCTTACCCAAGATCACCCTGTGAACTTCATGGCAGAGGGGGATTTGAACCCTGGTCTCCCAGGTCCTGGCCCAACAGGCCTTAGTGTTATTCCCTAAAAGAGCTGTGGGTGTTGATTGTATTGAATATGTATGAATACAGGCATGGAAGGAGAAATATGGGCAGGAGGGTGAAAAAATGAAGAATATGTCCTAGCTCAGGGGTAGATCCCCCGCTTTGCATGTGAAAAGTCCCAGGTTCATAGAATTATAGAACATAGAATTATACAGATAGAAATGAGCAGGGAGGTAATCTATTCAATGCTTTTGTTCAATGCGTCCCTGTGCAGCCTCTGCTTAAACATCTCCAGCGAAGGAGAGGCCATTGGTTTCTTGTGATATTTATCCAAAATCTGCATCTTCCCTGCGGTTTCCCCTTCAGGTTCTAGTCTAGGGTTGCCATATTTCAGAAAGTAGGTTATTGAGCTTTTTTTTTTAACCAAACCTAAACAAAAAACAACAACAAAAACCCACGATTTTGCAATTGACTTGCCTAGGATCAAGGGCAAATTTTCAATTCCGCATTTGAAATCCTAGTATATGTGGCAGCCCTATATCTAGTCCAATCCCCTGGGGTGACAGAGAATGACATTCACACCTTTTGGAAACACTCTTGTTCCATTTTAAGAGTCATGGACAGTTGTTAGGAGACTGTTAAAGGTAAAGGTAAAGGACCCCTGACAATTAAGTCCAGTCACAAACAACTCTGGGGTTGCGGCGCTCATCTCGCTTTACTGGCAGAGGGAGCCAATGTTTGTCCGCAGACAGTTTTTCCAGGTCATGTGGCCAGCATGACTAAGCAGCGCACAGAAACGCTGTTTACCTTCCTGCCAGAGTGGTACCTATTTATCTACTTGCACTTTGATGTGCTTTCGAACTGTGATTGTGGAGTGGTATTAAGTGCATATATTTAGCCTTGGTTTGACCTAACAGTGCTTGTCTTGTATTCTTATGAAATTAGTATAGATCTCCTTTTGTTTTCCTCCTCAGGAAGCTTAAACTTCCCTTCCAAAGCGCTTGCATGTCTGCACACCCAGCAGCTTCGTGAGGTCAAAAGCTTCACAGCCTGGGCTTGCGGAAAGAACTGGTAACTTGGGCTCAGGTGGACATTTGCCGGGAAGAAATAAAATGGCAGCCATGCCGAGGGACGGATTGGTGCTGGGTCTCCAGCCCGAGGCTGGGCCTCAACAGGGAGTGAAATTGGAGCAACCGGACCTAGCGGCCTGTGACCCAGGAGTGGGGAATGGCCCGCACATCATGCAGGCCAGGAATACCAGGGAATTCTGGGAGAGAAACATGTCAGGCCACGTTAAGCAGGAGCCACAGAAGGGGCCACAACAGCCATGGGAGGCCCAGCTGCAGGAGTTCCTCAGAGCGATGGAGTCTTCCCACTCCGACGGGAGAAACCCGCAGCAGCGGACGTTGGCGTTGCGGGACGAGGCCCACCCCGTCCTGCCTCCTTCGGTGGGAATGGATGGCGCCAGGCCACATCTGAGGAGAGAGATGACAGCCCCTCTCCTGCCAGGGCCCTGCAGAGAAGCCCAGCAGCCGGCTAACAGCCCCTTGGCCAAAGAGACAGGAGAGTCCGGGAAAGTCAAGGAAGAGGTCCTGGGGGAGGAGGAGAACGGCGTGGCCACTGGCATGGACGCCGAGCGCCAGCGCTTCCGGCAGTTCGGCTACCAGGAGGCCGAGGGGCCTCGAGAGACTTGCAGCCGCCTCTGGGATCTTTGCCACTGGTGGCTGAAGCCGGAGAGGCGCAGCAAGGAGCAGATCCTGGAGCTGGTGATCCTGGAGCAGTTCCTGGCTGTCCTGCCCTCGGAGATGCAGAGCTGGGTCAGGAAAGGTGGGCCGGACAGCTGCTCGCGGGCGGTGGCCTTGGCGGAAGACTTCCTGCTAAGGCAGCAGCGGCCCGAGCAGGTGAGTGTCTGCTTCTCCCTGCTACCTTCCTCTTTTTTTAATTTTATTGGAAGTTTTATTTACAACATAACATAAACCCCCCATTCCCGCCAATACAGAAATCCACCCTCATTAAGCGTGAACATAACGTCCAATAAGCATAACATACAACAATACAAACAACCAAATAAAAGACTTCCTCTATTCCGTCCCTGGCCTCCTTATTTACTTCTTATAAGCTGTTTCCTTTATGAATAATTATTAAGATTTTTCTAATTATAACTTAAATATCCACAAAGTTTCCTGCAGACATTAATTGAAACAAGTCCAGGTATGTATTTTAGGGCACTGTTTTGTGACGTATTCTCTGCGTTTCCCCCATGCTTTTTGAAACTCTTCTCTAGTGTGATCTCTAATTGCCTCTGTTAATCTACCCAGTTCAATATACTCTAACAGTTTGTCTTGCCATTCCTTTTTCGTTGGCACAATTTCTTTTTTCCAGTTTTTAGCAATTAGGATCCTCGCCGCTCCTGTGGCATAGAGGAATATCTGGAGGAATATTCTGCTTCTCCCTGCTACCTGTGAGGCTTTCGGAGTTGCGGAGAGGGCAGAGGCAGGCCGCATTCACAGCCTACATTAAGGCACTATAACAGTCACGGCTTCTCCCAAAGGATTCTGGGAGCGTTCAGAAACCCCCGTTTCCCTCACAGAGCTGCGGTTCTCAGAGTGCTTTAACAGTCAACCCCTCTTCTCAGGGAGCTCTGGGAATTGACGGCCTCTGAGGGGGAAAGGGGGCTTCCCAACAACTCTCAGTGCCCATTACAAACTCCCATAATTCTTTGGGGGAAGCCATGACTATTCAACATGGTCTCCTAGTGTTTTAAGTTGGGTGAACGTTGGCCTTAATGGACGGACAGTGGCAGAGCTCTTACTTCGGATACAGATACAGATGGGTAGCCGTGTTGGTCTGCCATAGTCGAAGTAAAATTCTTCCTGTAGCACTTAAGATCAACTAGTTAGTTCTGGTAGAAGCTTAGTGTGCATGCCCACTTCTTCAGATACCAAAGTATCTGAAGAAGTGTGCATGCACACGAAAGCTTATACCAAGAACTAACTTAGTTGGTCTTTAAGGTGCTACAGGAAGGAATTTTTTTACTTCGGATACAGAAATATTCATAGGTTCATTCCCTGGCATCTTCAGTTCGAAAAAGGGCCTGACCGCAAGGGATGGGAATAATCTTCCTCTGCATGTGACCTCAATAGCTGCTGCCAGTCAGAACAGACAACACTAAGCTACATGGGGAAGAAACTTAATTCATTGTTCACACTTAGCAAGCAGAAGGTCCCAGGTATCTGAAACCCAGGGTGTGGGTGTCTGCTTCTAGCCTGTGAATGGTCTGAGTATGCCCTACAGTAGCTGAAATAATCACACATTTTCCCCTTCCTCTCCCACCCACCTATTTTTTTTTTTTTAAAATAGTGTAAGCTCTCTGGGGCAGGAGTGAAGCACCATGCCCACCAGGCTGGGGTTGGATAAGTAAGAACAATCTCTCCTTCCGTTTCAGGTGCCGGGGGTGTCCAAGGAGGGGGCTGCCAAGATCCCTGAAGTGGAGGCATCTCCCTTGGGTGCCTGGCCAAGGCCTCTCTTCAGAGAGATCAAACAGGAAGGCGACAGGGATGCACCCTTGCTGGGTAAGGATTCCTGGTGGCAGAGTTTTATCCACATTGCTTCTCCCGTGTTTTTCTTTGGTCCTGCCCAGCACTGGCATATGGCCCTCAGAAGGTTCTGCAGAAGGGAAAATGGCCCTCACACTGAACAAAGTCTAAACAGAGAACATTGTCCTTCAGGTAACCTGGTGCCAAGCTCCTCAGGGCGCTGCACATTAATAGCAAGGCTTTGAACATGGCTTCGTAGCTAACAGGCAAACAGCAAATAACATTGAGATTCTCTCCTTATTCCAGCAGGAGGTGGGCAGGAGCAGAACATACAAGAAGATGCCAGGAAACGGGAACCGCACTGGGTGCTGTCAGGAAGAGGCGGGCAGAACGCCTCTGGCTGGCCCAATCAGGGCAAAGCGTCTGCCAGCCAGGAGGAAGCATACCCCGAGAAAGAAGGGGACAAGTTTATAAATTCCCAGGGCAGGTACGTGGAATTTGATGGGAATGCAGCCCAGCTCGCCGTCCCTGCACCAAGCGAGTCGCAGAAGCCGGCTCACGAGAGGCAGAAGTCCTGCGCCCACTGCGGGAAAGACTTCCAGCTGAAGTGCAACCTGCAGGCCCACGAGAGGACCCACACGGGCGAGAAGCCCTACAAGTGCTCCGTCTGCGGGAAGGGCTTCAGCACGAGGGCGTACCTGATCACCCACGAGAGGATCCACACGGGCGAGAAGCCATACCAGTGCTCGGACTGCGGCAAGAGCTTCTGTGACAACTCCAACCTGATAGTCCACCGGAGGACCCACACGGGCGAGAGGCCCTACACGTGCAGGGACTGCGGGAAGAGCTTCCGGGAGAGGCCGGTGCTCATCCGGCACCAACGGATCCACACGGGAGAGAAGCCCTACAAGTGCAGGGACTGCGGCAAGAGCTTCAGCCAGAGCTCGGGCCTCCTGGTGCACGAGAGGACCCACACGCGAGAGAAACCCTACACGTGCACGGACTGCGGGAAGAGCTTCGGCGGCAACTCGAACCTCAGGGTCCACATGAGGATCCACACAGGGGAGAAGCCCTACAGGTGCTCGGACTGCGGGAAGATCTTCAGCGACCGCTCGCTTCTCGTGCGCCATCAGAGCACCCACCAAGAGGGGAAGTGTTAGAAATGGGGGGGAGACAAGACACAGACTTGAGTTTCACAGTTCCATACTGTCTCGGAAAATGACATTTTGATGCACACATGTATGCCACTCACACGTACGTTTAACGTGCTGTGGTAGCGCTTTAAACCGTCATGGCTTCCCCCCAAAGGATTCTGGGAGCTGTGTTCTGTTAAAGGTGCTCAGAGTTGTTAGGCAAGACCTCTATTCCTTTCACAGAGCCACAGTTCCCAGAGCTCCCCGTGAAGAGGGAATTATTATTATTATTATTATTATTATTAATTTATACCCCACCCATCTGGCTGGGTTTCCCCAGCCACTCTGGGCGGCTCCCAACAGAACATTAAAAACACAGTAAAACATCAAACATTAAAAACTTCCCTAAACAGGACTGCCTTCAGGTGTCTTCTAAAAGTCAGATACAGTGGTTGCTCGGGTTGTGAACGTGATCTGTGTGGGATGCATGTTCACAACCCACAGCGTTCGCAACCCGCAGCAGCACATCTGCAGGTTGCGATTCGGCTCTTCTGCGCATGCGCAAAGCGCGATTTAGCACTTCTGTGCATGTGCAACCATCGAAACCTGGAAGTAGCCTGTTCCGGTACTTCCGGGTTTCGGCGGGTGCGTAACCCGAGAAAACGCAACCTGAAGCAGCTGTAACCTGAGGTATGACTGTAGTTGTTTATTTCCTTGACATCTGATGGGAGGGCATTCCACAGGGCAGGCGCCACTACCAAGAAGGCCCTCTGCTTAATATCAAACCACACTGGGAGTTGTAACTCTGCGATAGGAACAGAGGCCTCTCAGCACCCTTAGCAAACCACAGTTCCTATGATTCTTTGGGGGAAACCATGACTGTTTATAGAACCATAGAATTGTAGAGTTGGTCCTGAGGGTCGTCTGATTCAACCCGCTGCAAGGCAGGAATCTCAGCTAAAGCATCCATGATAGATGGCCATTCACACTCTGCTCAAAAACCTCCAAGGAAGGAGCGGCCATAACCTCCTGGGGGACCATTCACTGTCAAGCAGATGGAATCATTGTTTAGTTGGAATCTCTCTTTTTGTAACTTGAATCCGGCAGAGGTGTGAATGTGGCTGTAGTTGCCTTATGACCCACCCTGATTACGCCCAGACTCTTTTTAAAAATGCATCTTTCTGCCTTTTAATATGAACCACATGCCAAAACGGCTGAGTGGGAAGACCTAGAAAGCGTCTCATGTCCACAACCAGGCAATAAATAGCTTTATCAGGGCTGACCAAGACACCAGGAAAACACAAGCCATTCTCAAGAGGCAGAGGGAGGGAGGGAATCGCTGGCTCTGTCACTGTCTAGCCGCAAAGTCACATGCTTTGAAAATCCGAATAGGAGAGCTGCAGGGAATGCGCAGGGAATCTCTGGGATTAGGGAGGAGAAATTGTGGGATGGCAGCCTTTGAAGGAGAACACCACATGGACGAGGTGGGATTAATAATAATAATAATAATAATAATAATAATAATACATTTTATTTATACCCTGCCCTCCCCTGCCAGAGCCTGGCTCAGGGCAGTTAACACCAATAAAATCACAGTAAAAACATAATAGGGGGAAAAGAGAGGTCGGGGGAAAGGAAAGGGGGGGGAAAACCAATTTAAAATACAGGTTAAAATGCAATTTAAAATGCAGCCTCATTTTAAAGTAGCTGATAAATCAAGACATAAGGGGAGGGAAACATAAGGGTCAGACCAAGTCCAAACCAAAGGCCAGGCGGAACAGCTCTGTCTTGCAGGCCTTGCGGAAAGATGTCAAGTCCCGCAGGGCCCTAGTCTCTTGTGACAGAGCGTTCCACCACGTCGGGGCCAGTGCTGAAAAGGCCCTGGCCCTAGTTGAAACCAATCTAACCTCCTTGAGGCTCGGGACCTCCAAAATGTTGTCATTTGTGGACCTTCAGGTCCTCCGCGGGGCATACCAGGAGAGGTGGCCCGTAGGTATGTGGTCCTAGGCCGCATAAGGCTTTAAAGGTCAAAACCAGCACCTTCAACCTGACCCTGTACTTCACCGGGAGCCAGTGCAGTTGGTAAAGCACTGGATGAATGTGATCCCACGGCAAGGACCCCATAAGGAGCCTCGCCGTGGCATTCTGCGCCCGCTGGAGTTTCTGGGTCAGCTTCAAGGGCAGCCCCGCGTAGAGCGAGTTACAATAATCAAGCCTGGAGGTGACCGTCGCATGGATCATTAAAGGATGAGCAAGCGATTCACAGTCCACATTAAGCCGAGGTGTGGCCAGGCCGTGTGACTTAATGCAGACCTCACGGCTACAGCATCTTAAGTGGTTCCTCACTGCCCTTTCCCTCCTGCCCTCTGCTCTGCTTAACTTCCAGCCTGATTTCTGGAGAAGTGGAAAGCTTTGCTGACCGCTGAGCACCTGTGACTCTCCATTCAGGAAAGGCCCTCTTTTCTTGCGAGGTGGTGGAAAAGTACACGGAGCTGGAGGGGTGATGGGAGTCATATTCCAGCAAAAACCTGGAAGGTCGCAGCTTGTGTAGCCCTGTCAAAGAGACTAGTCCTCAAGCAAACGGCAGCCAGAGTGGCATGCTGTTCACAATTCCACTGCCCCCTTGACACATGTCTTTTAGCAAGGGGAACGAAACCCTAGTAGTAGCTTAGTAGCAGTTAGGGGTACAGGCCGAAGTTTCTAGTAGGTTTTAAGTTTGTAGGGTATAAATCTGTAGCATGTACACATTCCTTGCCACTTCTAGCGGGAGGGAGGTGGGTTTGAAGGGCGAAGAGTACAAAATGTGATGCTGACGAATGCTGATTTGTATATATGCAGAGAGTTTTAAACTTAAGATTTCTCTTCTCTCCCACTGCCCAGCCTCTGTGTCAGCAGTTCTTCCAGGAGTGGCTCCATGTTTTGAGATTAGCTTTGCCCTAGGATAGGGAAATTTGTCATTAGAAAGACATATGACTCACATAGCTAATAGATTTTTTTTGTTCCTAGGTAGCTTAGGGGTTCTATGATGATCAGATTTGGTTTGTTTGGGTATTTTTTCCCAATCCAAGAATTTTAGAGAAAATGTTTTTATGGACACGTAAGAAACACTGATTATAACAAATAAAAAGGAGCTCTTAAAAAATGTGAAAAGTATGGCTTGGACATTGATATACTTGGCCTCGGCCCCGTATACCTGAAGGAGCGTCTCCACCCCCATCATTCTGCCCAGACACTGAGTTCCCTCACTGCGAGAAGCCAAGCTACAGGGAACCAGGCAGAGGGCCTTCTCGGTAGTGGCACCCGCCCTGTGGAATGCCCTCCCATCAGATGTCAAAGAGATATACAACTACCTGACATCAGAAGACATCTGAAGGCAGCCCTGTTCAGGGAAGTTTTTAATGTGTGATATTTTAATATATTTTTAATCTTTGTTGGAAGCCACCCTGAGTGGCTGGGGAAACCAGCCAGATGGGCGGGGTACAAATAAATTATTATTATTATTATTATTATATCTTTGAAAAGGGAAAGTGTATTTATCATTGTAAACTCTTAATACTGTGGTGGTTTGTTTGTTAAGAGAGTCTGTGCAGTGGTTAGAGTTAGGGTAATCATTGTGGAACCTTCCAGATCTAGTTGAGATCCACTTGGAACCAAAAAGATCCTTTATGGAGGAGCAATCCACCACTGGGGGGGCCACCACAGAGAAGGCTCAGTGCAACTTATAAAGAGCAGGCATACTCAACATGTCTGGACTACAATTCCCATCATCCCTGGGGGCTGATGGGAGTTGAAGCTGCAACACCTGGAGGGCACCGGGCCTGCTGCCACCACTGCGTTAGACTATCGTTACTATTATTACGATGAGTCTCTGTAGGCGCCCTGAGAGTGCATGGTCAAGGCTGTGTCATCTGCAAACAACGCCTCTCAGATAAGGACCGGGGACGCTTTCCTCTTGGTGCAGAGATGTGCCAGATTGAACAAACCCCAGTCGCTTTCTTGAATGGATGTGACTGGGAAAAAACAGTGAGGTTATGTATCCATAGCAGTGACCAGAGGAGGAATGGCCGCTGGGAGGAGTGCAGAGAGAAGAAACGTTGCAGTGCTTCTGCAGCACCACAACTGGATCCCTTCCTCTGCCCCAGCTGCAACAAAACATGTCTCTCCCCATCGGTCTCTACAGCCACAGATGGATGCCAAGAATAATGTTGTTGTTGTTGCTGCTGTTGCTGTTGTTGCTGTTGCTGCACCTTCTTCCCTGGCAGCTTACAGACAATAAATAATAATTTTATTATTTGTACCCTACCCATCCGCCTGGGTTGCCCCAGCCAGTCTGGGCAGCTTCCGATGTATATAAAAACATAATACAATGGTACCTTGGTTTACAACCATAATCCGTTCCGGAGGTCCGTTTGTAAACCAAAACAGGTTGTAACCCAAGGCGCGCTTTCACCAATGGGACCTCAAAAAAAATTGTTTGTAATAAAAAAAAAGGGGGGGTTGTAAACCAAAAAAAAAGTTGCAAACCGGGACACGCACTTCTGGGTCTGACCTGTTTGTAATCCAAAACGTATGCAAACCAAGACGTATGCAAACCAAGGTACCACTGTAAAACATTGCACAATACACATTTAAAAACTTCCCTATACAGGGCTGCCTTCAGATCATAGCTGTCAACTTTCAGATTTGAAAATAAGGGATCAGCAGCCTCACCTGTCCCAGGGACAATCTACGGGATATCTAACAATCCGGGATAGCAGCGGGAAGCAGTGGGAAACGGCGCTGGAATAAGGGAATTCCCCGCCAAAAAAAGGAAGGTTGACAGCTATGCTTCAGATGTCCTCTGAAGGTGATATAGTTGTTCATCTCCTTATCTTCCTCCTCCTTCTCCAACCCCCCCCCCGCCCTATTGCACATTCTTTGCACGAAAATCACTAAAATGCCAATATTATAAAAACAAGAGCATAAAATGTACGCATCACGACCGTCTGAATTCGACCAGGAGCTGGCCGGAGATGTCGTTTGCCAGGATTTTACAACAGCTAGCGACCCCCCCCCCCGCCCCAGGGCTAAATGGAGCCTCCAGTGCCAGTGGCAGTCTATCTCTAAATCCTTGCAACAGAAAAAGGAGGCGGCTCTTGCGCTTGCAGTCTTCTGGCTGGCCACTGTCAGAAGAGGAGGCTGGGCTTTTCAAGGAGAGGCGAGCCTTTGGGGTCCTATCCAGCAGGGTTGGGTTTTTTGGGGGGTGGGGTGGGAGGAGTTGGGGGTGGAAATGACTTTCTCAGGGTTAAGGCGACAGATTCCTGTTTCCCAGAACAGCCTGGGAGGAAGGGGAGGGAGAGGAACCGAGGACATCACTTCCTATCCTGCCGGCCATAGGGGGCGTGGGGTTGGGGGGCACCGGCAAGGGTCCTTTGCCCCCCAAGTAGCAGCCCAGCAAGAGGGTTGGGGGGCACAATGCCCCGTTGATGCCGCCTGCCCGCCCCCTCCGCCTTTTGCAAGAAGATCCTTGGTGAGTGCAAGGCGTGTTGCAATTGCAGAGGGAGGGATTTCAAACAAAGCTCCTGGCAAAAGTCCCGGGAGGCGAGAGAGCAAAAGATCTGGGGCTGGAGGGACTTTTGCATGCATATATTCTTGCTATTTTCATGTTTCCAGCTGCTTTCAATTATGTGCAGATCGTGGTTTTGGAAGGCGATGAACAAAGCAATGATTCTAATGAAAGAGGAGCGGGAGGCGGTTGGAAGAAAAGGCGTTTGCAAAAATAAAAATAAAATAAAAACGAGTTTTAGGGGAGGGATTCGCCAGCCCCGTTTTCATCCAGGCTCAGTATAGGGCTTTAATGTGCTGCGACCCCAAAGCTGGGGGAGTGCAGGGGGGTAGCCAAGGATGTAACAGATAATAATAATAATAATAATAATGACAAAATAACACTTCATGCACCAGAGGGAGTGGACTGCAATCCACAAAAGCTAATGCCAGCCTTTGCCAACCTGGTGCCCGGCAGACGCTTTGAACTACAACTCCCAGCAGCCCTGCTTCGTGGGGCTGGGGGGATCTGTAGCTCCAGTATGATGCCCTCCAGAAGTTTTGGAGGTACAACTCCAGCCAGTGCCAGTCCGAAACATCTGGAGGGCATCTGGAGCTTAGGGAAGGCTGTTCTGAAGAATAAGTGACCAGTTAATTTAATTTAAATTTCACAATGTTTATAGACCGCTCGGTTGTCATCAAACCTCAGATAGGCTTACGGAAAAATGATGAAACCATAAAATTAGGGTTTTTTTAATAAAAAAACAAACAAAAAATGCTTAAAACATTAAAAAATAATTAAAATGAACTAAAACCAGATTTGAAAACCTGGCAGCCTCCCTGAAATGTGTTCCAGGGGGCTGTTTGGAAACCAATTCTGTTTGCATAATTACTCTGAAGTAATTTCCTCAGTATTCAGTAGGGCTTACTCATTGGTAAAGGTAAAGGGACCCCTGACCATTAGGTCCAGTCACAGACGACTCTGGGGTTGTAGTGCTCATCTCACTTTATTGGCCAAGGGAGCCGGCGTACAGCTTCCGGGTCATGTGGCCAGCAGGACTAAGCCGCTTCTGGCGAACCAAAGCAGCGCACGGAAACGCCGTTTACCTTCCCGCTGGAGCGGTACCTATTTATCTACTTGCACTTTGACATGCTTTCAAACTGCTAGGTGGGCAGGAGCTGGGACTGAGCAACGGGAGCTCACCCCGTCGCAGGGATTTGAACCGCCGACTTTCTGATCGACAAGTCCTCATTGGTAGGTGTGTGTAAAATTGTAGCCTGACTTAAACCTTTGTTCTGCCTGCTTTTGCTTCCAGCCGCAATACTTTTTGTCAGGAAAATGGATTGTTAATAGTCCCCACTGAATGGTATCCCCCCCCAATGGGGAGCAAAAGATTAGGAAATAACTGGTGAATTGTCTTGAATTTTTATTATTGCATTTGTATCCCACCATTTCCTCCAAGGAGCGTACATGGTTCTCCCTCATTTAATCCCCAACAAGAACCCTGGGAGTTAGGTTACTTTGAGAGGCAGAGACTGGCCCAGGGTCACCCATTGAGCTTCATGGACGAGTCAGGATTTGAACCCTGGTCTCCCTGTTCTTAGTCCAACACTCTAACCGCTGCACCACACTGACTCTTATTTTTCTTCTTTCTTTTTGGAATGTGAGAGATTATCAGAATTTGGGAAGCCCTTCTTCTCCCCTCACCCCACTCTGAACTTTGAGGAAGATTTCTGATGTCAGCTGTGTGTCAGAACATTTGCTTTACATGAGAAGGCTCCAGGTTCAATTCTCAGGGACTCCAGTTAATATTAATTATTGTTATTGTTATTATTTATTTCAGTTCTATGTTGCTTTACAGTTTTAAAGAAAAAAATCTCGAAGCGGTTTACGGCACATTTAAAACATCAAATAGAACAATCCAGGATAAAACGTTGCTGAAGAAAGTAAAATACCTTAAGGATATCAAAATAAAACATTGGAAAGGAGGCCAGCTCCAGAATGCACATTTAATGCAGCAAAGATAACAACAGAAAATAAATTGGAAGCATTTCAAAAGAAAACATTACTAAAGGAAGTCAAATATAAAATGCATGTTCAAAACAACAGTAAATGCAGATTTTAAAATAAAGTAATATGCCCAAGTGTCCCAAAAAAGTTATTTATGTATGCTACTACTGCGGCCCGTGTTTTGCTAGCCCAAAAAAGGGAAAACGAGCAAGGTCCCAACTAAAGAAGAACGGCAACTCAAGTTGACAGAATATACGCAACTTGCAGATTTAACATATAGGGGGAAAAAGCAAGAAGAACATACGTTCAGAGAAGATTGGGAAACGTTTATTGAATATATGGGGAAAGAATTGTGTATATCTGAAAACGGTGGCAGCATTAAGATAAATTCAACAGTGTAAATAGTTTAGATGGATGTAATAATGGAATACTGAATGGTTTAGTTTACATAAAATATGCCGGGATTTATGATATGTAAAATGAACCGTGGAAAGAGAAGAAGGGAAGTCATTGATATTATAATGATGTTAAAATTAGTATTTTAAATTTCTAAACAGAAAATTTAAAATATTTTTTTATAAAAAATAAAATAAATATGTTAACGCCATAAACTTTGGTGGTTTTGCAACTACTGGTCTTTTGGACTGACATTTCTCTCTCCTCGCCTCACGTTGGTTGGCTGGCATCAGCACAGCTAACTCAGGTCAGTTCCAGGGTTTGTACTATGCTCTTAGGCTACCTGAGCCAACATAGTTTTCAGAAAAAATTCATTGAGAGTATATATCATTGTAAAGTTAGCTGGGATGAGATTTCATTGCCATCTGATTTTGATCTCAAAGTCCCATAGATTCCCATGGGAGACAGAAGTAAGTTTTATTCTGAAATCTTTAAGATAATATTTTAGTTTTCTGTTAATGTTGCTTTCACTGTATACTCTATATTTGACTTTCTTCAGATTGTTTTATTTATGTTTTATTGAATTAACATGTTGTAAACCACTTTGAGATTCTTCTTAAAAATATAAAGCGGTATAGAAATTAAAAATAAATAAAAACGTTTCTAGTCTCTCCTAACCTTTTTAATGGTGCTTATTCCTTCCCTTAGGGAGAAGCTCACCGGGAACAAATTTGAGCCTCTTTGGCCTGCGGTGGGTGTTGTTTTGAGGTGCCCAACCACCCTTCCAAAAGTCAACATTGGACGAATGGTCACCCCGGTTGCAGATGCCCGGCTTGGCCTGAGACACAAAATGGCCACTGAGCAAGGTAGCGCCAACACCCCAAGCTTCCAGTTGCCAGCGGATCCGAAAGTGGGGGCGAAAATGGCGGAAGAGGAGCAGGCCAGCTACCTTGCCGGCAGGGCTGCGGGTCCTTGCATTCTTCAAGCCGGGAGCATGTGGGGCCTTGAGAGGAGAAGCGGGGAAGATACCCCGAGTGGGACCAGCAGCGTCTCCAACACTTGGCATCAATATATCCGGCCATTTAGCCACCACGAAGCCGAGTGGCCGCGGCAAGTTTGTCGGCAGCTCTGGGAGCTGTGCTGCCGGTGGCTGAAGCCGGAGAGACACGGCAAGGAGCAGATTTTGGACCTGGTGGCCCTGGAGGAGTTCCTGAGGGCCTTGCCCCCAGAAATGCAGAGCTGGGTCAGGGCGATAGGGCCAGAGGGTGGCTCGCGAGCGGCGGCGGCTGACAATTTCCTCCCGAGGGAAAGAAGCAGTGAGGAGCAAGAAGAAGAGGTAAGAACGGTTTGCTGCAAGCAATCTGAAGGGGTTGAGAAGGTAGGTGCTTGCTGACCACTGTTGCGCCGTTCCTTTTTTTCTCAATTTTCGGGAAATGGGTGCCGTTCCTTAAGTAGCCAAAACAGCACCGCCCACGAGGGGGAAGCGACAGCAGGCTAAGGGAACCCCAGTCTATCTGCAGAAGTACAAAAAGGCTTTACAGTGGTACCTCGGGTTACAGACGCTTCAGGTTACAGACTTCAGGTTACAGACTCCGCTAACCCAGAAATAGTACCTCGGGTTAAGAACTTTGCTTCAGGATGAGAACAGAAATCGTGCTCTGGTGGCACAGCAGCAGCGGGAGGCCCCATTAGCTAAAGTGGTGCTTCAGGTTAAGAACAGTTTCAGGTTAAGAATGGACCTCCGGAAGGAATTAAGTTCTTAACCCGAGGTACCGCTGTATAAGGGGGTCCGGAAAACCTTGAAAGGGGAAAATCTCCAAAAATTCCCATAGAGGAATGAGCATTCTTAGGTGACATTTGAGCCATACCTCTGAAGCGCTGTGACACTACTTTAGACGGTCATGAATTCACCCAAAGAATCATGGAAAGTGGGTTGTTTTTTAGGATGCCCAGAATTGTTAGGGAGCAGTTCTGGGCATCCTAAAAAAAAAAAAAAAAACTTCCCAGGGATGGTAGGATGAAAGGAATCTGTCAACTTGCCAAGGAACTGATAAGGTTCATTATTGAGTCATCTGCAGTTTGACAGACCGCTCTTCCCAGGGTGAGAGGGAAAATGGCAAAAACAGGTTATTTATTGGGACAGTGACTTTTGCAGCTGTTGTTAAAGTTGCAAAACAACAAAGCACGGGACAGAGCAAGGGAGAAATTTCTGGAACTACAATGGAATATCAGCTTCGCCCAAGGCATGATGGAGAACAGCAACAACCGGGGGGGGGGGGAATAGACATAATATTTTACAAGGACAGGAAGAAATAACACGGACAGAATAATTTCCACACACAGGAAGAACAAGGTTATAGTTTGAGCGCCTCACTTGTAGTTTTATCAATCACTTAATGTGTCAACACGAAATTATTAATATTGCAGTTGTCGTATAATGGGATTATTATTATGACCGGAATGTAATTGAAATTAATAAGATTTTGGAACGCAGAAATAAAGAAACTCATCAACCTTCAATTCTAGCATGTGAGGAGGGGCCACTTTATCTAAATTATATAGTTCAGTATTTGAATGATTGGTATTGGTAATTGTATTGTAAACTGGCATTGTTATAATAAGGCTATTCTTGGATTGTAATTGAAAACTAATAAAAAGTATTATTAGAAAACTAAGAAAAAGAATTGTTAGGGGGCCCCCATCCCCATCACAGAGCTACAATTCCCCAAGCGGTTTAACATGCAACACCTCTTCACAGGGAACTCTGGGGACTGTAGCTCTGCCTGCTTTCCAGCGGATCTTTGCACCCATAATAATAATAATAATAATTTATTTGTACCCCGCCCATCTGGCTGGGCTTCCCCCGTCACTCTGGGCGGCTTCCAACAAAATATTAAAATACAATAATGCATCAAACATTAAAAGCTTCCCTAAACAGGGCTGCCTTCAGATGTCTTCTAAAAGTCTGGCCCTCTGCCTGGCCCTCTGCCTGGTTCCCTGTAACTTGGCTTCTCGCAGTGAGGGAACCGCCAGAAGGCCCTCGGCGCTGGATCTCAGTGTCTGGGCTGAACGATGGGGGTGGAGACGCTCCTTCAGGTATACAGGACCGAGGCCATTTAGGGCTTTAAAGGTCAGCACCAACACTTTGAATTGTGCTTGGAAATGTACTGGGAGCCAATGTAGGTCTTTCAAGACCGGTGTCCATGAGGACTAGAACCTTAAACAAGCTCAGAAGCTGCATTCTTTGCTCAGCTCCACATCCCATGCTTTTTCCTATGCTCCCTGCAAACAGTGGCACAGCCCTTGCTTGATATGAACTGTGAGCAAATGAGAAATCGCGCTGCTGAGAAGTTGACGGTGCTTTCTCCTTTCAGGAGCAAGTGACTTTTGAAGAGGTGGCTGTGTATTTCTCCAGCGCCGAATGGAGTCTCCTGGATGCCAGCCAAAAAGCCCTGTACAGGGAAGTTATGCTGGAGAATTACGGGAACGTGGTCTCCCTGGGTAAGGACGCTGTTCAAAAAGCAGAAAAATATGAGTATTGGTTTGGTTCATCTCAATATGTTTCTGGCAGCTGAATTTCAACACCTTCCCTGCTGGGGGCAGGAGATTCATAATCCACCTGACCCCACAGATGACACTTTCATATTTAAAGCTCTATGATAGCACTTTAAAGAGTCATGGCTGCCCCCAAAGAATTCTGGGAGCTGTAGTTTATTAAGGGTGATAAGCGTTATTAGGAGGCCCCTATTCCCTTCGCAGAGGTAAAAGTCCCATAATTCCCTGGGAAGAGGGCTTGATTGTTAAACCAGTCTGGGAATTGTCACTTTGTGAGGAGAACAGGGGTCTGCTGTCAGCTCTCAGCACCCTTAACCAACCACAGTCCCCGGGATGTTTTGGGTGCAGAAGCTGTGGCAGCTGAAGGGATATAAGAATTCTTTAAATGTTTAGGGGAGAGCGGGCGGGGTCAGCTCCACGTTTGAGGGCGGACATGGCAAAGTGGGGAAGAGTCACAGCTCTGTGGCTGAGCACAAAGTCTCAGTTTCAATCCCTGGCACCTCCAGGCAGGATTAGGAAAGGCTCCTTGCCTGATTCCCCAGATAGCTGCTGCCAGTCAGTGAAGACAATACTGAGATAGATGGACCCATGCATCAGGTAGCTTTCCTGTGGAAGAGCCTAGCCACTTCTCTGGTGTCTGAAGAGGGCCAGTAAGGTTGAGTGGAGCCCTTTTCGAGAAGTCACAAAAGTAAAAAGGTTGTGCTGATGGTTTTCCGTTTTGTTTCCTCTGAAGGACTTTGGCTTCTCAAACCCGAATTCGTCTCCTGGCTGGACGAAGAGGAAGGAGAAAGTGAGATATTTGTCCAGGGAGCTGCGGAAAGAGAGGAGAGATCAAGAGGAAGGAGTTCTTTGGGTATTTATTTGTATTCACTCTTATTTGATTTACACACTGCTCTTTAATAGGTTCCCAAAAGAGCTTACAGAAAGTCCAAACCACACTAAAACTACACACACACACACACACACACACACACACACACACACACACACTATTCTAAGCTATCAGCAGAATTAAAACAAAACACCAGGCAACATTGGAAAAAAAACCAGACAGAAGATTTTAAAAACCAACAAAAATTTTATGTCACAATTCTCTGCTTCTTCCGGCAGGGGCTGAGAAGGGGTATGAGAAGCAGACGAATGGGCCGGAAAGTTCTAGAGACGTGGAACTGTGCGATGAGGCTTTGTTGAGAAGAGCTGAGCCAGAAGAAGCGCTCGGCAGCGCATGGGCAGGAGACGCCAAGGGGCAACTGGGGAGCCGCTCACATGAAAGCCAAGTCCAGTTCCTTAATTGCCTGGAAGGCTATGGCAAGCCTGAGGATTATTTGGCCCAGCTGGGAATCTTCCAGAGCGAGGGAGCTTTCGAAAGCATGAAGGCCTTCATGCAGAATCCTGACCTCCTTGTCCCGAACCAAGCGAGTCTTCCGGGACGGAGGACGCACCAGTGCTTGGTGTGCGGGAAAAGGCTGGCCAGCCGAGGGAAGCTCATCATCCACGAAAGGACGCACACGGGAGAGAAGCCGTTTGCCTGCTCCGACTGCGGGAAGTGCTTCAGCCAGCAGGCGCACCTCAGCGGCCACCGAAGGACCCACACGGGGGAGAGGCCCTTCCAGTGCGCCGAGTGCGGAAGGAGCTTCAGCGACAGGACCTCCTTCAAGAGGCATGAGAGGATCCACACGGGAGAGAAGCCCTACGAGTGCACTGAGTGCGGGCGCCGCTTCAGCGACTGGACGGCCGCCAGGAGGCACATCGCGGCCCAAACGCGCACCAAAGCCCACAAGTGCGCCGACTGCGGGAAGGGCTTCCAAAACCTGGAGGAGCTCCTGAAACACGAAGAGGGGCACCCGAGCGACAAGCCGTACACGTGCTCGGTCTGCGCGCAAGGCTTCAGCAAGGCGCAGTACCTTTTCCGGCACGGCATAACGCACGTGAGGGAACGGCGCGAGCAGCAGGACCAGAGAGGCTCCCCTGGCGAAGGGGAAGCGGCTGCACAGGAATCGCCGGTGTGCGCGAGGGAGGGGCGCGAGGGCCGAGGGTGCAGCGAAGGCTCGCTTGCCAAGTGCGCCCTGAAACGCGCGGGAGCCGGGAAGGCCTTTGGGTGCTCGGAGTGCGGCCGCAGCTTCAGCCAGAGGACCAACCTGGTCATCCACTGGCAGACCCACACGGGGGAGAAGCCCTACGAATGCGCCGAGTGCGCAAAATGCTTCGGCACCCGGACGTCCTTGCGAAGGCATCGGAGGATCCACACCGGGGAGAAGCCCTATCAGTGCTCGGACTGCGGGAGGTGCTACAGAGACGGGACGTCCTTCCGGCGGCACAAATTGACCCACACAGGCGAGAAGCCACTTCCGGAGAGCTTTCCAGCTCCAGCCCAGCTCATTAAACAGGAAGAAACCCACATGGGGGAGATTCTCTGGGGCAGCCCCAGTTGCAGGGAAACTCCAGCTCAACAGCCGTTCTAAAGGAGGAGGCTTCCAAGAAGGAAGTCACAGAACAGCAGGGGTAGGAACCTGTGGACCTCCAGATTCCCGCCCCCCCCAATTATTTTTGCTGGGCTACAACTCCCTTCCTCCCTCACCACTGACCATGCTGGCCGGGGAGTTGGAGTCCAACACAGACCCAGAGGGTCATTGTGTCAATGAAATACAAACTCTTGTACAGTGGTAACTCGGGTTACAGACGCTTCAGGTTACAGACGCTTCAGGTTACAGACGCTTCAGGTTACAGACTCTGCTAACCCAGAAATAGTACCTCGGGTTAAGAACTTTGCTTCAGGATGAGAACAGAAATCGTGCTCTGGTGGCGCGGTGGCAGCAGGAGTCCCCATTAGCTAAAGTGGTGCTTCAGGTTAAGAACAGTTTCAGGTTAAGAACGGACCTCCAGAACAAATTAAGTACTTAACCCGAGGTACCACTGTATTGGGGTAGAAGCTGTTTCTTACAAACCTGCCACATCCCCTCAGACCGCTTATCCATTTGAACCCCCCTTAGCCGAATTGTAGTTCAGCAACATTTAGTGTGCTCACAGCAGGCCATCCCCCCATCCCTGGTTTCGCCTTTCCTCGAACCCCCAGGAAGTTCTAGCAGCCCATTTTCCCCCCAAGTCATAATTGTTAAGTTTCAGAACTTTGGCCATATTTACGCCACACATTTTAAGACACCATGATACCACTTTGAAGTGTCATGGCTTCCCAACAGCAATTCTGTGAGCTGTAGTTTGTTGCTCCACCCCCAGATGTACAAATTTAATAAATAGTAATGATAACTATGGGAATAGTAACTCTGGAAGGGGAATAGTGGGGTCTCCTATCAACTCTCAGCACCCTTAGCAAACCGCAACTCCCAGAAGTCTTTGGAGGGAAGCCATGATTTTTGAAAGTGCATTATAAATGGATTGTGCGCAGGTGGCCTTGGTGCAAGTGCCTCAGTTTGAATGTGTGCTGGATCAGTTACAAAGCAGCCTGGTATCTATAGGCAAAGACTGCAGCTTCTGAAACTAAGGAAATCTGGAAATTAAAAATAAAAAGATCTTGTTTTAAAAGGGATGCATATTACATCTTGTTTTGCCTCTAAGATTTGAGTATGCAGCAGAATGGGGGCTGGGGCAAAACACCTTAAAAGGACAGGACAAAAAAAGTGGGAAGCTCTGGTGTTCAGTGAAGCAAAATTCTTTTTTTGTAGTTTGCTCTGTGGGTTTTGGAGTTTAAAACTCCTTCAGGAGCTCTTGGTGGAAACAACAGGAAATCAAGCCTTGTGAAGAACAGTTGAGGAAGTTGGGTATGTTTAGATTGGATAAGATGAGACTGAGAGGAAATATGATAGCCATCTTCAAATATCTCAAGGGCTCTCACATGGAAGATGGAGCAATATTGTTTTCTCGTGCTCCAGAGGGTAAAATCTGAAGCAATAGCTTCAAGTTACAAGAAAGGAGATTCTGACTAACATCAGGAAGAACTCCCTGACGGTAAAAGTTGTTTGACAGGGGAACAGTCTACCTTGGGAGGTGGTGGACTTCCCTGAAGTTTTTTAAGCAGAGGTTGGATGGCCATCTGTCGTGGATTTAGCTGAGATTCCTGCAGTGCAGGGGGTTGGACTTGATGACCCCTGGGGTCCCTTCCAGCTCTACAATTTTATACGTAATTCTATGGATCTCTGAAGCACCTCCCTGGCTGTTAAAGGTGGCAGCAGCTGTGTTTAACACAGCGCACCTCCCACTCTCCTTTAAACAGCTGCCTGGCATCTGCGCTGCTTGTTCGTTCAGCTGCCTGCTGTTCTGTTTTATGTTGGAGATAGCTTGTCCCCCGAGAGGCAGTCATATGAACTGTAGTGTAACGACAGCCTTACGTTTTTATGTATATAGGAAGACATTTCCAGCCCCGGGAAATCATTGAATATTATTTACTACTGGTATCTATGCCTCACATTTCTGGAAACAAAGTTTTTGATTTCTGATATTCAGCCAATTAGGAATTTTATTTCACTGAGTCCCAGACCCGTTTTTAAGCACGTGTGTTGTAGGCAGTGTGTTTTGATGCACCACAGACACGTTTCCCTGTCTGCTACCCAGATTAAAAGGAACCAAATGCTCTCCAAATGCTCAATTGGGCAACGTTACTGCGGCGGGTTGCTACTTTCATTTTCAGTCATGGGACTGTTTAAAGAATATTGGGAACCTATTGTTTGTTAAATGTGTGTGTTGAGTGATCTCTATCATTCTCACAGATCTATGGTTTTTAGAGGGGGTTAACTATCTGTCCCTCTTATTATTAAAATTATTAGCCGTTTTTTGACACAGCAGTTCAAAGCGACTTAAAATATTTTAAGCAAAAACACGCATATATAAAAACCAGCATTTAAAAAAAAAAATCTAGAAGAAAAATTGTATTTCTTTTAAAAAATAATAATTAGAACATCCCACCCAGGCAAAAAGTTAAAACATAAAGGATTGAGGAGGTGCTTCTGCCACAAAATGGAGTGGGTGGGTTAATGGATTGTTTTTGTTTTTGTTTTATTTTTTATTATTATTATATTGTGATTTTAGATTGTGAATGACCCTGAGACCCGCAGGTAAAGGGCAGTATACAAATTTAATCCATGACAATCAACAAAACACACAGGGAACCCGTTTGCCGCCTAAGTCTCTTTCTCCAAGATTCCTGTACGGAGTTGTCACCCAAACATCATCACCATCATCATTATTATTATTATTATTATTGAGAAACCAGCTCCTCACGCACACAGGAGGCAAGGACGCCTCGTGATAAACCCTCGCCTCGCTTCCCGCCCCGCATATGGCGCAGGTGAAGGCAGGGAGCCGGAAGTGTTGACGGGTGCCAGGCCTGCGATCGTTTCCCGCTTCTCTAGGAGCGGCAGCCTGGGCGGCCCTGATTGGCTGCCGCCTCTCCTTATTTCCCTCGCGGCCGCCGTAGCCCCTCCCACAGCGGCCATGTGCGAGGCGGCGCGTGAGGGTCCGGCAGACGCCGTGCGGCGCTTCTTGCGGGAGCATCCCGCGCTGCGCCTCCTGCCTGCGGGGGACAGAGTCCGCTGCGCCCTGACCGGCCACGAGCTGCCCTGCCGGCTGCCGGAGCTCCAGGCCTACACGAATGGCAAGAAGTACTCGCGGCTGGTCCGGGCGGCCGGGGCGCTGGACTACGGCGAGTACGGGCCGCACATCGTGCCCAGCACCAAAAGCCCCGCGCAGCTCTTCTGCAAGCTCACCCTCCGCCACATCAACAGGATCCCGGCGCACGTCTTGCGCCACGTGCAGGGCCGGCGCTATCAGAAGGCGCTGAGACGGTATGAAGAATGCGAGAAGGAGGGCACGAAGTACGTTCCCGCCTGCTTGCTCCGGAAGCCCCGTGCCACCCGGGAGGATCCACCGGCAGGGATCCACCGGCAGTCCGATCGGAAGGGATCCTGGGAGCACGCGTCCAGCAGCGAGAGCAGCGGAACGGACGACAGCATGAGCGACTTGTACCCGCCTGAGCTTTTCCCGGAGAAAAACCCAGCAGCCAAGGGAAAGAGCAGCGACGGAGAGGTGGCAGAGCCAGCGGTGGATAAAAGTGTCGCGGGGGGAGAGAGAGGGGATCCCATGGAGGTGGATTTGCAAGCAGGCACCAAAAGGGCAAAGAGACAAGCAGGCCCCCGCAAGAAGAAGTTCAAAAGTTGAAATCAGAGCTTTGGGAGAGACATCAGTGGGAAGGAGACGTTTCTTGACACCACAAAACACCGATTGTGTGCGGCCGGGGGCTGGGGAAAGAAGACTGGTTTCGTCTGGCCTAATTCTGACACCCCCCCCCAAAAAAAATATGCATGTCTAGTGGCTAGGAAAACAGCTGGAAAACAGGCATCTTCCCATGTGTCAGGGTTAAGTGCATTGGTTGAACAGTGTTCAGTGAATTAGTTCAAAAATCTTGGGTGATTTCTAGTTCATCGAACCATCTTCTGTCAGGTCACAATCTGAGGCCCATGGCATTCTTTCAGAAATCCAACCCTTTGGGCCTTTAAGTTTACAGATTGCAATTGTTGGGGGAAAATAAACAATTCCTATTCCACTCTGTGTGTGCCAATGTTTTATTAGTCTTGGTATATTTTATACTTCAGCACAGCAGCATGTAAACTTCTGAGTACTTTTGGAGGGAGATTGCAAAGGATCAGGGTTTCCAAACTTGGGTCTCCAGCTGTTTTTATGGACTACAATTTCCATCCTTGACTACTGGTTCTGCTAGCTAGAGATGATGGGAGTTATAGTCCAAAAACAGCTGGAGAGAGACCAAAGTTTGGGAAACCCTATTTTAGATTAACTGTGAACTTTGTTTTGTAAAGGGTCAAACTTGAACTGGAATGAATTCCTTTCTAAAGCAAACTCCAATTGGTGCATTTGTGATCTGGTTAAAGGGGAGGGGGGCAAATGGGCTCTGCAATAAAATGTTGCTGTGTGGAGAACTCCCAGTTCAGGATTTAAAAATGTAATAAAATATTAGGAAAAATGGAGGCTGGAACCAGGTCTGGGTAGTTTGTCACTGCCTGCAGCTTCAATGACAAGACAGAAAATGCAGGAAAACAAATCAAGAGTTATATAATTGGCTGGAAGGCTGGAATAAAGCTTACGAAACTGGCAGTAAGAAAACACACACAAATCTGTGCTGCTCTTTCCAAAATATTTTTTTTATTTGTGGATGGTGTGTTAAACCATAAGTACAGTTCTGCACAGGCTGTGAATGTAGGTACACCAAAAAGGGAATATGAGAAAAGACAACTCAAGTCTCCTAAGGAACTCAGTTTTTTAAAATGCAAATTTCTAGTCCTTGTGGATTCAGAGGTGCTTGAAAGACAATGTGGGTGATGCTTGCTAAAATCACAGAACCCAGTAAGGGTCCATCAGAGATCCCAGAGCTGGAATCTAGCTAGAGGGTCCTGCATATCTCCTTCCTTCTCCCCATAATTTATCATATCTTTTTGCAAAATAGAAATAAACTGCAGACTAGGTTATGCCAAGCAAGGTGATAATTTATTCGGGTAGCAAAACTCCCCCCAAAAGTTCTAGAAGAATTTTGAGTACCTGAAAGCCAATTCCCTCCCTGCAAATATTTATTTCTCCATGGATTATACATAACTTCAGAAATATGGAATAATTCAACATGGACCACATTTGGAAGTATCTCCCTCCTGAACCATCAACACAGTGCTCTCATGACTGGGAAAGGAACAATTCTCCAATCCTGACATGAGCTTACTGAGGTCTCTACCCACACCTGTTTAAAAATGGTAAAAAATCTAGAATAAAGGTGGCAGTCACATAACTAATGTGTGGGAGAATGTCCAGGGTGAATTTCTGAAAGGTGGTGCTTTGTCCTGAATCTGGGGGTTGTCTAAAACAAGTTTTGGCAACCCTAAGCAAAGGCATGGCAGCCGAATGGAGACTCCATCTCTAGGGCCAGGGTATCAGTTGCATAGGAGGGATGTGTCCTTTATGCTCTGCTATGGCAGAGGACTCTGGCTGGATGTTTGGAGGAATTAAGGAAGCTGGACCAGGTGGGCTCCTTTGCCTGATCCAGCTGTTCTTACATTCTCAGAACACATTTTAATAACTCGGGGACATCCAGCAAAGCAGAATGTTAGAAGATTCAGGGCAAGCACAGAGTTTAACTATGGAACTCGCTGCTGCAGGATGCAATGGCTTTAAATCAAATTCATGGGGCATAAAGCTGGCTAAGTTGTACCTCTACCGCCAGAGGTAGTTTACCTCTGGATAACAGCTGCTGGGAATCGCAAGTGGGCAAAGTGCTATTGCACGCAGGTCCTGCTTTTGGGGTTCCATTGGGCATCTGTTTGGCCACTGGGAAATCAGGATGCTGGCTGGGCCTCCTGTCCAATCCAGCCTGTCAGGCTCATCCCTGTTGGAGGAAGAGCTCTACAACCCAGCAGGGATTGTGTGGCTGCTGTATTCATACTGCGTGACCACCCTGAACAAACCTATCAGCACCAGTAAGCCGATACCGAGACGGTTGTGGATCAAAATTTTAATATATTTCCAACCCCAAAATTTTGACCCACTACAGTCTCAACATCTTACTTTCACACACCCTACCATTCTGCAATAGTCCAAAATCAACACCTTTTTAGCTTATAACTTTATGGCTGATTTGGGGTAAATGTATAGGACCTCTGGTTAAGTCCAGTCGAATTCAACTTTGGGTGCAGCACTCAATTCCGCTTTCAGGCCAAGAGAGCCGGTGTTTGTCCACAGACTGCTTTCTGAGCCATATGGCCAGCATGACTAAGCAGCTTCTGGCGCAACAGGACACCGTGATGAGTGCCAGAGTGCACGGAAACGCCGTTTACCTTCCCGCCACAGTGGTACCTATTTATCTACTCGCGCTGGTGTGCTTTCAAACTGCTAGGTTGGCAGGAGCTGGGGCAGAGTAATGGGAGCTCACCCCGTCACGGGGATTCAAACTACCAACCTTAGGATTGGCAAGCTCAAGAGGCTCAGTGGTTTAGACCACAGTGCCACCCACTGATTTAGGGACAGTTTTATCAGTCCTGCTAGCCAGCTTCCCATTGAGGCATCTGGTTGGCCACTGTGAGAACAGAATGCTGGACTAGATGGGCCCCTGGCTTGATCCAGCAGGCTATTCCTATGTTCTGTGTGTAAACAGGTGTTCATTAAACTGGGAATAGTCCATCAGGCTTCTTTTGCCCATGGGCAAACCGTATTTCTTAAAACAGCGGGCCAGGAATCTCAATCCACTCTCAGGTGGAGTTCAGCGCCATCACCTGCCCAGTGCTTTCTCCTCACTCGCCTGTCTGGTTCCCAAACTGTTGGACCAATGTCAGCACCATAATTTTATTGCACACCGGGTCAAGTTTCCTGGGAGACAGAAATTTAGAGGAGCAGGAAGAAATGAAGTTCTTCCTCTGGAGGGAACCGGCCAGAGGAAATATTGAGGGAAATCACATATTCAAAGGTTAATATTTCAAATAACAATAATAATATTTCGCCCTTCCCGTAAGAAATCCCCACACACCTGAGAATAGCAATGAAAGGAAAGAAGGAAGAAAGCTGTTATAGGAGGAATGAAAGAAACTGGCAGCTTGGAGTGGGCATAGGGAACGGTGAAGGGAGGAAAGGAGAAGAAATAGCAGGAGGTGAATAAAAGTACTTGTGAGAGATGCATGGAGAGAAAGGAAACATAAAATAATTTGACTTCTCCACTTAGAGCAAAATTCTGCCTAAAACAAAGCTATCATGATTCTTCCATGATACTGCTCACAGCTTGAGGAAAGCTGAACTGTGGAACTCTGTGTTACAGGGAAATTGCTAAGGCAAAGAATTTAGAAACTGAGATCAGGGAGCAGTGGTTTTCAGCTGACTGTGCTGAATTTCATCTCAGATCTGCCACTATTTTGCGACTGGCTCTGCCCTCGCATCTTGTGACTGGTGGGCCTCACGTTTGTTGCTGGTGGGTTAAGTAAGTTTCAGCCCTTGTGGTGCCAGTGTGGTGTAGTGGTTAAGAGCGGTAGTCTCGTAATCTGGGGAACCGGGTTCGAGTCTCCGCTCCTCCACATGCAGCTGCTGGGTGACCTTGGGCCAGTCACACTTCTTTGAAGTCTCTCAGCCCCACTCACCTCACAGAGTGTTTGTTGTGGGGGAGGAAGGGAAAGGAGAATGTTAGCCGCTTTGAGACTCCTGAAGGGGAGTGAAAGGTGGGATATCAAATCCAAACTCTTCTTCTTCTTTTAAGTGTTTGCTGGAGGTGAACAGTTTTGAGACCAACCCTGCTCTGATGAGAAACTAGCTCAGCCTGGCTAAAAAAATCTGCCCCCATAATCTTCTTTCTGCACCGTTTTTGCTTTCCTGTGTGCGATGATCCGTCAGCCACCATGGAAGCTTTTCCTGCAATCTATGCCTTTGTACAGTTTCTCTCTGCTGTGGAGCCATAAACGTGGTCGAAGCTTTTACCCTGCACTCTCGATTGCTGATACGGTTTCTCTCCTAACTCAATGATTTGGATTCTCGGATGAGGAAGAAGGTAGACGACGCAAACCTTTACAAGGTTTCTCGTGCTACGTGGATTTTCTTGTGCCTGAAGAGGTGCGAGGGGTCGCTGAAGTTCCGCCCACATTCGGGACACACGAACGGCCTCTCCCCTGTGTGGATTCTCCGGTGGTTCACAAGCTGCGAGAGCTGACGGAAGCACTTCCCACACTCCAAACATGTGTACGGTTTCTCCCCTGTGTGGATTCTCTGGTGTTTCACAAGCGGGGAGCGCTCTCGGAAGCACTTCCCGCACTCGGAGCATTTGTACGGCTTCTCTCCCGTGTGGATTCTCTGGTGACTGATAAGGGCTGACCTCCTCCGGAAGCATTTCCCGCATTCCGAGCACCGACACGGCCTGTCGCTCGTGTGGGTCCTTTCGTGCACAAGTAGCTCGTTCCCTGTGCAGAAGCTCTTCCCACAGGCCAGGCATTTGTACGGCCTGTCTCGTGTGTGGGTCCTCTTGTGCCTGATCAGGTGCGAGGGGTCCCCAAAGCTTTTCCCGCAGTCGGGGCAGCTAAAGGGTTTCTCCCCCGTGTGGGTTCTCTCGTGGTTCATGAGCTGCGAGTGCTGGCGGAAGTCCTTCCCACAAATGGAGCATTTGAAAGGTTTTTCTCCCGTGTGGATTCTCTGATGTTTAATGAGGACTGATCTGCTGCTAAAGCTTTGGCCACATTCCGGGCATTTATATGGCTTCTCTCCCCTGTGGATTCTCTCATGGGCAAGGAGACCTGAATTGTGGTTGAAGCTTTTCCCACACTCTGAGCACTGATACGGTTTCTCTCCTGTGTGGATTCTCATGTGAGTCGTAAGATAGGCACTGGTGCTAAAGCTCTTCCCGCAAACAGAGCACTCGCAAGGTTTCTCTCCGGTATGGGTTCTTTTGTGTCTGTTGAGGTGAGACGGGTCGCTGAAGGCCCTGCCACAATCTGAACACGCATATGGCCTCTCCCCTGTGTGGATTCTCTGGTGGCTCCCGAGCTGAGAGTGCTGCCGGAAGCACTTTCCGCACTCCGCGCACTTGTAGGGCTTCTCTCCCGTGTGGATCCTCTGGTGTTTCACAAGTTGCGATTGCTGCCGGAAGCACTTCCCGCACTCGGGGCATTTGTAGGGCTTCTCGCCCGTGTGGATGCCCTGGTGGTTCACGAGCTGGGAATGCTGCCGGAAGCACTTCCCGCACTCGGAGCATTCGTAGGGCTTCTCTCCTGTGTGGATTCTCTGATGTTTTGCGAGCTGCGAATTGTATTGGAAGCACTTCTCGCACTCGGAGCATTTGTGTGGCTTCTCCCCTGTATGCATCCTCTGGTGGCTAATGAGGACCGACATCCTGGTGAAGCTTTGCCCACAGGCAGCGCACTGGCACGGTTTCTCGCTCGTGTGGATTCTCTCATGCATGAGAAGCTCGTTCCCTGTGCAGAAACTCTTTCCACACACCAAGCACTTGTACGGCCTCTCTCTCATGTGGGTCCTCTTGTGCCTGATGAGGTGTGAGGGGTCACCAAAGCTTTTCCCGCAGCTGGGACAGCTGTACGGTTTCTCTCCGGTGTGGATTCTCTCGTGGTTAACAAGGTGAGAGTGTTGGCGGAAGCCCTTCCCACAAACGGAGCACTTGAAAGGCTTCTCTCCCGTGTGGATCCTCTGATGTTTAATGAGGACCGATCTACTGTTAAAGTTTTGGCCACAATCTGGGCATTTGAACAGAGCTCTGTTGGCTTGGATTATTCCATGTGCCAGAAGATCAGACGTCTCCCTTAAGACTTCTACACACCCAAGGGGTCCTTTTTCGTGCTGATCCTCGGGGAGACCCTGCTGGAATATTCTGTCCTCCAGTTCCTCGTACCTGCCCTGGTGATCAATCAAGTTGTCCTCCTCTTCTGCTAGGCAGTTTCCCTGCTGGCTCTCAGAGGCTTCATCTCCCAGATTGGGGCTCCAAGATAAATTCTGTTCTGCTCCTCTCAGTAGCATCGCATGTGGTTCCACTTCCGCAGGGTTTCCAGCCTGATTTGGCTCATTCCCACACATCCACTCATCACCTGCCGGAATAAGAACAGAATTGCAATGTGCGTCTTTTTTTTTTGGAGAGAGATGGAGGGGCAGAGAAAGGAAGGAAGGAACACTGGCTACACACTAGGAGCAGCTGCATGGAAACAGCGACGGTGCCACATGCCTGAATTACATCCCAGTTAGACTACTGTAACCTGCTCTAGGTGGGGCTGCCTTTGAAAAGTGCTTGGAAGCCCCACCTGAAACATCAGATCTCCCTATACGAACTTGCCTGGGTGCTGAGCTCCTCAGGTGAGACCATTCTCTCTGTCAGAAGCACAGAGCCTTTTCTGTGGCAGCCCCCATATTGTGGAATTACCTCTCAGGAGATGTTAAACTGCTTTCCTATTTGTTATCCTAAGGCCTTCCTATTAATCCAGGCTTTTGAAAACCAAGGTGCAGGCGATGCAGACCACTAGGCCGCTGTCAGGGCAAACTGCATCTTAAGCCTGGTTTTAAATGTGTTTCAATGTACTTTTAACTATTGTTTCCTGTCAAGATAGTTTTATTCCTTTGTATTTGATACAGTCAAACCTCAGGTTGTTGAACATAATCCATTCTGGAAGCCCATTTGGCTTTTGAAACGTCCGACAACTGAGGCACGGCTTCCGATTGGTTGCAAGAGCTTCCTGCACTCAAGCGGAAGCCACGTCGGACGATTGGCTTCCGAAAAACATTAGAAAACCGGAGCATTTACTCCCAGGTTTTCAGCATTCGGAAGCCAAAACGTTTGAAAACAGAGCCGTTCAGGAGCCGAGGTTTGACTGTACTGACCTGTAAGCTGCCGTGGTAGAAAGGTGGGATAATAAATACATCAAATAATTAAATAATCTCCGGCTTTAAAAACCAACCAACCAGGGTATGTGTGACTCTAAATTCATGGAGATTAGATCTATAAATGACCAGTAATCATGGTGATTAACAGCAGAATGTCTATTGTTCCCCATCTCTAGAGCACAGTTTCCCAAAGTGGTCAATACTGATCCTTTGGTGTCAAATTGGAGGGGGCGGGAGTCCCAGGATAGGATGAGAGGGCAATCAAGCAAAGAGGATCCTTGCCTGAGAAGGTAGCAACTCCATCATCGGCCTCTTGCTTGATATCCTGGAAGAGCAATCCCTGCCAAGTGTCTTGAAGAGCGTCCTCTGTCTCGGGGAGATTCATTTTTTCTTGCTTCTGCGGACTCAGAACCTAGCAACAGAGCAGCAGAGATCTTGTTCAGTAAAGAGGGGCAGAAAAGGAAAGAGGACCACTCTGGGAATTATAGCTCTGTGAGGAAAATATGGGGAGGGGACTCCTACGAACTCTGAGGATGCTTAACAAACTACAGTTCCCAGGATCCTTTGGGGAAAGCTTTGACTGTTGAAAGACCCTGTTGCCCTGATGGGAAGGGAGATTGGACACCATATAAGAAAAAAGCATTTGGTAATTTCCTTTCTTTTGAATCTGTTTCCCATATAGTTCTGTCTAAATCTACACACCTTTGTTTTTTGCCTTTATAAGTAAAGGAAATCCCTTCAGGGAATTCCCATCTAAAGCAGATATATTTTTTTTAAAGGGCCTCCGTCAAAAATTTATACAGTGGTACTTTGGGTTAAGTACTTAATTTGTTCCAGAGGTCCGTTCTTAACCTGAAACTGTTCTTAACCTGAAGCACCACTTTAGCTAATGGGGCCTCCTGCTGCTGCCGTGCCGCCGGAGCAAGATTTCTGTTCTCATCCTGAAGCAAAGTTCTTAACCTGAAGAACTATTTCTGGGTTAGTGGAGTCTGTAACCTGAAGCGTATGTAACCCGAGGTACCACTGTAATTCTCTCTCTTCTTCAAAACCTCTTTTAAAATTATAATCCTCTCATCATCTATTTCAAGACCTTTTTCATAATATGTCTGGAGCACTCCGCCTTTGATAGAATTTCCTAGTAATCTTGACCACGTCGACAGAAAGGCCCTTTTCTCTTCCTTTCTCTGATTCAAGGCGCACTGAATCCCCTTCTGCTTCAGTCCTGCTAATGCAGCTGGAGATCCAGGCAGACACATTTCTCAGCTCAGCAGACACTGTAGTAAAAAACGGGGCTGAGCCAGAAGCACTCCAAGTACTTGTTCCCTCCAAAAATCAATGCATTGCCTGAAAATATTACCCTCTCTCTGCAGGGTATAATCATAAATCAATATTCTTCATGGGTAATGCTTCTGCCAAATGGAAACAAAGAATAAGGTCAATATTCAGCGACAATGCATGCTTCCAAATCTTAAGAAGAGATTGTTGTTGCTGTTGAATTATGAATGTCTGTGTTTTCATCTGCATTCCCGCCCCCACAAAAAAACTTCAATTTCAGTTGAGAAAATTGATGACTTTGCTGTTTCCTCTCTGCACTGTAAAGATTTTGCTGTGGTTTGAGCCAGTAACGTCAGTTGGGAAACCTCTATTGGCTGTACCGATGTGACTGAATCCCCCAAATACCCGAAACGCTCAAAAATAGTGACAGTCTGGAAGCGATCCCAAGACCTCTCAAACGGCATCGATTTGGACACAATAGCCAAAATATAGGAAAACAGAGGCCAACCTTTCCGCTTCCTGCTGTCAAGAGACTGTTAAGCAAACAAGAAGGTGTGCGTTATTAAATATAGTATTTAGTAACAGCTTTAAGAGGGAGGGTTGGAGGAGATTGCAGATTTCCATCTGGGGCTGTGGAGACATGTCAGTTTTATTTATCTATTATATATATATATATTAAAACCAACGAGGGGTCAGCCATTGTGTGCTCTTTTCTCCCAGCAGCCCTCGGTGTAACCTGAAACTTGCAGAGCAAACTACTACGCCCTTACCCAACTGAGCTTGCAGTCTCCTCCCCATAGAAGACTGGGATTAAATGCATTAAATGTGGGCTTTGTGCCCGCAACATCGCCAGGCCCTTTCCCCCACCCCTCTCCTCTGTCCCTTGCTCTGCTTAGCCTCCAGCCTGACGAAGGGCTCTGCTGAACCCGAAAGCGGGCGCTTTTCACACTCACCGACATCACCGCCCACCAGCTGCCCTGCTCCCTCGGGTCCTCCAGCCAAGGTTGAGCGAAGCCGGAAGAGGCTCTCGCGGCCTCTCTAGGAACGAAGGCTCGCTCTCCTTAACCCTGTTAACGGGAGGAGGAGAAGGCGGTGGGGTGGGAGAAGCATTTTCAGAGTCTTGTGACAGCTGAAAGGCTGCTACCGTAAGATGCCACTATGCAGCCTTCCCCAAGCTGGTGCCCTCCCATCAGCACCATGGAGCTTTGCCTTGAGTGTTCGTTTAGTATGATGTTGCTGCTGGTTTATTTATTTTAATTCTATTTTATTGAAAACATTTCGATTGAGCAAAATAACGCGAGAAAAGGAAAAGGAGCATTAAAAGAAACCACCACTATAATTCCATAATACAAAGGTATATGAGTGAAATTATTATTCTAATACATATACATTTATTTGTAACCCACTGTGTACAGATCTGTAGGCGCAGACCATCCCCCGACTCAAACTAGTTCGTGAGGAAAACCCCCAAACTCGGTTCCATGGGTGACTCTGTGTCATATCTATGCAGTAGCTTATCTTAAAGTTTTAAGTGTCCATATGCTTATTGCATTTATAAATTTATAATTTATTGTTGTACATTGTTTTAACTGTTTGTTTTCTTTCTGGGATTGTATCTCCAAGTGTGTTTTATAAGCTGGTCTCCGACCGTAATAAATTATCTATCTATCTATCTATCTCTCTATCTACCTATCTATTTAACCCACTGTATTTTTTTATAAATGTATTCCAAATGTCATTCTATTTGTCCAGACACAATCTGTGTCTATAAGCTATCTGTCTGTCTGTTGCAAGAGTTGTCAGAATAAAGGGCGACTATAGATTTATCATTCCACTGACTCAAGTCTTTTAGCTGTAGCGAGGGCACAGCAAAATCATTTACGTTGACAGGTTGTCAAATCCAACGTAATTTAAAATAATGTTATCCTCTGACAGTACTACACCCCACCCCACCCCGTGCCAAAAAAGTAGCATTTATAATATAACAATCAGGGACTTTCTCCCAAAACTTCATAAGCATAGGATATTGCATAAACATATGTATCGAAGAAGCATTATCTTTATTACATCTCCAATATGCTGCCATAAATAGTTCCCTTCTATACAAATGTAAGAGTACAGCTGAGATGATTGTATAGAATCATAGTAGTGTTTTGAATGGGACTCTCCGAAGGTCCTCTAGTCCAACCCCCTGTCACACAGGTATCTCAGATAAGGAATCACTGACAGATTGCCACCCAGCCTCTGTTTAAAAACCTCCAATGAATGAGCGTCCAACACATTTCAAGGGAGTCTGCATGGAAGGTGATGAATTAATGAATAATAGAATAATAGAATTGTAGAGTTGGACGGGATCCTAAGGGGCATCTAGTCTAACCCCCTGCGATGCAGGAATCGGCAACAATAAGACTGCTTTTTGTCTGTCTTCAATAATATAAGACCTTTCCAAGACAGTCAAGGGACTGTACTGCGATGAGCAGCTGCAGGATCTGTTATCTTGGGTGTGGGTTTCCGGTTGGAGCCAGACTGAAGTCGAGAGAATAATAATAATAATAATAATAATAATAATAATTTATTTATACCCCGCCCATCTGGCTGAGTCTCCCCAGCCACTCTGGGCAGCTCCCAATCAAATGTTAAAAACAGTACAGCATTAAATATTAAAAACTTCCCTAAACAGGGCTGCGTTCAGATGTCTTTTAAAGATAGGATAGCTGCTTATTTCCTTCAGATCTGAAGGGAGGGTGTTTCACAGGGTGGGTGCCACTACCGAGAAGGCCGTCTGTCTGGTTCCCTGTAACCTCACTTCTCGCAATGAGGGAACCGGCGCTGGATCTCAGTGTCCTGGCTGAGAACATTCAAGAGCTGGGCCTGGTGAAGGAGATCTTATATTTTTCACCTGCAACCACAGTTTGCAGCTAGTGATGGAGAGTCCCTAATAAATTATTGGTGAACTGGAATAAGGAAATTAATCTTTTAGTGTGGCGGCACCTACACTTTGGGACTCCCTGCCTCTGGACTCACCAAATCCCCTGCCAGGAACCAGCCAAAAAACAGCCGGCGAGGTAGAGGATAGCTCCGCCGCTTAGAGCATGGTGCTGATCCTGCCAAGGTTGCAAGAGGTCAGCTGCATATTCCTGCATTGCAGGGGGTTGGACTGGATGATGCCCAGGGGTCCCTTCCAGAGTTTCACGCTTATGCGCAGGAGATAGGCGGCGCTGCTCTGAGCTGCGGCTCGGAAAGCATTCAGAGGTCGGTGGCAAGGCAGCTCCTGCGCTCCTCCTCCTCCAGCCAACTCCCCTCTCCGGAAGCAGGATGGCCAAAGATGAGGCGGAAGCTGGGAACCGGAAGCCTGAAGCAGCTGTTTTAAGCGAGGCACAGAACTGTAGACTTGGGAGCGGGGATCCCTGGTGGTCATCTAGCCCAACCCCCTGCAATGCAGGAATCTCATCCATAACAGAGCGGCTCGGGGCTTCGGTGGCTTCTTCTCCTCTTCCTCCTCCAGCTCCCTTGTGGTCTCGATTTCCCCAAGGGTAGCCGGGGGGCAGGCGGAGGCCAACCCCAGGGAGACTTTGCGTGGAGCAAGACGCCCGCTGCCCTGCGCCACGAGGGGCAAGGAAGGAAGCGGAGGTAGATCCTGGGGAGAGAAAGGGATCGGGCACCGGGCAGGCGGGGCAGATCACAGAGCGGAGGGTTGTTTTTAAGGGAGCGGGAGATCCCTTTTCTGTAACCCCGATCATCCCCGAAAGTGTCCGACCCATGCAAGGCTCACTCGCGAGCGAGATGTGGGTGGGAATCGAACAGCGCTCTGCACATGTGCCGGGAACAGCTCTCCTTTATCGCCTGGCAATTTGCGGGGCTGGGCGATGCTGAAGCCCGCAGGTTCTAGCCTGGGACTAAACAATTGACTGCTGCTGGCACATTTGCAAAGCTAAGCAGGGTCTCTTGTACGGTTTCAAATTGGGAGGGGGCGGCGTTTTGAGATTCCTGCACTGTAGGGCGTTGGTTGGGATGATCCTTGGGAGCCCTTCCAACTCTATGATTCTGTCATTCTGTGAAATAAGAGCGAGGCAAGCGAAAGTGGAGCACGCCTAGCTGGATTTATTTGATGTTTTGGTGAGCCAGGTGGCAGGCGTTGTTCTATTCTCAATCTCCTAATCCCGCATGCCTTTCAGGAAGCTGCAGTTGGTGCCCCAAACCTGGATCTAGGCAGCGGAGTTTTCCTTTTACAGTAGTACCTCGGGTTACATATGCTTCAGGTTACAGACTCCGCTAACCCAGAAATAGTTGTTGTTGTTAAGTCATGTCCGACTCTTCGTGACCCCCTGGACCAGAGCACGCCAGACACTCCTGTCTTCCACTGCCTCCCGCAGTTTGGTCAAACTCATGCTGGTAGCTTCGAGAACACTGTCCCACCATCTCGTCCTCTGTCGTCCCCTTCTCCTTGTGCCCTCCATCTTCGCCAACATCAGGGTCTTTTCCAGGGAGTCTTCTCTTCTCATGAGGTGGCCAAAGTATTGGAGCCTCAGCTTCAAGATCTGTCCTTCCAGTGAGCACTCAGGGCTGATTTCCTTAAGAATGGATTGGTTTGATCTTTTTGCAATCCATAGGACTCTCAAGAGTCTCCTCCAGCACCAGAAATAGTACCTCTGGTTAAGAACTTTGCTTCAGGATGTGAACAGAAATCGCATGGTGGCAGCATGGCGGCAGCAGGAGGCCCCATTAGTTAAAGTGGTGCTTCAGGTTAAGAACAGTTTCAGGTTAAGAACGGACCTCCAGAACGAATTAAGTACTTAACCCGAGGTACCACTGTATTCTTAAACCAAATTGCTGAACAAACCTACACAGAGTGACTTTACCATGCCAGAACAAATGTGGCAACCATGGTGCACTTTGCAAAGAAATGGATTTAGAGAAGGCTCCCCCAACTTGATACACTCTCTAAATGTTTTGGACTACAACTACCATCAGTCCCAGATGGCGCTACAACTCCCATCAACCTCCATGCCAACCAGGGCTGATGGGACCTCTATGGCAAAACTTCCAGAGTTTGGGGAAGGTAGAGTTTGCAGCTCTGTTGTTGTTGTTGTTTAGTCGTCTCCAACTCTTCGTGACCCCCTGGACCAGAGCACGTCAGGCCCTCCTGTCTCCCACTGCCTCCCGCAGTTTGGTCAAACTCATGCTGGTAGCTTCGAGAACACTGTCCCACCATCTCGTCCTCTGTCGTCCCCTTCTCCTTGTGCCCTCCATCTTTCCCAACATCAGGGTCTTTTCCAGAGAGTCTTCTCTTCTCATGAGGTGGCCAAAGTACTGGAGCCTCAGCTTCAGGATCTGTCCTTCCAGTGAGCACTCAGGGCTGATTTCCTTAAGAATGGAGAGGTTTGATCTTCTTGCAGTCCATGGGACTCTCAAGAGTCTCCTCCAGCACTGTAATTCAAAAGCATCCGTTCTTCGGCGATCAGCCTTCTTTATGGTCCAGCTCTCACTTCCATACATCACTACTGGGAAAACCATGGCTTTCACTATACGGACCTTTGTTGGCAAGGTGATGTCTCTGCTTTAAATTTTTTAAAAAACAGAAACTGCTCACTGTTTCTGTATTTGGGGGGAAAGCTTCACCTGAAGCATTTCTGCCTGTTATGAAGCTGTCAAAAGCACAGGAGCACTGCGAGGAGGCAGCCTCTGAGAGAATGACAGACTTATTGTAGGTTTGGAGGATTGGGAAATGAGCAGACGGACATTCATGACATTTCAGGGGGTTGGGCTAAATGACCCTTTGGATCCCTTGTGATGCTATAATTCTGAGTCTAAGGCATTTTATTAAAACATGTTTAATAGCTCTGTTGAACAGAAATTGGGGGGGGGTTCTGGAGGGTTACTTAGAGGATTTGCAAATGCCAGAGGAGAGCCAAGAATCTGTAGGGGCATTTGAAATATTAAAATGTCGTGGCGTAAATACTGTAAATTGCCATTCAAGATGACACCTCGCTGTTTGTGTCAGGAGTTGAATAAATTGTGGGCATGTGACCCAGGTGTGGCTCAGGGGATGTTTGGAGAAAGTAACAAGGTCATGGGTTCCTAAGATATCTGTGTGAGCCAGAAAAACAGAGGCTTGCCACTTCCACCATCCTGGTTCACTTCTACAGCTTGCCTCTTCTGTTGTCCCCGTTCTGTTTTATGTCAATATTTCAGGCTTGCCTCTTCCACCATCCTGGTTCACTCTCTTGCTTGCTCTTCTGTTGTTCCCATTCTCCTTTATGGCTTGCCTCTTCCACCTTCCTCGTTGCCTTTTGTAGCCATACTTGCGGCTTACGTTTTTTCAGCAGCGCTCAACCACTGGGATGAGCCCATTTTCACTGCCGCGTGTGACATGTCTTCCACCATCCTGGTTCACTTCTGCAGCTTGCCTCTTCTGTTGTCCCCATTCCTATTTTATGACAATATTCTAGGCTTGCCTCTTCCACCTTCCTCATTCCCTTTTGTAGCAACGCTCGAGGCTTACCTCTCCTGCTGTCTCCCTTCTGTTTCTTTCAGCAGTGCTCAACCACTGGAACGAACCCATTTTCACCACCGCGTTCAGAAGGATGGCATCCCTGACGCTTTCTGAGCCAGCCCCTCTTCCTGCTGGTGTGGCAACAGTTGCTCTGGTTCCAGCTCAGGTGGGCAAGGGGACAACTGGCTCTGGGGCGACAACCTACCAATTTCCCTTCGCTTCAGTATGAAAGGTGGCCTTAGCCCCACCTGCTGCTCCTGAGAAGCTCTATGGAGAGACAGTGAGGTGCAGCAGTTAGAGGAGCAGTGGGAATGTGTTGGATTTTATAACACAAGTACTTTGTTTGAGAGTCTCCCATAAACAATTGCTGCTATCTTCAGCTAGAGCTTGTAAGGACCCTACCCAAAAACCTGGAGATTCTCTGCCAATCAGTGTAGAAAATACTTAATTAGATATCCTATGCCCTTTTAAAATGTGGGGTGTTTTGGGGGGGGGTTATTGGGCTGTTGTTTTTATTTTGATTGTATGTTTTGTGGTTTTATATTTTGATTTTGTTCTGTGAACTGCCCTGAGACCTCCGGTTATAGGGCGGTATTTACAGTGGTACCTCGGAAGTCAAACAGAACCCATTCCGGAAGTCCGTTCGACTTCCAAAACGTTTGGAAACCAAGATGCGGCTTCCGATTGGCTGCAGGAAGCTATCTTGCAGCCAATCGGAAGCCACGTAAGCTGCATTGGACATTCGGGTTCCAAAGAACGTTCGCAAACTGGAACACTCACTTCTGGGTTTGCAGTATTTGGGAGCCAAAACATTCAACTTGCGTTCGACTTCTGAGGTACGACTGTAAATTCAATAAATAAAATTAATTAGATGGATCAACTGTGTGGCTTGTGCGAAGGCGTCAAGTCCTTTGGGGAAGGGATATAGGTCAATTGTAGAGCACCTCTTATGCATGTAGAACGTCCCAGGAAAAGCCCTGTCTTGAAACCCAGTCAGCATTGATCAAGGGTAGCTATTGTGGTGGCCTCTGGATTTGTTTTTGGACTCCAACTCCCATCAGCCCCAGCCAGCATGGCCAATGGACAGGGATGATGGGATTTGTAGTGCAGCAAAATGTCAACTGGGCATCTTGTTGGCTACGCCTGGCATAGAAAATAGATGGACCGATGGTCTGACTCTGTACTATGCAATTTCCTTGCCTGGGACCCTGGAGATCCTCTGGTTGATCAGTCTATAAACTAGTGAACTCGGCGGATCAACAACCTGACTTGGGATGAAGCCCCTTCCGAGTTCTTGTGTCTACTTTCCAGGTTTTGGTGACCTTTCAGGATGTAGCGATCCACTTCAGTGAGGAAGAATGGGCCCTTTTGGATCCGGACCAAAGAGCTCTCTATATAGATGTCATGGTAGAGAACAACTTCAACTGGGCCTCTCTGGGTAGGCATCCCTTCTTTGCTGCTCAATAAACGGTGTTGAGAGGGCTTGGGAAGGCTCTAGGAAAGCATATAATAGCTCTACTTTTCCCGTCTGTCAGTTTGAGTAAGGAAAGGGCCATAGCTCAGTGGCTAGAGCACTTGCTCTGCATACATTGTCACTATTACAAGGTTATACGCTCTATAGAGTGGTACCTCGGGTTACATACGCTTCAGGTTACATACGCTTCAGGTTACAGACTCCGCTAACCCAGAAATAGTACCTCGGGTTAAGAACTTTGCTTCAGGATGAGAACAGGAATTGTGCTCCGGCAGCGCGGCAGCAGCAGGAGTCCCCATTAGCTAAAGTGGTGCTTCAGGTTAAGAATAGTTTCAAGTTAAGAACGGACCTCCGGAACAAATTAAGTACTTAACCCGAGGTACCACTGTATTTATTGCTCAAATCATGCAGCAAACCCCAAGCAGAACTGATGATTATTACTTGAAATACTTAACAGAGGACAGGGAACTAGAGATTACCTTAAAAGTGGTTAAATTCTGTGCTGCTGCTATAAAATTAAAGAGACAAGCTTTGAATGAATCTAACCGCCAATGTCTTCATATGTTTTAAATTAGCAATTAAGACTTTAACTTATATATTTTAGCAGTTTGAATTATTTATCGTGTATTAACTCATAGAGCTTAATTTTAATCTATTTATGTTTGTATGTTCTCTGTTGTTGTACAATTATACCTTGGAAGACGAACGGAATCCATTCCGGAAGTCCGTTCGACTTCCAAAACGTTTGGAACCCAAAGCTTCTGATTGGCTGTAGGAAGCTCCTGCAGCCAATCGGAAGCCACAGAAGCCCCATCGGACGTTCGGATTCCAAAGAACATTCGCAAACCAGAACACTCACTTCCGGGTTTGCGGCGTTCAGGAGCCAAAACGTCTGAGTACCAAGGTGTTCAGGATCCTAGGTTTGACTGTATATGTTGTACTCTGGTCAGGGACCAAAATAAATCAATTCATTCATGCATGCATACAGAAGGCCTCAGGATCAATCCCCATTTAGGGTTTGGAAAAGCTCCCTGTCAAAGTTCACATCCTTTCTGAGTCTGGCAATGGGCCGTCAGCTGTTTGGAGCTGTGGGGGCTCTCAATTTTGGAGGGAATCTGAAACATGTTCTTAAATATTACATGGAGTTTAGTCCGGACTATGGAAAAGGGGCTGATTTGCTGAAAAGGGTCAAAAACATTATCAAGCTGGAGTTCCCACGAGTGAAAGGAAAATATGAAGAAGAGCTGCGGAAGGGACATGGAAGAGACTTGAGGGCCTCGGATATAAGGTTACCAGGTTAATGCGCTAGATCAATGGGATAAAAACGACTGACAAAACCCGGGACCAGGAGGAAGGGACGCTGGATGAAGATTGGATTGTGCTTATTTCTTTTTTCTATCGTTAGGATTGTTTTATAAAATTGATGAATGTTAGAAAAATGTTGAAATGAAATTACTTGGCTCTAGCAAAAATGTTTAAAGAATTAGGTAAGAATATTATGGTTATGAGAAGTTGGTAAAAATAAGATTTAAGCTTTAAGCTTTAAGGTTCTTTATAAGATAAGATGAAAATAGATTAAGGTAATGTAATGACAGAATATTATGAATTATGGAAAGGATTTGCTGTGATGATTATTAATTGGGATACAAGAAAAGGGAGGAGGAGGAGGTCAAAGAAAGAAGGCAATGAAAGTTGAGAATTTGAATTTGAGAATGATGGATTTATTTTTTATTTTTTTTATTTTTTCTGCTTTCTTTTTTTTGTAATTCTAATTTTTTTTTCAATAAATATCATTAAAAAAAAAAAAAAGTTCACATCCTCACCATACATTTAAAGCATTCTTATACCCCTTTAGCAGGCATGGCTTCCCCCAAAGAATTCTGGGAGCTGCATTTATTCATTTATTCATTTTGTATACCACCTTTCATACGAAGGTCTTGGGGAAGTTCACAGCATAAAAATACAAAATAAAAACACGAAATTCATAATAAAAACGAGAACGAAAACTGAAATAAACCAATATCCCTCCTTCCCACAAAACACATTTAAAAGGACACAGAATGTTCATCAGCCACAGGCCTGGTTGAAGAGGAACGTTTTTGCCTGGCGCTGAAAGGTGTATAATGAAGGCGCCAGGCCAATGTCCCCGGGGAGAGCTTTTCACAAACAGGGAGCCACTGCAGAAAAGGCCCCGTTCTCGTGCTGCCACCCTCTGGATCTCTCGTGGAGGAGGCACACGAAGAAGGGCCCCAAAAGATGATCTCAGGGTCTGGTTAGGACCTAGGTTAGTATGGAGAAGTGTGTCAGAAGGAGTAAAATTTTTCTAATTCCACTTGTATTTTTGTCTTCCCTTCTGAAGGAGGATGTTTCTTTCCCAAGCTGACCCTCACTTCCAGGCCTAAAGGCACCAACAATCTCTGTGTACCGGACTCCAAGGAAATGGAGAGAATTTCAGGTAATGTCGTTTAAAGAACGTGGCCAGCCGGCTTGAATCTTCCTAGTTCAGTCAGAATATCATATTTCCTAAAGACTTTTCCTGACAAGATAGATGTAAAGCCAGAAAACATGTATCTCAAGGTTGGTTGGTTTTAAAAAAATATGTATATCTATATCAGCCTTTCCAACCTGGTGCTGTCTAAATGTTTTGCACTACATCTCCCATCAGCCTCAGCCATATAGTTTATTGCTGGTCTGGTGACAGTGGTTTTTATTCTTTATGCTCTGATCTTTTGCTCAATTAATGGTTTTTGAAATCAGCGACCTGTCTTGAAATATTTTTATTTCTGCTCCGTAGAGAGACCAGTATTCTTGTGTATCTGAGCTAGAGTTTAACTCTAAGAGCAGGCATCACAGCTAAACTGAGTTTCCTGCCTTTTCTGTTCTTTGGAGCTGTATTGACAGCCGCCTGGCTGATCTCCCCCTCCGCTGACAGAAGTGAGTCTCAGGATTCAAAATCAGAGCGCAAATCATTTTCTTTAGATCCTTGAGACTTCTGAGTTGTGTCAGAAGCTGCAAGCCTTTATTCTCTGTGCCGTTGTGAGTGGAAAGGTGTTAATTCAACTCATTTAGTGCTGGAATATAAGGAAAGAAAGGAGAAGAGAGCTAATCTTGGCTGGATAACATCACTGCCCACAGCCCTGGCCATATTGTTGACGTTCTTACGGCATTTGGAGATAACCTGCCTTTGAACAGGAAAGCTCCATTTAGCTGCCATGGCTTATAAGCCTATCTGCTTCCACGAATTAGTCTAACCATTCCCACCATCGGCCCCCTGCTTTGGAAGCCAGTAGCTATGGTTGTGTTGCATGTGTGTGGTCCCACAAGTTTTTAAATTGTCATTTGTGAATATATTCTTCTCTTCCAAAAGGTGGTGGCATGGCGAGTGAGACCAAGCAGAAGCCTCTTCAGCCAGAAGATTATTCCTTTGAAGCCAACAAGACTTTAATGAGAAGATCCCAGAATAATGTTTCTTTTTCGAGTGAGTGCCCATTAGAAACATTTTGGGGGAAACGAGCAGGGATAAGTCCATATGTAGCCCCAAACTCTGCAACTTTTCCTCACAGGGGAGCTGATCCGTCCCCTTGATCATTTGGTCATCCTTAAAGTAAAGGTAAAGGGACCCCTGACCATTAGGTCCAGTTGTGGCCGACTCTGGGGTTGCGGTGCTCCTCTCGCTTTACTGGCCGAGGGAGCCGGCGTACAGCTTCCAGGTCATGTGGCCAGCATGATTAAGCCACTTCTGGCGAACCAGAGCAGCGCACAGAAACACCGTTTACCTTCCCGCCGGAGCAGTACCTATTTATCTACTTGCACTTTGACGTGCTTTCGAACTGCTAGGTAGGCAGGAGCAGGGACTGAGCAGCGGTAGCTCACTCCGTCGCGGGGACTCGAACCGCTGACCTTCAGATCAGCAAGTCCTAGGCTCTGTGGTTTAACCCACAGTGCCACCTTTTGTCATCCTTACCAAGAGCTTTTTGAAGAAGAGCTATTTAAGGGAGCAGGATACTTTTTTGGGGGGGTGGGGATAATAATAATAATAATAATAATAATTTATTATTTATACCCTGCCCATCTGGCTGAGTTTCCCCAGCCACTCTGGGTGGCTCCCAATCAAGTGTTAAAAACAGTACAGCGTTACATATTAAAAACTTCCCTGAACAGGGCTGCCTTAAGATGTCTTCTGAATGTCAGGTAGTTGTTTATCTCTTTGACATCTGATGGGAGGGCGTTCCACAGGGCAGGCGCCACTACCGAGAAGGCCCTCTGTCTGGTTCCCTGTAGCCAGAAAGTTTCTGAGGAATGTTTCTGAGGCAGAGATAGCTTCCCTTTTAAACTTTCCCCTGAGACAAGTAAGGTGCAATCTGCTCTTCTCCTTTCTGCAGAGGAGGCTTGGAGCCAGGACTGCCTCTCCTCATCCTCTTTGTGTGATAGAATAATGTTTGGCGAGGCTGAAGGTCCACTCCTCCGTTCTGAGCACTCAGAAACACGAGAGGAATCTTTGGGAAGACTAGAGCAGAAAGGTGAGGCCTCTGGAGGCCTCCTCATAGATGAAAGAGAAGAGGTGTGGACCAATTCCGGGAGGACTTACCGGTGGAAGTCGTTCCTCGTCCCACGGGAAACAAAACCTCCAAGGGAGAAGCTTCACAGGTGCCCAGTTTGCTGGAAGTGTTACAGCACGAGGCCAATCCTGGCACGGCACCAAAGGATCCACACGGGCGAGAGGCCGTACCAGTGCTCCGAGTGCGGGAGGAGCTTCAGCCAACGCATCGACCTGAAGAACCACCAGAGGATCCACACGGGCGAGAGGCCGTACCAGTGCTCCGAGTGCGGGAAGAGCTTCAAGCACCACTCCAGCTTGACGGCCCACGAGAAGATCCACACGGGCAACAAGTCCTATTCGTGCCTGGAGTGCCGGAGCAGCTTCAGCAACAGGTCGAGTTTCTCCAAGCATCAGATGACCCACTTGGCAGAGAAGGCAGGGCCTTCTCTGGGAGCAGCGAAAGTTTCAGGGAGTGGTGGAACCTTACAGGACATCAGAGAATCCACCTGAGAGAGATGGGCTGGCCACCTCTGCCATGAACTTAGGACATTCCTCTCTTACGGGGGCAAGGAGAATCTGTGGCCCTCAATGTGTTATTGGACTCCAGCTCCCCAGACCCTTGACTATTGGCCGTGCCCCACTGTGCTTGGTTCTACTCTGAAGTTCCAGAGCAGCATTGATCCCTGCCAAAAGCAGGGCTTGCCTTGGGTGCTGAAAGCAATCCCTTCCTGGGGCAGGAATCTGGTTTCATTATGAAGGTTTGACTGGGTGGTTTTATGGGGCTTCTGAACTTTTGCATTAAATACATGATGGTTTTGTACTGAAATTTGTTTACTGGTTGTTGTTTTTAAAGTACCATGGACTAGTCTCCTTGGGAGTGCAGCTAGGCCCTGGGAGGTGCTATGTACACACACTCAGCAAGTTGGAGTTAACTCTTTACTAGCAAAAACACGATCGACACAGGAGTGTCAGTCCTAATAAGCACAGGAACTCATCTCCGGCAGGTGTGTCCCCTTGCTGAGACTGAAAGTCCCCTCCTCTCCAGGGTTTTTCCCAAGCAACTGGAGACTGTGCCTGTGCGACGCTAACTTCTCTTCCTCCCCTTTTCATAGCCGCCAACTTTTCCCTTTTCTTGCGAGGAATCCTATTCGGATTAAGGGAATTTCTCTTAAAAAAAGGGAAATGTTGGCAGCTATGCCCTTTTATGCCATCTGTTGGTCATCCTGGCTGGGGTTGATGGGAATCAACCGTATATTTAAACCACACACATGCCCCAATCCTGGGAACTGCAGTTTACCCCACAAATAGTTACAATTCCCAGCACCCATAGAAAATTACAGCTCCTATAATTCATCATCATCATCATAATTTTATTTATATCTTGCCCATCTGGCTGGGTTTCACCAGCCACCCTTTGGTGGGGAAGAAGATGTACTCAAAATGTATGATATGTGCGCAATCTTGAGTCCAGCAATGTCCACAGGTTTCCCAACCCAGTGTTAGTCTCAAATGTCATGTCCTCCAGACATTAACAGAGTGCAGCTCCCGCCATCCCCAGCCAGGGGCGATGGGAGTTGTAGTTCAGCAACATCTGAGGGGCCCCCATGTCAGCGAGCTTTGTCACAATCTGCATTAAGACTCTTTTGCTCCGCAAAGGGTTAAGGTGAGGGAATACCGCCTCCTAGAGAGGCCGGAAGCTCCTCTGCGGCAGGAAAGGGGGGAACAAAAACAATCAAATACCACTTCCTGTTCCGCTTCCCATGGGAAAGTGGCCTTTGAATTTTCCCACGAGCAGATAATCAGGGCTCGGAAGGACTTTTCCGTTGGCTGCGAAAGAACCAGGCAAGTGGGAAGGGCGGAGGGGAAGGGAGGGTGTGCTGGGCCTCGAATGGGCTCCATGGCAGGCAGAAGTGCAACTGGGGAAGCTTTTCCCTGCCGTGGGGCTGGGGAGGAGAGGGAAGGCTGGGAAAACATCCTTGGTTGGAAATCTGCCTGCCAGGTAGGGGAGAGCGGCAGAAAAACGAGGAGCCCTTCGATTTTTTTTGTTTGTTTTTTTTGGATGATACACACTTCAAGTGGAGCAGAGAGCGAGTCTTTGTGCAGAATGAGGGGGTGGCAATCTGGATCCACAAGAGCATCTTTCCTGTAGACATAGGTATAGTCTGTTTATTACACCAGTGGTTTCCAAACTTCCCACCCCCTACCACCCAGTGGACCACTTGAATACTGCTGATGGAGGACCACCTCAATTATTTTTCTGCTTTTTGTAGCAAATGTAATGCCCTGACGTCCTGACGATTTTTAGTTATATTTTTATTGCTTCTTTTGTTTCTTGTGTTGCACTTGATCCTACTCCAATTTGCATTCCATAGAGTTCAGGCAGAAACTTCCACAACTCCTCCACACTGCCCAATAGATAGCTCAGTCAACAGAGCATGAGACTCTTGATCCCAAGGTCGTGGGTTCAGGAAAAATATTCCCGCAGAGCAGCGGGTTGGACTGGATGACCCTCTAGGTCCCTTTTGACTCTACAATCCCACGATTCTATGACTCTGTGGCTACCAGGCTGGTGCCTTAATGCAAGGCTCCCCCTACTCTGGCAGGTAGCCTTCAGCCAAAGAAGATTTCCAGCTCCAATTTTTCTTTTCTCCCTTCAACAGCACAGCCGTCGCCCCAGTCAGCATCTCGGAGGGGAGCGAGAGAATGGCCCGCCTCCTGCCGGACCTCTGCAAAGAAACCCAGCTGGCAGAGAGTGGCTTGTGGGGCAGCGACAAAGTCAGCTGCTTGAAGGTGAAGGAGGAGGTTCTAGAGGAAGAGCCAGCCAGCTCAGAGGCGCAGCGACAGCACTTCCGGCAGTTCGGCTACCAGGAGAACGAGGGGCCAAGGGAGGTGTGCAACCAGCTCTGGGAGCTGTGCAACCTGTGGCTGAAGCCCGAGAGGCACACCAAGGAGCAGATCCTGGAGCTGGTGGTGCTGGAGCAGTTCCTGGCTGTCCTGCCAGCGGAGGTGCAGAACTGGGTCAGGGATGTGGAGCCGGAGAACTGTTCCCAGGCGGTGGCCCTGGTGGAGGACTTCCTGCTGCGGCAGCAAAAGGACGAGAGGCAGGAAGAGCTGGTGAGGATGTTAGGAAGGACCCAGGAAGAGGTCAGGCCAAAGGGGCTCCTTCTGGCCCACCATCTTGTTTCCCACAGTGGCCAAACAGATGCTCCAGTGGGAAGCCCCTGAGCGAGACCTGCTTGCGACAGCATCTCTCCCCACCTGAAGCCTCCAACAAGTGATACTCAGAAGCACACTGTCTTGCACTAATGCATGAAGTGGACCATCGATGGCTACTAGCATGGTGGTTCTGCTCTGTCTCCACAGTTGGAAGTGGTAACACTTCTGAATAAGAATAGTAAGAATAATAAGAATAATAAACGGCCTCGGTCCAGTATATCTGGAGTGTCTCCACCCCCATTGTTCTACCCGGACACTGAGGTCCAGCACTGAGGGTCTTCTGGCAGTTCCTCCCTGCGAGAAGCCATGTTACAGGGAACCAGGCAGAGGCCTTCTCGGTAGTGGCACCCGCCCTGTGGAACGCCCTCCCACCAGATGTCAAAGAGAACAACTACCAGACTTTTAGAAGACATCTGAAGGCAGACCTGTTTAGGGAAGCTTTTAATGTTTGATGCATTACTATATTTTTAGATTTTGTTGGAAACCGCCCAGAGTGGCTAGGGAAGCCCAGCCAGATGGGTGGGGTATAAATAATAATAATAATAATAATAATAATAATAATTATTATTATTTACACCCAGCCACTCTGGGTGGCTCCCAACAGAATATTAAAAACACAATAAAACATCAAACATTAAAAACTTCCCTAAACAGGGCTGCCCTAAGATGTCTCCTAAAAGTCAGATAGTTGTTTATTTCCTTCACATCTAATGGAATGGCGTTCCACAGGGCGGGTGCCACCACCGAGAAGGCCCTTTCCCTGGTTCGCTTCTCGCAGGGAGGGAACCGCCAGAAGGCCCTCGGCACTGGACCTCAGTGTCCAGGCTGAACGATGGGGGTGGAGACGCTCCTTCAGATATACTGGGCCGAGGCCGTTTAGTGCTTTAAAGGTCAACACCAACACTTTGAATTTGCTCAGAAACGTACTGGGAGCCAATGTAGGTCTTTCAGGACTGGTGTTATGTGGTCTCGGCGGCCGCTCCCAGTCACCAGTCTAGCTGCCGCATTTTGGATCATCGTGATGAAGCCAGATTCTATCAGTTTGAGGAAAACAGGTGGGATTAAAATGCAATGAATAAATAAAATAAGTTTGTATCTGCAGGTGGTGCAGTGACTGGTTGGGTCTCTAAAGGGAGAGGTGATTTTTCAGGTATCCAGGTCCCAAGCTTTCTAGGGCTCACTCAAACCAGCCCCTTGAACTCGCCAGCAACCAGCCTTGCCTCCTTTCAACGTCCTGTGCTCTTGTTTCAGATGTTGGGCCCGTTCAAAGAGGAGGCTGCTCATTTCCCCACCGCTGAAGACGCTTCCTCAGACACCTGGCGGAGGGTCATCTTAGGGGAGATGAAGCAGGAGGAGGAGGAGGACGACGACAGAGACACAGCCTTGTTGGGTGAGGACTCCTCTTTCTATGGTGTTTAGAGTGTGAGTGACTCATGTATTGGTGTTTTAAAGAGGTGTGAGGTCAGGCAGTGGTGATATGAGTGAGATGTTGCCTTGCTTGAGCAATTCTAAATTATACAGCCTTGCAATGCTCTCTCATTTTATTTATCTGTATGTGGTGTTTATTATTATTATTATTATTATTATTATTATTATTATTATTAGAATTTATATACTGCCCTATATCCGGAGGTCTCAGGGTGGTTCACATAAAAAGATCACAGTATATAAAATCAAAACAGAAACAATAACCCAAAAATACTCCGGTTCAAATCCCTGCGATGGGGTAAGCTCCCGTTGCTCTGTCCCAGCTCCTGCCAACCTAGCAGTTCAAAAGCACACCAGCGCAAGTAGATAATTAGGTACTGCTGCGGCGGGAAGGTAAACAGCGTTTCCGTGCGCGGTGGTTTCCGTCACGGTGTCCCATTGCGCCAGAAGCAGTTTAGTCCTGCTGGCCACATGACCCAGAAAGCTGTCTGTGGACAAACGCCGGCTCCCTCGGCCTGAAAGAGAGATGAGCGTTGTACCTCATAGTCATCTTTGACTGGAATTTTAACTTTCCAGTGGTCCTTTACCTTTTACCTTTACCTTTACCTTTTACCTCACAGTAGCCAGTCAGATGCCTCAACAGGCAGTGTGTACTTTGTTTTGTTTTTTGGATGAAAAAATTCTTTATTGAAATTCATTAATGTCATTACAGATTTAACTTCACACATACACATACATACTAATATACAGTGGTGCCTCACAAGACGAAATTAATTCGTTCTGCGAGTTTTTTCGTCTTGCGAGTTTTTTCGTCTTGCGAAGCACGGTTTCCATTTTTTCAAAAAATCTTCAAAAACCTCAAAAAAGGCTACCACACCGCGTGCTATGAGTTGCTCCTCGAAGTCAAGTCGCAACTGCACCTCTTCAAGCAATGCACCCTGTATTACTGTAACGGTTTTAAGAAAAAGGAAACAAACTTGCAAGACGTTTCCGTCTTGCGAAGCAAGCCCATAGGGAAATTCGTCTCGCGAAGCAACTCAAAAAACCAAAAACTCTTTCATCTTGCGAGTTTTTCGTCTTGCGAGGCATTCGTCTTGCGAGGCATTCGTCTTGCGAGATACCACTGTGTGTGTGTGTGTGTGTGTGTGTGTCTATATATACATATATATATACATATATATATATATATATTCTTAAATTAGTTTAACTTAGAATGTTAATTTGACCATCTAATTCCACTTAGATATCAGCTAAGCTATAATCATATAATGGTACATAAAACAAAACAAAACAAAACAAAACAAAACAACAAACTGAAGTAAAATAAATATATACTTCCCATCATTTCCCGATATAGTTGACATTTGTGATTTTGAATGTGCCTATAATTATTACCTTACGTTTAATATAATTTCTAATACTTTCTTACAACCTAGCATACCGATTTTCCTATATTTCTTAATATTTTATGTACACAAGCAATAGATAATATGTCACTGTTGTTTTTTTTTGTAAGTCTCTCTTAAACATTTCCCATTTTTGAGAAAATAATTGTTTGGCGTTACCTCTTAACCTATTTGTTAGTTGAGCCATTTCCACATAGACTAATACAGTCATACCTCAAGTTGAAGTAGCTTCGGGATGAATATTTTCGGGTTGTGCTCCGCGGCGACCCGGAAGTAACGGAGCATGTACGGGACCGCCTCTCCTGGTATGCCCCACAGAGGAACCTACGGTCTGCAAATAAAAACATCCTGAAGGTCCCAGGCCTCAGAGAGGTTAGGCTGGCCTCAACTAGAGCCAGGGCTTTTCGGCTGCGGCTCCAATCTGGTGGAACGCTCTGTCACAAGAGACTAGGGCCCTGCGGGACCTGACATCTTTCCGCAAGGCCTGCAAGACAGAGTTGTTCCACCAGGCCTTTGGTCAGGGCCCAGCATGACTCCCTCCTCTGGCAACCTGCACAGAATTTTGCTTAACGGTTGCCATTAATTTGATTTTAATTAATTTTTATAATGAAATGTTTTTAGAATGTTGGATTATTTGATTGTTTGATTATTTGATTGTTGTTAGCCACCCTGAGCCCGGCTTCGGCTGGGGAGGGCGGGATATAAATAAAATTTATTATTATTATTATTATTATTCTGGGTTTTGCCGCTCATGCATGCGCAGACGCTGAAAATGACGTCACGCGCATGTGCGGAAGCGCCGAAGCACGATCCGCACATGCACAGGTGCGTCTTACGTTTACTTCAGGATGTGAACGGGGCTCCGGAACGGATCCCATTCGTATCCAGAGGTACCACTGTAATTCATTGGCAGAATGACTTGCGTTTTGATTTCCTTCTTTCCGGCAGCTTCCGAGAGAGTGTGCGGGGAGGACGACCCAGACCGTTCCACAGATCCAAGGCCTCACGAGGTGCTTTTGGGGATTGCCGAGTGGAACAGTCCCGATCCAGGGGAAGCCTCCGAGAGCCTGCCGGGAAGCCACCCGGAGAACAGGAGGGACAAACTGGTTTGCGGGCCACAGGGCTACCAGCCAGCCAAGGGAGGAGTGGCTGTGCAGCCGCGGATCCAAGATGAGCGCCTGAAAAAGTGCCCGGAATGCGGGAAGGGCTTTGTGTGGCGGTCGGAGCTGATAGAGCACCAGCGCTCGCACACCGGGGAGAGGCCCTACTCCTGCTCGTACTGCGGGAAGAGCTTCAGCCGCAAGTCGTACATCATCAAGCACGAGAGGATCCACACGGGGGAGAAGCCCTATATCTGCTCGCACTGCGGCAAGGGCTTCATCTCCAAGTCAGACCTGATCAAGCACGAGAGGACCCACACGGGAGAGAAGCCCTACATCTGCCCCGACTGTGGCAGGAGCTTCAGCAGGAAGCAGTTCCTCGTCACCCACCGCAGGACCCACACGGGCGAGAAGCCCTACAAGTGCTCCGAGTGCGGGAAGAGCTTCAGCCAGAGGACTTGCCTGGTCATCCATGAGAGGGCCCACACCGGGGAGAAGCCTTTCAAATGCCTGGTGTGTGGGAAGAGCTTCGGCCGCAGGGACATCCTCATGACCCACCAGAAACTGCACACCCGTGAGAAGGCCTTCCAGTGCGCTGACTGGTTGTGAAGCTGCCCTTTTGCCCAATTCCGTATGCTCTTCGGAGTTCATAACTGTACAATGGTACCTCTGGATGTGAACGGGATCCGTTCCGGAGCCCCGTTCGTATCCTGAGTAGAACGTAACACGCATCTGAGCGTGCATGGGTCGTGTTTCGCCGCTTCCGCGCATGCGCACGACATCGTTTTGAGCATCTGCGCATGCACGAGCAGGAAAACCCGGAAGTAACGCGCTCCGTTACTTCTGGGTCGCCGCGGACCGTAAACTGAAAAAGCTCAACCCGAAGCATATTTAACCCGAGGTATGACTGTATATATTGTGGAATTGGGTGTTGGTTTTTTTAACATGAAGGTTTTGCATAGAAGAAGCCTTACGGAGGGCTGCTTAACAAGCTTCCTCCCACACACACCTTTTAAAGTATTTGATGGCTTCTTTTGTACATCGGGAAAATGTAATGTGTGAATTAAGTAAACAAGTGTGTTCTACAGGTAATCAGGAAAGTAAGGCTTACCAGAGAGACCTAAGATTGGTTATAGGTCTCGGTTAAATGCACATTTAGTGGTGACCCACTGGGTTTCAGTAATGGGCTGGTTCAGATGCCAAATCCGTTGGACGTATCCCAGAGGTTCCCAAACTTATTTGGCCTATCTCCCGCTTTTCAGGGAAAAAATATACTCAGCGCCGTCCTGCACCGGAAATCTATCTTCTAATTTAAACAAACAGACAGAAAGATGCAGTGAAAACTGGATGAAGAGATGGACTAGGACCCGGGATTAAAAACTCATGGGAGGGCGGACCAGAGTGAAGCCTGCGGGCTCCGTCCGATCCGCCCCAGGAGCCGGGCTGACACCGTAGCTCACTTGCCATTGGCCAAATAGGCAGGCAAGCTGTGATCCATTTCTTGGGCCTGGGTGAAGCCAAAAAGGGGTCACCGACACCTGGGAAAGCCCCTCATGACCACCGGATCCAGGGGAGGGGTTGTCACCGTCCTGCAATGGTGCCCAACGTGGCAGTAAGCATCATTACACAACAGATGAAATGTGTATGAACAGTTTTTCAAAATTTTCTTCTTTCCCTATGCTTCCACAGCCCCTCTGTTTTTATTCATGGTCCCCAATTGCACCTCTGCATCATTCCAGCAACCCCCAGGGGGCAGTATAGACCACAGTAGGAAACACTGATGTAATCTGTGGAGTTCTGTGTAGAGAAACTAATGATAATAATAATAATAATAGTTTATTATTTATACCCCGCCCATCTGGCTGGGTTTCCCTAGCCACTCTGGGCAGCTTCCAACTGAGTATTAAAAACAATACAGCATCAGACATTAAAAATTTCCTTAATGAACCTAGATCATTAGCTGTGTCCATTAGTTCAGTAGGTCTACTGTCAGTGGGACCAGCCTTGGATACAACCCTTGACATGGCCATCTTTGGTGCTGAGCGCTGCCACCTTGTGAGCTTGGATCCAGAACAGTCCTGCTGGATGGGGCCCATCTAGTCCAGCATCCTGTTCTCACAGTGGCCAACAAGGTCCGCCAATGGGAAGCCTGCAGGCGCAACACCACTAGCCTCCGTGATTTAGAGCAACTGGTGTTCAGAAGAATATACTGCCCCCGGCTGTGGATGTACAACATAGCCGTCTAACTAGATTCCTGCTTTCTCACTTCCTGCTTTGGACAAACCACCGTTTAAGTAGGTTTCCTGTTTCCTGCTAACCACAGTTTGGTGGTTAGTGTGTAAAAAGACTCTGGTTTTCCTGCATCGGGAAGTCAGGAAGGGAATTGGAGATAAGTCAGCCTGAGCTACTGACCCAAGGACATGTTTGTTTGTTTTTTATAATGCAGAAACCGTTGTGTTGAATGGCCCTAAGAGAAATCAGCTCATGGCAATATTCACTCTGGCAAGCAACCTTTGGCCAGGAGGATCTGAAGAACCTCCTTTTGTGATGTTGTGTGTGCCTAAGGGTGCTCTGCACTTGGATGGCAATCCTACCTCCCTGTTATATCAGTGCTGGATTTGAAACCAAAAGGTGTCTTTTAAAAAGGCAAAAAAGCTGTATGGTACTTTAAAAAAGCATGGTGTGCAAGGATTTCCTTGCAGAAAATGAACAGAAGCTTCTGGAAAGGAATTTAGGTCTTACTGTTCCATCAGCGCAAGCATTTCAGCTTGCCAGACTGAATGATCCTTCTTCTTTGTCCCCCAAACCAGTTCTGGGGGAGAAGGGGGAGCCCCATTGTGCTATTTGAAGTCCTTACACGAGCTTCTCTTTGGGGGCACTTGTCAGCTGAATCCCTTTCTCACTGCCTCACGTTTGTGCCAAACCATGGTTTACAATCCAAACCATCCTTCAGAATTGCTTGTTTGCTGCCATTTTCGGCTTGCTGAAACTCTCCCTGTTGGGGGTCGTAGCACAAACCATGGTTTACAAATCCGTTTCAAGCCACGGTTTCTGATCTTGATTTGCAAGCTGACTGTAACCATGGTTTGTTTGGTTCATAACACTAAACCAAACCTTAGTTAACCTTCCACTACCATGTTTTTGGGTGGCCTCTGTATTTGAGGCCCTGTATGAATAAGCAGTGAGGTGTGCCTAACATAGCTCAGCCTTGTACTTTGACCACTTTCCTGGTGGGCCTTGGTAGCCAGGAATTCCATGTGTGTGAATGGGTTTGCAGAAAGGTGGGCTGCTTAGATGCCAGTCTGTTTGGTAAAAGGCTCTTTGTCTTTTACAGTGGTACCTCGGGTTAAGTACCGCATTTTTCGCTCTACAGGACATGGAGCGAATGCAGGCTTTCGCTGAAGCCTGGAGAGTGGGAGGGGTCGGTGCACACCGACCCGTCTTGCTCTCCAGGCTTCAGGAAGCTATCCGCAAGCCTTCGGAGTGCGCAACCTCGCCACCGCTCCCAGACCCGTTCTGGGGGCTGGGGGAAGCTCAGGCTTCCCCCGCCCCAGCCCTGCGACTAAAAATGAAGCCAAGGATCCCGCTCGCTGTCTTGGCTTCTTTGCTTTTTGGGGCTGGGGGGGGGATTTCTTTATTTCCCCCCCTAAAATCTAGGTGCGCCCTATGGTCCAGTGCGCCCTATAGAGCGAAAAATACGGTCCTTAATTTGTTCCAGAGGTCCGTTCTTAACCTGAAACTGTTCTTAACCTGAAGCACCACTTTAGCTAATGGAGCCTCCTGCTGCTGCTGTGCTGCCGGAGCACGATTTCTGTTCTCATCCTGAAGCAAAGTTCTTAACCCAAGGTACTATTTCTGGGTTAGCGGAGTTTGTAACCTGAAGCGTCTGTAACCCAAGGTACCACTGTATTACTTGCCTGCTAACAGGCTACAATCCTTCACCCCTCTTTTATTCAGCCAACATGAAAACACAAGCTAACTAGCCTCTTGGCAAGTTAGTGGTTTTGAGGAGCAGGTTTTATAAGCCCTTTTAATAGGTTTCTTCCAAATTCTTGCATTTCTCATATATTCCCACCCCAAAAAAGACTTAACACAGCAAAACAAACACGATAACATCAGAATGCCTGATAAATATTAGGCTGACTGTTAAGAATCTTTCCAAAATGTCATCTTAAAAATGTGACCTGTTTTTAGATTGTGAGCCTGAGAGGCAGGCAACCCACTCCCCTTTTAATCTCGATATAGCACAACGTCTAGTGTTGCTTTGTAGGTTCTCGATGAAATAAATAAGTAGATACGTTTGATGTGTGCATTTCCTCAGCCCCCGAGGGAGGAGGGAACAAAGAGCTCAGACATGTCAATCTATCTGGTTGTTAAGCACTGGCGGAGAAAGGGGAGTGCGGAGGGAGCACATCGTCCCGGCAGTGCGACCCGGTGGGCGCCATGCCCCCAGGACGCGCGCCACGCCCCCGGGAAGCTGAAGCAGAGACTGTTCCTGTTGTGAGTTCCTTTAAAAAGCAAAATGATCAAATTGGAGGGGCAGTCTGGTGAACCAGCCGTCTAGTCTCCCCTCCCCACAGAGGTGCTTCTTTGCATAATGTGAAATGTGCTTTTCAGTGTATGGTTTTGACCACAGCCTCGGTCTTTTAAGAGTTAAGATGACCGAGTCGGTTCCTAGACAGGCCTGGATGCCTCTCATTCCTGGAAAGAGAAAAGAGGGCGGCTTGGAATTTACTTCCTACTTTGCCTCCTCACGTGACCTGCCCTTTGAATTCCCCAGGTGTGGATTCAAGTGGGAGATATTTTTTTCACTAGCAGTGGGAGGGGGATCAGGTGAGTTTAGAGGGTAAGGGAGCTTTTAGGGAGTGGGGGCACCAGGGGAGGGGGGGAAATATCAAGGTAGGGGGTTTAAAGACCACCCTTTGCCCCCACCCTCCACTCTTGCCCAGATATATGGAGATCCCCCCTTCCTTACTTAGACTGAGTCAGATGACTGGTCCACACTGAGTGCCCCCCGGGAAACCCAGGTAGCTGGGCTGGTCCCCCGGGATGGCAAGATAGTGGGCAGGGTGGGTATCTGCAGCCAAGGCAGTGCTTTCATTTGCACCCACTAAAATGTCACAAAATGATTTCCTTGGCAGCAGTGCGGCTGTGTCAGTAAAACTGACCAGTGAGTCTCATGCCTGTGTGTTTGCCCTTTAGGTGCCTCCAGATCGTGCCATTTAAAGTGCATTTCCCCACACCCACCCCAAGAATCCTGGGAGCTGTAGTTTGTTCAGAGTGCTGGGAATTGTAGCTGTGTGGGGGGCTACAGTTTCCATGCTATTTTGGGGAGGGGTCTGAAATTACGTGTGTTAAATTTATGGTGCAGTTGGCTTCCCTCAAGGAATCCAGGGAATTATCGTTCGTTTAGGGTGCTGGGAATTGCAGCACGACAAGGGGCAAACTACAGTTCCCAGTGGTCCTGTGATGGGGTGTGTGTGTGTGGCTTTGAATGTGTGGTTGGCAACCAGCCTGCTGCTGATTTGCAGGAGGGATTTAAGTGCACATCAGAACTTTAGGTTTGCACATTTGAAAGTGGATGAAAGGGCTCTGTTTCTCTCAAGCAACAAATCTACTTTATAAAAGAGAGGATTTTTTGTGGTTAGGAGAATGACAAGGAAATGTCTTGAAAAACATCGTATAAATGAATGAGTGCTCTCTAGCAAAGTAAGGATGAATGCAGGACAAAGACTGATTGTCAAATAACTGTCCCATGAACAAATTAGAACAAATGCTCATTAAAGTCCAGATACAGGACCCATCTGCACTATATATTTAAAACCATGGCTTCCCACCAAAGCATCATGGGAGTTGTAGTTAAGGGTGCTGAGAGTTGTTTGAAGACACAATTTCCCCCTCACAGAACTACAATTCTTAGAGTACGGTAATCTAACAGTCAATTTCTCATCACAGGGGACTCTGTTAGCAGCAGCTCTCTGAGGAGAATAGCCTTCAGTGGTTTGTATGTTGCACTAAACCATGGTTTATTTGAATGTCTGAACACACAGGCCACCAGCGGTATAACCATAATTTGTTAACCACAAACCATATTCATAAGCCATGGTTTATTACTAGCTTACAAACTTTGGATTGTGTTAATCAAATGTGACTGACAGCTTGCACTTCCCTTGCAATCCATTATTTGAATTTTTAGAAACAAAATCAACAGCACAGTCCTGTGCATGTCTTCTCAGAAGCTGGACTGGGCAAATCTGTCCTTTCCCCTCACTGTGAATCGTTCCTCGCATGTTTGTATGCAAATCTGCCCGCTATAAACATTTCTCCTTAATGCAATGTTTTTTAACATGTTCTTTTCTCTAATAGATGTATTTAAGCAAATGTTTTGTATGCATGGCTGGAGAACAGCAGTGCAAAATTCAGAAAACGTTTCCAAAGAGAGGTGTGGTTTGGTTCTCATGTCATTTCAGAAAGGGCAGATTAGGTCCCGTTTGCTTTTAAATGCAACCTGGATCAAATTCCTCTACGTGCTCCCACCCTACTCCTCCTTTGGGAACTCTTAACACATTTATCTATCTATCTATCTATCTATCTATCATCTATCTATCTATCTATCTATCTATCTCGGTAAGGGACTTCTCATGACTTAATTCCAGTTTTTCTTGTTTTGCTCAGCCCCGAGCACTGACCTCACGACCACATGACCTGAAAAGACAACATGGCCACCGAGGCTGGGGAAATAGCAGCCCTGGGTCTCCACCTCTGAGCTGTGCTAGAAAAGGGAAAGAAGAGGGAAGAATCGGACGCTGCAGCTCTTGGAGCAAAGTGCCCTCCTGCCGCCTGGGCGGAGAGCCTGGGGGATTTGGAGAGAACAAATAATTCAGAGGAGGCAAAAGGGGAAGCAAAGGAAGGACCGCAACAGCACTGGGAAGCCCAATGGTGTCGTTTCCTGAAGGCAGTGGAGTCCAGGCAATCGGGAACCTCACCCATTTATGGTGCCAGGAGGGTGGCTGAACCTGGTCAGCAGCTTGGAGGGGAGAGACCAACCCAACAGGTTGCCAACAATAGTCAGTTGGCCCAAAACAAGGCAGGCTGCAAGATGCTGAAGGAGGAGCTCCCAGAGGAGGTTGGGGCTCTGGAAGCACAGTGCCAGTCCTTCAGGCAGTTCCACTACCAGGAGGCCAAAGGCCCCCGAGAGGCGTGCAGCCAGCTCAGAGATCTTTGCCACCGGTGGCTGAAGCCTGAGAGGCACACGAAGGAGCAGATCCTGGAGCTGGTGATCCTGGAGCAGTTCCTGGCCATCCTGCCCTGTGAAGTCCGGACCCGGGTTGTAGAAGGTGGGCCGGAGACCTGCTTACGGGCTGTGTCCCTGGCCGAGGATTTCCTGCTGAGGAGGCTGGAGGAGGAGGAGGAGGTGAGAGGCTTTGACGCTGGCAGTTCCATAGAGCAGAGAGCCTGGGCCATGGAGAAAAGCCATGGAGGAAAGGAGCTGTTCTAAAGCGTCCCAGAAATGGAGTCAGCGTGACAGGTGTCCTGTCACTTGCCCATCTAACAGCTTATTCTTAGCTGAGAACGTTGAAAAACAGAAAGCACAAGCTCAGGTTACCAGACGTAGGGGTGACATAGATTGAGAGGGATTGGTGTGTGTGTAGCCTTAATTGGAAGCACCACCACTCTTACGAGGGAGACGTTCATCATCCCTTGCTGTGATTATTAAAGAATTCTAACTTTGTTCTGTAGCCTTATTAGACTTTACCGACTGGTGGGGTCTGCATTGCTCCCGGGAGGGAGAAAGGAAGTCAACTGACACCGAGGTTGGTTCAAAGAAAAAGTTTATTCTGCTCTCCGGATAGCAGAAGGCACTTGTGTAGTCAGTTCACAGCAAGTCCAAAGAAATGAGAAATTTCATGCAGTATATATATCCTCCAGGCACCCTCTCCCCCCTTCCCCAGGAATCCAACCACGTCAGCTTATACACGCAAGTTGACATCACAGATGTTCCTGCTCCGGTACTCTTAACCATAAAAGGGTGTTCCTCTTCCTGTACTCTTGACCATATAAGGGTGTTCCTGTTCCTGTATTCCTTATCTTGGGGTAAGAAGGTCACCAACTCTAAGAGCCCTCCTGGCGCCATTCCCAGACTAAGTCTGTGCATCAGAGTGTGGTCAGGATGTAAGATAAGACCCAGATGTGCCATCCCTGCTCCACTTTGGAATGGACAAGGCCATCCATCATTACCAGCCTTCATGGACTGATAAGGGAGAGCACTTTGTTTATACAGCTGGGTTCCTGTTGTGCATTTGCTCAACAGCTCAAGTTAAAGCATTTTAGAAATGCTCCCTTGGAGAAGGAAAAATGCGGATTTTGGGGCCTGTTTCAGACTGACTGCTCAGTCAGGTTTTAAGTTTTGGAAACCCATTCCTTCAGTTCTGCTAATCTACTGCCAAGGCGCGGAGGAATCCAATTCCTTGAAGCCTGACACTACCCCAGTAAAGTGTGGCCCAAAATTCGTCCCTATTTGGCCTGTAAGACTGTTTTCACCAAACTACAGCCACCTCATGTCACCCAAGACATCATAGATGACTTCAGGTAGAGGCAGGTAGAGCTGTGGCTGGATCTGCTGAATTCTCTGTGGGAATCTGATCATGCATGCAGCTGCTCCCTACAGAAAGCAGGGGTCAAGTCATCACCTGTCAACTGATGGGTGCCGAGTTGAAGCCTGATGGATTGATTACACAACCAAGTTTCCGGTGGACCAAGTTCCTGTGTTTTTTGAAGCCTTCGTCCTCCCTATGCTCAGTGCTTTCCTGTCGCTGAGCATAAGGCCTTGTGCTGCGGTTCGCATGCGTCTGGCCACCAGCTGTGCAAGGAACTTTGATGGGTGGGTGGGGCAGCAGCCCACCTGTCCATCACCTGATATCATGATGACATCACTTCCAGAAGGGTGGGGACAAATGTGTGGCAGGCAAAAACATTCCTCTTCACCCAGGCCTCTGGCTAAATAAACAATATAGGCCTTATAAACTGTGTGTTGGGGGTGGTATTCTTTTGTTTGTCGTCATATTATGTATTTTTGTGTTTTTAGACTGTAAACCACCCCGTGATCCTTGGATGAAGGTCAGTAGATAAATTTAATAAATAATAATAATCTGGCCTTCCATGCCAAAAAAAAGTTCCCTACCACTGTTCCTGCACAACTCAGAAAGAATATGGGTTATAAATGCCACTAGTAGATTTGGTGACTTAGCCAAAGCAATCCAGTGAGCTTCAGGGTTGATTATAAAGTTCTCATCTCATTATTGGACTGCTTGAAGAGTTTTGTACCGCTTGACGAGAAGGTTGTCCTGGTGCTCGGTCTGTTAAGATATGAACTTGCTCAAGGCTTATTGGTAAGCTTCACAGCCCAGGCAGTAAATAAAGGCAGGCCTTCTCACTCTGCCAAACAGTAGCGCTAGGCCATAATCACTCCCAATTGACCCTGATTTCTGATTACTCAGATGCCGTTCAAAGAGGAGGCTGATGAGTTTCCGAACACAGAGACAGCTCTGTCACAGGCTTGGGAAGGGACGCTCTTCGACGCGGTCAAACAAGAAGATGAAGCAGACGCCACTCTGTCAGGTAATGCTTTGTGTGTTGTTATTTATTATTTAAGGCATCTACACTTTAGCATGAGGGGAAAAACTTCTCCCTAACCACTTTCTTCACACCATGCAAAATTTTATAGACCTTTCTTCCTATATACATAAAAAGGTAAGGCTATCGTCACGCTGCAGTTTGCGTAACTGCCAATAGGGAGAACTTCACAACTATAAAGCCACCAACTTTTTAACATTTCCTCTTAGGAGAGTTTCATGAGCCTGCTCATCATTTGGGTTGCCCTTTACTGCAGCTTCTCCCTTTTTGAGATTTTCTTATTTATTCTTCCTGGGGGATGAGCCAAACTGATGTTAAGATGCTTTTCTTGCTCCAGGAGGTGATGAGAAGCCTGCGGAGTGGCAGACGAGTCGGCCGGAGAATTCTGGGGAACTGGAATTGTGTGGCGTTTGGGGCAAACAACACATTTTGTGCTGTCTGGATCAGCACAGGACAGCCCCTGAGAGCCAACAGATGAGTTATCCAGGAGGGGACAAATTATTTCAGCCCAGCCTTCTGGCACTTGAGAACCCCTGGCCAGGAGAGAAGCAGTATAAATGCCCCGTCTGTGAGAAAAACTTTAAACACAAGTCGACGCTGACAGTGCACAAGAGGACGCATACGGGAGAGAGACCCTACCGATGCTCCCGCTGCGAGAAGAGCTTCATTCAGCGATCCACCCTCATTGTCCACGAGAGGACCCACACGGGGGAAAGGCCCTACAGATGCTCAGACTGCGGGAAGAGCTTCAACGAGAGGTCCATCCTTGTCAAGCACAAGAGGACCCACATGGGCGAGAGGCCCTACAAATGTGTGGACTGCGAGAAAAGCTACAAGCAGCTCTCGGCCCTCGCCGCACACGAAAGGACCCACACAGGGGAGAGGCCCTACAAATGCCCCGAGTGCGGGAAAAGCTTCACCCGCAGCTCGTTCCTCATTACGCACAAGAGGACCCACACGGGAGAGAAGCCATACGCGTGCACAAACTGTCGGAAAAGCTTCAGCCAGCGACCGCACCTGGTTATCCACGAGAGGACTCATTCAGGAGGGGGGCTTCTTTAGTGGTCGGGCTGTTGGGTAGCAATAAACTTGTTTCTTTTCCATATGGGTTTAGAGCAGCCTTTCTCAACCTGTGGGTCTCCAGATGTTGTTGAACTACAACTCCCATCACCCCTAGCTAGCAAGGCCAGAGCTCAGGGATGATGGGAGTTGTAGTCCAACAACATCTGGGGACCCACAGGTTGAGAACCGCTGGTTTAGAGTAATGTGCCATATCTGTAGCACTTGCACAGGAACTGCTTCACCTTTGGCAGTAGATAAGCAGAACAAAGGAAAAGGAGTCTTCTCACCAGTTAGAAACTTTAATGATCACAGCGAGAGAACAAAGAATCCATTTCCTAGGAATGACGGTGCTCCCAATTAAGGATTCCACCCACTTCCTCCCTAGTCACCCACGTCACTACAGCGTCTTGTAACCTGATCTCACAACCACTGTGCTTTCTGTGCTGCCACCTTCTGAGCTCTCCGTGACTTTGGAGAAGGAGGGTGAATGATGTCCAGAGACTGTGAATCTGTTAACCCTCTCTCTTCCGGTGTTTCTCCTCCTAGCTGTTCCCCATCCAGTATGTCCCAGCTTCTGCCTTGTAAACTGAGTCCCTCTGCGAACCACCACTCCAAATCTATACTGTCCTCCTGCTCCTGGGAAGAGTCAGGATCCTAATCAGGAGCAGGGGGAGGCTCTCACCATTCATTGCAGCCCTCCTCAGAACGGTCCAACACACTCATCAAATCCTTGTCCTGCCTTTTCCTGCTTGTTTCTGTTGCCACTGTAAGATTTAAGCAGGGTCCTTTACTTAAGGCAATCAGCCATTACTGGTTATAATCGGACAAGCAATGAAAGGGAAACAATAACAACAATAATAAAACTTTTTATTATTTATATGCCGCCCATCTGACTGGGTTTATATATTGCTTAATTGCCAAAGTTTCTAAGTGGTATACATCCAAATTAATTTTATTTATTCATTTCATAAATTTATACACCGTTGATTGCAAAAAACCTTAAAGAGGTTTATGGAAAGAATAAAGTTAAACACAACTATTTAAAACATTACATTAAAAAAAAAGAATCAGTGAGAAACTAAAAAGCAAGTTAAAATACACATCCTTGTTCTACGAATCTGGATAGGGTTTCTAAAAGGTATTTATTTGTATACTAATAGTAGCAATTTGAACTTGGCCCAGTAGCAAATCAGCAACAAGCACAGATCTCTGAGTATACGCTGACAATGCCCCCGCCCTGTCAGCAACTGTGCTGCAGCATTCAGCACCAACTGCAACTACTGGATCAAGCCCGAGGGAAGCCCCAAATTTCACATTCCAAAGCATACAATCGACAGCACCAATTACAAGAAATCAGAAAATCATGGGAGGAAACTTAACATTCCTGCTCGAACAGAAAGGCCTTCGTCAAACACCTGAAATTTCAACAGGGAGAGAGGGGTCTTCCTAAACTCAGCTGGGAGGGTGTGCCACAGAATTGGACCCACAAATTTAGGGGATGTGAGCTGTACATCTGGGCCGGGGAGAACCACTAAGGGAGACTCCCCTGCAGATCTCGGAGACCAGGCAGGAATATCAAGGATTAGGCAGTCTTTCGAGTTATCCTGGCCCCAAGCTGCTAAGGGCCTTTTAAATTATTATGTGGATCTTGAACTGAGCCCAGTAGCAGCCAAACAGCCAGCCCAAGCTTTTGAGAGCCACAGTTACATGCTGGCAGAAGGTCTATATATAGCTAGTCAACAGAGTTTTGCACCTCAACTGCCTCACAGACTTGCCAAGAAGAGTTGCTGTGCTCATTGGGCCGGGTGCTCCAGAGCAGACCTTGTTCATCCTAATTCAGTTTTGGCTTACCCTGTGTGATTTGGTGCCGGCTGGCTCCCAACAGATGCACTTTGGTAAAAGGTTTACTCTCCCCACCGCCACCCCATACAGGTTTTGTCATGTGCTTGGTATCAGCTGTCGCATTGCACAAAAGGGAGATTTCGCTCAACTATTAGTGTTTGCACAGTGGGGGGAAGCTAGAAAAGTGTTTGTGAAAATAATTTTTTAAAAACAAATGCTGTCTGTTTTCCCCCTCTTTTTTGATGCCTTATATATACAGTTATACCTCGGGTTGCGAACATGATCCGTGCGGGAGGCATGTTCGGAACCCGCAGCATTCACAACCTGCAGTGCCGCACGCACGTGACATGATTCAGCGCTTCTGCGCATGCGCGTGATGTCATTTTGCGTTTCTACGCATGTGTGAGTGCCAAAACCTGGAAGTAACCCATTCTGGTACTTCCGGATTCGGCGCGGTCTGCAACCCGAAAACGTGCAACCCGCACGTATGACTGTATGTATATACAGTGGACGCTCAGGTTGCGAACGTGATCAATGCGGGATGCATGTTCGCAACCTCCAGCCTTCGCAACCCACAGCGGCGCATCTTCCGGGTTTTGGCAGTCCGTAACCTGGAATAAACGCAACCTGAAGCGTCTGTAACCTGAGGTATTACTGTATACTCCCATTCTCAGACAGCTGACAGGCATCCTCCAGAGGTGGCTGAACTGCAACCACAATCATGGCCGCCCTTCGGCCACATTAGCTGGGGCTGAGGGGAGTTGGGGGCCTAATGAAATCTGGAGGGCCATGATGTTTCCTGCCCCTTTGGGAGGGCCATGATGTTCCTAGACCATTTGGGGAAAAGACTTGGTGGACCAGGGAAAGCTCACCGGCCCCCAAAGAGTCTCAGGTGAACCATGAGGCTGAAATAACATCGGAAACACAAAACAAACCATCACGAAAGGGGGAAAAAAAAGATGAAGCACACCATCTTGAGCAAAACATTTTTATTTCTTTATAAACACTCAAACGATGTGCTGCAAGAAAGGCCGATCCTTTTTTGTTCCCACCTGTTCTTCAAACCAGTTGTATTGTTACCCCGAAATTGTACGTAACTCGGGTTGCTTTGCTACCCCAAGATCGCTGCTTCTGGAAAACTTGTGAGGAAGGTGTAAGGAAAGGCGTGGGGAGAAAAGATGGCCGCTCCCCATTGGGGACTTGGTGGACCCCCAACCTTTTAGTATGCAGAAGCCTCTGGGAAAGGAGGCTCCACTCTTAGGTATTGCCAGCCAATAGCCTCTCAAGAGAGCTCTCTTCCATGTTGTCTATCAGCCTTCCCCAACTTGGTGCCCTCCAGATAATTTTGGCAACTTCTACCCTCAGCCCCAGCCAACAGGAACTGTTCAAAGGCATCTAAGCAGCAGCCCTCATAGCACCTTACAGAATTCAATTCCAGGGAAGTTTAGTGTCGTGTGAAGGAGGGCTCCATTTTTCATTCCCTGAAGCCACATCCCCTGCCAATTTCACTGGGCTGAGTCCAGCTTTTCACACCAAGGGGGGGGGGCTTATTTACTCTTTCTACAGGCTTATACATCTCATGTCAATCATTTAAAAAGGTTTAATAACCAACCTTCCTCCAAGAAAGCAACAAACCCAATTCACCAGCCTTGCCTTTCAGCCTCACTACCCTGTGAGGAAGATTAAGCTTGCTGCATAAACGTGCAATTTGAACCCAGGGCTCTGTCTGTGATGACAGAGAAGGCGCTCCAGTTTTAGGTCACCAGTCCTGCCAGTGAGCTACCAGACCCACATGAAGGTAAACTGAGTCCTACTCTGAGTAAACCCACTTATTTTTTAAGTCCATTGCTTTCAACAGATCTACTATCTCGGCCCCGGAAGACATCCTTTATATTGTGCCCTTACAGTGATTTGTGCTTGTTATACATGATCGCACTTTGCACCTGGAAAAGGCTTTTTTTTTGGTGGATATAGAGTGCTTTCTTTATAATGCCAAGGTTGCAGGTTCAATCCCCGTACGGGGTAGCTGGAAGTTTCTGATTTGCAAGGGGTTGGACTAGATGGCCCTCAAGGTCTCTTCCAACTCTACAGTTATAGGATTCTATATGCCGTAGCTCTCTGCTGAAATCCTGCAACTTGTTTTGGTTCCACCCCAGCATAAGAATGCCCCTCCAGATGGCAATTGTGTCATAACATTGGGAAGCATTGCAGAACAATTGATAACATGGAACGATGTGTGGAAGGTCCAGTATAATTTTTCCATTTCATGCTCTATTATTGCGTCAATGTCATGTTGCAAACTATACCCACAAAAAAAATACACTTGTCTGGAGGTGTCTTGTGATTAGCATGCTCCCAAAAGGCATGTAGATTTCTCTCTCTCTCTCTCTCTCTCTCTCCTTCCTTCCTTCCTTCCTTCCTTCCTTCCTTCCTTCCTTCCTTCCTTCCTCCCTCCTGTCCATCAGATTTGTCCACAAGGTCAATCTTAAGCCAGGCACCAAGGGTGATGCTATCGCAGCTGTGCTGACAATTGCTTTCCCTCTGAACCACTGGGCAGAGGTATTAAATATTGCTTGAGAATAAACGATCTTGGTAAGCCAACTAAAATATTTTGTCTACAGCCAGAAGAACAATGTCAGAAACCACAAAAGCTCTTGAAGGGCTTTCCATCAGTGGCTTTTAGGGAGGTCTTCTGGGCTAAGTGAGTAGACTTACAAAACAAAACAAAACAAAACAAAAAACAAAACTACCTAATTATATTCTATTGGCTACTGGGTTTATTTTTTAAAAAGCACCACTGCACCACCCAATATGTACTTAATCTGTGATTTTTTCCCCATGTCTTTGGTTCTTCCAAAGGCCTAGAAGGGATTTGTTCTATGTAGAACCCTTTTGACTGTTTTAAAAAAGTCAATTTATTGCTAATCCACAAGCAAAACTGTCCACGCTCTGCTGCCGAGAGTCAAGAAGAGCCAATGTGATTGTGTTAGCGTTGAACATGGCCAGTGAGATCGATGGCAGAGATGTTCTTTAGTCGTTTAGTCTAGTCGTGTCCGACTCTACGTGACCCCATGGACCAGAGCGCTCCAGGCACTCCTGTCTTCCACTGCCTCCCGCAGTTCTGCACTGGATCCCAGTTCCCAGTTAACCACTTCCTTGTTCCTGTGGGGCATTTTCCCAGTAACAATGAAGTGACTACAGGAGACAAACCTGCAAGTCTTAAATGAATTCAGGATGACGATGGAGCCAATTTATTTTCTGTTGCTCTACAGCAGATATGGAGAACCTTTGGCCTCCAGATGTTTCCAGAAAGCATGGCCAACAGTCAGGGACGATGGGATCTGTAATCCAGCAACATAGGGAGGGGCAAAGGCTCCTCCATTTCTGCTGTAGGGGATAGCACCCAAACCAACAGATTCAAATAAGAACAAAGAGAGATTTTGACAAAACATTTGGAAGAACGTCCTGAAATGTAGCTCTTTTGGCTGTGGAAAGGTTGATTCGCCTGTACCATGCCAGGTGGTCATGATGGGAACAATTGTTTAGAAATCAAAGCCTGAGCTTTGATTTTGATTTTCCTCTTCCCTCCCTGTCACCCTTTCCTCGTGTGTCATGCTTTTTTTTTTTTTTAAGATTATAAGCCTGCGGGGTCAGGATTGACTTTTTCTTTGTTTGTAAAGCAAACAAAGAAAGGAGCCTTTTTGGATGAAGAGCAGGCTCCGTATAAATAAATAAAAATAAATGGCAGTACTTCTAAAGGGTCTCTGGCAAGGGGAGGTCCTTCCCAATGATGTAAGAATAAGAGACCCAGGGGGTAGTGTTTTGTTTACTTTAATAATATTTCAGTATTAATTGCATTTAACCTTTCCACAAATGATTCCTACGTGTATTTTGTGACTCGCAAGCCGCCTTCCTATACTGCATTCCACTTCTATCTAACCCTGAAAGTGTTACAAATCGTCATTAAGGGTGTTCTAGCTCGCACCAGAGTGTAAATCCAAACTTCTCATTAAAACTTCCTAGGAAAAAGGAGAAGGGAAGCGAGATAAGGGAAATAATGTCAACACCCAACAAAGGCCTGGCTGCAAGAGAAACTGTGAGAGGAGGACATTTGAGACCCATGGCCTGGGCACATTTGGGTCACTCCAAGGTGACTGCAGGGGTGAAGATACCGATATGGAGCCATGTGTGTTTTAGTTCTGATGTCCTGTAACCTTTCCTGATGTATGTAGAAGGATGTTTTCGTTTCAAGAATTTTTAGATGTTTTGTGGCTTTTCGTTTGCCGCCTATGAAACCCTTGTTCTGATGCTCCTTGCGCCAAACTTCTTCTTAGGTGGTGGTTCGGCTAGAACAACCATGTTAAGTTGAGCTCTGCCCTATGGCAATACAGTGTTACCTCTGGTTACGTACTTAATTCGTTCTGGAGGTCCGTTCTTAACCTGAAACTGTTATTAACCTGAGGTACCACTATAGCTAATGGGGCCTCCCGCTGCCGCCGCGCGATTTCTGTTCTCATCCTGAAGCAAGGTTCTTAACCTGAGGTACTATTTCTGCGTTAGCAGAGTCTGTAACCTGAAGCGTATGTAACCCGAGGTACCGCTGTATCTATAATAATAAACGCCGGGCCCCCCTGGATGCTGGACTTGGAATTAATTTCCTGGGTCCCATTTTTTATTTGAAAGGTGGTCCCTCACCTGCATCACAAACGGAGCGGTGTGGAAGCAAATTCTTACCTTACCACACAGGTGGAGGTGCTAAGGGTTTTAGCTGGGAGCTTCTGCATGCAAAGCATGTACTCTAACCGCTGGTCCTACAGCCCTTCCTCTTTCTTGAAGAACGCGATGGGCCGCGAGACCCTTGTATGGGCAGCAGAGGCCGAGGAAGAGCCTGCAGCAAGCACAGAGCCAGTTGCAAGCTTTTCTGCGGCCTCCACAGGTGCTGAAATAGCTATGGGGAGACTCAGAACTGTGGCACCATCAGGGCTGGCCGTAGGGCCCTGTAGTCTGGAGCTTCACACAGCAGAATGAGCAGGAGGGATACCCAAACACAACAGGGGCCAGCTTGCCACTTATCTCTGCCTGGCTGGTTGTATTTTTGGCAGGCATTTGAGCTGCCCCCATACCGGTGTTGGGTTTGTGATCCCGGCCTACAGAACTCCATGGAAGGTGGGCAAGGGGAGATTTGGCTTGCTCACCTGCTGAAGAGAGATGGCTGCTGGCCATTAAGGGGCTCAGAAAGGAGAGGAAGAAGAGAAAAAGAAGAAGAGTTTGGATTTGATACCCCGCTTTATCACTACCCTAAGGAGTCTCAAAGCGGCTAACATTCTCCTTTCCCTTCCTCCCCTACAACAAACACTCTGTGAGGTGAGTGGGGCTGAGAGACTTCAGAGAAGTGTGACTGGCCCAAGGTCACCCAGCAGCTGCATGTGGAGGAGGGGGACGCGAACCCGGTTCACCAGATTACGAGACTACCCCTCTTGACCACTACACTACAAAGGAAGCAGAGAAGTCCCTCCCTCCCCCTTCAAACCATTGAGAAATGCTCCTCTTGACCAGAGCAAGCAGCTGGATTAGCAGACAGTGGGAAAAAGGAACAGGAGGCATGACGGAAGCAGGGCCGGCTCACCCATTAGGCTTGGTGAGGCAGTCGCCTCAGGCGGCAGGCCGGAGATAAGCTGAGAGGGGTAGCGGATCTGGGCCCCCCCAGAAGTGCGCCACTTGCTGCCTCCTGTTGTGTGACCTGGGCAGAGCGGCGCCACCTCCTCTCCAGCATCATATTCTCTCCCTTTTCAGCACACAGGGGTTTCCGTGTTCTGCCTCCAGCCGCCTCAGGGGGCAGCAGAGCGCCATTTTCTGTTTTGCTTCAGGTGGCAACATGTCTTGGGCCGGCCCTAGATTGAAGGGAGCGTGTGGGGGGGGTAGGTAGGAAACTAGCACAAGGAAGGTGACAGAAGTGGGGAAGGAGTCCGGCTTGCTGCCTCCCACTGCCTCTTTCGGACCAGCTCCCCTGTCAGGGACTGGCTGGATGAGGAGCAGTTGGGGAAGCAGTCTGACCAAGAGTCCACCCCCCCCTCCATGGAAAGTGCAGAGGGAGAGGATTTGGCTCCTGGTGGTGGGAAACCGGCCACCACCCCAGAGGAGGGGATGAGCTGGGAAATACTGGAGGCAAGGAGCTCGAGGGATAGCGAAGAGGCAGAATCAGACAGGTGCTGAAGCACAGGGCAGGGACAGGAGCTAGACTTAAAAAGAAACAAAGTAAAGAATTGTCCAGTAGCACCTTATAGACTAACCAAGTTTGTTCTGGTATAAGAAGAGGAGTTTGGACTTGATATCCCGCTTTATCACTACCCTAGGGTCTCAAAGCGGCCAATATTCTCCTTTACCTTCCTCCTCCACAACAAACACTCTGTGAGGTGTGTGGGGCTGAGAGACTTCAAAGAAGTGTGACTGGCCCAAGGTCACCCAGCAGCTGCATGTGGAGGAGCGGGGAAGCGAACCCGGTTCACCAGATTACGAGACTACCGCTCTTAGCCACACCACACTGGTTCTCATAAGCTTTCATGTGCGTGCACACTTCTTCAGATACAGTGGTACCTCTGGTTGCAAACGGGATCCGTTCCGGAGCCCCGCTCGCAACATGAGCAGAACGCAACCTGGGCGCGCGCAGGTCATGATTTGCCGCTTCTGCGCATGTGAGTGGCGTCATTTTGCGCTTCTGCGCATGCGCGAGTGGTGAAACCCGGAAGTAACCTTTTCCGGTACTTCTGGGTCACCGCGGGATGCAACCTGAAATTGCGCAACCTGAAGCGAACGTAACAAGAGGCATGGCTGTACACTGAAAAAGAAGTCACCAGACCCTTATATATAGTGGGAGGGTGCGGTGGGGTATTTCTCAGAAATGTGCATGCACACGAAAGCTTATACCAGAACAAACTTAGTTGGTCTATAAGGTGCTACTGGACAATTTTTTGTTTATTTTTATTTTGACTGCGTCAAACCAACACGGCTACCTACCTGCATCAGGAGTTAGACTTGGCAGTTCTCCCACAGAGCCACTCTTTACAGCTTCTCTGCTGACAGCTTGCAGGTCCCTCCCGCCCCAGAACAAGGCAATTATTGCATGTTGCCGAGCAGAGAGCCAGGCAGACACAGAGAGGGTCCCTTGCAGCTCACCGTAGACAGAAGGAGGGGCCTGACACAGAGGCCCAAGGAGTGAAGGGGGAGCTACAGGCCAGTCCGGGCAACTGCTTCATCAAGACAGGAGCAACCTTTAGAAGTCTCCGTGTGTTCTTTGTTCTGCTTTCCTTTTTCTCTGATCTGCAAACGACCTGCTCTCCTTGTCGTCTCCCAGACATCCCCTCTCTACCCGATCAATTGCTGTCAAAGGCAACGGAGGCTTTGGGGCACCTCTTTTTTGCCACAGCCCTCACTCACAGAGATGCTCCTTTGTAGTCTTGCTATATAGTCTGTAACTAGTTTTTGTTTAGTACAAACAAAACAACCCCCCCGGTCTCCCCCCAAAACCCTACCCCACCCACAGCCCGCAGACCTCTCAGTGGTGGTGCTTGATGAAGTTGGAGTTGTCGCTGAAGCGCTTCCCGCAGATAGAGCACTCGTAGGGCTTCTCTCCCGTGTGGATCCTCTTGTGGACGATGAAGTTGGAGTAGTCGTTGAAGCGCTTCCCGCAATCGGGGCACTTGTAGGGCTTCTCGCCCGTGTGGATCCTCTTGTGGCGGATGAGGCTGGAGCCCGTGTTGAAGCCCTTCCCACAGTAGGAGCACTTGTAGGGCTTCTCCCCGGTGTGCACCCGCTGGTGGATGAGGAAGGCGGCCCGGCTGACGAAGCTCTTCCCACACTCGGAGCAGTTGTACCACCTCTCCCCCGAGTGGATCCTCTCGTGTGCGATCAGGTTGGAGCGCCGCCGGAAGACCTTCCCGCACACATGGCAGGCGTTGTCCCTCTCGCCGGGGAAGAGGAGGGTCCCCGGCTGCATGGCGCTCTCGTCCAAGTCCTCATACGTCCCCTGGGAGTTGATGAACTTCCCTGCTTCCCGCTCCAGGCAGTTCCCGCCGTACAGCATCTCGGAAGGTTCCCCTGCACCGGGGCAGTGGGGAACGGTCTGTTCGACCCTTCCAGACAACATCCAACGTGGCTCCAGCTCTCCGGAAGCTTCCGGGTCATTCTTCTCCGGGCTGCACAACTTCTCATCGCCTGCTAGAAAGGGCAAAGGAATGGCGTTCATTAAGGACAGGGGTGGGGAACTGCCTGTAGCCCTCCAAATGTTCATAAAAACAAAGAATCGTAGGAGTTGGAAGGGACCACGCGGGCCATCTAGTCCAACCCCCTGCAATGCAATAGTCTTTTGCCCAATGTGGGGCTTGAACCCATAACAGTGAGATAAAGTGTCTGTCAAACACCAACTCCCATCAGCCCCCAGTGTGGGCAGTGGCTCTAGGATGAAGTCCTTTTCAATATGAAAATAATAATGATGATAATACAGTCATACCTCGGGTTGAAGCAGCTTCGGGTTAAGCATTTTCGGGTTGTGCTCCACGGCGACCCGGAAGTAACGGCTACTTCCAGGTTTCGCCACTCGCGCATGTGCAGGCGCTCAAAATGACGTCATGCGCAGAAGCGGCAAATTGCTACCTGCAGACGTGGGTTGCATTCGCTTCAGGATGCGAACGGGCTCCAGAACGGATCCCGTTCGCATCCAGGGGTACTACTGTAATAATAAATCCCCACACATAGAAGAGAAGCACACAGGGAAATGGGCTCAATAGCATAGATTTCTCTCTGCCATGCTGCTGTTCTGAATACTGAGATTTGGGGTGGGGAGTTGTATCAAGGAGCATCCAATTTTGCGAGGAAGATTGTTTGACCGTGGAATGGGCTCCCTTGGGGGACGATGGACCCTCCACCACTGGAGGTTTTTAAACAGAGGTTGGCTGGTCCGCCGTTCGAGGATTCTTCAGCTGTGATTCCTACAATCCAAGGTTGGGCTAGATGACCCTTGGCGGTCCTTTCCAAGCCTAAAGCTTTATGATTCCAAGCTTCCCTCTGCCGCATTCCATACACACACAAACACATAAGCACAGTCAGAAGTGGCACATCCCAGCATAAGGCTGCCCTTCTTCCCTACTCACGAAAAAACAAGGACAGCATTGAGCTATCAGGCTTGGCAGGATGTCTCCCAAAGGCCACAAGGGGGAAGAATCAGAGCAGGAGCACATACTGGGCACAAGCGGGGTTTCAGAAGGAGGCGTGAGGGCTCTGACAGGGCGCTAGGGTCCTCCTGCCTCCTTTCCAAAGCCCAGTTAGTGCTTTCCCAGCTTTTGGCCTCGCACAGGGCACCATAGTACCCAAATAAGAGCCAAAGGTCCCAAGTTCAATCCCCAAAATTTCCAGGTAGGGCTGGAAGAGTTTTCCCTGCCCACCGAGCCACTGGCCATCAATGTCGACAATTCTGAGCCAGGTTGACCGATGGAGCCTCCTGCCTCCCATGTCCCCAGTCACTGGGGTGCAAAGGAGGCCGTGACGATGCTCAGCTCGCCACCGAGCAACCACGACCCCTCAGAGATCCTTACGCAGCAAGGGGGCGTCTCCTTCGCTTTCCTCCTTCATCCCTCCAAGCAGCGGCCTCTGCCAGGTGTTCAGAGGAGCCTTCTCCGCAGAGTCTTCCTCCGCAAACGGGCGGATTGCCTGAAAACAGGGAAGAGGATCTCATTCAAGGGGGCAGGAACAGTGGATGGATTCTCACCCCCCCTCACCGACTACCTTGCCAGCAGCGCATCCGCAAAGGAGGAATCACGGTTGCAGGGGTTCAGGTACTACTGAACTCTCAAGCTGGATTACCCCATGGGGCTGCCCTTGTGTTGGAGCAAACGCTTATCCAAACAAGGAACTAATCTACATTGGTGCCAGGGGTAGATCTGGATGGGAAGATTGGGGAATGCAATCGCAGAGAGAGCAGCTCCTAACAAAAAAGGAAGGGGAATATCCCTGCCCCCCATTCCCAGCGTTTCCAGAAGCAGAGAAACAGGCAGAGACAGAAGCTGTGGAGTTGAGGGAGGAGCTACCCAGCTTTGAGATAGTAGCTAAGCAACCAGAAGGGAGGGAGCAGCTGGGCGATACATCAATTGAGAGTGGGGGGAGCTCCCTCCCTCCCCCCGAACTCAGAAGCCTGAGCGAGTCAGAGAACAAAGGAGGGACATCCCGTTTGTGCCCTTCTTGCTGCGGAAGTGGGGAGGAGTCAGAGTAGGCAACTGCTATCCTTGCAGAGAGTTGCCACTCTGTGCTTGCAACATGATACTGCAATAAAAAGACTATCAATCTACCAAATGCTCATTAATTCTTATCGGTGAGTTACCAAGAAGGGAGAAGGGAACTCCCGTACTTGACAACTGGTGAGTTATAACATTAAACGAGTGTTATAAAAATGTGACACCAGAGCCGTGATCTGTCACCAGTGGGAAATTGCACTGGGATATAGAGAGAATGGGGTTCTTAAAAATAATAATAATAGCATTTTCCAGATCAGTGTAGCCAAGGAGTGCTTTCAAGCAAAAAGTCAGGCCAGCAACCCACTAGGTGCCTAGCTGTAGTGGCAAAACTAGCAGCATCTAGCCTGCTATTCTGGGCAGCCCTCAATAATTCAAGTGCATTGCTAAGGGAGGGGAAACCTAGAGAAGAGGTTACAGCTCAAAGGGTAAAACATTTGCTCTCTGTGCAGACAGTCCCAGTTTTAAGCCCTGAAATCTCAGGAGGGCTGGGAGAGACCCCCACCTGAAACCCTGGAGAGGCTCTGCCGTCAGCGTGGACAATGCGTAGCTAGAAAAACTAATGCCTGACTTGACGCAAGGCATATTTCATTTGAGTCTAAATCAGCACTTTATAATATCCAGAATCGCAAGTCTTCCTCCTCCTCTTGCCTTCGTTTTCCTCTTGAGTCTTCTTCGCTCCCCATCCCCCTTTAAACCCAAAGCTTGCCCATCCCCTCTTCCCAAGAAACCTCCGGTCCCCAATGCCCTCCCCACCTCCAGGGCCAGCCACACTCACCTGCTGCTCTCCCACCCGCCCCTCGTCCTCCCGCTGCCTCAGCAGGAAATCTTCCGCCAGAATCACCGCCTGGGTGCAGGTCTGGGGGCTGCAATCTCGGACCCAGCCCTGCATCTTTGTGGGCAGGATGGCCAGGAACTGCTCCAGGATGACCAGCTCCAGGATCTGCTCCTTGGTGTGCCTCTCCGGCTTCAGCCACTGGTGGCAAAGCCTCCGGAGGTGCCGGCAAGCTTCGCGGGGCCCTTCCGCTTCCTGGTAGCCAAACCGCCGGAAGAGGCGGCACTCTTCACGCGAGCTGGCAGCCTCCTGGGCCTTCCTGCAGTCCGACTTGTCTTTGGCCAGGAGGCCCCTCTCGGCCTGGGAGGCTCCTCCGCTCAGACCAGGCAGGGTTTGGGAGTCTGGCTCCCATCTAGGCCGCTGGCTGGTGTCAGCCATTCTGTCAAAAGGGGTCAGGGAAGTCTGCGCACTGTTTCTCTGGAGCTGCGGGCTGCCCCCGACCGCATGGGGGGACTCCAAGGCCTTCAGGAACTCCTGCAGCTGAGATTCCCACCGCTGCTGCAGGCCTTTGCGGGGCTCCCGGATCGCTTCCTCGGGGACAGTTCTTTCCCAGAAATCCCGGATGCTCTCCGCACGGATGACACAAGGCCCCCTCCCTCCGTCTTTCCCCGCCTCGGGCCCCGCGGGGCTCTGCTCTCCCACCCTCTTCTCTCGCTCGGCCTGCTGAAGACCTGGCGCCGACGTATCTCTGGACTCCGCAGCCATTTCCACCCCCACCCCACCCTCGGTCGATTCTGTCCGTCAGCCCTGGCAGCGCCACCAAGTCCTGAACTCCCAACGCAAGGAAGTTGTGTGCAGGGGGAAGCAAACGCCGAACAGGCCTGGCCCCTGAAACAGAGAAAAACCAGAGGCCAGAATCAGAGCAAACTTAGTCAAGGGCAAGGCAGCCTTTTCTACCCAAAAGCCAGGTTACCTCGGAGGTCATCCTTTGCGGGTTGCAGGTGGTCAGTGGTCAGAGCCAGCACTGATGATGGGCACAGCCAGAGGCAAAGAATGTTATAGATCATTTAATGTAGAATAAAAACTGCCCAGCTTCCAATTCTTCCCATGGCCAGCTCAGATTAGAGTTCATAAAGCTACACAGGTCTGCTCAGGAGTAAGCCCCACTGGTAGTGCTGGGATTCTCAGTAAAGCATTTCAATGCCTTTCTTTTTTTAAGTTCAACAGAAAAAAGCTACTGTTCTGGAGAATTTAAGAGCATAAGAAGAGTCCGGATCAGGCTGATGGCCCATCTACAGGTAAAACTCAAAAAATTAGAGTATCGTGGAAAAGTTCCTTTATTTCAGTAATTCAACTTGAAAGGTGAAACTAATATATGAGATAGACTTGTGACATGCAAAGCGAGATATGCTTCCACTTCTCAGAGGTCCAATATTGCTCCATCTGCAATCCTTGTTTTGCTGATTTCATTGAATATTCTAATTTTCTGAGATGGTTAATCTGGGGTTTTCATCAGCTGTGCGCCATGGTCATCACAATGATAACAAATCAAGGCTTGACATATCTCGCTTTGCATGTCACAAGTCTATCTCATATATTAGTTTCACCTTTCAAGTTTACTGAAATAAAGGAACTTTTCCACGATATGCTAATTTTTCGAGTTTCATCTGTAGTCCAGCATCCTGTTCCCACAGTGGCCAGCCAGATGCCTGTTTGAAACCTACAAGCAGCAGGACCCAAGCAAACAGGACCCACTAGTAGTTTCAAGCAACTGACCGTGGAGACAGACAATAGCCATCATGGCTGATAGCCTTCTCCTCCATGTTTAGAGACAATCAGTGTGGCCAAGGGTTTGGAAAATAAGTCCTAAGGAGAACCCTCGAAAGAGCTGATGTCACAGCCACACCATCCATTTAAAGCACAGGGCTTCCCCCAAAGGATCCTGGGACCTGTAATTCTCCCCTCACAGCACTTCAATCCCCAGCACCCTAAATGAACTACAGTTCCCAGAATTCTTCTGTGGGGGAGCCAGGAGCTTTAAATAGTGTGGAGTGCATCAGTTAGCCTTGAGAAAACAAGACACCCTCTTCAAACACCTGAGAAGCTGTCGCATAGAAAAGGGGAGGACTAGATCTAATGGGATCAGGTTATAGGAGGGCTGATTACAGCTGAAGGACAGGAAGAACTTCTTGATGGTAAGAGCAGTCGCACAATGGGACCAATTCCTAGAGAGGCTGGTGCGCTCCCTCTGGCTGGAGGTTTTCAAGCAGAGGTTTCTGGTTGGGAATAATCTAGTTCTGGGTTTCCTGCTTCAAGTAGGGGAATTGAACTAGATGGCAGGCAAGCTCCTCTCAACTCTATGATTCTTGACTCATAAATAACCTTACCTTCTAATAATAGGAGCAGAGACATAGCTATCCAATTCCTACACTATGCAGAATTTTATGAACGTCAGTCCTTATTTTTATTTACTACTGAATTTTGAATGAATAAAACTCTGTTTACCCATAGGTCAACCCAATATAAATACAGCAAACCATCATTTTAACCTATTTAGCAAACAAATGCATACAAGAAACAGATCTCCAAGATCTCTTTCCCAGTTACTCAAGAGTCAGTTCAGAACTTAAGTATCTATGTAGATCCAACTTGGACTACCCACAACCCTTGGATTTCTATGTTTATTTGAGAGTTATGTTCATCTCCACTAGTTCTTCCAAGGATAGCTGTCAATTACTGGACTGGCTTTGCTGCCCAACTAATTTCTACCAAGATATAATGCAGGGCTCAGAAAACCTGTGACTCCAGCTGGTTTTTTTTGGACTGCAACTTTTACCTGCCTCAGCAGCCAGGCCAATGATCTGGGGTGATGGGAGTTGTGGTCCGGCAATATTTAGAGGAGCATAGGCTCCACATCACTACTATAGTATCTTGGAAGTGAAAAGGGATCTGTGGGTCATCTAGTCCAACCCCTGCTAGGTGCTAGAAATCCAGAAATAGAACTTTCCCCAAAATATGTCTGCCCAGCCTCTGCTTAAAGACTTCTAGTGACAGAGACGCCACTACTGCTCTAGGTATATACAGGGTGAGTCCTTTAAAAGAGGCCCCGTGGATACAGAATACACATGTTCCACGGGGCCTCTTTTTAAAAGACTCACCCTGTACAAAACTGATTTATCCCGAGTCAGACCATTGGTCCGTCTAGCTCAGTGTTGTCTAAACTTGCCAGCAGCAGCTCTCTATGATATTCCCAGTCCTAGGTAAAGGTAAAGGGACCCCTGACCATTAGGTCCAGTCGTGGCCAACTCTGGGATTGCGGTGCTCATCTCGCTTTATTGGCCGAGGGAGCCGGCGTGCAGCTTCCGGGTCATGTGGCCAGCATGACTAAGCCGCTTCTGGCGAACCAGAGCAGTGCATGCAAACGCTGTTTACCTTCCCGCCGGAGTGGTATCTATTTATCTACTTGCACTTTGACGTGCTTTTGAACTGCTAGGTGGGCAGGAGCAGGGACCAAATAATGGAGGCTCGCCCTGTTGCGGGTATTCGAACTGCCGACCTTCTGATCGGCAAGTCCTAGGCTCTGTGGTTTAACCCACAGCGCCACCCGCGTCCCTACCCTAAGATAATCAGGGTTCGAAGCTGGAACTTCTCCATGCAAAGCAGATGTCCTTCCCTGCTGTAACTGGTTCCATTTTCAAACCAGGAAATCGGCCCCACTGCCAAGCTCCTCTTACCTCCACTTTCGGAGGTAGTGTGTGCCTCTGAATGTCAGTTGTTGGGAATCACAAGTTGGGGAGAGCAGTGCTGTTGCACTCGAGTCCGGCTTCTGGGCTTCTTTATGAGGATTCTGGTTAGCCCCTGTGAGCACAGGACAGGACCTTTGGCCTGATCTTACGTTCCAGGAGGAGGAGGCAGAGGCGCGGGCAGGTGTTCCAAGGGCTAACCATAGAGGGGGAAAGCGAAGGAAGGACCGCAAGCGCTTCTCCCAGAGATTTGTAGTGGTAGCCTAGCATAGATGGTCTGATCTGCGGGTTTACTTCGGGCGCTATTCCCCCCCCTTCCTCCTGCCCCGCCTGATGGAATTGAGAGCTGCAGATGGAGCACGAGAGAAAAGATACAGAACTGCAGCAGCATCTTCATAGCTTGGACTTCGTTTTGCATGAAAAGTGGTTGCTGCTTGTAGTTATTTAATTGCAGTGTTTCATCAGCTGGTGTCTTGAGCAGCAACCTCTGGAAACGAAGGGCTAAAAACCAGCGCTGCTCTCCCAAATTATCTGGTCCCTTTTAACTTCGCATTTCAGCTGGTTGACTAAAATCCCTTATTTTGGCTGCTGATCCCTAATTTTCAAGGCTGCTGGTCTCTTATTTTCAAATCTGTAAGTTGACAGCTATGCCCTGAACCTGCCGGCGTCCACAACTCATACCCCCTGGCCAGGGTCCATCCAAGACCTCCTGCAACCCCACTGCAAAAGTGGCCACATCCTCCTTTAAGAGCAGCACCCAAGACTTACTAGCAGCATCTGCACGTGCGAAGTTTGAGGGCTTTTATGTTAATTAATTTGCATATTGCCTTGATCAAACAGCACAGAGGGAGGAAATTGCACCACCTTCTGCAAATCAAGCAGTTGTTAAAAGGCAGAGGAGCAGGAGTTTAAGGGAGAAGTTGGCAACCTCTGAGCTTGCAAAGTAGCCCCCCCCCCGCTCCCTTGGGCTTCCTGCCCATTTCCCACCTCCCACCCTGGATCCCTCCCCCCACAACTGCCCCCCAAGAGGATCACTTACCCGCTCCACCCCAGCCCAACTCACCTGATCTCCCCCTCCCCAGGAACAAGCACGGAAGGATCTGGGAAATTCAAAGGCCACTTAGCCACGGTGGGCGGGGCAGGAAGTGACCGCCACTGTTTACATCCCGCCCTCCGGCCACAACATCCGGTCCGCTCTAGGAAACCCAACCGCGCCTCTTGTTCGTTTTAACCCCTTAGAAAGCGAATAATTCAATTAAGTGAATTACAAAGCGGGGTTTGCTACTGATGGCTGAAATACATTCTTCCTGGCAGCTCTGGAATTGTGAGCTGCGAGAGAGAACCACGCAGGGCCTCTTTTTGGGGTGTATAGGAAGCCTGCTTGTGCCGGTCAGAATCCTTGTCCGCCTGACCCAGTGTTGCCTGCTCTGGCAGGCAGCAGCGCTGCAGGGTCAGGCGGAGGAGGGAAGGGCTGGGGGCCGTAGGACGGGAGAAAAGCCTTGCTTCTGGGGCTCCCCCCGGGCATCTGGTCGGGCCCTGTGAGAACCAGATGCTGGCTGCCTTTGGCCTGATCCAGGGGGCTCTTCATACGCCTTTTCCATGCTCCCCCTTCTGATATTTCAGTTTGATAGATTGATTGAATTCATACACCGCCCTTCATCCGAAGATCTCAGGGCGGTTCACAGCATAAAAATATAAAAATGATGCCCTTCTTAAACAATTGCACTGTGAGTCCGAAAAAGCTGAAGGTCTCTGGTGTAACGCCTTCCCGTTCATCTGTCCCCTGTTGGCTGCGATCACTGTCATTTATATAAAGGGCGATGGACCTGTGGTCCTCAAGATATTATTGGACTCCCCGTTCCCAACATCCCTGATCATTGGCCATACTGGTTTTGGCCGACGGGAGTCCCCCAACGTCTGGAGGGCCACAGGTTCCCCATCCCTGGCTTAACTGCATCCCCTCTGGATTCTCTCTCAGTGGCAGTACCTTTTAAAATTTACATATCAAAACCTTGAGAGTCCTGGGATCAGAGACTTGGGGAGGGATCCTCAAAGGCTGTTTAGTCCATCCTCCTGGCAAGGCAGGGGCAAGTCACAGCTACAGCATCCTGGCCATAGCTGTCAAATTTCCCTTTTCTTACGAGGAATCCTATCCGGAATAAGGGAATTTCCCTTTAAAAAGGGGAAACGTTGACAGCCATGATCCTGGCTAAGTTGGTATCTGGCCTCTAACAGAGGAGCTTGGCATATGCCAAGATGGTGTTTTCCACTGTCAAAAGTAGCACTTAACATTTCAGTTCTTCCAAACGTTAAGTCAAAATTTCTTTTTGTTGGTATTTGAACCCATTGGTTTGGATCCTACCCCTGCAGTATACATGGAGGAGCCTTCAACCTTCCAGATGTTGCTAAACTGCAAATCCTATCATCCCTGGCCATGCTTACTGGTGACATTTGAAGGGCCTAAGCTTTCCATACCTGCTGTAGAGTAACCAAAAAAAAATTCCTTGTGAATTCCCTCCAAAGTTTCCCTCTTTCCCCAAGCATAGAAAAAGATGACACATTTGGTAAGTTAATGGTTTACTTACAACCTCTCTGAAGTTGAGATTCATGCGCTTCAGGACAGATTGCACAGGCAGTTACAAAGTTCCTAAATTATGGGTATAGGAACTCATGAATGGCTTCTTAGAGCCATGCGGTCTGAGCTTGGAAGAAGAGGAAGAAGAAGAAGAAGAAGTTATTATTACCACCCCCCATCGTTCAGCCCAGATCTGAGTTCCAGCTCTGAGGGCCTTCTGGCGGTTCCCTCACTGCGAGAAGTGAGGTTACAGGGAACCAGGCAGAGGGCCTTCTTGGTAGCCCTGTGGAACACCGTCCCATGAGATGTCAAGGAAATAAACAACTATCTGACTTTTACAAGACATCTGAAGTCAGCCCTGTTTAGGGAAGTTTTTAATATTTGATCTTTTATCACATTTTTAATATTCTGTTGGGAGCCGCCCAGAGTGGCCAGAGAAACTCTGTCAGATGGGCGGGGTATAAATAATAAATTATTATTATTATTAAATTATTATTATAGCCCACCCATCTGCCTGGATTTCTAGCCCCAGCTCAGACGTCTTTACACACTGAGCTTCTCAGATAGACTGGAAGGAGGACAAAGGCTTGATTACCTAGTTCCTCCCAGGTTGAGCTAAACCTGGCAGGATAGCTTTCTCTACGGTCTTAACCCCTTCATGCATTAATTAGACTTAAGCATGTTGGTTATAGGAGGCTGTTTAGCTCACACTTCTAGCCCATCAAAAGAGCTTGCTGGATCAGGCCAACAGCCCACCTAGTCCAGCATCCTGTTCCCCACAGTGGCCAACTCGATAAGATACCTCTGTGAAGCAGACGACAAGAAGGGAATGTGCACAATAGTCCTTTCTTGCTCCTGTACCCCAGAAACTGGTATTAAGAGATGGGCTGCATCTGATCCTAGAGACAGTAGAGTAAAAATCAATCTACTGTCCATCTTGTTATGTACTGAAGTTCTCACCCTGGGCCAGCAGGGGGATACTGTAGATAGTTATGCAAATGAAGGATCGAAAGTGACGTTCAGTGATTGGATAGTTTGTATGCAAATGAAGGATCGAAAGTGACGTTCAGTGATTGGATAGTTTGTATGCAAATGAAGGATCGAAAGTGACGTTCAGTGATTGGCTAGTTACAGAAAATGGTTACTGTTGCATTCTAGTGGAGCTCTATATAAGCAGGCTGACTGAGCTCCTCAGTTCAGTTCTTTTCCAGCTTACAAATAAAGAGCTGCTTTGGAAGAATCGCTGTGTCGTCTGATATGTTCGCCCACAACTTAACACATCTATAGCCTTTTCCATTGAGCATCCTTTCAAAATGAAATTGACAGTGGCTTTGAGGCGAGAGGAATGCTCTCCCTGGAGAGGCTAACATGGACTCTGTTTTTGTGCTTTCCTGGCACCAAGCAAAAGCTTCCTTTTGTTTCCCCAGGTCCTTCAATCTCTCTCATCCTGTTACGTAACTGATATTTTATTTCAGTGTTTCTGCAGAATAACCTGATTTAGCTTTTGCAGCTGGGCTGTGTGGGTTGGCTATTATTTGTTCCGGGTTTCTTATACATTCCAAGATTTTGGGTTGTTATCCTGTTTCAGTCAGCAGAAGGGTGCCAGAACCTGTAATGGAAAGTTTAGTTTCTCATAATTCTGTATCAGTAACAACACCTGTGGGCGACTTTAGGCACATATAAAAGAGCTTAGCTTTGAAGCTGCCTTTATGAGTCATTTATGAGTCAGCACTGAGTTTTGGAAAAACTCTATAGTCCCTGCTGTCTCATAGGCAAGACATATTTTTTATACAAGAACTGATTTTGAATGTACAGTGGTACCTCGGGTTAAGTACTTAATTCGTTCCGGAGTTCCGTTCTTAACCTGAAACTGTTCTTAACCTGAAGCACCACTCTAGCTAATGGGGCTTCCTGCTGCCGCCGCGCTGCCGGAAGACGATTTCTGTTCTTATCCTGAAGCAAAGTTCTTAACCTGAAGCACTATTTCTGGGTTAGCGGAGTCTGTAACCTGAAGCATATGTAACCTGAAGCATATGCAACCCGAGGTACCACTGTATTTCTAATTCTATGAAAGGTGCCAACCTGAAGGGCAGCTTGCAGCTTTGCTCCAGAGTCAGTGCTGATATAGTAATACAGGCACCTTGCCACTCACGTGCGATCAGCACATGGTTGTCTGCTGATGTGCAGTTTTGGGTGCCGAAAGGGGGCGGGGCAGGAGCAGAACGGACTTGTGCATGACCCACTGATGTGCACAGCAGCCAGGAATGGAACCCTTGTGTAAGCAGGGATTCCCCTGTATATAATTTTGGGCCTGATAATAAATAATCCTTATCCATTATATTTATTATTACCAAAAGAAAAATCTCAAAGCAAATTACAGTTTAAATAATTTAACAATCTATTAACTTAACTGGGTGAGTTTTAAAATTAAATATAAATAGAATTTTAATTAATTTGCATTACAGTGGCACCTTAGGTTACATAGGCTTCAGGTTACATAGGCTTCAGGTTACAGACTCCACTAACCCAGAAATAGTATCTCGGGTTAAGAACTTTGCTTCAGGATGAGAACAGAAATCGTGCTCCGGCAGCGCGGCGGCAGCAGGAGGCCCCATTAGCTAAAGTGGTGCTTCAGGTTAAGAACAGTTTCAGGTTAAGAACGGACCTCTGGAACAAATTAGGTACTTATCCCGAGGTACCACTGTATTTTTAACCACTGTTTTTTCCCCATCCACAGGTATCTCTTCTGATTTACGCAGATATTTTAAACGGTTAAGTTTGACGGTTTGAAATATTTTCGAATCCGTAATTGGTGGTGTATGGATTTCGTGAAATAAATAAAAACAATTGACAAAAGGTTGTAAGAAAATCCCTCCCAAACACTTCATGTTTTCTTGCCACAGAATTCACAGAACCACAGGGCAGAGTCCACACATCCGCCCTGCCTTTAAGGGCTTACAGTTTTATTATCAACTTTAAACATTTCCTTTCCACGTAACAATCTGCGAGGTTGAAAAAGAAGAAGCATCAAACAGGTACTGGAGCTCTTCTATGTGGCCTCCCCAACTGAGGTTGTTGCCATGTTTATGGTACTGAGACAGTTCCTTTCCTCAGAGAGCTCTGTTGCATAATGGAAGGTCCGTGTGGTATGGATTCTCTCGTGAGCTGTAAGGTTTGCGCTCTGGCTGAAGCTTTTCCCACAGGCGGCGCACGTGTACGGCTTCACTCCCGTGTGGGTCCTTGCATGAACAATAAGGATGGATCTCTGGTTGAAGCTCTTCCCGCACTCGGAGCACGCGTAGGGTCTCTCTCCTGTATGGACCCTCCGGTGGGCTTTGAGATGCGACGGATTACTGAAGCTTTTCCCACAGTCCGAGCACTTATGAGGCTTCTCTCCCGTGTGGATTCTCCGATGAGCGATGAGGTGCGACTGGTGGCTGAAGCTCTTCGCACAGTCGGTGCACTTATAGGGCTTCTCTCTGGTGTGGACTGCCTCGTGGGCGCTGAGGTTGGAGCGGTGGCTGAAGCTCTTCTCACGGTTCAGACACTTGTACGGCCTTTCCCCTGTGTGCATTCTCTGATGTATGACAAGGTTGGAGCGGCGACTGAAACTCTTCCCACAAGCTGAGCAGCTGAATGGCTTCTCTCCTGAATGGGGGCTTTCGTGCAAAGTCAGGTGAGGCTTCTGTCTAAAGACAGGCCTGCACTGAGCAACTTCATCCTCTTTCCTCACTAGGGGATTCTGCTGTGGGTTTCCAGAGCTTTCCCCCCAAACAGGACAGTGAGGAATGTTCTGTTTGGTACATCCCAGCAATTCCACCACTCCACAATGTTCTGGCCGATGTTGCTCCATCTCCCATGTCCTCTCATTGCCTAGGGGCATAAAGAGAGATTCCCAACATGAGTCATTCCATGTATCAAGGGGAGAAAGAACATCAAGAAGCAGGCTAAACTAAACAAGAGGTAATAATAATAATAATAATAATAATAATAATAATAATAATAATATAATTTATTACTTATATCCCATCCATCTGGCTGGGCCTCCCCAGCAATCAAATATTAAAAATTTCCCTAAACAGGGCTGCCTTAGAAAATGGTGTTTAGGCAATACGTGCAAAAGAGCATCCAAATAATGTAAGTTCTTTTCTGAGAGTTAGGAAAATTCACCAGAGTCAATTGGATGTTCTTCCTCATTTTGACCGGAGAAAGGGTCTAAGGCAACAGAGCAATTCTCCCATCCCAGCCACAGCAAATTCTTACCCAAGGAAATGGCACTCGCACTCTCGTCCTCCTCCTTGATGCAAACCAGCCCCTGCCAGGTGTCCCCCTGATCCTCCTTGGCCTCAGATAGAAGCGCCTTCTCTGCTTTGCAAAGCTCCGGTACCTGGAAGAACAAGTGAGGCAAGAGTTTCAAAAAGCATGGGGGAAATGCAGAGAATACTTCAGAAAACAGTGCCCTAAATACATACCTGGACTTGTTTCGATTAATGTCTGCAGGAGACTTTGTGGATATTTAAGTTATAATTAGAAAAATCTTAATAATTATTCATAAAGGAAACAGCTTATAAGAAGTAAATAAGGAGGCCAGATACGGGATAGAGGAAGTCTTTTATTTGGTTGTTTGTATGGTTGTATGTTATGCTTATTGTATTTCTGTACTAGGGGGTGGGGGGGTTATGTTATGCTGTAAATAAAATTTCCAATAATTTTTTTTAAAAAAGAACAAGTGAGGATCCCATTCAGGGAACAGGCCCAAGGCCTGGAGAGGGCAGTCCCAGAAGGCAGGGTTCCCCTCCCTCTCTCGTAATGCCAGAACCCCAGGGGGCGGGAACCACAATGAGGCAGAAAGTTAGGAGATCCAGGGCAGGCAAAAGGAAGGACTTCTTTAGCACAGGGCTGAACTACAGAACTCCCGGCCACAAGAGTCAGGGATGGCCACTAAATTGGGTAGCTTTAAGAGAGGACTAGACAAATGCAGGGAAGAGACGACTATCAATGGCTGCTGTTCTCAATGGCGGAAGGAGCGATGCCACCGAATACCAGTTGCTACAAACTGCAGGTTGAGAGCTAGTGTGGTGTAGTGGTTAAGAGCTGTAGACTCGCAATCTGGTGAACCGGGTTTGCTTCCCTGCTCCTCCACATGCAGCTGCTGGGTGACCTTGGGCCAGTCACACTTCTTTGAAGTCTCTCAGCCCCACTCACCTCACAGAGTGTTTGTTGTGGGTGAGGAAGGGAAAGGAGAATGTTAGCCGCTTTGAGACTCCTTAAAGGGAGTGAAAGGCGGGATATCAAATCCAAACTCTTCTTCTTCTTCTTCTATTTGTATTGTGCTCTGGTTCTGCTCCTATGGTTGGTCACTGTAGGAAGAGGATGGTGGACTAGGTAGGCCTTTGGCCTGATTCAGGCGCAAGGCCTTCTGCAGGTTCTTAAATTCAGGTAGGATAAGTCTGCTGGTGACTACTAATCACAATAGCTGCTGTTGCAGGCAAGGATACTCCTCTGCAGTACAGTGGTACCTCAGGTTACATACGCTTCAGGTTACATGTGCTTCAGGTTACAGACTCCGCTAACCCAGAAATACTGCTTCAGGTTAAAAACTTTGCTTCAGGATGAGAACAGAAATCGCACGGCAGCAGCAGGAGCCCCCATTAGCTAAAGTGGTGCTTCAGGTTAAGAACAGTTTCAGGTTAAGAACAGACCTCCAGAACGAATTAAGTACTTAACCCGAGGTACCACTGTACAGTCGTACCTTGGATCTCGAACGCCTTGGCTCCTGAACAAATTGGCTCCCGAACGATCAAAACCTGAAAGTGAGTGTTCCAGTTTTCGAATGATTTTTGGAAGCTGAATGTCTGTCGGGGCTTCTGCAGCTTCTGATTGGCTTCAGGAGCTTCCTGCAGCCAATCAGAAGCTGCACTTTGGTTTTTGAATGTTTTGGAAGTTGTACGGACTTATGGAATGGATTTCGTTCGACTTCCAAGGTATGACTGTAGTTGAAATTCACCAGGCACATTTTACAACTGGCACAGGTCCAATTGCGACCATGTGGAGATTTCTGTATGCCAGGTTGGCTAGTGACACCTCCACCTGGCTGGCCCCTTCCAGCTTTCTTAAGCAGCTAAGCAGAAGAGCTCATTTATTGCATTTGTCTCCCACCTTTTTCTCCAAGGAGTCTATGGTTCACCTCCCCTCTTCAGTGAATCCCTACAACGTCCCTGTAAGGTAGGCTAAGGGGCTGTGACTGGCCCAAGGTCACCCATCGAGCTTCATGACTGAGTGGGGATTTGAACCCTGATCTCTCAGCTCCTAGTCTGACATTCTAACTACCACACCACACTGGCTTCCCAGAGTTCTTCTGCTATGGGGCATCTCTATAAATTAAGTCGGTCCATAAATATGGGGAAAGCAAAATGTCACTTACAGAAGGATCTGAAATACTTTCATTGAAGCTTAAATTTATTTTCTTCTGGGCTGTTTTATTTGATGTTTCAATGTGCTGTGAACTGCTTTGAGATTTTTTTCTTTAAAATATAAAGTGGTATAGAAATTAAATGAATATATAATAATAACAAATCCCATTGAGGGGGAAATGGCGCCTAGACTTTCCATTGTGGTGACCACAACCTAGGTTTAAGGTGCCATTTGACGATTAGCTTATATATCAGTGTTTCTAACACTGTTTCTCTGAATACCACTTACTTAGGGAATCACAATCATGAAGACCATTGTTGCACTAGGCTTCTACTGTTCTCATGGACATCTGTTTGGCCACTCTGAGAACATCTCCCCGTCTGCCCTCTATACCTTATTTCTCCCATTCATGTTCTGACTAGGCCATATGTATTTGAAAACTCTTCAGAAATGAGCAACTTCCAATCTCTCACCTGAGCTTCCTGTCTCTTGCCTTCTTGCTGCATAAGTAAGGCGTTTTCCACCAGCAACACAGCCTGGGCACAAGTCTCTGGGCCTTGTTCCGTGACCCAGCCCTGCGTCTCCAAGGGCAAGACAGCCAGGAACTGCTCCAGGATCACCAGCTCCAGGATCTGCTCCTTGCTGCTTCTCTCCGGCTTCAGCCACTGGTGGCAAAGTTCTCGGAGCCTTTGGCAAACCTCGCGGGGGTCGTCACCTTCCAGATAGGGGAATCGCCGGAAGATCTGCCGCAGGGTGTCCGGGTCGGCCAACTCCTCATCCGGAATCTCTTCCTTCACTTCCCTGTGGCTGGCCTTGCCTTCGCCCAAGAGGCCGCTCTCAGACCATTGGCCTCCCCTGCAGAAGCCTGGCATCATTCGGCTCACAGTCTTCTCTCCTATTTCCTGCCAACCAATATCAGCTGCGTTGCCGGTAGAGGACAGAAAACCATCCCTTGAAATGGGAAGCTGCAGCATCAATGGCTGTGGGTTGTCCTCTCTCGAGTGGAGAGACTCCACTTTCCTCAGGAACTCCTGCAGTTGGGCCTCCCTGTGTGGCTGTGGTCCCTTACAGTTTTCCTTTGCGATCTCATGCAGTCTGGCTCTCACCCAGAATTGTTTTCTATGCTCACTCCGGATAGCAAGTGGGTCTTCTCTCGAGTCAAGCCGCGATTCTTCTCCTCCGCCCTCCTCCTCTCTTTTCACCCGCTTCTTCACCACAGTTTGAACCCGGACGCCGCTAGCTGAACCCCCTCCTTCGTTCGCCATTTTCCCTCTCCTTCTCCCAGACCAAAGCCAACCTGAAAAACAGCACTGCTGTTTAACAACAACGTGTGTGTGTTTCTAAGGGGTGAAATTCAACCTCCCTGACTAACAAGGTTTTCTTCCCTCCCTGCGGAAAGAGAAAGAGTCAGTTGGCAATATTTAGACCAGGATGTCTCAAACCTTTGATTCTGCCCCTGTTTCATCACCGCAGCAACCCTGTGAGGTAGGCCACCCAGTAGGCTTCATGGCTGAATGGGCATTTGAACCCTGGCCCACCAGATCCAAAGAGCGCTGGTGGTTGTGTGACTACAAATCGCATCATCCTCGACTACTGGGCATGCTGGCTGGTGCTGAGGGGAGCTGCAAACCAACAACATCTGTAGGTTCATAGTTCCCTACTTCTGGTAAACAGATTAAGTGCAGTATATGAAGCTGTTTTCCAGAGTCAAAACATTGGTTGATCTGGTCAAGTAACTCAGCCTCTGTTGTCCTAAGAACATACGAAGAGCCTGCTGGATCAGGCCAATGCTCCGTTTAGTCCAGCGTCCTGTTCTCACAGTGGCCAACCAGACCAGCAAGCAGGATTCGAGCACAAGAGCTCTCTCCCCTCCTGTGGTTTCCAACAACTGGTATCCAGAACTGGTATTCCAGCAACTGGTATTGCTGCCTCCCAGCTGTGGAAGCACAGCATAGTTGAGCAGCCATTTATAACCTCCGTCATTTTGTATAATCCTCTTTTAAAGCCCCCAAATTGGCGGCTATCGCTGAGACCTGTGGGAGTGAGTTCCATAGGTCTGCTAATGTCATCTAATGTTTATTGGATGGATTTTCCCCCTAAATTGATTTTTGAATTCTGAATTTATTGTTATTCACGTTTTATACTGTATTTTAAGGTGTTTTTTGTTGCATCAATTAAGTGTTTTAAATTGGTTGTTAGCCACCCTGAGCCCAGTTTTCTGAACCGGGAAGGGCGGTGTCAGGGAACTGCCATCAGCTCAGAGGCGAGAGGTGGAAGAGAAGTTGTGTTACAGGGAGCCTCCGAAGGTCTTGTGAAGCAGTTGTTCCTCTGGCGAGGAGGGAAGCCCCGCCTCCAGTGGGGAAGGGGCGCAGGGATCAGAAGATGCTAGGGAGAGCCTCAACACCAAGCCTGAGCAAAGTGGAGGGGAGGTAAGTCCCCCTTTGCCAGCGCCCACGTTGCGCAGTGGGTTTGCGCGCACAGAGAGGAGGAGAAGGATGGGGGTCCCACGACTGTTATGCTGGGGAAGGTATAAGGACCGCCCACTCCCAGATTCTGCTAGCGACTGAGCAGACATGGACTTGTGACGCTCTGCACTGTAAAATAGTTTGTACAGATAATAAAGCCTGGAAAAGACAGGTTGGAGTCTTGCCTGTTTGCTCTCGAGCAACCACACCAACACCTGACAGGCAGGTACCCTGCCTGTCAGTTATTTATTTATTTATTTATTTTTGCATGCATGCATTGTGTGAAAAAGTTCTTCTTTTGTGAATAGGAAACCCCAGAGAGCCACTGTCCATCAGTGTAGCCTCTGGGCTTCCTAACCCCCTTTCCCGCTTTCCTATTTGAGCATCTAGGGGAACATAGTCAACATCAGAGCCCAGACTCTCAAGGGATAAACTTCCCAAAGGGTGGACCAACGGCACGTAGTACGGAGCTAATGCAAACAACACAGGCTGAGGGAGAGAAGGGGGCAGAGTCTGAACTCTTCTCTCCTTGCCAGCAACCTTTCAAGCGGAGGTTGGCAGGCCATCTGTCCTGGATTCCTGCATTGCAGGGGGTTGGACTAGATCTGTGTTTCCCAACCTTTGGCCTCCAGCTGTTTTTGGACTACAACTCCCATCATCCCTAGCTAGCAAGACCCAGTGGTCAGGGATGATGGGAACTGTAGTCCATAAATAGCTGGAGACCAAAGGTTGGGAAACACTGGACTAGATGACCCTCGGTGTCCCTTCCACCTCTGCAATGCCATAATGCAACTTCCTTCACGTCCTGTCCTCCCATCTGACTTGCCGCCTCCTGCCCTCATCCCATGCAGTTTCCTCTGGGCTCGTCTTTTCCCCTCTACTAGCCTTCCCCGCCCTCCGCCTCGACTCACCGGAGCTCCAAGAAGGAGGGAAACCAGAATCCAGCTGCGCCTGCCCCGCGTGGGAAATTCAAACGCTACTTTCCCACGGTAGGCGGAACAGGAAATGACCTCACGGGTTGCTCGCCGCCAGCCTTCCCTCCTCGCCTAAAAAATCTAGCCCCTCTGGGCATCGACTCGTTAGCTTTAACTCCTTCGTGCATCTGCTCACCTTAGCTTCAATATGAGGGCGTAAACCTCCAAGGACCAGTCTGGGAAATCCTTGCTTTATAGAATTATATATAGCTCCCCTATGGGGAAAGGTGCATTTTAATTAGAGGCTTTTTAATTTATTTCTTAAATTTAAATTAGTTTTTAATTTAATTTGGGGCTCTGCCAGGGTGAAGCTACAGTTCCCAGGATTGTTGGGGGCGGGGAGCAGGAGTTGTGTTTTTTTAAAGGTGCATTGGGTGTGCTTTAACAGTACAGCATGGATCCACTAACAAAAGGAGGGACTTCTTCACGCAGGGCATAAACTGTGGAACTCACTGCCACAAGAGGCGGTGATGGCCACCAACATCATCATCACCATAATCATCATTTATTATTTATACCCCTCCCATCTGAGTGGGTTTCCCCAGCCAAACAGACTCCCAACAGACTCTTAAAAGCACAATCAAACATTAAAAACTTCCCTAAACATGGCTGCCTTCAGATGTCTTCTAAAAGTCAGAGAGTTGTTTATTTCCTTGACATCTGATGGGAGGGTGTTCCACAGGGCGGGAGCCACTACCAAGAAGGCCCTCTTGAAAGGAAGTTAGACAAATTCATGGAGGGTAAGGCTATCAACAGATAAGACACCTGACAGCTAGGTTCTTCTTCCGTTGTCAGAGGTTGTATATGCCTTTGAATACAAGGTCCTGCTGGTGGGGGCGGGGTGGCGGCTTCCCATTGAGGCTTCTGGTTGTCCAAAGGATGCTAGACTAGACAAGCCATCAGTATGCAGATCTGCAGGGAAGAGGATTGGGACAAAATCTCTATTTAGTTGACCCTTGGGGTCACTTCCAACTCTATGATTCTGTGACAACTAGAACTGTAGTTGGGTCTGCCTGTCGCTGGCTCTCTGGCACCACCTACTGTTGGTCTCCCTGCCATTAGCCCTACCAGTCCTAATGAGCACCAGTCCCAAATAATTCTCAGGACTGTAGTTTTCCCCTCAGAGCTACAATTCCCAGCCCCCTTAAAAAAGGCAGTAACCAGGATTCTTTGCAGCAAATCATGTGCATCTGGTGCGAATCTGCCCAAACATTTGCAGGGCCACAGCAGGTTTCCCATCTCTGCTATAAAAATTACAAGACAACTGCAAAAGTCCTGAGGAAGACCATCTTTATTTTACAATCTATTTGAAAAACTACTGTCACCATAAAGTTTACCATAAAGTAAGTGTCCAAATGGGATGCGGGTGGTGCTGTGGGTTAAACCACAGAGCCTAGGACTTGCCGATCAGAAGGTCAGTGGTTCGAATCCCCGCGATGGGGTGAGCTCCTGTTGCTCGGAACGGTGTTTCCGTGCGCTGCTCTGGTTCGCCAGAAGCGGCTTAGTCATGCTGGCCACATGACCCGGAAGCTGTACGCCGGCTCCCTCGGCCAATAAAGCGAGATAAGCGCCGCAACCCCAGAGTTGGCCACGACTAGACCTAATGATCAGGGGTCCTTTTACCTTTAAGTGTCCAAATAACTGCTAGCAAACTAGCAGGGTGAAATCTGCAAAAAAAATAGACTACAAGCACCCTTTTCGTTTTCCAAAATGCTTCATCATCTTTATTTTATTTACCTTTTTTTATTTTAATTTTATTTTATTCCAAACAACCCTCTGATGGAGATTATATTTTCATTTTTCAGAAGGGGCATTGCTGAGGCTCAGAGACAGAGGCTCCCCCCAACTCACAGAATTGGTCCACGGCACTGGGGGCTTGTCCCCCAAGCGGGGTCTCTTATCTGCCCCCAAGACGGAGACTGCGTTTTTCCCGGCTTCCAAACACTTCAGAGTCTTGTCCCCGTTATGGATCCTCTCGTGTCGAATGAGGGTCGACTGGTGACTGAAGCTCTTCCCGCACTCGGAGCATTTGTAGGGCTTTTCGCCCGTGTGAGTCCGGTTGTGCGCGATGAGGGACGACCGGTCGCTGAAGCTCTTCCCGCAGTCGGCGCACGAGTATGGCTTCTCCCCCGTGTGGGTCCTCTTGTGGGTCGTCAGGGTGGAGCGGTCGCTGAAGCTCTTCCCGCAGTAGGGGCACTTGTAGGGCTTCTCGCCGGTGTGGATCCTCTCGTGCTTGACCAGGTGGGGCCTCTGGCTGAAGCTTTTCCCGCAGTCCGAGCACTTGTAGGGCTTCTCGCCGGTGTGAGTCCTCTCGTGCAAGATCAAGTGCGACCGCTGGCTGAAGCTTTTCCCGCAGTCCAAGCATTTGTACGGCTTCTCCCCGGTGTGGATTCTCTGATGAGTGATGAGGACGTTCCTGCGGCAAAAGGTTTTCCAGCAAACTGAACATTTGTACTGGGACTCACCCGTCAGTGTCCTCTCGTGCACTATGAGATCGGACCTCAGCCTGAGAACTTGCCCCAACTGAACCCCTGCGTTTTCCTGCTCACCTTTCAGGGCGGCTGGCTGTGGCGCGATGCTGTCGTCCAGGTCCTCGTACCCACCCTGAGAATTAATGAATTTCCCGCCTTGTGCTTCTGGTTTGTTTCCTTGCAGGCTCTCAGAGTCCTCTGCTGGACTGACGATGTTTTGCTCGTCTTCCCTTGACAACGCTACAAACGGCTTCAGTTCCTCAGCGTTGCCCGGGTGATTCCTCTCCTTCCGACGTGTCCCCACAGAACATGCTAGAGTGGGGGAAATAATCCAGGTGTTATTATCCTCTGCTAAAAGAGAAAGTGGGCAAAAATCAGGCTCAAGACAGGAAGGAAGTGAATGGTGACGCTCGCCCTGTGGAACACCCTCCCACCAGACGTCAAGGAAATAAACAACTATCTGACTTTTAGAAGACATCTGAAGGCAGCCCTGTTTAGGGAAGTTTTTAATGTTTTATTGTGTTTTTGATATTATGTTGGAAGCTGCCCAGTGTGGCTAGGGAGGCCCGGCCAGATGGGCAGGGTATAAGTAATAAATTATTATTAATCTGGAAAAGACAAAGTTATCTTCTCACCGCCAGCTGCCCATGACTCACTTTGGGACAATCTGTTAAGATGGAGAGCAGAAGACTGATGTAATTATTTCGAAATGATTGACAAACTTAATGTTTATTATTTATATTGCATGAACTGTTTCTGACAGGGTTGTGGGTATGTGGGGTTTGTTCGTTTTATGTATTTTTAGAAGCGGGGGAAAAAAAGATTTGTTAAAAACCACAGGAAGGTAGATCAGATTTTCAGGGTTGCTCCTCTCCTTCCCCCTAATGCCATATGCAGATCCTACTAATGTCTCAGGAGATGTTGAACTCACCTTCACTGGAGGGGTTTTTTGTGTGTGTGTGATAAAGATTTTATACTTGTAAATATGAAAGTTAACCAACAACATAGCTAGCACAGGCAAAGTTCGTCAGCTCAGTGCACAAAACGGTATTTGAAACAGGATTTCAAAGTGGTACCTAAATTTGGGGGTCTTTAATAAGTTTTGCAACTTGTCCTTTGACACACACTCTCAGCTCAGAGCTGCACATTTAAGTAAGTAAGAGATGTCATTTAGTTTCCAAAAAAATGTTAGCTGATATAGATTTTGTTATTTTAAGGAGTCAAAAATGTTCATAAATACTATTAAAAATATATGGGCCCTGATGGCACAAAATTAGACCAGGATGAACATGTCCTCTCAGATTAGCTGATTATATAGACAACTACTTGTAGCTGGTGCTGGATCACGTGTGTGAGACATGTGGTTTTTATTTTTATGGCTAGCGGCCTCAAAAGCTGGAAGGAGGCCGGGCTTCTCTGAACCTCTGAGAGGGCCTAATCAGAATACAGTGGTACCTTGGTAGTCAAACGCTTTAGTTGTTGAACAAATCGGCTCCCGAACGTTCAAAAACCCGGAAGTGAGTGTTCTGGTTTGCGAATGCTTTTGGGAAGCTGAACATCCGACGTGGCTTCCGCAGCTTCCGTTTGGCTGCAGGAAGCTCCTGCAGCCAGTTGGAAGCTGTGCCTTGGTTTTTGAACTGTTTTGGGAGTCAAACGGACTCCTGGAATGGATTAAATTCGAGAACCAGGATACAACTGTATCTGGGTTCGCCACCCATTCTCCCAGCGAGCCGCTGCAGCTTCAACATTCCCTTTTGCGATTTCAGAGCACCAAATTTTTTTAAAAAGAAGACAACAAAATAAAAACAAAAGCCTTACCAAGCAAGGTGGCATCTCTGTCGGCCTCTTGCTTGATCTTCCTGAAGTGAGGCCTGGGCCAGGTATCTGGTGGAGCCCGTTCCGCCTCAGGGAAGGCCCGTACCGCCTCCTTGAACAGCACATAAGACAGAAACAGCGAGGGTCTCACTTAAATAAATAAATAAAAGCACTCAGAATGTCGTGTTAAGATCTAAAAATACCTGCCCATCCTCTTCTTGCAGGGCCAAGCTACACATTGTGTTGAAAACTAGCCTGCTTAACCGACCTACTTTTATTTCGGGGGGAAAGTGGCCGCAGGCCCTCCGATCACATCTGCGTTCCAGATTGGACGACCGACAGCTCGCTTTTCCTCCAAATGAAAAGCGGGTGCCATGTTTCTGTCGACAACCACCCCTGCCCTCTATCCAACGGGAATCCTTGTTTTTCAATAATAATAATAATAAATTTTATTTATACCCCACCCTCCCCGGCCAGAGCCGGGCTCAGGGCGGCTAACACCAATAAAATCACAGTAAAAAACATGATAGGGGGGAAAGACACAATTTAAAGTACAGGTTAAAATGCAATTTAAAATGCAGCCTCATTTTAAAAGTAGCTGATAAATCAAGTAGCCGATAAATTTGATTCTTTTACATAGTTTTGTATGTTTTGTGAAATTTTATGCATTGTGACTTGCTGTTATTTTTAGTGATTACAGTAATTCTTTACTGTAATTCATGGGTAGGCAAACTAAGGCCCAGGGGCCGGATCCGGCCCAATTGCCTTCTAAATCCGGCCCGCAGATGGTCCGGGAATCAGCGTGCTTTTACATGAGTAGAATGTGTGCTTTTATTTAAAATGCATCTCTGGGTTATTTGTGGGGCGTAGGAATTCGTTATTTTTTTTTTCTTTTCAAAATATAGTCCGGCCCCCAAGGTCTGAGGGACAGTGGATTGGCCCCCTGCTGAAAAAGTTTGCTGACCCCTGCTCTAAACAGTGTAAACTGTTTAATTATTATTTGCTGGTATTTATTTTTACTTTTATATTCTAATCAGTTATTGAATATTTGATACAAATTGTTTATTTTAAAGTTACTGTGACTTTTTGTGTTGGATCAGCTTGTTATTATGTGTGTGTTCTTTGCGGTCTATTTTGTTGTTTCTTCAGCTTGGAAGCTGCCTTGTGTATAGTAATATAGAAAGGCGGTATACAAATTAAAAATGAAAATGAAATGAAATCCTGGCTAGTTCCCCCTAAAAGTTACACAAGTAGTGTGGCCCACAAGTAGCCCTTTCTGCAGTTGAGTTCACTCTCTGAATCGATAGAGAGTTCACTGGGACCGGCTGCTACACCACTCTGGAAATTGCAGCTCTGTGCAGGCAGTCTCCTAACAACGTTCAGCACTCTAAATAAACTACAGTTCCCAGGAATTTGGGGGGAAAGCCATGACTGTTTAAAGTGGCACAACAGACAAGATTTACCGAAGAACGGCAGATGAAGATGAGGGACTAGATGGAACTTGCCGAACTGACCGGGAGACTCCGAGACCAGAGAGAAGAGACGGTGGAAGAAGATTGGAAGAAGTTTAAGGAATATTTGAAAAAATATGTTAATATTTAAATCTTAGAATAGCTTTGGAAGTGGATATAGGCATTAGGTTTAGAAGTAGAAGATAGTGTATTTTATAAGTGATAAAATGTGAAGTTTTTTATGGTTAAAGTAAGTTTGTGGTGGGGGGGGGAAGATGGTTAGAAATTATGATATATGTAAACTGCTAAAGATGAAGTAAAATCAGATAGGTGGGACTTGGGGAAGCCAACATAACAATGTTTAGAAAATAAGGATATGACAAGAATTTGTTTGTATTGTTTGTCTCTTCTGTTTGTGTTTTTTATTTGTGTTATAAAATTAATATTTTTTTTTGCGAAAAAAACAACAAGTGGCACAACAGGACTTTAAATGCATAGAGCGGATGGTTCGGTACAAAGCCACTGGAACGAACCATATTAGGGCTGTAGCTCAGAGCATCTGTGTTGCATGCAGCAGATGGGAATGTCCTCTGCCTGAAAATCCTGCAGAGCCCCTGCCAGTCTGTGTAGACAATACTGACCTGGGTCTGACTTGGTATGAGCCATTTATTACACTAAAGCCTCTCACCTTCCCTCCGAGTCTCTCGTCCTCCTGCTGCCTCAGTAGGAACTCCTCTGCCAGGGCAATGACTTGGGCGCAGGTCTCCGGGCGACATTCCTTGACCCAGCTCTGCATCTCCGGGGGCAGGACGGCCAGGAACTGCTCCAGGATCACCAGCTCCAGGATCTGCTCCTTGCTGTGCCTCTCCGGCTTCAGCCACCGGTGGCAAAGCTCCCGGAGCCGGGTGCAAGTCTCTCGAGGCCCCTCCTGGTAGGCGAACTGCCGGAAGTGTTGCCGCGGTGCGTCAGGACCAATCTCCTCTTCCTTCACTTTCCCACTCTCTCTTTCCTCTTTGGCCAGCAGGTTGTTGGCTTCTCTCCTGGGATGTGGCGGGAAAGGGACTTGGCGTGGCCTGGCGCCACCTGGAGACAGGCCAGCTTGGGCCTCGTCCCGCAACGCCAACGTCCGCTGGTGCTGGTCTCTCCCGTCAGAGTGGGAAGACTCCATCGCTCTGAGGAACTCCTGCAGCTGGGCCTCCCATGGCTGCTGCGGTCCTTTCTGTGGCTCCTGCTTGACGTGGCCCGACACGTTTCTCTCCCAGAATTCCCTCATACTCCCATCCTGCATGGCACGAGAGCCTTTCCCCACTTCGGCTGGGTCTGGCTCCTCCACTTTCATCCTCTGCTTCAGCACAGCACCGGGCGGTAGGCTCAAGGTCAACGTATCTCCTGGCTCGGCGGCCATTTTCCTTTTTCAAGCCAATGGCGGGCGAAGCTCGAGCTGCGGCTAGCCAGTCCCACAAAAAAGCTTTTGCTGCAAAAGGCAGGGGGAAAAAGAAAGAACCCAGGTGCTTCTGTGATAAGAATTTAAAAGCCTTAGATATATAATAAATGTTCAGAAATGTACCAAACAAGCACGTACATAGATCAGCACAGGAAGACCGACCTGAAACCATTTTTGATTCCCAAACTGACCAAATGTTTTCTCTGCAAGGCCAAAGGAAAATGGAAAAGCCTCCCCATCGCCTTTTCCTTCACAAATCCTGTCTTAAGGGTATGTCTGTCTGTGTTTGAATAGGGTGAGCCTGTGACCTGGCTAAGTATTTATCATTACAAAAGACTGGCCAGGCTCCCCAGGTAATCCAGTCAGGTGACCATTAACAGGTAACCTGCCAGGCAGGAGATAAACAACACATTTCTGCTGTAGACCGCCTTTTCTGTGATGTAGGTATGATGTATGGAGGGGTGGTCTTGAGCTCCAGGGCAGGGAATTTAAAATGTCTATATAAAGACAGGCACACGTTTGTTCTGGGTCCTCCTCCTTTCCTGCGTGTGAGGGGAACACCCTGTTGCAACAGATCAATAAAGATCAGGCTTACTAGCTGCTTTGCTTCTCAATATTCTCTGGTTGGCCTCTGTTATTTTCTCCTAGCAATAGGGAACCTACGTAAGGACTCTATATGGGCTCTCGTGTCCCCCATAAGGGAAGAAGGGCAAGATGTTTTGTTTACAACACTTCACTGGAAAGAAAGGGGTGCCCAGAGAAAGATTTTTCGTCCTCTTAGCCACAAAGAATCAGATGTGGGGGAACTTTGGTTCTCCAGACGCTCCTGAACTACAACTCCCTTCTTCACTGGCCACCGGCCAACGTTTTCTGGGGCTGATGGGAATTGTGGTGCGGCAACGAGAGACGAAGTTCCTTCTCCTGTCGTGCACAAAGGCTTTTGGAGGGTGGAATCAGAAGCCTAATAAATTAGATCTGCCTGTGCTTCATAGCTCCTCATAGTAAGAGTCTGCCTGCTAGATCAGGTCAAGGGCCTATCTTCGTCCAGCATCCTGCTCTCACAGTGGCTGACCAGAGGCCCCAGTGGGAACATAGCTGTTAATGTTTCCCTTTTTAAAGGGAAATTCCCTTATTCCGAATAGGATTCCTCACAAGAAAAGGGAAAAGTTGACAGCTATGAATGGGAAACCTGCAAGCAGGACACGAGCACAAAAAACAACCGGTATTCAGAAGCATTTCTGCCTCCAGCCTTTACGGATAGTAGCACAGATAGATTTCTCTTCCCTGAATTTGTCCAATTCTCATTTAAAGCCATCCAAGCTGGTTGTCATCACCAGAGTTGATGATGATGATGATGATTACTACTACTGCTATTCATTATCCTCTACTGAAATTATTATTGTTATAAAATAATAATTTATTATTAATTATTTGTACTTTTATTATTTTTATTTATTATAAAAATCCTCCTCATTTATTGGGCTTATTATAGCTATAATTTATTATTATCCTTATTTATTGTATTATTATTATTATTAATGCTCTGTCACAAGAGTAATTAATAATTATTATTAATACTCTGTCACAAGAGACTTGACATCTTTCCACAGGGCCTGCAAGACAGAGTTCTTCCACCAGGCCTTTGGCCAAGGCAGAGTCTGACCCCCTCCTTTGGTAATCCTCACAGAACTCTGGCCCAAAGGTTGCCATTAATTTGATTTTGAACTGATTTTAGAATGAATTGATTTTAGAATGCTGTATTACTTTTATTGTTGTTAGCCGCTCTGAGCCCGGCTTCGGCTGGGGAGGGCGGGATATAAATAAAATTATTTAGTTATTTATTTATTATTATTATTGCTATTCATTATCCTCTACTGGAATTATTGTCATAATTTATTACCATCATTATTTATTTGTACTTTTATTATTTTTATTTATTATCAAAATCTTCCTCATCATTTTTTGGGCTTATTATAGCTATAATTTATTATTATTATTATTATTATTACTATTCATTATCTCTACAGTGGTGCCTCGCAAGACGAAATTAATCCCTTCTGCGAGTCTCTTCGTCTTGCGGTTTTTTCGTCTTGCGAAGCACGGCTATTAGCGGCTTATGGCGGCGTGGCAGCTTTAAGACAAAGGAAACAAACTCGCAAGAACTTGCAAGACGTTTCGTCTTGCGAAGCAAGCCCATAGGGAAATTTGTCTTGCGGAACGACTCAAAAAACGCAAAACCCTTTCGTCTAGCGAGTTTTTCGTCTTGCGAGGCATTCGTCTTGTGGGGCACCACTGTACTGGAATTATTGTTATAATTTATTACCATCATTATTTATTTGTACTTTTATTACTTTTACTTATTATCAAACTCTTCCTCATTTTATTTACTGTATTATCAAAATCTTCCTTATCATTTTTTAGGCTGATTATAGCTATAATTTATTATCATCATCATTTATTGAAATAAATGATGATGATGTTGATGATGATGATGATGATGTATTGGAACTATCTTAATCATTTATAGGATTTCTCACCTATCCACAGCACGCTCCTGGTGTGGGTTACAAAAATAGGATTAAACTTTTGTTAAAACAATGTACAATTACAAGAACAGGGTGAATCCCAGAAACACACCTCTCAGGTGCAGAAGGGCAAGGGAAAAGGGGTGCATTGAAAGCTTATGCAACGAAGGTGGCAGCTGCCCTCCCTTAAACCTCGCCTTTTCGTTTAATATTAGCAGACAACAATATGCAAACAAAATACACTTAACAATGCAAGCCAGCTTAAAACAAAACACAATATTTGTAATCACTTATCACCATTGTATACTATATAAGTCACAGTGTTCCACATTTAAGTATATTTCAATGGAGGGGTTTGGGCTGGATGCAAATGGTAACCCGGTACCTTTAATTAATTGTGCAAAAGAGGTTCTTTCCGCTTGGCATACATGCTGTATTAGCAGACGTGCCCTCTTTTGTTTTTGTTTTTTAAAAAATAAATTCATATATCTTTATTAAAAAGTTAGCTCATGACAGTTCAGACTTCATGGGGATCAGGTCGTCTGTAGCCTCTGGACATATTATAGCCTGTGCGTCTTCAGGTTGCCAACAAATTACTGAAGCAAGGTAATAACTCAACTCACTTCATGGCAGGAGAGATCACAAATGACCAGTGCACCATGTAAATACAGCCACAAGAGGGTTTGGTTTAAGACAGATGATTAAGGGAGATGATTGCATGATTCCCTTCTACCGTCAAAACTTGAATATCATCGCTCTCCAGGAGAAGTGGGCGGCTGAAAATCCATCACTGGAAGGATACTACACATATGCAGCAAATCTGATGGGCCTGTGCACATCGCTGCTCTTCACAAAGTTTGACCGTGATAATCGACACCTGAAGCAGATATTGCCCAGTGCTCTTTTGCACACACATTATTAAAGGTGCAAAAAGCTCTGCCGTCTTTGCAGCAGGTCACCCGAATACATTCAGAACCAGCAAAAGCTGGGGAGGAAGGAAGCGTAAAAGGTGAGGCCCACTGACCAAATCATCCCTTCCTAGTAGGTATACTAAGATTAGGAATCTTGTGTTTAGATGGGAGGCTGCACTGAGCAATGCACTAGCCCTCAAGGAATTCCGTTGGGGGCGCGGAAAGAGAACAGGCTTGGAAAGAGAACCTCCCGTGCACTTCCATGCTCTCACCTGATCCTTTTGCAAGGCTTTCTTCCGCCCCTTCCCCTCCTTCGATTTCGCCTTGGCCGCGCCTGGGAAATTCAAACTCCGCTTGGGTTTCCCCCAGTAGAATAAGGAGGAAATGATCACAGAGATGCCCTCGCCAAAAACCCACAGAGTACAGAGAGAAAAGGGAAGAGCGACACATCTCATGGTGCGAATAGCAAATTCCCGGGTTCACGTTGGAGAAACCATTAAAAAAAATATATCGGTGCCAACGCCCTGTTTATAGATACCTATGGAGAGATGCAGGATTTTACCGCGGTTTCCCAGCAGGTAACATAAAAGTAACAATGGAAAAAAAGATCGATAACTCCACTCTTATTTGGTGCATAAAATTTCAAGGTTGTGAGGGTTTTAAAATAAGCCTGACCTTGCAAATAATCCCAATGCAAATTTAGCCTATTATCCGTCAGATGGGCGGGGTATAAGAAATAAATAATAATTATTATACTATTACAGGTTGTTGGGTGGGGGTGCTCTAGCTTACAGCAACCCTGCAGTGTAGTCCAATGTTAATGTTGCAGGTTGGGGTCCAGGCTGAGACAGACTCGCAGAACTATAAAACTGGAGAGATGGATGGGACCCAAACGGTCATCTAGTCCAACCCCCTGCAATGGGTGGTTAATTGCAACAACAACAACCCTGCAATATAGGCGCACCGTTATCATATCCCTTTTCCAGGCTGAAGGTGGGGCTGGAGCTGAGTTGCGACCACACAAAAGCCTTGCAGTGGAGTCCAGTGCTGCAATGACCCCTGCATTTCAGCCACAAGTGGATGAAACTTCCGCACACAACCACCCTGAAATGTAGTTTGGTTTTAGGTCGGGAGCTCAGGCTGGGGCTGGTTTGGATCTGCAGCCCAAAAAAGTCTCCCCTTTGAGCTGTAGCAAAGGCTTCTTAAACTGCCCTCCTTCCTTCCTCCTATCCAGTCCATAGCTGTCAACTTTCAGATTTGAAAATAAGGAATCAGCAGCCGCACCTGTCCCGGGGACAGTCTACGGGATATCTAACAATCCGGGATAGCAGCGGGAAGCGGCGCTGGAATAAGGGAATTTCCTGCAAAAAAATGGGAAGGTTGACAGCTATGATCCAGTCCAAATCCAGCTCTCGGCTGCACACAGGAGCTTTGTGCTTCTTCTCAATGCAGAGTTGCTCTGCTGTTGTTGAAACCCTAAAGAACGCAAGTAGCGTGAAATATTAAGCGGCACAGGGTTAACCAGTGGAACTCACTGCCACTGTCTTAGATGCGCTGAAAAGGGGATTAGACCAAGTGATAGAGAAGGCTTTCAACAGCCACTGTTAATGAGAGAGTAGTTATATATGCTACCTCTTCAGGATCAGAAATGGTACCCGTTGCTGAGGATCAGAAGTGGAGCACTCCTAGGGTCAGGTTCTGCCTTCGAGCTTCCCAAAGGCTGACCACTGTTGGAAACTGGGTACTAAGGAGGCCTTTATTCTCATCCAGCAAGGCTCTTATTATTACATGCAAACGAGGCCCATCTATGCTGCTGTGGGTTGTCTTTAGGAATGTAATTTACCAAATTACAGGAATGTAATTTACCAAATTACAGCTACAATAAAATATTGGTTGGGCAGTGTTTTTTGGAGGTGTGTGGAGAGTGTGGCCCACCTAGAAGTTGTTGGGACTCCTGTCTCACATCACTCAGCATGGCCAATGGTCAGGGATGATGGAAGTTGCAGGTTATAGGTTTCCTCTCCATCTTCGAAACTAGAAACGCAGGCTGCACCACTCTTCACTTTTTGAAAGAAAATCTCTACGGTGCAGCCTCTCCCACAAATCAGAGGTGGGCAGACATTACATAGAAAGCCACTATTGGCTCATAGAGACAGAAAAGGGTTGAGTCACGAACTACCCCCATCGGCTTCCGGTTTGGGAGCTCCATTCATTTTATTCTGTTGAAAGTGATCAAAGCCCTGAGTGCCTTCTGAAAGAAAATATAATGTAGGGACATAGGAAGCTTCCTTCTACAAGAGTCCAGCTGGCTCAGTACTGCAGCAGCTCCCCAGGCTTTCAGACTGGAGGATTTCTCTCTCAGCCAGAGACTGAATCTGCAACGCAGATACTCTGCCCCTTAGCTAGGATCCGTCCCGCCCCCACTCCAGAAAGCGCTTGCTGAATACTATTGGTTGAGTAGTGCACAATTTTTTTCCTGCATTTCAATGTCTGGTCTCTTATTTTGATGCATTCTCCGATTATTTCAGGTGCAAGTTTACTCGGAAGTAGGTCCCGCTGTCTACAATGCATCTTACTTTCTAGGTAGACGTAGGGGTGGGGATTGCAGTTCAATCCTATCATACTTGTCTAGTATGAAGCAAGTTCATTAAATTCAGTGGGGCTTGCTCCCAGGCACCGTTTATTTCGCTCTATAGGACACACTTTCCCCCCTCCAAAAATGAAGGGGAAATGTGTGTGCATCCTATGGAGCGAATGCAGGCACCGACCCCTCTCGCTCGCCAGGCTTCAGGAAGCTATCCGCAAGCCCGTGGAGCCCGGTGGGAACTCCCGCCGGGCTCCCAAGGCTTGCGGATAGCAGCCTGCAGCCCAAAGCTGTTCTAGCTTCGGGATGGCTGTGCAAAGCCTCCACAGCAGGCTACAAAGGATGTCCCCGAAGCCTCAAGCCTTTGGAGTGCAGCTGCGCTCCAAAGGCTTCAGGGATCTTTGAGGTTGGCGGTGGGGGAAAACAGCACTTCCCCCCACCGCCAGCCCCACAAGCTCGGGGGGCAGCGGCAAGGCTGTGCGCAGCCTTTGCGCTGTTCCCCGACCTGCTCTTGAACGCACCTTGCTTTTGAGGGGGAGAACAAGAAAAAAAGATTTCCCCCCTGTTCTCCCCCTCTTATGGTCCGGTGCGTCCTATAGAGTGAAAAATACGGTAAGTAAGTGTATTGCAGCCTGTGGGAGTAAGCCCCACAGAACTGAGACTTGCTTCCAAGCAGACAGGAAGCAAAGTCCTCCTTAACAAAATGAGTCTATTTTTTTGCACTCCCAGCCTGCTCTTCGGGTTATAAAAATGCCCATTCAGTCCAAGGTTGTGTGGTACAGCATTCAAACCCTAACTCAGCCAGGTAGTGAGTGAACTTGTGGCAGTCAGCCTAACTTTCCTTACAGGATTATTTTGAGGATAAAACAGGGAGAGAGAGAACCAGTGTGTCACCTTAAATTCCTCAGAGGAACAGCAGCTTATCATTGTAATAATACCAATCCATTCTTATAATAAATACTACTTAACATTGGTATTGCGCTTTCAAGTGCTCTAAAGTGCTTTACACCCGTCATCTAGTCGTAATCCTTCACAACAGCCCTGTAAGGCAAGCCAGCATGACTCTCACACACTCTGCAAGGGACATGTCTGGAGATGCCAGGGATTGAACCTATAGCCCTCTGAGGAACATCCCACAAAGTTCCAGCCCTCTGGAATTTTCTGGCTGATTTTGATCCTCCTCTTGCAATTTCTCACTGACGTAAGGGGCATTGGGGGTTAAACAAGTATTCTTTAAAATGGACGGAAAATGTATCCCAAACGAAGGGATAGTTTTTGTAATACGGGACAACCGGGGCAGAGTGCTCCCACAGCAAAGAACGGGATCAGAATTCAGCACTGGCTACAGAATTCTGCTTCCTGCGACTCTCCACTTGCTTTCTTGTAAAAATAATAATAATTCAGGTTTCTGGTCCTTATGGGTGCAAGTAAGCTAAAATTATCACATGGCCACTAATATATTAAAAAATAATGTTAATTAATACAGTGTGCAATTATATTTGGGGTTTGATGATAAAGATAGAATATAGCTTGATGTAGATAGGGTCAGATGAATTCATCTCCTTTACAGCTGGTTATATAATTGGCTATATAATTTGCTCTAATTTTCCAAGCAACAGTTGCAAAGAGTGCTACACGCCAGGTCACATACTTATCTGTGTCTGCAAGGAGATATAAAATCATGTCATAAGGGTTCTGGCCAGGGGACCTTGTCATTATAGGTGCTAAAAATCTTTCTCTTCCTTCATTATATTGCATAAGGTCCTCTAATTCAGGACATCTCCTAATGCAAACACGTTCGTTTGTTGGTATGCCTGTGTCTCCCATCTCTATAAGCTGAACAGGATTTCTTCAGGTCAGCACACATTTGTGTGTGTGTATGCGCCAACTCCCTCGGCCAATAAAGCGAGATGAGCGTCGCAACCCGAGTCAGCCACGACTGGACCTAATGGTCAGGGGTCCCTTTACCTTTATATGCGTGCTTAAGTGGAAAGGGGATGTGGGTGACGCTGTGGTCTAAACCACAGAGCCTAGGGCTTGCCGATCAGAAGGTTGGCGGTTCGAATCCCCGCAACAGGGTGAGCCTCCCTTGCTCAGTCCCTGCTCCTGCCAACCTAGCAGTTCGAAAGCATGTCAAAGTGCAAGTAGATAAATAGGGAAGGTAAACAGCATTTCCGTGCGCTGCTCTGGTTCACCAGAAGCGGCTTAGTCATGCTGGCCACATGACCCGGAAGCTGTACGCCGGCTCCCTCGGCCAGTAAAGCGAGATGAGCGCCGCAACCCCAGAGTCGGCCACGACTGGACCTAATGGTCAGGGGTCCCTTTACCTTTATTCGTGCTTAAGTGGAAAAAATGGAATATGCAAAACAAGAGCAATGAGATGCAAAATTTTCACAACACACGTTGCAGAACTCAGCTTAAGGTGGAAACAGCGTTGTTGTTTATTTATTTAAACACGGTGTGCCCACAGACAGCCCTGGGACCAACCCAACGGTTTGCGGTCCCTGCGTCGCATGGCTTCTTTCGTGCCTTGTACAGTCGGCAGCATGAGCAAAACTCTTCTCGCAGTGCAGATGCGCTTTCTGCCTCTCTCCCGTGTGCCTCCTCTGGTGAGTGACGAGGACCATCCTCCTGCTGAACTCCCTCCCGCAGACGGAGCATCCGTAGGGCTTCTCTCCCGTGTGGGTCCTCTCGTGGTTGGTGAGCTGCGACCGCTGGCAGAAGCTCTTCCCGCACTCCCCGCACTTGTAGGGCTTCTCCCCCGTGTGGATCCTCTCGTGCTTCATGCACGTGGAGCTCTGGCTGAAGCTTTTCCCGCAGTGTGAGCACCGGTACGGCTTTTCGCCGGTGTGGGTCCTCTTGTGCGTGTTCAGGTTAGACCTGTCGCTGAAGCTCCTCCCGCACTCGGCGCACGTGTAGGGCTTCTCCCCTGTGTGGACTCTCTCGTGTGACATGAGGTGCGGCTGCCGGCTGAAGCTCTTCCCGCAGTCGGGGCACTTGTACGGCTTCTCTCCCGTGTGCATCGTTTTGTGGGTGATGAGGCGGGATTTGTAGCTAAAGTTTCGCCCGCAGTCCAGGCACTCGTACGGTTTCCCTCTGGGGTGAATCCTCTGGTGGGCGACCAATTCGGCCCTCCGCCGAAAGGCCTTCCCGCACTCTAGGCATGTCTTCTCTCTCCCGCCTTTGGTGAGCCTCTCTTGTACCTGTCTGTCGCCGCACGGCTCATAGAAGTGCTGGTAACAAACGACGGAGGCTGCCTCTCTTTCCTTATTTGATGGGCCTCCTCGCCGGCCTGCCGAAGCTTTGCCCTGATCCGGACGCTGGGAAAGGTTTGGCTCAACGTTCTCCGGCAGGACCCAGTATGGATGGAGATCCCCGGCCATTTCTGGACGGTCCGTCTCTTCCTCCCAGCACCTCTTGCCACCTGCTTGGAGAAAAATAAATCCCAAAGGTGAGCACTTTCCTGCTCCAGGGGAGAAAAAGGGGGCTACAGGGCACAGAAACCGAGTCAGGGCCCAGGTCCAAATAGCTCAGTGTTAACTGCAATGACTGGCGGCTACTCTCCAGGGATGGCGTTGGGGGCATAGCTGTCAACGTTTCCCTTTTTTAAAGGGAAATTCCCTTATTCCGAATAGGATTCCTCACAAGAAAGGGGGAAAGTTGACAGCTATGGTTCGGGGACATTTCCAGCCCAATCTCGAGATACTGTGGATTAAACCTGGGACAAAGCAGGTGGTATGCCACTGAACTAGACTGTTTATTATTATTCTGGGGTAAGAGGGACTTCCGGGGTGGCGCCATCGGCAATGGCGGACTCCCTCTGATCTGGAGGGACTAGCTCCGCGCGAAACTGGTGTTTTCCGCTACTGCGAAGCGGGGACCCTTTTAAAAATCACAGGCGGATGAAGCCTGTGACCATGGGACTCGGCGGGCACCCTTAGCACCCCCCCAACCCGCAAAGGAACCCACTAACGGGCTCCGAAGCGGAGGGGGAAGTGGCACGGTGCTGAGAGTCAGCTGCTTTTTCCGTGGAGCGAAGCCGCATAGCTGTTGCCGGAGAGCGCTGCCTTTTTCCTGGGACAATTTGGCTTCTAAAATAATCACCCGTGAGTACTTAAATTTCGGACAATTGGACTTTAAATAAGGACTTGCGAGCAGAAAGGAATTGGACTTAAAAATTTACTTCAATTTGGCACTGAAACGGGAAGGTCTAAACAGGAAGTCAGCCTTCCGTTTCTTTGTAGACAGAATAAAGCAAAGACAACGTAAACTAGAGCTCAGAAAATCGCTTCTAAAAGATTAACTTTCATCATTTAAAATTGTTGAACCCCCCTTCGGAAGCAGGAGAAGAAGGGGGATCTTTTTCGGACTGTTTAAACCTGCAGAAGTGAGTTTAAAGTAAAGTGACTTTCCACCGTCCTGATCCTGGAGCGGGGTGTCAGGACTGACGTTTGAAGCTCATTGACCAGAGACAAACGCTTTTGACAGATAGCTAAAAGAAGAGAAACATAGTGATTCCACTGTTCCCTTTCGCATTTTAAAGGAACAAATATTGACAAAATATCTCAAAAAGGAAACTTTGTTGCTAGATTCGTCCTTAAAAGAAAGAACAAATAGAAGTTTTCCCCCTAGAGGGAGACTGTGAAACTGTAACTAATTCCAGGAGCTTGCAGCTGTTACAGATTACAATCGTGGGAAATAGACTTGTGACCTTGTAGGACAATGTATTCAGAAGCTCTGTTGTGTGCTCTCTGTAAAACAAATGCCCTACTGGAACAGTTAAATGAGAATACGGATTTGATGACTAATGCGGTCAGAATTTTTGAACAGGCAGTGGGAAACTATGTGGAGCCCACCCAGGAATTAAACCAGGAGTGTGCCCTGACAGAACAGATGAGAGAAGAGGATGTTGCTGAATCTTGGGCGCCAGAGATGGAGGGAGCTGTGGCCCTGCAGGAACATGAGCTTTTGGATTTGACAAATGAACTTGGAAAAAGCCAGATTTGGAAAGATAAGGTTTGGACTGGTTTGGAAATGGGGGGTTGGATAGCCCCCCCCCCCATGCAGGGATGTTTGGACTTTCCAAGTCTGGCAATGGGCCGTGAGATGTTTGGGGCTGTGGGGGCTCTTAATCTTGGAGAGATTCTGAAACATGTTTTTAAATACCACATGGAGTTTAGTCTGGACTTTGGAAAAGGGGCTGATTTGTTGAAAAGGGTCAAAAACATTACCAAGCTGGAGTTCCCATGTGTGAAAGGAGAATATGAAGAAGAGCTGCGGAAGGGACATGGAAGAGACTTAAGGGCCTCGGATATAAGGTTACCAGGTTAATGCGCTAGATCAATGGGATAAAGAGGACTGACAAAACCCGGGACCAGGAGGAAGGGACGCTGGATGAAGATTGGATTGTTTTATTTCTTTCTTTTTATTACTAGGATTGTTTTATAAAATTGATGAATGTTAGAAAAATGTTGGAACGAAATTACTTGGCTCTAGCAAAAATGTCTAAAGAATTAGGTAAGAATATTATGGTTATGAGAAGTTGGTAAAAATAAGAGTTAAGTTTTAAGTTTTAAGGTTTTCTATAAGATAAGATGAAAATAGATTAAGGTAATGTAATGACAGAATATTATGAAATATGGAAAGGATTTGCTGCGATAATTAATAACTAGGATACAAAAAAAGGGAGGAGGAGGAGGTCAAAGAAAGAAGGTAATGAAAGTTGAGGATTCGAGAATGATGGATTTGTTTTTATCTGTTTGTGGTGTATTTTTGTTTTTTTGAATTTACATTGTTTGATGTGGTTTGTTTTCTCTTTGTTTTCTTTTTTTTTTCTTTTTCTGCTGTGTTCTTTTCTGTAATTCTAAAATTTTTTCAATAAATATCATTAAAAATAAAATATAGACTGTTTATTATTATTAAATGAAAGCTCAGAGTCTAGGGCACCACGGTGGCAACCCCTGCTTTATGGTATTGTTCAGGACCTACTAAAAATATTACTAAAGTTAATCCATGTACCAAAAATTGATTAAGGTGTGGAATAAATACAAGCAAAAATTAAGTCTCTTCACCTTTGACAAAAGCTTTTTGCAACAAGGAAATGCAAAGAATTGGGGAATTTTGGGGGGTTTTTTTAAACGCATTGTAAGGAGTCTGTATGGGAATATACTGTATTTAAAAATGGGGTAGCAGAGTTTTTAGGGGGCTAACCAGGTTGGGATAGCTGGGCTTTGAATGTCTTATGTAGATTTTTCAATTTCGTTGTTCTGTATGGGACAATGACAATAAAGATTATCGTATCGTAATTTAATTAGGGAATTCAATTAAGACATAGTCTGACATTATCAATGATACGGGACAGACCCAACCTCCATTTCCCCAATATTTACACGCTAGGCTTGTAGTCTTCACTTTGACTGCAAAGAATGGACCCCTCTGTGGGCACCAACAGAATACGATTCACTGATTATGAAGGGAACAACCAAAAAAGGATTAAGCAAAATAGATGAAAATATTCTGGATACAGTGGAACCTTGGAAGCCGAACGTCTGTAAACTCAAATGTTTTGGCTCCTGAATGATTGAAAACTGGAAGTGATTGTTCCAGTTTTTGAATGATTTTCCGAAGCCGGACATCTGGCGTGGCTCCCGCGGCTTCTGATTGGCTGCAGGGATGCTCCTGCAGCCAATTGGAAGCTGCGCCTTGGAAGTCGAATGTTTTGGAAGTCAAACGGACTTCTGGAATGGATTCCATTCAACTTCCAAGGCACGACTGTATATATCTAACACATAATTCTCAGCATAGTTGGGAAAGGGATTTGGGGCAGGGAATTTTGTTGGAACAAAACTTGTCAACAAGGGGCAATACCTGCCTTCCAAACAGACACTATTAGTACTCAAGCAGTTTTTCTTTGCATAAATAAATTGATCTTGATTTACTTTCTAACATTTTTATCCCATTCTCCCTCCAAACAGGTTGAGAGACAGCATGCAAGGCCCCTCCCCCATTTCATGTCCACAACAACCCTGTGAAGTAGGGGAGAGAGAGAGAGAGAGAGAGAGAGAGGGACCAGGCACCATGCAAAGGGCTTCCTGGGTGAATGAGGACTGAACCTCAGATCTCCTGAAACCATATACCATTTCATTTGTAAATTTCTGCATTTATATAGCCACCCCATGACAAGAGGTCCCTGGGCATGTTGTGGTGAAGAAGGAAAAGCACATTAAAAATACAATATCAAACAACAAAAACTCCTAACAAGTTAATTAAAAAGCTGAAACACAATTAAGAAGCACCGATTAAAACTCAGTTTATAACTGAGAGGCCCAGACAATAAAAGGTCAGTTATTTAAAGGGCCCAGTAGGTAGCACCAGGCAAATAAAACCTCTCTGGGAAGGCTATTCAAGTACCAGGGTGCCATTTCTAAAAAGGTCCTGTCCCTAGTGGGGGCTCTCATCCCTTCATCTGGCAGGAAATCTCTGAGCAGGGCCTCTGAGGAGGATCTTAAAAGTTCAGGTGGGGTACAACACGGGAGAAGGCACTTGACAAACACAGGCGCCGTCTCCTAATGATGTCAGCTACGCATTCCTCTGGACACGGAATTTGTCCCCAACCTTTCAGCAGCTCTGCAATGTCTTTTTGGAATGGATTCTCTCATGTGCAGTAAGGCTTGGTCTCTGGGCGAAGGTTTTCCCACAGTCCAAGCACTTGTAAGGTTTCTCCCCTGTGTGTATCCTTTCGTGCGTGTTCAGGTTGGAGCGATGGCTGAAGCTCTTCCCGCAGCCAGAGCAGTTATACGGCTTCTCTCTCGTGTGGGTCCTCCGGTGAACGAAGAAAGCCGACTTGTCGCGGAAGCACTTCACGCAATCCGGGCACTCGTGGGGCCTCTCCCCTGTGTGGATTCTCTGGTGCGAAAGGAGGCTGGAGCTCTGAGAGAAGCTCTTCCCGCACTTGGCGCACCTGTACGGCCTCTCTCCGGTGTGGGCCCGTTTGTGCGCCGTTAGGGACGACCGGTCGCTGAAGCTTTTCTCGCACTCCAAGCACTTGAACGGCTTCTCTCCCGTGTGGATGCGCTCGTGAGTAATCAAGTTGGAGCGGTGGCTGAAGCTTTTCCCACAGTCTGAACACTGATAGGGTTTTTCCCTCGTGTGGGTTCTCCGGTGCACATCCAAAGCCGATCTGTCCCGGAAGCTTTTGGCGCAGTCGGGGCACTTGTGTGGCTTCTCGCCCGTGTGGATTCTCTGATGTCGAATAAGGACCGACTTGTGCCGGAAGCTTTTCCTGCAGTCTGAGCAGCTATAGGGTTTCTCTCCCGTGTGGATCCTCTGGTGTATAAGGAGCCCGGTTCTCCTGCTAAGGCTTTGCCCGCAGATTGGGCACTTGCACAGCTTCTCTTGCCCAAGGTTTGTTTCGTTTTCGGAATCGTGTCCAAGCGCTTTCCCGCATTCAAGGTCAGCCTTTGCCCCCTTGGCATTTCCCTCCGGTCCTTTCTCACCTCCCCAAGAATTCGTGACTGCACCCCCTTCCTTTCCCTCTTGGATTTCAGACGTTACTCCCCGAACCAGGCATTGGGCAACGCTTCGTTTATCCCTTTCTGCCAACATCCCACGTGGATCGTCTTCCCCGGGACGTCCTGTCCAATTTTGCTCCATCACCAATGGCCTCTTCTGATCATCTGCTGGAAGAAGCAGAGCGTCCACATGTCAGTCTCTCTGTGCTAAGGGATGAAGGAACAACAGGCCAAGCTCAACATCAGGAAGGAAGATCAGGGGCAGACCATGTGCTTTGCATGCAGAAAGTCCCAGGCTGGGAAAGATTCCTTGTCTGAATAATAATAATAATAATAATTTATTATTTATACCCCGCCCATCTGGCTGAGTTTCCCCAGCCACTCTGGGCGGCTCCCAATCAAGTGTTAAAAACAATACAGCATTAAATATTAAAAACTTCCCTAAACAGGGCTGCCTTCAGATGTCTTTTAAAGATAGGATTGTTGCTTATTTCCTTCACATCTGAAGGGAGGGTGTTCCACAGGGCGGGCGCCATTACCGAGAAGGCCCTCTGTCTGGTTCCCTGTAACCTCACTTCACGCAATGAGGGAACCGCCAGAAGGCCCTCGGCGCTGGACCTCAGTGTCTGGGCTGATCGATGGGGGTGGAGACGCTCCTTCAGGTATACAGGACCAAGGCCGTTTAGGGCTCTAAAGGTCAGCACCAACACTTTGAATTGTGCTTGGAAACGTACTGGGAGCCAATGCAGATCTCTCAGGACCGGTGTTATGTGGTCACGGCGGCCACTCCCAGTCACCTGTCTAGCTGCTGCATTCTGGATTAATTGCAGTTTTCAGGTCACCTTCAAAGGTAGCCCCACGTAGAGCGCATTGCAGTAGTCCAAGCGGGAGATAACCTGAGCATGGACCACTCTGGAGAGACAGTCTGCGGGCAGGTAGGGTCTCAGCTTGCGTACCAGATGGAGCTGGTAAACAGCTGCCCTGGACACGGATTTGACCTGCGCCTCCATGGACAGCTGTGAGTCCAAAATGACTCCCGGGCAGCACACCTGGTCCTTCAGGGGCACAGTTACCCCATTCAAGACCAGGGAGTCCCCCACACCTGCCCGCCTCCTGTCCCCCCAAAACAGTACTTCTGTCTTGTCAGGATTCAACCTCAATCCGTTATCCGCCATCCATCCTCCAACTACCTCTCTGCATACTGATGAACACCCAGCCCAAACCCTGGAGAGCTGCTGCCAGTCAGAACAGGCAATGCTGAGCTAGATGGAGCAATGTTCTAACTCAGTATAAGGCAGCTTCCTGAGGAAAATGGAGCCATGGTACTCCCTGCCACAGTGGGAATCCTTGTGGTGATATAAATAGCAGTTGCCAAAGAGTGATTAGGTATCAGTAATGTCGGTTGTCGCCAGCTGATTATGCCAGACCCAATCTCCATTTTGTTCCTGGCTTTAGTCTTGAACCGCTACTTTGTGACTGGAGGGCCTTGAGCTCCCTCAAGCGTGTTCTGGGGCTGAATGGTTTGAGAACCTTTGCCCTAAAATTCTAGATAAATGCTAATTAGGAGGTTTCCTAAAAGGCGAGTTAGCAAGGGGTTGTAGCTAAGGCTGGTCCTACTCAGAGTTAACCCACCAAATTTAATGGACATGACTAACCGGTTCATTCATTCCAATGGTTCTAACCTGACTCTGATGCAACTCTGATGTGAATTATGACCACAGCTGTCAAGCGTCCCTTATTTGGCGGGACAGTCCCTTATCCCAGCACCATGTTCCGCTGCTGTCCCTTATTGATGATGTCCCTTAAATAAGCTACTGAAGGTAATGGGGCCCTTTCTATGTCCAGCTGTGCTTTGTCAACAACAAATTGTTGCTTTTTTTGTGTTGAATATATGCTACATGGTAATTTGTGAACCTAATAGGTATCTAAAGCCATTTGCACGCAACAAAATATGTATTTTATCAAAGTAATTGTTGATCCCTTATTTTTGAGGCTGCTGGTCCCTTATTTTCAAATCTGTAAGTTGACAGCTATGATTATGACTACTATTAGCAACAGGTAAGTTAAAAATTTATATCATCACCATCAATATGAAAATACAATGGTACCTTGGTTTGCAAACAGTCTGGTTTGCATACGTTTTGGATTACAAACACGTCAAACCCGGAAATGCGTGTCCCAGTTTGCAAACTTGTTTTGGATTACAACCCAATTTTTTTGTATTAGAACAAAGAATTTTTGGAGGCCCCATTGGCGAAAACACGCCTTGGGTTACAACCTGTTTACAAACAAACCCCCGGAAGGGATTATGGTTGTAAACCAAGGTACCACAGTCATAATAAATGGGAGCTACAACAAAACATCACAATGTGTTTATTTAAGATTGTAAATAAATTTCCAGTAAGATTGTAAGTAAACTTCTTCCCAAAACATGTTTTCGAAACAGAGTACAACAGAAGTATCAGAAAACAAAATCTATAATAGAAATAAATATATACATAGCAATTTAAAGGCAGACCTTGAAAACTCCAAATTACAAAGTACACGCTGTAAAACTGTAGAGCCAAATCTCTTCCAGCCGGCCACTTTGACTTGCCCCGCTCCTAGTGTTCCATTGTTCCTTTTCTAACAGACACTCTATGGTGAGTTACAGAGCATGCTCACTCTCTATTTGGCTAGGTGCGGGGAGAGGTTACTGCCCCATTAGGCAATTTATGCAGTTCTTATGGGAGGCAGGGACACATTTCTCGACCACCTCCCTGGGGTAACTGTGGCTGGTAATCAGGTGCAAAGCATCCTCACCTGCACAGGTGGTTTCTCCGTCCCCCTCTTGCTTGACCTCTCTAGAGAGCACCGCCTTCCAGGTGTCCGACGGCGCCTGCTCTGCCTCTGAAGACTCGGCAGCTACCTCCTTAGACACCCCTGGCACCTGGAAAATTAAAAGCAGAAATAGAAATTAAGCAGCTGCTGAGGCCCACTGGACTACTGCAATGCGCTCTACGTGGGGCTACCTTTGAAGGTGACCTGGAAACTGCAATTAATCCAGAATGTGGCAGCTAGACTGGTGACTGGGAGTGGCCGCCGTGACCACATAACACCGGTTCTGAGAGATCTGCATTGTCTCCCTGTACGTTTCCGAGCACGATTCAAAGTGTTGGTGCTGACCTTTAAAGCACTAAACGGCCTCGGTCCTGTATACCTGAAGGAGCATCTCCACCCCCATCATTCAGCCCGGACACTGAGATCCAGCGCCGAGGGCCTTCTGGAGGTTCCCTCATTGTGAGAAGTGAGGTTACAGGGAACCAGACAGAGGGCCTTCTCGGTAGTGGCACCCACCCTGTAGAACGCCCTCCCTTCAGATGTGAAGGAAATAAACAGCCATCTTCTCTTTAAAAGACATCTGAAGGCAGCCCTGTTTAGGTTTCCCTGTTTAGGGAAGTTTTTAATGTTTAATGCTGTATTGTTTTTAACACTTGATTGGGAGCCGCCCAGAGTGGCTGGGGAAACTCAGCAAGATGGGTGGGGTATAAATAATAAATTATTATTATTATTATTATTATCATTATCATCATCATCATCATCATCATCTAAGAGTCAAAAGTGAAGCTGTCTGCTGTTTTAGTCCTGGAAGAGAGTGCTCATTCACAGCATACATTTAAAGTGCTATGATACGATACCACTTTAAACAGTCATGGCTTCCCCCAAAGAATCCTGGGAAGTCGAGTTTGTTAAGGCTGCTGAGAGCTCTTTGGGGACACCCTACTCCCCTCCCAGAGCTATAATTCCCAGAGTTCCAGGGAAAAGGGATTGTTAGTAAACCACTCTGGGAATTGTGGCCGTGGGAGGGGAATAGGGAGGCAGCCTCCTAAGAGGTCTCAGCAGCCTTAACAAACTGCAGCTCCCAGGAGTCTTCGGGAGAAGCCATGGCTGCTCTAAATCTGCATTAATCAGGTTTTTCTTGCAAGTCCAGAGGGTGACAACACGAGAACGGGGCCTTCTCTGAAGTAGCTCCCCGTCTGTGGAATGCTCTCCCCAGGGAAGTTCCCATGGCACCTTCATTATATACCTTTAAACGCCAAGCAGAAAAGTTCCTTTTTAGCCAGTCCTTTGGTTGATTTGATTGACATTCTATGCCCTTTTAAAACGGGCGAGGGGGGTTATTGTTTTTGTTTGATTATGTATTTTGTGGTTTTATATTCTGATTTTATTCTGTGAGACACCCTGAGACCTGTGGGTATAGGGCAGTACAGTGGTACCTTAGGTTACAGATGCTTCAGGTTACAGACACTTCAGGTTACAGACTCCGCTAAACCAGAAATAGTACCTCTGGTTAAGAACTTTGCTTCAGAATGAGAACAGAAATTGTGCAGTGGCGGCTCAGTGGCCCCATTAGTTAAAGTGGTGCTTCAGGTTAAGAACAGTTTCAGGTTAAGAACAGACCTCCAGAACGAATTACCGTAAATTTCGCTCTATAACACGCAGATTTTTTCTCCTAAAGAGTAAGGGGAAATGTCTGTGCGTGTTATTGAGCGAATGTGTGGACCCTGGCGCTGACTCTCCGGAGCGCAGGGGCAAAATAGGCAAAAATCAAGCAAAAAAAAGATCGGGCGGGCGGGCGGAGGGAAGGGGGAAGGCGGAAGCTTTCCTGCATTCTGCCTCAGGGTCTTACTGCCCACCGGCTTCTGTTGCTGCGTTTGCTCAAACTCAACAAAGAGCAGGGAATCCCCTGCCCTCCTGGCAAGCAGAGGGTTAAGGAAAGGATCGAGTCCTTCCTTCTAATTCTTTCCTAGTCACACTGCGTGCAGGCTCCAGCCCACCACTTCCTCCTCTCCGTGCTCTAGGGACTCGCAGGCAGCCGAAAAGCAAAAGCATGCAGGTGGGAGAGAGAGAGAGAGAGAGAGAGAGGGCTGGCTTGGGTGGGGGGGGGGGGACTTTTGCTTTACAATGGTAGGTTTCTCATTTCTTTTCCAAAAGCAGAGAGCCCTGCCCCCAGGCCCCCTCCAAATTACAGCTTCTCCAAGCAATGTACTGCTGGAGGGAGACAGTATGCTTGTTTGGAAGAGAAACCCTGCTTCCCTGCTCGTAAGTAACAGCAGGCTGGATTGCAGAGTGAGACATGGAAATCTCTGGATTTATATGCTGTATATCAAATATCTTAATCTATACTTTCTACACGCGGCTGGTAAATCAGAATCTCCTGAGCCAGGAGGATTACAGCATCTCTCCTCTCCCCTTCATTAAAAGCCTAATACTCTTCTTTGAAGTATAACGTGAGAATGTTTTTTATATATATTTTTTAAAGTTCTTTTCCTCATTGTGCGCTATACACTGATAATTGCTGCCACAATAACAATTGATTGAAAATGGAATTTAGTCTCCCCCCCCCCATAGAGAGCTGTTCTTCAAACGTTTAGCCTTAATACAGTGGCTGATGTAATATCCTTCTGCTTCACTAGGCATTTTATATAGGGACATTAAAATTGATTTTCTATATCTTGGCAGATGAAAAAAAGTGTGTTACATGCCCTATTGCCCAAAAGTGTGCAAGCACAGAGCAAAGGTTGCAGTGACAGAGGTGGCCAAAAAAGAAATACCGTAAATAAAAAAGAAATCATACTTCGTATATCCTGTCTGGCTTGGGGGGGGGGGCTTTTGCTTTCCTTCCCTCCCCATTTAAAACGTGGTGACAAAGCACGGATCCACATGGATCCTCAGGATTTTTGCACTGGGTCACCCCAAATTCACCATCAGATCACATTACATGTCCATGGCTACAGTCTGTACCAAAAAAATCACGCACCCACTGTTGCCTGGGGCTGCAATGGTGCAAAAACGTGGTTACAAAGCATGGATCCACATGGATCCTCAGGATTTTTGCATTGGGCTACTCCAAACTCACTGTCAGATCACATGTCTGTGGCCACAGCATGAACCACAAAAATCATACACCCACTGTTTCATTTAGAATATTTTTTTTCTGGTTTTCCTCCTCTAAAAACTACGTGCGTGTTATGGTCTGGTGCGTGTTATAGAGCGAAAAATACGGTAAGTTCTTAACCCGAGGTACCACTGTACAGTCGTACCTCGGAAGTCGAATGGAATCCGTTCCGGAAGTCCATTTGACTTCCAAAACGTTCATAAACCAAGGCGAAGCTCCTGCAGCCAATCGGAAGCTGCGGAAGCTTTGCAAGAACCTTTGCAAACCGGAACACTCACTTCTGGGTTTGCGGCGTTCAGGAACCAAAATGTTTGAGTCGCAAGGCATTAGTCAACCAAGCTACGACTGTCTATAAATTAATTTTATTACAGTGGTACCTCTGGATGTGAATGGGATCCGTTCCGGAACCCCGTTCACATCCTGAGTAGAACGTAAGACATGACTGCACATCTGCGCATGTCGCGTTCTGCCGCTTCCGCGCATGCACGTGACGTCATTTTTAGCATCTGAGCATGTGAGAGCGGCGAAACCTGGACGTAATGCGCTCTGTTACTTCCGGGTCGCCGCAGAGCATAACTTGAAAATGCTCAACCTGAAGCACATTTAACCTGAGGTATGACTGTATTATTATTATTTTTATTATTTTTATTAACCAAAAAATGACCTGGCTGAAAGCACCTGGCTCACCTCCTCTTCCCATCTCTCCTCCTCTCGGGATTGCTGCAGCAGGAAGTCCTCAGCCAGGGCCACTGCTTGCGCGCAGGACTCTGGGCTCCCCTCCCTGACCCAGGCCTGGACTTCTGGAGGCAGGACGGTCAGAAATTGCTCCAACACCAGCAGCTCCAGGATCTGCTCCTTGGTGTGCCTCTCCGGCTGCAGCCACTGTCGGCAAAGGTCCCGGAGGCGGCTGCAAACCTTGCGGGGCCCTTCGGCCGCCCGGTAGCAAAACTGCCGGAAGTGCTGGCGGACACTCTCCACATCCAGGTCCTCTTCCTTTACCGTCCTAGGAACGAGGACCTCGCCTTCGGCCCCCGAGCTCTTGTGGGCTTCACCACTGGGCAGGAGTTGAGCTCCTTCCTGCCTCCTCAGCTGCAGGCCTCTCTCCGGCGCTCCCTCAAAGGGAGGCAGATCGGCCTGAGAAATAGCCCTCAGTGCAGGTCCCGGTTGGGGGACCTTTCCTCGTTCCAAGTGCGGGGACTGTACCGCCTTCAAAAACCGCTGCCACTGAGTCTCCCAGCATCCTTGCGCTGCCGCCTCGGGCTCCCATTTGACATGGTCCAGTGCAGCACCTTCCCAGAATCCCTTGGCACTCTCAGGCTGGATGGCACGAGGCTCTTTCCCTGTGCCGTTCCCTGGCTCGATATCCACTGGGTCCTGCTTCTCAGTCTTCACACCCAACTTTCTGATAGTCTCTGTGCCAAAATCGGACGCATCGCCACGATCTGCCGCCATTTTGGTTCCTGGTGGCCTGAATTGGGGTGTGTGAAATGAGCCTCCCACCAAATCAAGTGCGGAAATAACAGGCCCTCCAGAGTTCACAGCTGGATTCTAGGTCAGGATCCTTTGCCTGAGGAAAAAAGAAAGAACAAAAGAATATTTCTGAATCAGAGGGGATAAACAGGACCTGCAACAAAATTTTGTAGCGCCGACTGGGAACTGATAACATGAGTTTCCTTCTCCCAGGGTGCAAAGAGTACTGCCAACTGATGCTGATTATTGCTTTTTCTTTAGATCTGTTATTTGCTTGTTGCCTGGAGGTCTCCAAGTGACTTGAAAAACACAAATAAATGTATGTTACTAGCCCAGAGGTGGAAAGAAGTCCCTACCAGAGAAGAATGGCAGATTAAACTGATGGAGTATTCCGAAATAGCAAAAATGACCAGAAGAATTAAAAACCAGGAGGAGCAAAATTTTAATAAGGAATGGGGGAAATATATACAGTGGTACCTCAGGTTAAGAACTTAATTTGTTCTGGAGGTCCGTTCTTAACCTGAAACTGTTCTTAACCTGCGGTTCCACTTTAGCTAATGGGGCCTCCTGCTGCCGCCGCCATGCAATTTCTGTTCTCATCCTGAAGCAAAGTTCTTAACCCGAGGTACTGTTTCTGGGTTAGCGGAATCTGTAACCTGAAGCATCTGTAACCTGAAGCATCTGTAACCCGAGGCGCCACTGTAATTTACTTTAAAAATCATTGTAAACAATTAAAATTATTAGTAGGATTGGAATGGAACTTGTAGTTTAACGTCAAACTATGGTTATAATGGAGATTTAATAGATTTGGATTAATAGAGAAGATGCAGGAGGAAAAAAGTTAACATAAGGACCCACAATGGGGAGGAGGGAAGTCAAGGGGAACCTATAAAATTCTCTTTTTATTTTGGTTGTTTGACAAATGTTTGTAAATTTCAAAATCTGAAAAATTTAATATATATACATATACATATATGTGGGGGGGGGGGAGGAAAAACACATAAATGTATTACCCCTTCAAAACCAAACCAAACCACTCCTCCTCAGTCCCCTTGGACTTGATATGGTTTTGATCAGCATGTTTTGTTACATTCCACGTCCCCATAAAGTGACTTGCTATTTCTTTGCAATGAAAGGCAGCCCCAAAATTTATTATTTTTACAAAAATGAAACAAATGCCCACTAGCACAATTTGTGCTCTGAAGCCCACCACACGAGGTGCCTGCCTGCATCAATCAATCAATCAATCAATCAGTATTTACTGATTATTTTTTCCAGTTAAAGCTTTCTGCTGGTTTGATTCCCAGATGTTACATGCCGCCTTGGAATGTTTTGAGAAAAGTGTGCTTTAGGAATTCATAAATCACTGCCCAGAAATGGAAAAAAGTTGCGGTACCAGCCAAGTAGCTAATTAAATTAATGGATTATGCCAAAATGGCAAGGTTAACGGGTGCAATAAGAAACCGAGAATAAATTTTTTAAATTAAAAATCGGGGAGAATTTGTGGAATATTTGAAAAAACTCATTTATGCAAATAAGCTCATTAGCAGGATTAGCGTAAAACAAGCAGTTAGATGTATTATTCAGAGAAACTAAAGAATAACTTAAAGATGGAGTATTGTGGAAAATGCAGTATGAAAATCAAAACTAAAAAGAGACCACAAAACGGGGGGAGGGAAGTCAAATATATGTGTAATAGAAATGTATTTTTGTAATTTGTTTGTCTGCGTATCTTTGAAAAAAATCCCATACATTTCTATTACACTTATATTTGACTCCCCACCCCCCTTTTGTGGCTTCTTTTTATTTATATATATCTAGATCTAGAAATTCGTAAATCACATCTTCCTTTCCCTTTCCCTTTCCCTCCTCCTCTCTTTTGCACTGCACGCAGCCCCACCTCCCAGCCCCTTGCAAGCGAGCTAACTCACCTGATCCCTCAAATCCCAGGAGATCCTCCCGCTTTCCGGAGATGCAATATATACAGCATATATGAAAAAGCTACTTTGGGTCTCCCCTCTCGCACCAGGCTTCCCCCGGGAGAAGGCGGAGCAGGAAGTGACTCCGCACAGGCGCAACCCGTTTGCGAGGAAGTCTTTTCTGAGGATCGACCCCCTTCGGCGTCGCCCCTTTGGAGGTCGCAACCTGCACAAAACTGGGGTGGATCCCAGAATCATCTCCGCCCCCGACCCTGGGAGAAGCAAAGGCCCGCGAGGCGGGGTGGGGGTGGGGGAAATGGAGGAAATTCCTGGGAAAAGAAAGGGGGATTGGAAACGCGTGTCTTTCCCCCACCCCCTATATTTTTGTTTTCTTGCTGCTGGACTCCAACTCCCATCAGCCCCAGCTTACCATGGCCAGTGCTGAGGGATGACGGGAGTTGTAGTCCTAAAAAACAGCGGCAAGGTTGCTCCGGTTCCAATTCCAATTGAAAGTGTTGCAGGAATTTATGTATAGGTTGGGGGGGGGTGCTGCCCCTCCAGTAGATATCATGCACATGCAGCCCACTACCAAAATCAGCACAGTCGCTTTTGTGACTTGTTTTTTGTCCCCACAAAACACTTCATCTATCTGGTCCATGGGGTCACGAAGAGTCGGACACGACTAAACAACAACAACAAAATCTATTCAAAGGGCCTCTGCTGCACAATACCAAAGGAATTCACTGATAAATGTACTGGCTCACTGGGAAAACTTCAGAAATTCATATAGATATGTGAGCTCAGCTACTCAGCAGCCCCTCTGCCTGAGTGATAATTCCTGGCATCCTGATACCTGAGTGTCATTCCAGAAATAACAAACCCAGATGAAGACAAAAGGGTGTGATTAACTTGGCTGGGAAACAGGGAAATGTAAATATCTCTTTTGTTACACTTGATGGGTGTTTGGTGGAGGGCAAGGAGAACCATGGGGCAGGGTCCAGGATGCTCAGATTACTGCCACCAGACCTCCCCTTTCATGATGTAACCGTGATGTATTAGTGATGTAGTCTGGGGGGATGAAACATGGGGATTAGCAGCTAATAAAAGTTTGGGAGCTCTTTTGTTCATGATGTAACCGTGATGTATTAGTGATGTATTAGTGATGTAGTTTGGGGGGGATGAAACATGGGGATTAGCAGCTAATAAAAGTTTGGGAGCTCTTTTGTTCAGGGCTTCCATCTAGTTTCACCTTGTGGCAGGTGGGAGTCCCCTTGCAACAGTCTTCAATAAAGACACTACTGGCTGCTGTTTGGCTCTGGTATTCCTGGCTGGTGTCCTTGTTTTTTGTCAAAAGGGAGCCCTCAGATTTCTCCGTTAACAGAAGAGACCCCCGAGGGTCATCTAGTCCAACCCCCTGAAATGCAGGAAGTTCAACTAAAGTTTACTGAACTGAATGAGTAGCTCAGGTGATAGAGCATGAGACTCTTAATCACAGGGTCATGGGTTCGAGTCCCGTGTTGGGCAAGAAGATTCCAGCATTGCAGGGGGTTGACCCTTGGGGTCCCTTCCAAGTCTACAATTCTATGAGCAACCCCAGAACTCCATTAACCTTCACCCGCAGAACTACAGTTCCCAGGGTCCCGGGGAGAAAGAGTGGGACTTCTGCTTTGCCACAAAGGACCCTCTTGCTGCCACCCCCTCCTCATGTTGCAAAACTGCAACCTGGATGGCTTTAAAAGTGGATTAGGCAAATTCATGGGGGCTACCAATGGCTACTGGCCATGATGGCTGTGCTCTGCCCCTGCTTCTGAATACAGTGGTGCCCCGCAAGACGAATGCCTCGCAAGACGAAAAACCCGCTAGACGAAAAGGTTTTCCGTTTTTCGATGCACTTCGCAAGACGAATTTCCCTATGGGCTTGCTTCGCAAGACGAAAACGTCATGCGAGTCTTGCGATTTTTTTCGCTCCCCCCCCTTTTTCTAAGCCGCTAAGCCGCTAATAGCCTTTTAGCCGCTAAGCCTTTAAGCCTTTAATAGCCGCTAAACCGCTAATAGCGCTAATCCGCTAATCCGCTAATAGGGTTGCTTCGCAAGACCAAAAAAACGCTAGACGAAGAGACTCGCGGAACGGATTATTTTCGTCTTGCGAGGCACCACTGTACCCTGAATCCAGGTTGCTGGGATCTGCAGGAGGGGAGAGGGCTCTTGCGCTTGGATCCTGCCTGCAGACTTCCCGTTGGGCATCTGCTTGGCTGCAGTGAGAACAGGATGCCACAAGGTGTGACTGGAAAGTTGGGTCACAGAAATCAAACACCACTTTTCTGGGCACAGCCCAGGAGGAAGGAGCGGAACCACTGTATGACAGTGCCCCCAGCTCCTAGCCCCACCAGACGGTCCAGAAGGATGTTATGGTTGATGGTATCAAAGGCCGCTGAGAGATCCAGCAGAACTAGGAAACAGCTCTCACCTTTGTCCCTAGCCCGCCGGAGATCATCGACCAGCGCGACCAAGACAGTTTCAGTCCCATGATGAGACCTGAATCCCGACTGGAAGGGATCCAAATGGTCCGCTTCTTCCAAGCGTGCCTGGAGTTGTTCAGCAACCACTCGCTCAATCACCTTGCCCAAGAATGGAAGGTTTGAGACTGGGTTGAGTTGGCCCTATTGGCAGCATCTAAAGATATTTTTTTTAAGAAGCGGTTTGATAACCACCTCTTTCAGCGGGTTTGGGAAGGCTCCCTCACAGAAAGAAGCATTCACTGGTTTGAACATTTGACAGGTTTTCATTATTTTTTCTTTTTGCAAGACAGTAGGTACATTTTACACTTAAAAAGTTACATTTAGTTCAGAGATACAAAGTTACATTCAGTAGGGAGACAACATAAAACTAACATTAAAGAAATAACATTAGTACAGAGACGGTGAACACAATTATAATATCTCACAGTGGCTGGAAAAGGAAGCAATACAGCAGACTATACCGTGGTTTTGAGGGTGCAGTGCAGGGGGGCAGACAAGTGGGGAGACTTTACTGATAGCAAATATTTATTCCCTTATTGATACAGAGGAAAAGAAACCTTTATTCAACTCAAAATTCTTATAACACAATCAAAAAGCATTCGCTGCTCCTTGAGAAAACATTCAGGAACTGCAAAGCACTGGAGACATATTAGTTTTAAAAAATAAAATAAGGAGCACGTGATCACTGAGTCATTTCCAGGAAGGGAAACTCCCAGTAGCTGAAAACGGAGAAAGTGAAACTTAACTCGGATCTTTGGTGCGAGGGAGGGAGCCATGGCTGCTTTTGAGGGTCACATCCAGCGTCTCCGTGATGAAGCCACTTGCTCCATCTGCCTGGATTACTTCAAGGATCCAGTGACCATCCCAGAGTGTGGGCACAACTTCTGCCGATCCTGCTTGATCCAGTGCTGGGGGGAATCGGAGGCAGAGGCTTCCTGCCCTCAGTGCAGAGAAAGAGTCCAGAGAAGGAGCCTCATCCCCAACCGGCAACTGGCAAACTTTGTAGAAATAGCCCAGAATCTCAGCCTTCAAGAGGGAAAGGAGGAAGGAGGGAAAGGAGGAGTCTGCGAGGATCACCAGGAGCCCCTGAAACTCTTTTGCAAGGAGGATGAAGCCCCCATTTGTGTGGTGTGTGACAGATCCAAGGAGCACAAACACCACGAGGTGATTCCTCTGAAGGAGGCTTTTGAGGAATACAAGGTAGGAGATCCCTGGATCTTGAGGGGGAGAAATAGCTGTGGATTTTTCTTGGGAGGTTTTCTTTTTAATTCTCAGCTCCAAAGTAGGCACGGCATGAATTGGTGGTTGTTTATTATATAAAAAGCAGCCCAGGGGAAGCCTGAGGGCTCGTGGGATGACAGGGAGGAGGGAGTTGAAGTCCTTCTCTCTTCCAGGGGGACAAAGGGATCTCCCTTGATATCCCTGAGTAGCATCTGCAAAGACTAGGTAGAAGTCTGTAACCAAGGGGTGACCTAACTGGGTCCCTGAGCCCCACAGGGCTGGCACAGAAAAAAGGTAGCTGGTCCAGGGAGCCTTGGACCCAAAAAGGTTGAAAACCTCTCGACTTTTATTTCCTCGAAAAAACTACTCTGCTATTATAGCAAGACCACTGGGCGCAAGAAGCCAGCACACTATTCACCTCCTCTCTGTGTGTCTCAATCAGACCTGAGTTTTCCCTTTTCTCTTTAGGGAGAGATCTGTCGCCGCCTGGAGATTCTGAGGAAAGAGAGAGAGGAAATTCTGGCCCATCAAGCAACCCTGGACAAGGAAAGCAAAGACCTCCTTGTAAGTGCCACTCTTATTACTAGGGAGGGAACAAGCACTTGAAGAGTCAAGTCAGGACTGAGGAGGGATGGGGAAATCTGCCCATTTCAACTTCTCCCCATTTCTCCTTTTTCCATATCAGTTTGTTTTTTAATTTTTTATTCTGAAAATGAATCAGATGTTAGGGTGGCTACCTCCTTGTATAAATATGTTGAAATGTACTTTACCCTCATAAATACATTTTTTGTGAACATTACCTGGCTTGTTCAACCTTGAAAAATTAAGAGGTGTGAATTTCAAAAGATTGATCTGTTTCATTCTCCATATTTTTTCAGCAATAGTAAATTACGGGAGGTAAATTCACTTTTGAATGCAGCTAATTTGAGTTTATTTTCCATTGTTGTTTATTATATGAATAGCAGTGAAGGAGAAGCCTGAGGACTTGTGAGCTGAGAGGGTGGAAGCAGTTCAGTTCAAATCCTGATTTACCATCAATATTACTAAAGAACTGTCTTTCTAAATGTGCGCTCTTGTTCATCTTTAGGAAATTCAGGGAGCTACGGGGATAAACTCTGCACTTTCTCTTCATCCTCCTCTGTTTCTGTTGCCTTCCTACACCTCAATGGTCCCAGTCTAAACTGAGGGTGTTTTATGTCCATGGACGTTCTCTGAACAACTCTGAACTCTGGTTATGCCATTCCCCAAATCATGCAGGGAATATCCTGTGGGGATGTTTAGGGAGGCAGGAGAAGATATATTATTTTATTATATCCTTCATAACTTTCGCCAGTGAAATATACTCAGAGTCGCAAAGTGATTTCATGCTCTTTATTCAGCTCATAGTGGTGAGGAGGAATGAATAAATGTCCCCTCACAGTATCTGCTTTATATACATTATTTACACAATGGGCTGCACATGATTGGCTAATTCTGGAATTCTACTGTAAGCCAATCAGGTTGTGGATTCACTTCTATCTGGAGCAGGATTGGGTGGTTCCTGCCAACCAATCATACTGCTGCATTGTTCTAGGACCAATCAGACTGCTGCATTCTGAATCCTATTGTTCTAGGACCAATCCGACTGCTGCCTTTTGGATCCTATTGTTCTAGGACCAATCAGACTGCTACAGTTTGGATCCTATTCAACTCAGTACATAACACCCCTCCCCTCTAAGTTCCAGTCGTGCCCGGGAGGTCGCATTCATAGTCCTCAAGGTATGCCGGCGGCCTACGTGTGCGTTGTGGCCTGGGGTGTTCCCTGGTCCGGGCTCCGGGTTCTGGCTCGTGTTCCAAGGATGCTGGCTGTGATGCGGCTGTTTGGTCTGGTGCAACCGGCTCGCTCAGTCGTGGTTCTGGTTCCGGTGTCCTTTCGGCCTCACGGGTCCTCTCTGTATTTACTGATTCTGCCTCTCCTGCTGGCCCCTCCTGCTCTATGGGCCTCACTGCCCCGCTGTTCCCTTGGGACTCCTCTGACCTGTCCTCCTCCTGGTTTTCTCCCGGGAATCGTCGCCGTATCTGGTCGCAGTGGCGGCGCCAGCATTGCCCCCATCCGTTAGCACCTCGTACGACACGGGGCCAGTGACCCTGGTGATTGTGGCGGGTACCCATGCTGGGCCTGCCCCAAAATTCTTTGCGTACACTGGGTCCTGGGCCTCGAAGGTCCGGGGTTCCTGCCTTCCCCACCACTACCTCATCCTGAGCTCTATCGGGGTGAAGGCGGTCCAATCTGATTGCAAGGCGCCGACCCATTAGTAGTTCAGCGGGGCTCCGGCCAGTCGTTGAGCTGGGGGTGCTGTGCTGTGCTAGAAGGAATGTGGCAAGGCGGTACTCCCAGTCCCCTTGCGTCATGCGGCGAAGGGTGTCCTTGGTGGTCCGCACCATGCGTTCTGCTTGGCCATTGGTGGCAGGGTGGAACGGCGCCGAACGGATGTGGCGGATGGCGTTCTGCGCTGTGAAGGTTTGGAATTCTCCTGACGTAAATGCAGTCCCGTTGTCTGAGACGAGAGTGTCAGGGAGCCCGTGGGTTGCAAACAGCCTGCGTAGTACCCGGATGGCTGCGGACGTGGAAGTGGACGGTACCAGTGCGACTTCCAGCCATTTGGTGTAGGAGTCCACCACTATGAAGAATGTTTTCCCCTGAAAGGGGCCAGCGAAATCCACATGCAGGCGTGACCATGGTGCTCGGGCGGACTCCCAGGACTGGACTGGGGCCCTTGGGGGATCTGGGCGGGATTCTTGGCAGGCCTGGCAGTGTTTGACCCAGGCCTCTATCTCTCCATCGATCCCCGGCCACCACACATAACTCCTGGCAAGGGCCTTCATTCTTACTACCCCTGGATGTGTCTCGTGTAGGGCTGTGAGGACCCTTTTGCAGAGGGGCTGGGGAACAACGACTCTGCTCCCCATAACAGGCACCCCTTGTGGGCCGACAGTTCATGTTTGCGGGTTGTGTAGCCGGCGAATTCTGGCCCGGGGCTGCTGCTGGGCCATCCCCTCCACACCCAGTCCAGGACCCGGGAGATGACCCTATCTTTCTTGGAATGGTGTGCAACTTCTTGTGCCTGAATGGGGCGGTCGGGAAGCAGCTCCAGGCTCATAACCTCTTGTGCAGGTGCTGGGTCAGGGCCTGTTTCCAGTAGTGGTAGCCTGCTGAGGGCGTCCGCATGGCCCATCGCCTTCCCAGGTCTGTGAATCAGTGCATACTGGTAGCTGGCAAGGAAAATTGACCACCTGAGGACGTGAGGAGACAGCACTTGGGGGGTCTGCTTTTCGGGGGCAAACAAGCCAAGCAACGGCTTGTGGTCAGTCACCACGGTGAAGGGCCGCCCGTACAAGAAATCATGGAATTTTTTTACTCCCTTTACGATTGCCAGACCCTCCTTGTCGATTTGCGAGTAGTTCCGCTCGGTTGTGTTGAGTGTCTGGGAAAAGTACGCCACCGGTACCTCTCTTCCATCCGGGAGTTGGTGCCCCAGGACAGCTCCAATGCCATAGGGTGAGGCGTCGCATGCTAGCACCACCGGCAGCCTCTCGTCGAAGTGTGCCAAGACCGAGTTTGAGACAAGCAAGTCCTTGACTGCCTGGAATGCGGCCTCCTGGCGCTGGCCCCACACCCAAGGGGCCCGCTTGTCCAGGAGTCTGTGTAGGGGCTCCGCTACCGCCGCCTTGTGGGGAAGGAAGGAATGGTAAAAGTTCAATAGTCCCAAGAAGGCCTGAAGTTCAGTCTTGCTCTTGGGCGCTGGGGCATCACAAATGGCCCGTACCTTGTCCCCAGTCGGGTGGACCCCTTCTGCGTCCACCATAAATCCCAGAAAGTCCACCTGAGGCACTCCTAGTAGACATTTTTCCCGCTTCACCTTGAGACCCGCCGTCTGGAAACGGTGCAGAACGGTGCGGAGGCGGTCCTCAAACTCCTCTGGTGTGGGGCCGGCAATCAACACATCATCGAAGAAGGGGGTGACGCCAGGAATCCCTTTAAGGAGAGAGTCCATTATATTCTGGAATATGCCTGGTGCCACGCTGACACCGAATTGCAGCCGCTTTACCCTGAACGCTCCTCTGTGCGTCACAATCGTCTGTGCCTCTGCTGTGGCCTCATCTACTGGCAGCTGTTGATATGCTTGGGCCAAGTCCAGCTTGCCAAAAATTTTCGACCCAGCCAGGGTGGCCAGGACATGGCTGACCACTGGCACTGGGTATGCGTGGGCCGTGAGGGCCTTGTTTATGGTACATTTGTAGTCTGCGCAGATGCGGACCGAACCATTAGGCTTGACGGGTGTGACGATTGGGGTTTCCCAGGGAGCATTAGGCACCGGCTCCAGCACTCCTTGCTCTACGAGTCGGTCCAATTCCTCGTCTATACGGGGTTTCAAGGCGAACGGGACCCGGCGGGCCTTGAGCCTGACCGGTCGTACTGCGGGGTCAAGCTGTAGCGCAATGGGGGGGCCCGTATACTGTCCCAATTTCCCATCGAAAACCCCTGGAAATTCCTTGCATATGGCGTCCACGTCCACTTGTAAGCTAGTGTGGTTCACCCCGGTGACAGCTAGCCCCAGTGGTCCAAACCATGCCAATCCCAGTAAGCTAATGTAGGGGCCCTTGACCACAAGCAAGTCCAGTTGCCGCGTCCGCCCTCGGTATTGCACCCTGAAGGTCCCCACCCCCATTGTGGGGACCTTACGTTTCTGGAAGTCCCGGAGGGTGAATGGGGCCGGCCTGAGTTTGGGACCCCCAGTGGGACACAGTTTCCTTAAGGTCCTTGCCGAGATTATGGATAGAGTTGAACCCGTGTCAAGCTCCATGCGGCATGGGGCCCCTCTATCTGTACCTCTACATAAATTTTCTCTACGTTGGGGTGGGGCAACTGGTATACCTGGAAGTCCGTGAGCTCCGTCGAGTTGCCTTGGTGCGTTGGGCCCCGGGACCTGGGGCTCTTGGATTGGTCATCTGATGCCTGGTGTCGGGTGGGCCGAGCCCGACACACCCGGGCGATGTGTCCCGATTTTCTGCACTGCCTGCACTCTGCGTTGCGGAAGCGGCAGGTCCTCCTCTCGTGACTCTCCCCGCAGCTTGCGCAGTTCCCTCCTTCTCGTCGAGGCAGCTGTGGTCTGTGCGCTGCTTGAGTGCGCTGCTGTACTCGGTGCACCTCCTCCCTGTCGGATCCTGAGTCGTCGGTGAGGTCTTCATGGTGGACCCTCGGTTGGGATGGCAGGCTCGGCCGTGCCTCTTGGGTCGACCTCTCGGCAGCTTCTGTTGCCAGGGCCTCCTCCAGAGCGACCTGGAACGTTAGGTCCTTCTTAGCGTAGAGGCGCCGTTGCAGCTTCTCATCCTTTAGGCCACCGACGAGGCGGTCACGAAGCATGTTCTCCAGCTCTGAGAAGTTGCAGAACCGGGTGGCTTGGCGGAGAGAGGTCACAAACCCAGTTATGGTTTCCCCAGGGGCTTGCCGCTTTGCGTAGAAGGCATTTCGACGAGCCACCACTGAGGGCTGCGGCGAAAAGTGCCCCTTCAGCTGTTCCATTATTGTTTTGTATGGAACAGTAGCGACGTCTTCAGGCGCAAGGAGAGCCCGGGCGATTTCAAACGTCTCCTCTCCGCAGACGCTGAAGAATATCGCCCTCTTCTTGGCGTCTTCTTCGTCGGTGACCCCTTTGGCTTCTAGGAGGAAGGTGAAACGGGAGGCGTACGCTTCCCAGTCTCCAGATGCTGGTTTGAATGGCGAGAAGCTGCTGTTGGCTGCCATTCTGAGTTCCTTGTGCCCCGGAGCTGAAGCCTGGATACACGGTGCGAGGCAGCGGTGCGGCAGTTGGCGGTGCTGCGGTGCTGTGTGTGGCAGTCAGCTCAGCGGGATCCCACCTTCGTCGCCAGTGAAATATACTCAGAGTCGCAAAGTGATTTCATGCTCTTTATTCAGCTCATAGTGGTGAGGAGGAATGAATAAATGTCCCCTCACAGTATCTGCTTTATATACATTATTTACACAATGGGCTGCACATGATTGGCTAATTCTGGAATTCTACTGTAAGCCAATCAGGTTGTGGATTCACTTCTATCTGGAGCAGGATTGGGTGGTTCCTGCCAACCAATCATACTGCTGCATTGTTCTAGGACCAATCAGACTGCTGCATTCTGAATCCTATTGTTCTAGGACCAATCCGACTGCTGCCTTTTGGATCCTATTGTTCTAGGACCAATCAGACTGCTACAGTTTGGATCCTATTCAACTCAGTACATAACAGCCAGCAAGTTCTATAACTTAGCAGAGTTGTTAAATAATCCCCCTTTTAAATAACACAGCGGTTAGCTAGTTGCAGGCTCATCTGAGCCTCACTATTATGATTCCTGGTTTCCTTATTTTATATCCCTCCTAAAAGGATAGACACGACCATCTGATTAAAGTTATCATAAAACTAGTTTACTTACAATCATCCAGTTCACAATGAGATTCCTGAAGGCAGGCTTAATTTACAGAACAACATATAACTTTGTGAATTATCCCGTAAGAAAAATAGTCTCAAGTGACTGTGACTGAGCAGTCACTTCTAACTCCTAGGAACACACAATGGAGAAGACACAGAGCAGAACATGGAGGCCGTGTGCTCCTCTCCCAAGAACAGGCCACACTCACATTCACTCACATGCAAAGGAAGTCTGTCTCAGCTCAGGAGGAACTAGCAAGTTTTCTCCTGAGTGATACAAAGCATTCCCCAGCATGTGCATTGTAGGACTGTTGTATCTGACTGCAATACGTTTTTACATCCCACATATCCATGGCTAGAAAACAAATGCTCCTTCCTTTAAGCTTTAGACCTCTGAAAAATAGAAGTCAACAGAAACAGCAAAGGAGAGGGCCACCCCTCAAAATAAAGGTTTACTTCTTTAGCCACTGGAGGTTTCATGTCTCTGAAAAATCAGAAGTGTCCTCCCTGTGGAATTCTCACTATTCTCTTCCTGATGTTTTGAAGGCTGATCACCTTCCACACTCAGACGTCCTCTTTTCTTGCAGAAATTAACAGAAACGGAGAGGCTGAAGACTGTGGAGAAGTTCAGAGAACTGCGCCAGTTCCTGGAAGAACAAGAAAAACGTCTGCTGACTCATGTGAAAGAGGTGGAGAAGGAGATTGCAGGGAGAAGGGATGAGCAGCTGGCCAGACTCTCCAGGAAACTCTCCTCTCTTGAGAGGATCATCCAGGAGATGGAGGAGAAGAGTCAGCAGCCAGCGAGTGAACTCCTGCAGGTAAGATGGTGGCAGGAACAGCCCAAGGCTCCAGGAAAAGGCAGCCCCTTTCATGTATGCAAGGAGTGCAGGGACTCAGTTGATGGAGCCTCTAGTCAGGTTTGTAATGGACAGGAAGACCCAAGAGACCTGGGATGCTTAACTCACCTGAATGCAGACTAGAGATTCGTCTGTGTTCTTGATGGAACGGGAGCTGATCTTCTGCTCTTTGCTGATGCTTTGTCTCCGAACGCCTTTCAGTTGTGGGGGGCTTCGTCTGGGATGCGTTCAGGCCTCCTTCCGACATGAGCCAGTCTCTTGGCCAAGCTTCTCTTCCCTTTCCCTCCACAACTTCTGGGTTGATCCCCTTCTCCATGGATACAGATCGACCCAGAATGTTGCTTAGTCACAGTGACCAAAGAGCAAGACAGAGGGACTCATCCAGACTGCTGCTTGTCCCACCCCTTTCCTCCAGGAAAACCCGCTCTTTACTGCTGAATTAGAGCAAACCTCAGCCAGGTTTTCTCTGGATTGATGTTTGCTTCAATGTTGAACTAAGGAGCAGGTTTTTCCTGAGGTAAAGCAGCAGGGCAAAGGCAAAACCACTTGGACCTGTGTTTTCTGGGCACAGGAAAAGCAGAAGTGTGGATGACCCTAAAGAAACACGGAATTGTTTTATTACCCCTTTGGAGGCATTTTATGCTGCAGGTGCAGTTTTTTTAATTTCCAGATGGAAAATAGAATTTGAAATTTGGGGACTAGGACAGTGCCCTGGCAGGATTATCCTGTAGGCTTATGTTTGTCTGAATAGCACAATGCAAACTGGATTAAAGTTATTAAAATATGGAAATGGGGAGAACTTGAAATCAGAACAGTTAATAATTTCAGACTGGAAAAATAAAAGCTGTGAGAAACCAAAACTGGCTGATTCCGCCATCCCTCCCCAAAACCTTGGCATGTGCCAGGCAGACTGACATCTGAGGGCCAGGGTCTGAGGGGGTCTTCCTAGTGTGGCCTGTGGTGTGCAGTGAATTCCCTTCTCTTTTCCCTCTAGGATGTGAGAAGGACCTTGCAGAGGTAAGTGGATCTGGCTCATTTCCATTAGCATCACTCTTTGAAGCTGAGATGCCAGAACCTCAGACATGGCCCTCCAGGGGCTGCAGGGGGGAGACTGTGGGACTCACTCCCTGCAGCACCTCACAGGTAAAAGTAGAGCCCCCTCTTCTGAACTTGTGGCCCCCCAATTCTCCCTCCAAGGTTCAAGGTCAGCTGCCTCCTTCCTCCCTCCCCACATCACTTCACAAAGGGATGGGGGCTCTTTTCTTTCTCTTGCACTTTCTGTTCATGGACTTTTTGATAATTGCAAACATCTAGAAGAGAAAGTCCCAAAGATGCTTTGGAAGAGCTTAGGACATATTTCAGTGTCCAACTAGAAGCCCCTCAACTCTGGTAACTCAGCCCCTTTGAGGCACTAAGGGAGGGACGGTCTGTTGGTCTACAATAGGTGGGTTCTTTTTCTTGGGAGCGTTTCCACTGTGAGAAGCTGAAGGTGGTCTTGAGTGGGGGGTCTAGTTGTTTCCTGCCTCTGGAGGGAGAGTCCAATGGGGCATGGGGTTGTGCCCTTCCTGGGTGAGAGAGGGGGTGAAGGGAGGGTGGAGGTTGTTCTCCTTGACCACTTGGCAGCTTTGGACATCACTCACATCCTCTGGAGAAGCTCAGGGAGGGAGGGAGGGAGTGCAGGCATTCCACCTCAGGGGTTTGGTTCTTAAGTCCTGGCACCTTCCCAGAAAGTTGTTACGGGATAGCATCATTGGAAGCTCTCCGGTGGTGTCGCTTGGGGTTACATCTTGTCCCTTGTGCTGTTTAGCATCCTTATGAAGCCACTGACAGCTGTCCTCAGGGGTTTTGGACTGAGGTCTCATCTGTGGTGGAAATAAACCTGGTGGGAAATAAACTTCCACTTTGTTCGTCTTATTGAAATCACCTGCAATAATTAGGGAGATGGGGCCACAATAGGGCCATTCAGTGTTTTTCTTTTCACCAGGTATGAGGAAAGAGAGAGTCCGGAGAAGCCACTGGCTTTCCCTTCAAAACTGAGGAGCAGGATCTTGGAATCCTGTGATCTAAATCACCTTGTGAAGAATACAATGAAACAATGGAAAGGTAATGAAAACTGGCTGCCAGGATTTCACACTGGGAATTCTGTTACTTCTTCAGAACTGGACATGCCAGGCTCTTATTGCATGGAATTGAGTAACCCCAGGATACCTTCCTTCTTGGTGCTCCAGCCTTCATTTCCTGTCCCCCAGAATGGCCCATGTATATTGTGACGCTGGATCCTGTAAAGAAAGCCTGAACCAGAGTGTAGAGCAAAGTCAGGTTTTTTTCATCCAATGTGCATCTGTTTATAATTATATGGAACCACCTTTTCCTTGTGGTTCCCTGTCTGCACAATCTGAGTTTGTCCTTTTGGAGGTTCTCCTGCTCTGAATGGAGTCAAAGGGCATTAAGAAGCCCCCAGTTCCCCCTATGCCTCCTGCTCAGGCTTCTTTCTCAGCCGTGGAGCCAAGGCCTGAGCCGTCTCCTCCTCAGACGTCCCCCTGCAGCTGCCATATCTATGGCTTTGGCCTTCAAGATCTCCTGAGAGTTCCCCCATTGAGAGAGGAAGCAAGAGCACATGAGCCCCAAAGGGCACAATTATGCTTGTTAACAACCTGAAAGATTTGTAGAAGGTTTGTGAGGAAGGGCTTCCTTCTTCATGAGAGCTTTGCCAATCCTTCCTCATCAACCTTCACTCCTCATTATGTTTCACAATTTTGGCTTTAATGATTCCCCCCACCACTTTACTTGGGGAAGATGTTAAGGCTGCCTCCATCTCCCCTCTGCCTCCTTTTACGGGATTCCTATTGCCCTGCCTCTCCTCCAGTCCTCCAGTGTAGAGCCCAATTTAGGGGCAAAGTTCAGAGACCAGCAAAATTCATGCTGAATATTTTTATTCTCTTATTTGTAAGCTTGCTTTATGATTGCTGAGGGTTTTTTTGGTTTGTTTTCTTAAAAGATTTTTATTAAAAGTTTCAACATAACAAATTATCAAAAACATATCATCCTCATTCCCCCCCCCCATTTCCCCCCTCCCTCACACCCGGACTTCCCTCAGCTCCTCTCTCTGGTTTCCCAACACATATTATTCTCTGCATTTTATAAAATGGTAAAGATCCTTAAGCTATCTATCTATTATGTTAACAATAAAAAAAATGTGTATGTTTATTCAAAACCTGCCAAGGAGTCCAGTTCATTTTGTTGTTTCTTTAAATACTTTGTAAAAGGTTCCCATTCTTCTTTAAAGTCACAGTTGTCCTTATCACACAATTTGTATGTTAGTTTGCCAATTCCGCATATTCCATCAGTTTCCCTTTTGTCGGGGTTTCTTCATTCTTCCATCCTTGTGCTATTAAGACGCTTGCCACCGTTGTCGCATACATAAGTATTTTCTTCATTTTCCTTGGCAGGTCTCTACCTACAATCCCTAACAAAAATGCTTCTGGCTTTTTTACAAATGTTAATTTGAACATTTTCTTCAACTCATTATACATCATTTCCCAAATTTTTAAAATTTCTCTACAATCCCACCACATGTGATAAAAAGTCCCTTCTTTTTCCTTGCATTTCTAGCATATATTTGACCCAGTTTTGTACATTTTTGCAATCTGTACTGGTGTAATGTACCATCTATACATCATTTTCATGTAGTTTTCTTTTAAATGGGAACAACCTGTAAATTTTAAATCTGTTTTCCACAATCTTTCCCAATCTTCGTACTATGATTGCTGAGTTTTAAAGTTTTAGTTATTTTCATAGATTCTTCCTATGATTTTCATGTTTATAATTATTTTTTGTACAATTTAATTAATACTTAATAATTGTACTTGAATTTAAGGATGTTACTTTTGTATGGAAATTTATTTCTGGTGGAAGAGTGTTGCCCTTACACTTTATATCTTTTTGCTTCCTCAGATGCTCTGTTATACAGAAAACCGATTCAGAAAGGTAAATTTCCAGGGGAGGAACAATTTGACAGGAGGGGTGGGGACTGATATTTCATGGGTGTTGAACCGTCTGTTCTGCAGACTTTGGGACCCCCATCAATGGCGTAACTCTGGGTAACAGTCCTCTACTGGTGTTTGGGTTCTTTGTCTGTCCCATGAATGAACTGGGAGGGAGGTTGAAGGCTTGGATTGGGGGCAGAGCTTGTCTCTGAGAAGAACCGGCACACCAGTCGTCTGTTCCTTTCCTGCCTATAAACTATTATCCTGATTTCCCCCTTAATTTTATCAATTTTGCTTTCTTTCATAAAATATATACTGCTTGTTTGTAGGGAAAAGCCTCAGAGCCATACAATATATTACGAAACCCCTTAGGGAGGATCCTGCAGGGTCAGTCCAATGTCCATCTTGTCGAGTTCTCATGTATAAGGAATAAGCGTGTTAAAAAGGGCACCCGCAAGCACCCAGTCCCTCCTCCACCTCCTGCCAGGCTGGTCTCCCAGTAGCAGAGCAAGGCCTGAGCTGCCTCTTCCTCAGTTTCAACCTCACCAGCCATTTCTCGTGCTTCAGCCATCCCAATCTGTTCAGAGTTCCCACAATTCTTTTGAGATCAGCCCCATTCCATGAGGTAGGAGTTCCCATTGCACAAGACTCTTGGAATTACAGGGTAAAGCTCTGCCGATTCTTCCTCTGCAAGTTGGTTTGTCAGCATGCTTGGAAATTCCAGTTTCAACAGCTTTTCCCCACCGGTTTACTTGGGGCAGATGTTAAACCTTTCTTCATCCATCCAGTTCAGACCCCCATTTCATTTGTGGATTTTGAATGATTGTATTCCTCCATTTTATAGTATGGTTTACCATTGCTGATTTTTCCATATAATCATGGAATAGCGAAGTTTGAAAGGATCCCAAGGATCATGTAGTCCAACCCCCTGCAATGCAGGAATTACAGCTAAACACGTTACCATATTTTTCGCTCTATTGGATGCACCCAACCATAGGACGCACCTTGTTGGTTTTTTTAAAATAATAGTTTTTTATTAAGTTTTCCATTTTAACAATCCAATCAAATCACATTAAATATTCCAAATTGTACAAATACATATCATAAAGTCCAAATATTTTGCCAAATTATAAATTTTTGTTGGGGGTTCCCGTGCTTCAAGTTCAGTGGGGTCCAATCATCTTATATTTCTACTGCCTTAAGTTTCCAATAGTCCCTTCTTTAAATCTTCCTGTTGTTATCCTTCTTTCTTTCATAGCCTCTGAGTCGTGCAATAATATGCTTCTGTGTGAACTTTGTGTGACTCTCCTTTTTTTTTTTTTGCAGCTGGTAAGTCTTTTACTTGCAGTATGTCCTCACACGCTGGTGTTTATGCCGAATCCATCCCAAAGTCCTTCTCTGGTGGCAGACACCATCTTTTCCCAGTTCCCATAAAAAAAACTAAGCATTTGCTCATTAATTTTCTCAGACAGGTTGCACCAAACATTAGTCTTTCCAGAGGAGGTTTGCCAAGTCAGACTTGAAGTACAGATATGATAACAAAGTAAGAGCTTGCCTCCCCCTATGACTATTAATCTCTGCAACTCAGTCTGTCTCATAATGGCAGATCCCGATTAAATAGTGCGTCACAGGAAAGTCATTTATCTTCTTCCAAGTATTTAAAATAACAAAGGCTTCAGTTAGTATTATTATTTCCACACAGTTTATATTTTCCGATCTCACTTGCTATAGGTAGTGTAGACGGTTCTTCTGGGGGGGCGTTAGGTATTATTGTAGTAGAAAAAGAAAAAGTTTTATCCCCTCCGTTCCGTTCCAACATACCGGCTCAGATGTTATTCTTTGATGTTATCTTCTTCCTTCCGTCACTCTTAGCACCTCAGTGGCTGTAGTTGGCAGATTAAATACCCTTTCTTCGCCCAAAGCATGTACAATCTTAAATCCAATTTTTAACCTTAAGAAATGGAACTGGGAGTGCTCACGAAGACAGTGTCGAGGAGATACGAGCTCTCTCGAGGGCTTTCCATCCAGTGCCCCCACCCCCTCCTTTACGAACTCGGGGGTGGTTTGTGGGGAGGCGGATGAGACTGCATCTTCCCTTCCACCAGGAAGAATTTGGGAGGCTGATTACTCCCATCTCAGCCTCTAAATTACCTCGTGTGAGCTGGAGAGATGGTACTGTCGGCCATCTTCCATGGTGTCCCTAGCGAAGCACCTTGTTTTAGAGGGGGAGAACAAGAAAAAAATTCTCCCCCTCTCTGCTCAGCGCCCCTTCAGCGAAGACGCAGGAGAAACAGAGCCCCTTCCATTTCTCCTCCCACTTGGCTGAAGGGGCGCTGCGCAGCTCTCCCTCTCTGCTGAAGCCAGGAGAGTCTTGGTCTGCAGGCTTCAAAAGCAATGCGAAGCCTCTGGAGCGCGGAGGGAGCACTCCCTCTGCACTTCGGAGGCTTCGCATTGCTATCGCTGAAGCCAAGGAGCCTGCATTCGCTCCATAGGACGCACACACATTCCCCTTAATTTTTGGAGGGGAAAAAGTGCATCCTATAGAGCGAAAAATACGGTAGTTGTTTTAATTCCTTAGGCCTAGTGATATTACATTCTCAGGAATGTAATTAACAGTTAACATCACTACTTAGGCCTACAGCTGTCGTCTTTGCAATTATGTGTTCTATGATTTCATCTTTTGCTTGAAATAAGGAAACAATAGATGCTATGTTATGGTGATGTTTTGTAAAAAAGATTTAATTGTTTTAGCTATTGCATTGTAGCCTGTTAAGCCTGTCTTTTTGCTTCCTCAGATGTTCAGCCATTCAGAAATCTCCAGAGAGGTAAATTTCACATGGAGACCCCAATTCACAGGAGGGGGCTAGTGTTTCATGGGGGTCAAGAGTCTCTTCTGTACAGCTTGACTCTGGCCCTGCTGTTTGTACCACAAAGGCAGAGAGGGTGGACTTGAAGGTGCAGAAGGGGGGGGAGAGAAAAACTGCCCAGAAGGATCATATAAAAGAGGGAAGAGTTTAATTCCTGCCTAGAGAGAGTTGGGTTGCTTTTCCATGTGACCTTTTTCAGGACTGGTTGCCACGTGTCCTCTTTTTCTCAGACAGGCCTTCTATTTTCATGATTAAAATTTCTCCCCGGGCGGATTTTTAAAATTTGGCAAAATGTCTCAAGTTGTTTGGTTTGGTTTACAGTAACCCATGAAAAAAATTCTAGTGCATTAGACTCAGATCTAAGGCACCCAGCTAAGCTAGCCTAGAGCAGAGAATCGCAACAGAGCAGCATCTTCAGCTAGCCACATCCTGTATAAAACCCTTCTCTTGTGGCTGAACTAAAAGGACACTGGCTCAGCTACAAGATCTTGGAGAAGGAATCTGGGAGGGCAAGAGTTAACACCCCCCTGCCCTTAAGGAAAATCCATATGTACATGTTTAACAGTTTAATAAATTGTTCTGTGCACACTTGCGGTCACAAAGATGTGAACACGAGCCCAAATACTTTCATGTGGCAAGTGAGGGAGCAATATGTATTATTATTATTCTTCTTTGGTTGTTGAAAGTTAAGAACATTGCTACTAGCAGTATATCACAGCTTCGAAAGCCTACATAGAGTAGGGGTATTTAAAATGAGAGTTGTCATAGCGATCCATGGTTAAGAGTAGAAGTTGGCAAATGTGTCCTCTTTTTTGTTCTTCAAAATACGACAACCCTACACTTGCCTATCATGACTGTCTTAGCCCCTGACTGGTAACTTTCTGAGTTATTCCCACTTTCCCTCAGGGATCTAGTCTTAAGGTTTATATTAAATCCAAAAGAGAAGCATGGATTAAGAAGTCCTTTGTAAAATTCCCCTGCCAACTGCTCTCTCTTCCCTGGCGGCAAGCCCTAAACTTCCAACATGGTAGGGAGGAAGGCAAGGAGAGATCAAGCGGGTGAGAGAGATGGAGAGCAGGAATAAACAGGCTCCCCACTTAATGCGATTTTGACTTGTGGGCACGAGGGCCCAGAACATGACCCCAGTGAAAGTGAGGAGAGGCCTATATGTGGTTTTATGTTGTATTTTTATGCTGTGAACCACCCTGAGACCTATGGATGAAGGGCAGTAGGCAAATATTATTATTATTATTATTATTATTATTATTATTATTATTACAGGGGGGTCCTCATATCCCAACCCAGAGCTCCCCAAAGGCCAATCCTCTCCTGCCTCCTCCAATTCTCCTCTCTTTCCCCTTAGATAACACAGAAGAGATGAGTAAAAGGGTTCCTGGGTGGTTTTTCCTCTTAGAAAATGCCTGGGATGAGAGGAGGGCAGGCACAATACACATCGGATATAAGAAAGTGAAGAAAACTGATTTAAAAACCATCAAGGAAGATATTTATTTATTCTGATCAGAGTCTGCAAGGAGTCGTCTCAGTCTTGCATGCGATGCAAAGAAATCCCCTTGATCTGAAAGGGAATCTGGGTTTTTTGGGTGTTTTTTATTTATCAGGATGTCCGTTTCTGTCTCTCAGCTGACTCTGCCTATTCTTCTCTTTCCCTCATCTTCTCCCCAACAGCAAATGTCACTCTGGATCCAGACACAGCCCATCCTGAACTCATCTTGTCCGAGGATAGGAAAAGTGTGAGATGGGGAGACAAACCTCAAGCCCTGCCTGATAATCCTGAGAGATTCAGACGCTACTCTTGTGTGTTGGGACGTGAGGGATTCACAGAAGGCAGACATTTCTGGGAAGTCACTGTGGAAAGTGGGGAATTGTGGGTTTTGGGGGTCGCCAGGAAGTCTGTGGAGAGAAAGGGCATCTTCCCCTTAAGGCCTGAGAGAGGGATCTGGGCTGTGGGGAAGTGGGGAGGGGGCTACTTGGCCTGCACCTCCCCTGATGACTCTCCTCTGTCCCTGAGGGAGAAGCCCAGGAGGATCCGGGTGACTCTGGACTATGAAGGGGGACGTGTGTCTTTTTCTGACGCTGACTCAGGAGCCGAACTCTACACGTTCTCAGGAGCCTCCTTCTCTGGAGAGACCCTCCTCCCTTTCTTTCGTCTATTGGATAACAAAACCCACCTCAGGATCTCCTGAGGAGACTAAATCTGCCTCTCAGGCCCAGCAGGAGTTTCTCTCCAGACCAGAGTGACTGACATAAAAACCATTTACCCGCCAAGAGCAGGTTGGGCAGTTTTCCAAGGGCCCTTTGAGAGGATTCATTCCAGTCAAAACCAGCAGAAATAACCAAACAAAAATGGGTTGCTCTTGCTTTGCATTTTCTTTCCTTTTCCCAGAATTCCCTCTGCTGCTTCTTAAAGAGACAGTCACATTTTTAGGAGTCCTAATAAATTTTCTCACCTTCAATCTTGTTTTCATTTTGAGATGTCTGATTTGGCAGAGGATGAGACTCTTAATCTCAGGGTTGTGGGTCTGAGCCCCACGTTGGGCAAAAGTTTCCTGCACTGCGGGGGGTGGGACTAGATGACCTTCAGAGTCCCTCGCAACTCAGCAATTCTAGGAAACCTTCCTCTCCCCACAAGACCTTATGCAGCTGTGAAAATGCATGCATCATTGCATTAATAGAGAACTGAAAAATAAGCCCCTTCACCCACATCATGCAGGATAGCATGGAGACCTAAGACAGGAAGAAAAAGAAAAAGACATTGAACAGGGCATCAGCTTCAAATGCCCTCTGCAAATACAGCCTCGCCATCTCCACATGTTGTCAGAAGTAAACCTTATTGCATTGAGTGGGGCTTCTGCCCAGTTACATGTGTTTTGAGTGGATGCATTAACGTTCCTTATTTACAGGCTGGATTCTGTCTATCGGGGGCATCAAATGAGGTGTCCTCTGGATAATGCTGGACTCCAACTCCCCTCTGACCCATCCAGCATGGCCAGGGGTCAGAGAGGGTGGGAGCTGCAGTCCGGCAGCTTCCAGAAGGGGCCCCATGGGCTGTGCTGCCCTATACGTTTCGCAGGGCACCTTCCTTGTGTTCCTCAGCCCCACCCCAAATACACAGTGCTCCCCCAAGGAGCATCATTTCGGTAGCAGGTGCATCTGATTTCTCTCCTTAGATACTAACAGCTGGAATAACACATGCCTGTGGAATTGACCCCTCTCAAAGATCAGGCAGGACTCACTCTGGCTCCACTATCGGCACCACTGACTACTGACCAGTGCAGCCTGCTCTCCTTTCCCTGCGTTTCCCACAGGGTGGTGGCACATGATGGAATAAAGACACCTCCCCCACACCATTGACATTTGTTGCAGCAGATGCGCAGGTTTCTGTTTTTGTTTTAAAATAAATTAACTGTAATGTATACTCTGAAGACGTTAATGTTCATTGTGAGTGGCTGTGGGGCAAAGCTTCCTGGGACGGCGACATTTGAAGAAGAAACTAAACTCAGCTGTGCAAAACTTGATGTTGGACTAAATAGACCTTTGGCTTTCCTGATAAAGTCGTACCTTGGTTCTCGAACATAATACGTTCCGGGAGTCCATTCGACTCCTCGGAACTGTTAAAAAACCAAGGTGCGGCTTCCGATTGGCCGCAGGACCGTCCTGCAGCCAATCGGAAGCTGCAGAAGCCACGCCAGACATTCAGCTTCCAAAATTCGCTTGAAAGCCGGAACACTCACCTCTAGGTTTTGATAGTTCGGGAGCCAAGGCGTTTGAGATCCAAGGTACGACTGTATTCTTAAGTGGCTCTTTCATTCCTATAGGATTTAATTAGTGAATGATACGGAAAGGACCTTTTCAAGGGGGTCTCTCCATCTGCTATGAGATTTGACCGCAGCCTGACACCCTCCCCTTCCTTTTATGCCACAGATAAAAAGCACATACTTCTCCTGACCTTCCTCTTTGCCACTCAATAACAGTGGCAAATGGCAACAAAATAGAGATCTCTAAAACTCAGGACCTTATTTTATTTTCCAACCGGGGATGCCCATTGAGGTAGTTCTCCCCACCCTCTTAGCCAATCTCCCCTTCCTCTTTCAAATGGCTTCTCGCGTGTACGAGGAGATTTGGCCTCTGAGTGAAGCCCTTTCCGCACTCCAGGCACTTGTATGGCTTCACCCCAGTGTGGGTTCTTTCGTGTTTGAGAAGGTTGGAGCGATGGCTGAAGCTCTTCTCGCAGATCGAGCAATGAAACGGTTTCTCCCTCGTGTGTGTTCTGTGGTGAACGACAAAGGCCGACTTGTCCCGGAAGCTTTTGGGACAGTCTGGGCACTGGAAGGGTTTTTCTCCCGTGTGGATCTTCTCGTGCTGAACCAGGCCGGCGTTCTGAGAGAAGCATTTCCCACACTCGGCGCACTTGTAGGGCTTCTCGCCCGTGTGGGCTCGCTTGTGTTTCATGAGGGACGACCCGTCACCAAAACTCTTCCCACACTCTCCGCACTTGTAGGGCTTCTCTCCCGTGTGGATCCTTTCGTGCGCGAGGAGGTTGGTGCGATGCCGGAAGTTCTTCCCACACCCAGAGCACGGGTACGGTTTCTCCTCAGTGTGGATCCTTCTGTGCACGAGGAAAGCGGATTTGTTCCTGAAGCTTTTGGCGCAGTCGGGGCACTGGTGTGGCTTCTCGCCCGTGTGGATTCTCTGATGTCGAATAAGATCGAATCTCTGCCTGAAACTTTTCCCGCAGTCTTGGCAGTGATAGGGCTTCTCTCCTGTGTGGATCCTCTGGTGAGCCACAAGCCCAGTGCGCCTACTAAAGCTCTGTCCGCAGTCCAGGCAAGCAAAGGGCTTCTCTTGCGTGTGGGTTCTCTCATGTGCCATAAGATGTGATCGCTGGTTGAAGTTTTTCCCGCAGTCCGGACAGTTGAAGGGTTTTTCCCCGGTGTGGATTCTCTGATGTGCAACTAGGACATTCCTCCTGCAGAAGCTCTTCCCACAGTCGGAGCAGATGTAGGGTTTCTCTCCTGAGTGCATTCTCTGGTGTTCTGTGAGTTCCGCCTTGCAGCGAAAAGATTTTCTGCACTCAGCGCATGTCTCACCCTTGAGGAACCTTTGCTGGACTGGCATGGCAGGGAGCTGGAAAGGAATGGATTTGCCTTCTTCATTATGGGGGTGAGTTTCCTGCTGGTTTTCGGATGCTTCTCCCCAGTCGGCATATCGGGATACAGTCCGTTCTGCTCTCTCTGGCAGCATCCAACGTGGTTCAGCTTCTTCAGAATTGACTGGCACAATCTTCTTCTCCTCACCATCTGTTAGAGGGGGGAAAGGGATCCTTAGAAAGAGAGATTTTCCTTCCCCAAGGAAAAAGGAGGGCCTGGATAATAATCAAATAAGGGGTTTGGAGCCCAGTTATTTGAAGAACCACCTACAGCAGCAGTTCTCAACCTGTGGGTCCCCAGATGTTGTTGGACTACAACTCCCATCATCCCTGAGCTCTGGCCTTGCTAGCTAGGGGTGATGGGAGTTGTAGTTCAACAACATCTGGGGACCCACAGGTTGAGAAAGGCTGACCTACAGGAACTCACACAGGCCCTAAGTGTGGCCTCAGAGATCCTGATTGCTAGTGCACCTGTAAGGTCAGTTAGATTGGTGGGCACTAGACCTCCAGCCAGAGCCTTTATTGTGGTGGCCCCTCACTTGCATAACTCACTCTGCAAGAGAGCTCCCCCCCCCCAGCCAAAGACTCCTTACCCAGCCAAGGGGCATCAGCAGCTGTATCTTCCTGCTTGACCACTCTGATGAGCGGCCACTTGCTGGAGTCTGACAGAGCCCCGTCAGCCTCAGGGGAATCATCTGCTTTCTCCTTGAAGGGCCAGAGGACCTGAAACAGCAGAAAGAACGAGACAAAGAAATGGGTGCGAATCGCCTGAGATTCAGGGGTGGGGAACCTCTGGAGCTTCTCCAGATGCTACAGGACTCTAATTCCCATCAGCCCCCAGCCAGCATTGCCACGGGTCAGGGGTGAGGGGAGTGGGAGTCCAGCAACATCTGGAGGGCCAAAGACTCCCTGCCTTTGACTGAGTCAGGCCATTGGCCCATCTTTCACAGTATTGCCTACACTGACTGGCAGCAGCTCTCCAGAATCTCAAGGAGACCTTCTTCAGGCAAAGGCTACCACTGAAGGGGGATGCATTAAACCAGCTGGGGCAGAATGTGGCAGCCCATCTCAAGACAGGGACTGGAGCACAGGAATCCATCACTCCTGTGTCCACATAGCTTCTCTCTCAAAATGGCAGATACAGAGCCCTGAAGGGCCAGAAACCAACACAGACTGCCTGTTCACAGCAGTGAAAGCTGGTCCATTAGGGCAGAGAGTGCGTTGCCCACCATCCTTAGTCTTCCCCCAGCAAGTGGCGTTCTAAGGTACACTGCCTCAGAACCTGGAGGTTCTACTTTGCCAATACAGCCAACCCCTGCTGATTCAGCCAGATCCTATTTTTGAACCATCTAGGGCAGGCATAGGCAAACTCGGCCCTCCAGATGTTTTTGGCCTTCAACTCCCATGATCCCCAGCTGGCAGGGCCAGTGGGCAGGGATGATGGGAATTGTAGTCCCTAAACATCTGGAGGGCCAAGTTTGCCTATGCCCGATCTCAGGGAACAGTCAGTCCAATGCACATTTACAGTCAGCAAAAACTGCCCCAATGGCTAGTCCTCTGGGCTCCTTGCCACTGTTCCTTTTGTTCTTCCCAGGACTGATCTCCTGCCCTCTCACCTGTTGTATTTCGTGCTCGTTCTCTTGCTGCCTCTCCAGGAAATCCTCCGCCAGGCCGACTGCCTGACCGCAAGTCTCCGGCCCGCCTTCCCTGACCCAGTTCTGCATCTCCGGGGGCAGGATGGCCAGGAACTGCTCCAGGATCACCAGCTCCAGGATCTGCTCCTTGGTGCGCCTCTCCGGCTGCAGCCACCGATGGCAGAGCATCCACAGCATCCCACAGAGATCTCGCGGCCCCTCGGCCTCCTGGTAGAGGAACTGCCTGAAGCACAGGCGCTCCACCTCCTGGCTGGGAGCCTCCTTCTTCATTTCCCCACGATCCAGGGCCAATATGCTGTGGGTGGGCTGGGAGACGTCTCCTCCAGGGCCGGGCAGGTTGCGGATCACCCTGCCTCGCCCAGTGTCTGATCGCCCCTCAAAGAAAGCCTGAGCGTCCCTTGGGCCATTGCTGGCCAGCTGCAGGTTTCCCGGCTCAGGCTGCGGAGACCACACAGCCTTCAGGAGTCCCTGACACTGAGCTTCCCAGCACTCCTCCTGAGCCACTTCCTCGGGTTCCTGCTTAATGTGCTCTGTTATGGTCCCTTCCCACAATTCCTTGAGGCTCTCTGAGCGGAGGGCCAAGGGGCCTGTTCCTGCAGCCTCCTCTGGTTCAGACTCCGATGCCTCCTCCTGGGCCTCCGTCTTCACTGTGTCCTCCAGCAGGACATCTCGGGGGACAGCCCAGACAGCTGCATTCCTGCGTTTGGACGCCATCACCTCTCTTAACTCCGGGGCTTGGCAGGGGTCACTCACACACTGCTATCCCATGTTTCTCGGTGATGTCAACTGCCAGGTCCAGATTGTTTATAAGGCCCGGTGCCTCTGCAAGGAAAGAGAATCAGTGGGAGCTGCAGCGAAAAGTTGCATCGTGGAACACTCCTGTCCAGGATACTCCATTCCATTCTCTGCTCCCATGTTTTCCATCCCACCAATCAGCAGCCAGCATTCTGTGCACACTGAGCATGCTCAGTCCTCAGAGAACTGTAGCTCTGTGAGGGGCATAGGGGGTCTCCTCTCAGCACTCTTAACAAACTACAGTTCCCAGGATTCTTTGGGGGAAGCCATGACAGTTTAAAGGTAAAGGACCCCTGACCATTAGGTCCGGTCGTGGCTGACTCTGGGGTTGCAGCGCTCATCTCGCTTTATTGGCTGAGGGAGCCGGCGTACAGCTTCCAGGTCATGTGGCCAGCATGACTATGCTGCTTCTGGCGAACCAGAGCAATGCACAGAAACGCCGTTTACCTTCCCGCTGGAGTGGTACCTATTTATTTACTTGCACTTTGACGTGCTTTTGAACTGCTAGGTTGGCAGGAGCAGGGACTGAGCAATGGGAGCTCACCCGGTCGCGGGGATTCGAACCGCCGACCTTCTGATCGGCAAGTCCTAGGCTCTGTGGTTTAACCCACAGCACCACCCACGTCATTGCGCTAAATGCATAGTGCAGTTGGCCCCCTGATTACAGCCCTTTCACATGAGAGTCCAGTCCTGGTTTCCCACTGCGCTTTCTCACATTCAGAATGGTCCTTTCATTTTTGCAGGGTGGGAGAAGGAGTTGTTGCTGCTATTTCTAACCAACTGGCAATCAAGGAGCCTTAGAGACTCTTAGTGATCTACTGCAAATCACCCCGTCTGACTTCTGACCACCCCTGACATAATGTCCCTGAAGACATAGCCATGATGAAGAATAGTCTTTGATAGACTTTATGTTTAAAAGGGGTGGGACAGAGAAATCCACAGAGGATGTTATAAAACTCATCAGAGCTCCGTGGAACCTGCATGTTCAGGAGCAGTTTACCTGTGATCACAAGATGCTGGAGGCAGAGAGCAGCAAGAGGTTTGCTGCTGCCTTGCTGCCTCTGAGCATCCCAGAGAGGTCTGGCTGCCCACTGTTGGGAGCAGGAGGCTGGTCTGGGAGGGGTCTGTCTGATCCAGCAGATCCCTAAAGCAAAGCTTCCTATTCCAGGCGAGCTCTCTGCTCCTGCCTCAAGGCGCTTCACACTTACCGGATTCCCTCCCCGGAGCTGAAAAATCTCTTTTTCCAGCCTCTACTTTGCAGCAAAGAAAAGCACCATAGAGTCGCTAAGGGGGAGAAAAGGAAAAGCAGGGCCTTCAATAGTCATAACAATTTCGTCCGAAGTGCCGCTCTGGAAATCCCGACTCTCTCAGCTTAACCCTTTGTGACAACCAGAGCACAGAGTAGAGTAAAGCGATTCCCCCTTTCTTTTCTATAATTTCTGTGTCATGAGAGAGGAAAAGCCAAACGTTAAAAATAAATTGATATGGAATAATTCTAAATAAAACCAGCAGTTAAAAGTATATTTCCCGCAAATGCTAATTATAATTATAGTTTATTGAATTTATATACCACCCTATACCCAGGGGTCCCAGGGCGGTTCACAGAATAAAATCAAGATATAAAACTACAAAATACCTAATACAAAATAAAAACAACAACCCAATAGCCCCCTCAAAAACACACACACACACACATTTTAAAAGGTCATAGGATGTAAGTCAGATCAACCAAAGGCCTGCCAACCTTACAAATCTGGGCAGATATAGACAGATTACACACTAACCCATCTGTAGAAAAAAATGTTTGCCTCTGTCTGGAAGTGTATGTGAATTGAAACCCTCCCCTTGATTATGCTCACACCTTTTCCTCTCTGCTCATGCCCAGGTGAAAGGAGAAAGAAACAGTCTTGGGATGCTTCACCCAACTGCAGTCATCTGGCAGGTGTGGATAAACCCCACATTGCTGAGACCACCCACAGCTGTTTTCAAATGAGCACACTACTCTAAACAGTCATGGCTACACACACACCCCTACAAAATAACAATAATACAGTGGTACCTCGCAAGACAAAAAACTCGCTAGACGAAAGGGTTTTTTGTTTTTTGAGCTGCTTCGCAAGACGATTTTCCCTATGGGCTTGCTTCGCAAGACGGAAACGTCTTGCAAGTTTGTTTCCTTTTTCTTAACACCGTTAATACAGTTGCGACTTGACTTCGAGGAGCAACTCATAGAACGCGGTGTGGTAGCCTTTTTGAGGTTTTTAAAGACTTTGGTGATTTTTGAAGCTTTTCCAAAACTTTCCCGACACCGTGCTTCGCAAGACGAAAAAAATTGCAAGACGACAAAACTCGCGGAACGAATTAATTTCGTCTTGCGAGGCACCACTGTATTGGGATCTATAGTTCGTTAAGGGTGCTGTGAGTTGTTCACAAATGCCTATTCCGTTCACAGAGCTACAGTCCTCAGAGCCGTTTAACAATAAATCCGGCTTCACAGGGAATTTTGGGAACTGTAGCTCCATGAGGGTGTAATAAACAAAAATCTGCCCTTATTCCCTCATAGGGGACACAAGAGCCCTTATAGAGTCCTTTGTAGGTTCTCCATTGGTCGGAGAAAATAACAGAGGCCAACCAGAGAATATTGAGAAGCAAAGCAGCTAGTAAGCCTGGTCTTTATTGAATTGTTGCAACAGGGTGCCCCCTTCACACGCAGGAGAAGGAGGAGGACCCTGAACAAAGGTGTGCCCGCCCTTATATAGACATTTTAAATTGCCCGCCCTGGAGTCCAAGACACGCCCCCCCAGAAACATCATACATCACAGAAGGGGTGTAGCTCAAGACCACCCCCCAGATATATCATACCTACATCACAGAAAGGGCAGTCCACAACAGAAATCTGAGTGCGTTGTTTATCTCCTGTCTGGCAGGTTACCTGTTAATGGTCACTTGATTGGATTACCTGGGGAGCCTGGCCAGTCTTTTGTAATGATAAATACTTAGTTCCTGAGCCAGGTCACGGGCTCATCCTATTCATACACAGACATACCCTTAAGACAGGATTTGTGAACGAAAAGACAATGGGGAGGCTTTTCCATTTTCCTTCGACCTTGCAGAGAAATATTTGAGGTCAATTTGGGAGGGACAAAATGGTTTCAGGACTTTTTCTGTGGGGTTTCAGACATGTGGTTTATATATGCAGTTATGAACATTATATATATATATATATATATATACACACACACACACACACACACACACACACACACACACACACAGTGCTACCTCCAGTTACATACACTTCAGGTTACAGACTCCGCTAACCCAGAAATCGTGCTTCAGGTTAAGAACTTTGCTTCAGGATAAGAACAGAAATCGTGCTCCAGTGGCGCAGCGGCAGTGGGAAGCATTAGCTAAAGTGGTGCTTCAGGTGAAGAACAGTTTCAGGTTAAGAACAGACCTGTGGAACAAATTAAGTACTTAACCCGAGGTACCACTGTGTGTATATATATATATATATATATGACCTTAAATTTTTTATTTCAGGGGGAACAGTGGTCTCCTAGCAACTGTCAGCACCATTAACAAACTACAACTCCTAGATTTTTATTTTTTTTGCAGGGGAGGCATTACTGTTTATAATAGTAAGCATCGTGTTTTAAATGCATATAGTAGGTGAATGCCACCCTATGTTCTATCACAAACGTTTCCCAAGTCGCCCCTTCGCCTTCCCCTTTGAGTCCCCAGTAACATTCTCTTGGTAGGATGAGAGAGGCGCTCTTGGGAATCATAGGAACAGAACTACCTAAATTGTACAGTGGTACCTCGGGTTACATACGCTTCAGGTTACAGACTCCGCTAACCCAGAAATCGTGCTTCAGGTTAAGACCTTTGCTTCAGGATGAGAACAGAAATCGTGCTCTGGTGGCGCGGTGGCAGCAGGAGGCCCCATTAGCTAAAGTGGTGCTTCAGGTTAAGAACAGTTTCAGGTTAAGAACGGACCTCCGGAACAAATTAAGTACTTAACCTGAGATACCACTGTATAGCAATTTATTCATTTATGTGACTACAGCGGCAAGAATATTACTTTCCGCAAAATGGAAAGAAATCCCAGCAAAGGAAAAAGGAATACAAAAACTTATGGAAACGGCGAAACTTACCGGAAGAATAAGAAATCAAGAAAGCAAACTTTTATAAAAGAATGGAAATAGTTTATTGAATATTTACAGATAAATTGTAAACAGATAAAAACACTGGCAGGATTATTGTAATAACCTGCAGCTACATTAAGAGTATTGTACAGTGGTACCTCTGGTTATGTACTTAATTCGTTCTGGAGGTCCGTTCTTAACCTGAAACTGTTCTTAACCTGAAGCACCACTTTAGCTAATGGGGCCTCCCGCTGCTGCTGCTGCGCCGCCGCCGTGCAATTTCTGTTCTCATCCTGAAGCAAAGTTCTTAACCCGAGGTACTATTTCTGGGTTAGCAGAGTCTGTAACCTGAAGCATCTGTAACCTGAAGCGTATGTAACCTGAAGCGTATGTAACCCGAGGTACCACTGTATATATTTAAAGGAGATAAACAAATAAGTTAAGTTAATTTGATTATGCAGAAGATATTTAAAATAAAAATAAATTTAAGGAACCACAGAAAGCGGGGGAAGGAAGTCAAGATTTAAAATGTCAAAATGATTGTAAAATCAGTGAAATGTATATATCTGAATAGTATAAATATTTTTTTTAAAAAAAGAGGTTTGGGAGAGGCGCCTTGCCTGGAACCCTGGACAGCCGCTGCCAGTCAGTGTAGACAACACTGCGCTAAATGGACCAATTTTCTGACTCTGCATATGGCATCTTCCTTTGTTAGGCTCACCCCAAACATCACCCCCCCTCCGCCCCCAAAAGCCAGCAAGCTTGGGAGCTGTCCAGAATTCTTCACCAGAAACTTCCTTGCAGTTTCACGGATAATTTGGAATTTATTTATTTTCTCTCCCTCCCCGCCCTTGCGCGTTTGGAAGGAGTCGCCCAAAATCCACGATTGCTAGAGAGACTCTGTTTTCGTGTCTCTTTTTTTTTGCAAAGGGGGACGATAAACGGCGACGGCCACTTCCTGTTCCTTCCTCTCTCTCTGCCTCCTTTTCAATCGCTCCAGCAAAACCCATTTGCAAATCGGCAGTTGCAGGAGCTGCTCAGCAGAGCCGCTTCTTTTGTGCGCGTGTTGCTGCGCGCTGCGCTCTTGCAGGCGGCGGTGCGTCCGGAGGGCTTGCGGAGGTAGGAAAGTTGCTTCCCTTAAAATCATGCTTAGTCTTCCTTCTCTTTCCTCTTTTTTCCAGTGGGGGAGGAGGAGAGACAAAAGGCGAGGTAGTGCAGCGAGGGGGGACAATAGGAAACTCCCCTTCCCTTCCTGGGTGGCTGGAAAAGCTGGATCGCAAATATTTAGATCTCTGTCTGGAACAGGGGAGGAGGTGGGAGAAGAGAAACCTTCATAATCCAGGATTATGGCAAAGGGGGCCTTTTTAAGGTTGCCAATGGACTGGGCAGTGTGCGAAAGCCTGATTTGGCTCTTGGACGGCGGCTGGATGTGCAGAAATGTGCAAGAAAAAAGCAGGTGTGGAGCTTTTTTGCCACACAGGGACAAAGACGCCTGCAGATCGGCATGCTCTCCAAAGGCACAGCTGCAGGCTGTGCTGGAAAAGTTAGCAACCCCTCCTACCTACCCTCTTCCTCCTCCTCTTAAATGCAGGTCGATCTGAGAAATGCCCCAAGGAACGGCCAGAGTTCAGTGCCAGAGTAGCTGTCCTGCATGCAAAAGGTCCAAAATCCCCGGCATCTCCACTGGCAATGAAATCCCAGAGAGCGGCTGCCAGTCAGTGTAGACAATATTGAGCTCAGTGAATAATAATAATAATTTATTATTTGTACCCTGCCCATCTGGCTGGGTTTCCCCATCCACTCTGGGCGGCTTCCACAGAGAGCAAAAATACACAAAAATGTCACACATGAAAAACTTCCCTGAAGAGGGCTGCTGCCTTAAGATGTCTTCTGAATGTCAGGTAGTTGTTTATCGCTTTGACATCTGATGGGAGAGTGTTCCACAGGGCGGGCGCCACTACCGAGAAGGCCCTCTGCCTGGTTCCCTGTAGCTTTGCTTCTCGCAATGAGGGAACCGCCAGAAGGCCCTCAGCGCTGGACCTCAGTGTCCGGGCAGAACGATGGAGGTGGAGATGCTCCTTCAGGTCTACTGGGCCGAGGCCGTTTAGGGCTTTAAAGGTCAGCACCAACATTTTGAATTGTGCTCGGAAACGTACTGGGAGCCAATGTAGTTCTTTCAAGTCTAGCTGCTGCATTCTGGATTAGTTGCAGTTTCTGGGTCACCTTCAAAAGTAGCCCCACGTAGAGCGCATTGCAGTAGTCCAAGCAGGAGATAACCAGAGCAGGCACCACTCTGGCAAGACAGTCCGCGGTCAAGCTTCGGTACATGACAGCTTCCTGTTTCTCTGTACAAGGCAAGCAGAAGCTCCTAGGTTCGAGCCTCAATGGCCTCTCCAGTTACCGCGTGGTCCTCAGACAAAGGGCAAGATGTGGATTTAATTAATTAAATAATAGCAATAATACTGCTCTGCCTGAAACCCCCGGAGAGCTTCTGCCAATCAGCGCAGTTCTCAGTCGGATGGGCCAATGGTCCAGAACTCTGTTACAAGGCGGCACAGCACTGACACGGGAACAAAACCGGAAGCTGCCTTATTCCACGTCGGAAAATCAACACTGACTGGCAGAGGCTCTCCAGGGTTTGGGGCAGCAGCTTTTCCCGTTCTTGCCCGGGGCACCGGAAATCGCACCCGGGATAAGGTAGACGCTCCGGCCCTGAGCTACGGTGCTTCCAGGAACCAGGCAGAGGGCCTTCTCGGTGGTGGCGCCTGCCCTGTGGAATGCCCTCCCATCAGATGTCAAGGAAATAAGGAACTCTCTGACTTTTAGAAGACATCTGAAGGCAGCCTTGTTTAGGGAAGTTTTTAACGTTTGATGTTTTATCGTGTTTTAAATATTTTTAGGGGAGCTGCCCAGAGTGGCTGGGGAAGCCCAGTTAGATGGGCAGGGTATAAATAAAGAAATAATAATAATAATAATAATAATAATAATAATAATAATAATTTCCCCCCACAAACTTGAATCAGCCCTGGTTTTAAAGGGCCCCTTGGGAGAAGCTTGCAGATTAGTGTGTATGAGGTATAAGGGGCAGCCTTGTGGAAAGTTTTTGGGGAGCGAGTTCCTGTGGCCCTTTCATAACTTATCCTTTGCTCCGGAGGTCATTGCAATGTCAAGTGTTGCATATTCAAAAGAGCATCTTTTGTGTCTGGGTGAATTAATGTGGGCTAACGGTCATTCCGTCAGGACGCAGGTGGCACTGTGGGTTAAACCACAGAGCCTAGGACTTGCCGATCAGAAGGTTGGCGGTTTGAATCCCCACGACGGGGTGAGCTCCCGTTGCTCGGTCCCTGCTCCTGCCAACCGAGCAGTTCGAAAGCACATCAAAGTGCAAGTAGATAAATAGGTACCGCTCAGGCGGGAAGGTAAACGGCGTTTCCGTACGCTGCTCTGGTTCGGCAGAAGCGGCTTAGTCATGCTGGCCACATGACCCGGAAGCTGTACGCCGGCTCATCGGCCAATAAAGCAAGATGAGCGCTGCAACCCCAGAGTTGGCCAAGACTGGACCTAATGGTCTGGGGTCCCTTTAAAGGTAAAGGGACCCCTGACCATTAGGTCCAGTCGTGACTTTGCAACTAGAAAAGTAGGGGATTTAAAATAAATATATAAATGAAGTGGAGGTATATGAAAATAAACATTGTTTTCCATCTTTCCCATTGTTTTGTTTCATTTCGAAAAATAAAATTTTACTTTGCGGTTTACAGTGGTCCCTCTGGTTAAGAACTTAATTCGTTCTGGAGGTCCATTCTTAACCTGGAACTGTTCTTAACCTGAAGCACCTCTTTAGCTAATGGGGCCTCCTGCTGCTGCCTCCACGCGATTTCTGTTCTCATCCTGAAGCAAAGTTCTTAACCCGAGGTACTATTTCTGGGTTAGCGGAGTCTGTAACCTGAAGCATTTGTAACCCGGGGTACCACTGTATTATTGTTTATTCTATTGTTTCTATTTTGAATTAGATCTCTTTGGGGGCACCAAAATCATTTAAGTGCTCAGGGGCCTCTAAAGGTCTTAATCTGACCCTGCAGGAGAGCCACTGCCAATAGTGTGGGAAATACTGAGTTAGAGGCCTCGGTCCAGTATACCTGAAGGAGCGTCTCCACCCCCATTGTTCTGCCCGGACACTAAGGTCCAGCGCCGAGCTCCTTCTGGCGGTTCCCTCACTGCGAGAAGCCAAGTTACAGGGAACCAGGCAGAGGGCCTTCTCGGTAGTGGCACCCGTCCTGTGGAACGCCCTCCCACCAGATGTCAAAGAGAAAAATAGCTACCAAACTTTTAGAAGACATCTAAAGGCAGCCATGTTTAGGGAAGCTTTTAATGTTTAATAGGTTATTGTATTTTAGTGTTTGGTTGGAAGCCGCCCAGAGTGGCTGGGGAAGCCCAGCCATATGGGCGGGGTATAAATAATAAATTATTATTATTATTATTATTATTATTATTATTATTATTATTGAAGGACCCATGGTCAAACTCACCTGTGGCACAGAGATTGAGTACTGTTTAGGTCACTTCTCACTCTCGTTTCCCTTTTTTAGCCTGAGAAACGTATTTTTCAAAGACAATTCCTGCCGCCGGAGAACAAATGAGTGACAGCAAAGAGGAGGCCACCGAGACGAAAACCCCCGACCTCATGGAAGCGTGTGGGCCCTTGCTGGAGGCGCCCGACGGCCTTTCCGGCTTTCACGACATGGAAGGCATCTGCGAGATCAGCCATCTCCCGGAAGGCCCGCCGGGCCTCCTCCCCGTCTTGGACGAAGGCGGCTCAGTCGAAGGGACGTCCTACATCTGCACCGAATGCGGGAAGAGCTTCTGCAGCATCTCGAGCCTCATCAGCCACCAGAAGAGGAACCACTCGGGGGAGAAGCCCTACAAGTGCTCCGACTGCGGGCGCAGCTTCCACCAGAGCTCGGACCTGGTGAAGCACGAGCGGATCCACACGGGCGAGAAGCCGTACCAGTGCTCGGTGTGCGAGAAGCGCTTCAACCAGCGCTCCTACCTGATCGTCCACGAGCGCTTCCACACGAAGGAGAAGCCCTACAAGTGCTTCCTGTGCGGCAAGAGCTTCTGCTCCAACGCCCACCTCATGACGCACCAGAGGACCCACACGGGCGAGAGGCCTTACCAGTGCCCCGACTGCGGGAAGCGCTTCAGCACCAGCTCGAACTTCGTCAACCACAAGAAGACCCACACGGAGGAGAAGCCGTTCAGCTGCTCCCTCTGCGAGAAGAGCTTCAAGCGCAGCTCGAACCTCATCCAGCACGAGCGGACGCACACGGGCGAGAGGCCCTACACCTGCTTGACGTGCGGGGAGAGCTTTGCGTCCAACTCGGGCCTGGTGAAGCACCAGAGGAGCCACACGGGCGAGAGGCCCTACAAATGCTCCTACTGTGGCAAGAGCTTCAGCCAGAGCATGATCCTCACGCAGCACGAGAGGACCCACACGGGCGAGAAGCCCTGCAAGTGCCTCGTCTGCGGAAAGAGCTTCCGCTCCAGCTCCGACCTCGTCAAGCACAAGAGGACCCACACGGGCGAGAAGCCCTACAAGTGCTCGCTGTGCGGGAAAAGCTTCACCACCAGCTCGGACGTGGTGAAGCACGAGCGGACCCACACGGGCGAGAAGCCCTACAAGTGCGGCACCTGCGGGAAGAGCTTCAGCCAGAGCGCACACCTCATGCAGCACCAGAGGATCCACACGGGGGAGAAGCCGTACATGTGCCTCGTCTGCGGGAGGTGCTTCACCTGCAGCGCGCACCTCGTGGTCCATAAAAGAACCCATAAAGACCGGGAGGCTTTGCAAGCCTAAACTGCTTTGGCCTTTAGGGGGCTTTTTTGAGGGGTGTGGGGTGTGGGGAGTGCTTCCTGTGGGATGGGGAATGGAAACGGTTTTACTCCCCGGTCTGACATAGTTGAGCAGCAAAGATCCCATGCAAAAAAAAAGAGAGGAAATCTTAGGAGTACAGCTGTCAACTTTTCCCTTTTCTTGCGAGGAATCCTATTCGGAATAAGAGAATTTCCCTTTAAAAAGGGGAAACGTTGACAGCTATGCTTAGGAGCGTACTATGCAGTTGCTTAAACCAGACTTTTATAAAAACAATGTGGAGCCTGTTTTTAGAGGAGTGTGTGAAGCAGAAAAATTTAGTACAGTGGTACCTCGGGTTACATACGCTTCAGGTTACAGACTCCGCTAACCCAGAAATAGTACCTTGGGTTAAGAACTTTGCTTCAGGATGAGAACAGAAATCACGCAGCGGCGGCGCGAGGCCCCATTAGCTGAAGTGGTGCTTCGGCGGGAAGGTAAACAGCGTTTCCATGCGCTGTTCTGGTTCGCCAGAAGTGACTTAGTCATGCTGGCCACATGACCTGGAAGCTGTATGCCAGCTCCCTCGGCCAGTAAAGCGAGATGAGCGCTGCAACCCCAGAGTCGGCCACGACTGGACCTAATGGTCTGGGGTCCCTTTACCTCGGGTTACAGAGGGTTCAGGTTACAGACTCCGCTAACCCAGAAATAGGACCTTGGGTTAAGAACTTTGCTTCAGGATGAGAACAGAAATCATGTGGAAACAGTGGGAGGCCCCATTAGCTAAAGTGGTACCTCAGGTTAAGAACAGTTTCAGGTTAAGAACGGACCTCCGGAACGAATTAAGTACATAACCAGAGGTACCACTGTAACCAATTTAATCGTATTATGCATGGGGGGGGGGAATCCTGCCGAGCTAGGAAAGAAGCCATAACATTTCCACACAGGCCTGTTCCTGTACTTCCCTGAGTAACGCAGGCGGTAACGCCAAAGTGAACCTGACCAGGTTTCTCGTCGCAGTCGGTGGACCCCCGGCCTGTTTTTAGGGCAAATGGGGCTCCATCCCACCAACCTCCATCCTTGACATGCGTTCCCACTTGCATCCAGTCCAAGGGATGGCGCTGTCTGTCGGCTTCTTCCTCCTTGGTCTCAGTGTGGCCCTTGTAGAACTCCGTAACAGGGGATCAAGGCTGGTGTCAGTTGGCTGTGCCTGTCGCTGGCTCTTTGGCGCCACCTGCTGTCGGCCTCCCTGCCTTCCGCCCTACCGATATCAATGGAACCCAACGACACATTCGTGCAAGGGATCAGAGCATATATTGTGCTAAGGCACTCTGGGTCACGGGATTTTGGGTGCGGAGGAGAGACGCAGCTGCAAGAGCAACTGCAGGCAGGGAAACAGCTACAGAATCGAACCGTCGGTGCAAAAAATAAAGAAATGGGTTTTTCATGCATTACTGTATGTTATTTCATGGTAATAAATAGATGGTTGTTTTGTGTGCAGGCCTTCTTTATCAAGAGCCCTAACCTGTGCATCAGTACCTTGGGTCATGTGGGTTTTGCAGGATTCTGACCCAGACCCAAACTGCTTGATTCCCCAATTTGAGGACCACTCTTACAGTCGAACCTTGGTTCTTGAACACCTTGTGAGTTGGAACATTTTGGCTCCCGAACGCTGCAAACCCAGAAGTGAATGCCTTGGTTTGCGAACGTTCTTTGGAACCTGAACGTCTGACACTGCTTCCGAGGCCTCCGATTATTCTTCTGTTAACAGCTCTTCATAAGCTGCCCATTCACTCTTTACGTTTAATTTTTTTTCAGGGGCTATTATCGGTGCTTTTTTTCCCTTAAAATGTTTTGGGGTACTCTCATTTTGACTCAAGAAAATCACCAGGAAAGGAAAGGAAGCCATGTCAGAGGTGGTAACAATGAAACTGACCAATCACCATGCTAGATTCCAACTCCTACTTCACACATTAAACGCTCACTTCCCTCGTGACAGGAAGTGAGGCTGCCATCAGGGGTAGCAACAGAACTGACGATTCACCGCGCTGGGGAAGAAACTAATTTTTATTATTTTAGTTTCTTCTTCCGTTAGATTCACAAAATGTTTAGGGGTATGCATACCCCTGCGCGCCCCCCCCCGCCCCAGAAAGAAAGCATTGGGTAATGTAGTATTTTAAATATATGGTGCAAATGTAGCCGTAATGAGCACCAGCCGCCACTACTGGCAGAGAGAAAATGGCTAGGGAAAGGTTTTTCTCCCTCATCAGCTTGGACCCCAAGGCTGAAGCTCAACAGCAGGAGATTCAGAGCAGGCGAAAGGAAGACTTGCACAATTTAAAAAATGGCATTTGCTGACACAAGATGTGGTGATGGCCGCCAAATTGTGGATGGCTATGAATGAAAAGGCAATGACTAGTAGTATAGTCTGAGGTGGCGCATGAGGCTACCATCTTGCTCGCTCTGGTCACTGGGAGAGTAGGTGGCCATTTGGGAGCCATCTTGTGTGTGAGAGAAATCCCTATTTCCCTCACAGAAATGAGGGTTTTCCTAACAATTAAGAAACGACACTTGCCAGGATTCTTTGGGGGAAGCCATGATAGTGTGATATGATAGTGCTTTGAATGTATGTTGCAGATGTGGCACAAGTTTTTGCCCTCTTCACATACATAGGGGAGATGCTATCCCTGTCTTTTCCTCACAGAGCTTGTTTCCAAATCCCTCAAGCATCCTCGTTGTCTTCTGAGCTTCTTCCAATTTGTCTCCATCCTCCTTAAAAGTGTGGTAGCCAAAAGACTGACTCCAGATAGTTCTAGGTTACTGCAAAATAAACTCCTTTTAAGTATTGGATAGGAATTATGAGGCAGATTTCTTTAAAGATGCAGGCCTTTCCACCCAGAATTTTCCCCAGCACTTCAAACTACACAAGAGCGTATTTATTCAAGTAAGGGATCGTGGTTGTACATGGTTGACACAAAATTAAACATTCCAGGCCATACAGGGATGGGGAACCTGTGGCTTTCCACTGGTTCGGTTGGACTCCAACTCCCATCAGCCCCAGCCAGCATGGCCAATGGCCAGGGATGATGGGAGTTGGAGTCCAGCACCATTTGGTAGGCCACAGGTTCACCCAACCCCAGCCTTCCAAGGATAGTGCAGCCTGGGAGAGAGAGTTTCCATATCACAAAATGTGCACCAGCCTGGATGAAAGACAAAATGCTCATAGACCTGATGCATTTGGTTAATGGGCGATCTATCTGGAAGACAATTATATTTGAGGAGTTAAGTTGATCTAGCATGGTCATTCCTTCCTGTCTCTGTTTGCTTCCCCTTTCTATCTCTTGTTCAGCTCTTTGATGGCTGAGAACAGCCTTTAATCTGTTGGAAGGAAGTGATAATGACCTTTTTTGATGTTAGACATTGTTTGGAGAATGTGTGGCATGGGAAGAGGTGGCTAGCTGATGAATAATCTGCACATAGCTCGCATGGCAAGGCACGTAAGCGAACAGGCTAGTTAGCTATAAATCAGATGGTTTTGGGGCAGAGTTCTTTGAAGCTCCCGCACAAACTATCTCATGCTCTCTCTGCCACCCTATTTCTGTGGGCCGAATGAGAGCAAGGACCACAGATGGCCCATCTCAGGCAGATTTCATCTCTAACCTTGAATGGAGCCTTCAAATGTCTCTGTGTGCGACCCCAATCTGTGCTTAGATTCAGAGCACTCCGATACCACTTTAAACATCCACGGCTTCCCCTGGAAAACTCCTGGGAGCTGCAGTGAAGGAGGCAGAGAGTTTGTTGGAGAACCCCTACTCCCCTCACTGAGCTCCAGTTCTCAGAGTTGCCTGGGGAGGGCAATTGACTCTTAAACCACTCTGCAAATTGCAGCTCTGCAGGGCAGGCCAAAGACATTTTGGCGACTGAGGCGAACCACAAAATGGTGTCTCCCCTCCCTGCCAGGGAAGAAGGGGTGAGTGGCGATCTCCATCAACCTTTCCTTATGGCTGAAATAAGAATCAAAGGCCGTTGGGGGGGGAGGGGCCCACTCTGAATCACGCCAGGTGGGTGTAGATTCCAGGAGGTCCCGTCCCCCACCATTTCCGCCCTTGGGAGGAGTCTAGCAGTGCCTCCTATTCACCAAGAGGCCACAGCAGAGGATGCATTGTGGGACGGCTGCCAGGGAGGTAGAAGATTCGGCCTCCAAGGAGTGTGCCTCAGCCATCGCTGTCACCGAGGTAGCAGCACATGATGGAGGTTGGATCAGCTGCCCCTGTGGATCCTGCTGTCTGAAGCAATCAGCTCACCTTGCCTCATGGGTGGGCCGGCCCTGCAGCTCTGTGAGGGAAATGGCAGATGGGACGTAATTACTGACATCCCTTTTTTAAAAATAATATTTTATTAAATTTTCAAAAAACAACAACACACAAAACAAACAAACAGCAACAACCACAAACAAAGAAAAATATACATCCAACCGGTCGATCACGATCTACTGGTCGATTGCGGGGCGTCCCTGGTCGATCACGGTGGATCATGTGATCCCACCCCGCCCCAAAAAGCTCAACAACTTTTTAATAGTGGGAGTAGATCGCAGTCTCTTGGGAGTTGGACATGCCTGCCGTAAGGCAAGGATGGGATCCAGAAGCCCTCCAGATGTTGCCGGACTGCAACTCCTGGCCGGTGGACCATGATGGGAGATGGGAGCCCAGCGGCAGATGAAGGACCACAGGTTCCTTATCCCTGCTTTAAGACTTCAACTGCTAAAAGGTGAACCTAGCTACCTGTTCTTTCTAGGGCTGATTTTCCAGTATCCAGTGAGGCAAATGGGCTACATGAAACACTAACCATGTGGACAACAGCCCTGCGCTGTGTGTTTAGAAGCCTATATTTCTCTCTAACTAGCTGTATGTAAAGATCTGGAAGGCGGGGAATTCTCTATTAGGAATATGAGTTGCATGAAAAGAAGACTACCCTGTGACACAGATTTGTAGGATTTCCAGTTCTGTGTAGAATCTCTGGTGTTTATTAAGATTTGTGTTGAGGTTCAATCTCTTCCGACAATTCAAGTATTGATAATGTTCCCATCTCCTGTAAAGTTCACTGTATGTCTATTACGGTGCAAACTCCCATTTTCCTCCTGTGTGAATGCTTTTGATGGCGGATAAGATACTGGCTCTGACTGAACCTCTTCCCACAATCCACACACTCGTGCAGCTTCTCTGTCGTATGTCTCCTCTGGTGCCTGGTTAGGTACTGGCACACGCTGAAACTTTTCCCACAGTCTAAGCATTCATACGGCTTCTCTCCTGAGTGGATTCTCTGATGGCTGAGAAGGTTAGATTTATTGGAAAACATCTTGGTACAATCCGAGCACGTGTACGGCTTTTGCCCGGTGTGGATTCTCAGGTGGCTGAGAAGGTTGGATCGGTCCGAAAAGGTTTTGGAACAATCTGAGCATTTATAGGGTTTCTGCCCTGTGTGGATTCTCTTGTGGGTATTAAGGTGCGAACTCCGACGGAAGCATTTCTCGCAATCAGGGCATTCGTAGGGTTTCTCTCCGGTGTGGGTTCTCTTGTGGCTGATAAGGTTTGAGCTCAGCCGGAAGCTTTTCCCACAGTCTGAACATTCGTAGGGTTTCTCCCCGGTGTGAGTTCGCCTGTGGCTAATCAGGCTTGAGCTGCATCGGAAACTTTTCCCGCACTCCGAACATTCGTACGATTTCTCCCCCGTGTGGGTTCTCCGGTGCCTATGTAGGTTCGAGCTCCGGCGAAAACTTTTCCCACAGTCGGAGCATTTGTATGGTTTTTCTCCCGTGTGGGTTCTCTGGTGCCTGTGGAAGTCTGAACTCCAACGGAAGCTCTTTCCACAGTCTGAGCATTCGTAGGGTTTCTCCCCAGTGTGGGTTCTCTGGTGCTTATTAAGATAAGCTTCGTCTCTGAACACCTTCCCACACACGTTGCACTTGTTCCTCCTTTTCCTGCTGTGGATTCTCTGATGCACTGTGATTTCGTGGAAGTGGCCGCCTTCATAAGCAATGGATTTGTTTGGCCATTCCTCCACTTTGCTCCCTTGCTCCCACTCTGGCCCATCCACGTCCCCATCATCTTCTTCCACTGCCTGATGATCAGCAACTTCCATCAACACTCCTTGTGGCTCCCTCTCATCCTTACCAGGCCATTCGTCAGCTCCTGAAATCAAGAGACAAGGCGGATTAGTTTACGGCCAGGTTGCTCACCGGAGCAAGACGCTTTGAGCATATTACACTGATCCTGGTCCGACGACACTGGCTACCAATTAGTTTCCGGGCCCAATGCAAAGTGCTGCTTTTGACCTATAAAGCCTTAAATGGATCAGAACTGCAATACCTCAAGGACCGCATCTTTCCATATGAACCTACCCAGACACTGAGATCTGAGGCCCTCCTTCGTGTGCCTCCTTCTTGAGAGGTCCGGAAGATGGCAACACGAGAACAGGGCCTTCTCTGCAGTGGGTCTGTGTCTGTGGAATGCTCTCCCCCAGGGGAGAGTTCATTATACAGCTTTAGGCAGCAGGCAAAAACATTCCTTTTTAACCAAGCCTTTGGTTGACCTGATCAACATCCTATACCCTTTTAAAAAGCGGCTCTTTTAGGGGGGGTGTATGTATTATTGGGTTATTGCTTTTATTTTTGTTTTATATATTATGATCTTTTTCATGAACCGCCCTGAGACCTCTGGGTATAGGGTGGTGTATAAATTCAATAAATAATATTATTGATTGATTGATTGATTGATTGCACTCATATTCCATCTTTTCCTCCAAGAAGCTCAAGGTGGCATACAGTGGTACCTCGGGTTACAGATGCTTCAGGTTACAGACTCCGCTAACCCCGAAATAGTACCTTGGGTTAAGAACTTTGCTTCAGGATGAGAACAGAAATTGCGTGGCAGCAGCGGGAGGCCCCATTAGCTAAAGTGGTACCTCAGGTTAAGAACAGTTTCAGGTTAAGAACGACCCTCCAGAACGAATTAAGTTCTTAATCCGGAGGTACCACTGTATATGGTTCTCTTCCTCCCTATTTTATCTTTACAACAATTCTGTGTGGTAGGTTAGTGCCTTAGTAGTGGATTTATAATGGACTGTCCAAACATTGTCCTGATTTATTAGTTGTTAAGAGCGGCGCTGGGGATGCGGGTGGCGCTGTGGGTTAAACCACAGAGCCTAGGACTTGCCGATCAGAAGGTCGGCGGTTTGAATCCCCACAACTGGGTGAGCTCCCGTGGCTTGGACCCAGCCCCAGCCAACCTAGCAGTTTAAAAGCACATCAAAGTGCAAGTAGATAAATAGGTACCGCTCTGGCGGGAAGGTAAACAGCATTTCTGTGCGCTGCTCTGGTTCTCCAGAAGCGGCATAGTCATGCTGGCCATATGACCCGGAAGCTGGACGCCGGGTCCCTCGGCAAATAAAGCGAGATGAGCACTGCAACCCCAGAGTCAGCCACGACTGGACCTAATGGTCAGGGGTCCCTTTACCTTTATTTCCACTTTAAACTGTCATGGCTTCCCCCAAAGAATCCTGGGAACTGTAGTTTGTTAAGAGTGCTGAGAGGAGACCCCCTATGCCCCTCAGAGCTACAGTTCTCTGAGGACTGAGCATGCTCAGTGTGCACAGAATACTGGCTGCTGATTGGTGGGATGGAAAACATGGGGGCAGAGAATGGAATGTACCCTGAACAGGAGTGTTCCACGATGCAACTTTTTGCTGCAGATCCCACTGATTCTCTTTCCTTGCAGAGGCACCGGGCCTTATAAACAATCCTGGACCTGGCAGTTGACATCACCAAGAAACATGGGATAGCAGTGTGTGAGTGACCCCTGCCAAGCCCCTCGGCCTATAGAGCGAGATGAGCACCGCAACCCCAGAGTCGGCCACGACTGGACCTAATGGTCAGGGGTCCCTTTACTTTTAAGAGCTTAAAAAGAGCCTGCTGGATCAGGCCAATGACCCCTCTAGTCCAGCATCCTGTTTTCACAGTGGCCACCCAGATGCCCCCACGGGAAACCCACAAGCAGGAGACAGAGCACCACTGAGCACCCCACAGCCGCAACTAAAATCCATGGACTGCTTACACTTACCAAGCAAGCTGACATCCTCCTTGACCTCTTGCTTGACCTCTCTGCACAGCGGCCTCTGGGTGATTTCCAGCCCTGCGTCATCTTCCACTGGGATATTTGCAGACACTTCCTGGTTCAGCCTCTCTGTCCCCTGGAAACAATAGTGAAAGTTTTAGTTGAGGTAGCACAACAACAATTTATTACTTATATTATTATTTATTACTTATATTATATTACCATCATTCTGCCCGGACGCTGAGGTCCAGCGCCAAGGGCCTTCTGGTGGTTCCCTCATTGCGAGAAGCAAAGCTACAGGGAACCAGGCAGAGGGCCTTCTCGGAAGTGGTGCCCACCCTGTGGAATGCCTTCCCAGCTGACATCAAAGAGATAAACAACTACCTGACATTTAGAAGACATCTGAAGGCAGCCCTGTTTAGGGAAGTTTTTAATGTGTGACATTTTAATTTATTTTAAATCTTTTAATCTTTGTTGGAAGCCGCCCAGAGTGGCTGGGGAAACCCAGCCAGATGGGCGGGGTACAAATAATAATAATTTATTATTATTATTATTATTATTATTATTATTATTATTATCTCTGTCTGGGTTTTCCCAGCCACTCTGGGTGGCTCCCTACAGAATATTAAAAACATGATAAAACATCAAACATTAAAAACTTCCCTAAATAGGGCTGCCTTCCGATGTCTTCTAAAAGTCAGGTAGTTAAGAACTTTGCTTCAGGATGAGAACAGAAATCGTGCTCCAGCGGTGTGGCGGCAGCAGGAGGCCCCATTAGCTAAAGTGGTGCTTCAGGTTAAGAACAGTTTCAGGTTAAGAACGGACCTCCAGAACGAATTAAGTACGTAACCAGAGGTACCACTGTAGTTTAGTACAACATTTGATTCAGAATTTTTTTTTACTCTTGTCTTCCTCCTCTAAAAACTAGGTGCGTCTTATGGTCGGGTGCGTCTTATAGCGCAAAAATGCGGTATGTGTCTTTTGCGGTTGATGTTTGTATCGAAAAATTGATTAAATAAATTAAAACAAACGAAAGAAGGGCCATAGCTCGGCACTAGAACACCTGCTTTTCATGCAGAAGGGGGACACTAACGGGACATCCCATCTCTAGAAGAGGCTCACCTGCTCTCTCCGCTGTTCTCCTTCTTCCCGTCTGGGCAGTAAGCTCTCTGCCAGGGTCACAGCCTGGATACAGGTCTCTGGGCCTTGTTCCGTCACCCGGCTCCGGATTTCCTGGGGCAGGATGGCCAGGAACTGCTCCAGAATCACCAGCTCCAGGATCTGCTCCTTGGTGTGCCTCTCCGGCTTCAGCCACTGGTAGCAAAGCTCCCGCAGCCGACTGTATGTCTCCCGTGGGCCTGCGGCTTCCTGGTAGGAGAAATGCCTGAAGCTCTGAAGCCGTCCTTCCAAGCTGCCAGGGAGCAGAGGAGCTGTTGTGCGGCCTGCTGGCGCAGGATGAGGAAGAAGAAGAGGGCTCCCCCATCCAGGCTGAGGGCATTGCACGGCCTTGAGGAACTCTTGCCACTGGGCTTCCCAGCGCTGAGACGACAGGCCCTCTTCCGGCTCCTCTTTCATGCGCTGCGGAGGTGCCACCTCTCTGGGACTCCGCGTGAGGGTCCCCGCTTGAAGGATGCCAGGGGGTTCTCCTGCTCTCCCCGATCCCGTCTCCAGCTCCGGGCTTGCTGATTCCGGCTCCTCCATTTTCACCTCGGGATCCGGCCCCTTTGCTCCAGCGCAGCCTCGGAACGAAGGGCAAGGAGAGAGCAAATAATTCCGCCTCCTGCAGGATTTCAGTGCATGCCAACTGTTTTCTGCAAATGCCGCAGAAATATATTCTGCCACGCGTTTTCAGTGCGTAGGGGATGTCGCCAAAGGACTACGCCAAACAGACTGCAGGGCTCTTTGGACTCCACGTCTTCTTCCAGAAATTCAAAGGATTTCCCCCTATTCCTGTTGGAAAGGGAAAGAAGCTAAGCTTTCAACTTTCTTTTTATTTATACATTTTTATTAATTTTTAACATATTAATTAACATTCATACAACAGAACTTCTCATCTTATACAATTTTTTTTGGACTTCCGTCAACACCTCTGATGATTTTCCGTACTTATCACTTATTATGCATTTCTTAATTTCGTATTACCATTAGATATCTTTAACTAATAATTCTCCTTATTATCTTTTTGGGGGGGCAATATTTCTAATAATTCACCTTACAAAACTTCTTGCAAACCTACTAGCTTAATCTGTTCATCACAATTACTTTTCAAATAGTCCGTCAATTTACTCCAGTCCTCTGAGAATCTCTGGTGCCGCAGGTTTCAAATCCTTCCTGTTAGTTTATCTAATTCTGCATAGTCCATCAGTTTCATCCTCCATTCTTTTTTCATCGGTAATTCTTCTTGCTTTCAGTTTTGTTCCAATAGTATTCTTGCTGCCGTCATTGCATATAAAAACAATTTACAATCCTTTTGATTTATATCATCTCCTACAATGCCAAGTAAAAATGCTTCTGGTTTCTTAATAAATGTATATTTCAACATTTTTTTCATCTCATTATAAATCATTTCCCAGAAGTTTTTCACTTTTTTACATTCCCACCACATGTGATAAAATGTTCCTTCTTTTTCTTTACATTTCCAACATTTATTACCTAAGCTTTCAACTTTCATTCTAGTGCTTTTGATCTTGTGAACAGAATTTTATTGAATCAGGACACAATCCTGTGCTCAGATCTGCTGAGCTGAGCAGTTGAGGCTCCAGCGGATCTCTGGCTCAGCCAGTTGGTTCCCGGCTCAGCCAGGCATAAGCCTCCCATCCCATCTTAGTCGGGGCTCATGCCAGCATAGGCCCTGAAGAAACAGGGCAATCCGAGGGAGTGGTGCTGGGGGACTTACCGTATTTTTCGCCCTATAGGACGCACTTTTCCCCCTCCAAAAATGAAGGGGAAATCTGGGTGCGTCCTATGGGGCGAATGCAGGCTTTCGCTGAAGCCTGGAGAGCGAGAGGCATCGGTGCGCACCGACCCCTCTCGCTCTTCAGGCTTCAGGAAGCTATCCGCAAGTGTTGCGAGCCCGGCGGGAGTTCCCGCGGGCTCGCAAGGCTTGCGGGCAGCAGCCTGCAGCCCGAAGCATGGGGCGCCCTCCGGAGGGCGCCCCGTGCTTCGCGCAGATGTCCACAAGCGTTGCGAGCCCGGCGGGAGTTCCCGCCGGGCTCGCAAGGCTTGCAGATAGCAGCCTGTTCTGGGGGCTGGGGGCGGGGGAAGCTCGGGCTTTCCCCGCCCCAGCCCTGCGGCTGGGGGGGGGGGAATAAATTTTTATTTATTTATTTATTCCCCCCCAAAAAACCCCGAGGTGCGCCCTATGGGCCAGTGCGCCCTATAGGGCAATAAATACGGTACTCTGATACTAAACTTGTTCAGCTTGGTCACGTGACCTGGCAACCCAGCATCGGTTTCGCTGGCAAAAAAGGTGATAAAACTTAAGCCGCACAGTGGAAATCCATGGGAAAGGGGGGCAATCCTCGGAAATCAGAACCAGGATTACCTGGCAGTTCCCTTTCCACAGGAATTCAATACGACTCCCCGTCAGTCGTGTGGCAGCAGCCTGCAAAACAGCGGGGGCGGGTGCTTGCAGGTCTTTGCTACTTTGCAGGTGGCTTCTAATCACACACAGTGGTACCTCGGGTTAAGTACTTAATTCGTTCCGGAGGTCCGTTCTTAACCTGAAACTGTTCTTAACCTGAAGCACCACTTTAGCTAATGGGGCCTCCTGCTGCCGTTGTGCTGCCAGAGCACGATTTCTGTTCTCATCCTGAAGCAAAGTTCTTAACCCGAGGTACTATTTCTGGGTTGGCGGAGTCTGTAACCTGAAGTGTATGTTACCCAAGGTACCACTGTACTGGTAAATTCAGGTTGCAAAATTACAGCTGAACCCGCTTCCCGCTTCGATGCAACATCATCTAAACCTCCAAATGAATGCTCTTTAAATTGCCAACGAATTGGGATGAATGCTCAATAAAGTGCCTTGTCTGGAGACACCCAAGCTGTGTACCGTGGTACCTCGGGTTACATATGCTTCAGGTTACATACGCTTCAGGTTACAGACTCCGCTAACCCAGAAATAGTACCTCGGGTTAAGAACTTTGCTTCAGGATGAGAACAGAAATCGTGCTCTGGTGGCGCGGCAGCAACGGGAGGCCCCATTAGCTAAAGTGGTGCTTCAGGTTAAGAACAGTTTCAGGTTAAGAACAGACCTCTGGAACATTTAAAGCACACACACACACACACAACCACAAATAATCCTGGGAACTGTAGTTTAACACCCCCCCCCACAGAATTACATTTCTCAACACCCTTAACAAACTACTATTCCAAGGTTTCAGGGATGGGGGTGGAGAAAATGTGCTTTAGATGCAGCTAGGGATCTTGAAGTCTGTGGTTATACCCTTGCCATAAACTGCTTTTAAATTTCTCCTCATCACTCTTGATCTAGGAAGATATGGGGTCTCCCACCCCCTTAGTGCAACAAAAGCCCCCCTCCCCGTGTGTGTATCTATATTTTTTCCCTTATGTCTCCTTACTAGGACCCATTGCAGTCATTCCAGTTGTGCTTTCTCTCGCCTTGCTAAGTTTTTAACACCAAAACGCCTTTCAGAAATCCGCCAGAGGGGGACTGCCTGAGTTGAGGGTGGGGTCCGAATTTCTTTTCCTTCTCCTCCTCCCCATCCGCAAAAATGAACAGGGCACTCCCACCCCCAATCCACCCCACCCAAGCCTTTTTAAAGAAAATATTTTTTTTTGAAAAATTACCTGCACTTGAGATGTGCTGCAAAGACTTCTTAAGGCAGCATCTCATTAACTCAACAGCCGAAGGTACAAAAATTCAAAAGGTAGATGATCCCGGGAATAGAGTAGGGGGTGGGGAGGGGGGGGGAAGGAAGGAGAACAGGAAGGGACTTTGCACTATTTACAGTCCTCCCTTTTCAGTCCTCTCTGGCAACCAGAGCGTCTTATTGGTTTTAACTCCTTCAAGGGAAGGTGGCTAGGCATAGATTCTTTAAAAAAGAGAGGAATTCCCTGATTTTTTCCTTGTTTTCCTTGTTTTCATATGCTTTTACACCATTTGTCTTGTATTATTAATGCCGTGCTTTATTGATTTTATATTGTGCACCGTTTAAGAGATTAAAAAAAAAGAATAAGAAATTAAGTGGTTTATAAATGCTTTCACATAGGTTTAAAGCTGGTTGGCACATGAGCCCTGCATTTTCTCTTCATTGCTTTCGCAGGGGGTGTCTTGAGAAAACCTCACCAGCTTCACCAAAGGAAATCCAGGTTAGTCAGGGCTCCTTTGTCTGCTGCATCTACATAGCTTTGGCCTGGGATCCTTTCAGCTGTCATTTCTGAAGATTAAACCAGATTAAATCTTGTGCAACAATTGCTGGGTGCTGCCTTGAACCCCATAAGGCCATTGCTCTCCCTAGCTCAGTACAGTGGTACCTCGGGTTACATACGCTTCAGGTTACATACGCTTCAGGTTACAGACTCCACTAACCCAGAAATAGTGCTTCAGGTTAAGAACTTTGCTTCAGGATGAGAACAGAAATCGTGCTCTGGTGGCACAGCAGCAGCAGGAGGCCCCATTAGCTAAAGTGGTGCTTCAGGTTAAGAACAGTTTCAGGTTAAGAACAGACCTCCAGAACGAATTAAGTTCTTAACCCCGAGGTACCACTGTATTATCGCCTCCCTCTGGCTTCTCCAGGGTGGCACCCATGGGTTGTCGTAGCACCCAGAGTGTGCCACCGGTGCGTTTGCCAGGCTCTCCCCCATGTGATGCCACAATCCGTGAATGAAGCTGTTAAATAATCCCTGAATAATGATTAAGAAAAAAAATATTTTTAAAACATTTATTCATCCAAGTCAGTCAGTATAAATACATCCTGCAGTTGTGCAACTTGTTCAAGAGGACTGATTGTACCACTGTGTAAGGAAAAAGATAAAACAGGCCTCTGTTATGGGGTGACTCATACAAATTTTTCATCCCTGCGTGTTTTTGTTATTTAAATTCTGAATTAATACAGTACTGTACATATAGGTTCAGATCCATAATAGATGTCTTTACAAATGAGCAGGCCTTTCAGAGGCTGGAGACCGGAGACAGAGAGGATTATGGGAAAGTGAAGGCAGCCATCTTGCGCAGGGACGCCTTGAGGAGGGAAATGCAGCGCCAGCGCTTCAGGCGCTTCTGCTACCAGGAGGCCGAGGGGCCCAGAGGGGCCTACAGCCAACTCCAGGAGCTTTGCTCCCAGTGGCTGAAAGTGGAGCGGCACACCAAGGAGCAGATCCTGGAGCTGCTGATCCTGGAGCAGTTCCTGACCGTTCTGCCGCCAGAGATCCAGAGCTGGGTGAGGGAGTGTGGGCCGGAGACCTGCTCCCAGGCGGTGACTCTGGCCGAGGGGTTCCTTCGGGTGCAGCAGGAGACCCAGAGGCAAGGGAAAGAGGTGAGGTTGTCGGTCGGTATGTGTGAAACTCCCATCTGCATTATACATTTAAAGCATCCTTATCCCACTTCAAACAGTCATGGCTTTTCCCCAAGGAATCCTGGGAGCTGTAGTTTGTTAAAGGTGCTGAGAGTAGTTAAGAAACAGCCTTTATCCCCCTCGCAGAGCTACAATTCCCAGAGTTCCCTGGAAAGAGGGTTTGATTATTAATCCTCTCTGAGAGTTGTAGCTTTAGGAGGGGAAAAGTTTAAAGTGGCGTAAAGGTAAAGGGACCCCTGACAATTAGGTCTAGTCGTGGCCGACTCTGGGGTTGCAGCGCTCATCTGGCTTTACTGGCCGAGGGAGCCGGCGTACAGCTTCCGGGTCATGTGGCCAGCATGACTAAGCCGCTTCTGGCGAACCAGAGCAGCGCACGGAAACACTGTTTACCTTCCCGCCGGTGCAGTACCTATTTATCTACTTGCACTTTGAAGTGCTTTCGAAGTGCTAGGTTGGCAGGAGCAGGGACCGAGCAATGGGAGCTCACCTCATCGCGGGGATTTGAACTGCCGACCTTCTGATCGGCAAGCCCTAGGTTCTGTGGTTTAACCCACAGCGCCACCCGCGTCCCTTTAAAGTGGCATAAGAGGGCTTTAAAAGGAAAGTGCAGATTTGATCCGAAATCGTTTTTATTTGGTTTTGCAAATATAAATTTATAACAAATGCACATCCGTATATAGAGATTTCTCTGAATCTCAAGACTTCCCACCATCCCTTCCATGGGTCTTATTGTCAACATTTTCAATTGCATATTATTCCATAATCTAATTTTTGTATCTGTCCATATTGTCCAAAGTGTTTGTTACGTTACAAACGATATTAAAATCCTGCTAATGTTTTCATCTGCTTACAGTGGTCTCCTAAATAAATTATATTCCCCCCCACACCCCATTATTTCTTGAAGTTTTTGTCTTCTTGGTTCCTTAGCTTTCCGGTGAGTTTTGCCATTTCAGCATAGTCAAGTGCGGATTTGATCCAATACAGATGCTGACTGGGATAAGATGGGTCTGTGTGGTACCTGCAGGGTTGACTTGGGGTATGTCTGCTTCCACAGACTCAGGAGTCTACTTCTCAGTAGACTGGTGTAGGATCATAATGTTGCCGCTAGAGCTCAACCCTCCTAAGGCCTGTCCCTGCCATCTCAAAAGTGACTCCATGTTGCTATTTCAGGTGTCAGCACCATTTCAGGACCAGGCAGCAGTGAACTTCTCCACGGCGGATTGGCAGGCCGCATCAGACACTGACCAGAGGCTGCTGGCCACGGAGATCAAGCAGGAAAGAGATGAAGAAGAAGCCGGTTTGCTGGGTAAGTCTTGTGTCTGGATTCTACATTTCCTAACCAACTCTCTGTAAAAAGGTAGAGGGACCCCTGACCATTAGGTTGTGGCTGACTCTGGGGTTGCGGCGTTCATCTCGCTTTATTGGCCCAGGGAGCCGGTATACAGCTTCCAGGTCATGTGGGCGGCATGATTTAGCCGCTTCTGGCGAACCAGAGCAGTGCACGGAAACGCTGTTTACCTTCCCGCCGGAGCGGTACCTATTTATCTACTTGCACTTTGACATGCTTTCAAACTGCTAGGTTGGCAGGAGCAGGGACCGAGCAACGGGAGCTCATCCCGTCACGGGGATTTGAACCGTCGACCTTCTGATCAGCAAGTCCTAGGCTCTGTGGTTTAACCCACAGCGCCACCAACTCTCTGTACCTCAGGTCTAATCCTCCTCAGCAGTAGGCCTGGACGATGTATCGATACATCGCCCAGGCCCGGCAGAAGGGGCAGACCGCAATGGCGGCTTCACTCAGCAATATATCGCAGATGAAATCATAGCCGCTCTTGACACCCTCCAGCTTAGGAGTGGTGTTTCACCAGCGATATATCACTGAGTGAATCCACCATCCCACTCTGCAAGCTGACGGTGAGCTGGGGACTCCCTTAAAGTGCTCCCGCCCCCCAGCTGAGGGAGCCCTGATGCTTCTCCGGCTTGCTTGCAGCGCTGGGGTGAAACTGTCTCAGTGATTTCACCCCGGCGCCTCGCAGCACTGTGGTAGGAAGCAGGGTTTTGAACATTGCTATGTATCTGTTCAGGGAATTCAGGGGCAGTGAAACTGGTGAAATTCGCCCGACTTCCTATCTCTCCCACTGAAGGAATTTCTGCCTGCAGGTGAGAGCAAGAGGCCTGATGGCTCTGGTCTGTTACAGCAGAGCTGAGGGAGTGAGCTCTGCTTCTCAGCTTGCCCACTGCTGGGAGGGCAGGTGAGTATTGGAGTCACAGATTCTCTGATTCAACAAGCAGGCAAAAGGAGATGTCCAGAGCTCAGACTGTTCTGTGGTGTTCTCTGTCCCTTTGAGAGATTTCCTACAAGGTCTTTTAACGGGTGGAAGGGGAGTATTCATTTCCTCTCTTTTTAGTTTTGTGTTTTTCTAGACCAGAAAATTAGTTGGTTTTGGGGGGATGTTCTCGTCTCTCCAGCAGGTGAAGGATGGACGAGTGTTGACATCGAAGGGAAACGCTCCCTTTAAGATCCTTATGAGAGCTCCTCGATGAGAGGATGAGAAGAAAAGGACAATGTTTCCTGGAGTTCCGAGTGCGAAATGCTCTGTAGGGTCAGCACAGACTGGAGCATCCACAGCAAAGCTGCTCAGAGGAGAGAGAGGATGGATCCGTTTCTGGGGCAGGTGGTGAGAAGCACCTAAGGAAAACTGCTGCCCACCAGAGAACCCACCCTGTTAAGAGACAAAGGACACACAGCACCAGCGTACCCTCCAACATTTCTCTAACAAAAAGAGGGACATCCCAGGGAAAAGCGGAACATTCTGGGATCAAATCCAAAACTGGGACGGCTTCAGTAAATCCAGGTCTGTCCCTGGAAAATATGGACACTGGGAGGATCCATAAGACTCCACTGTTGCTTCTTGCACAAGAGGGCCCCTTCAGATGGCAATAGAGCAATAACATCATCATAATAATAAATTTTATTTATATCCCGCCCTCCCCAGCTGAAGCCAGGCTCAGGGCGGCTAACAACAATAAAATAGTGCAACATTCTAAAAACATTCCATTATACAAATTAATTAAAATCAAATTGATGGCAACCATAAGCTTAAGTTCTGTAAAGATTGCCAAAGGAGGGAGTCAGGCTACGCCCTGACCAAAGGCCTGGTGGAACAGCTCTGTCTTGCAGGCCCTGTGGAAAGATGTCAAATCCCGCAGGGCCCTAGTCTCTTGTGACAGAGCATTCCACCAGATTGGAGCCGCAGCCGAAAAAGCCCTGGCTCTAGTTGAGGCCAGCCTAACCTCTTTGTGGCCTGCGACCTTCAGGATGTTTTTATTTGAAGACCGTAAGTTCCTCTGTGGGACATACCAGGAGAGGCGGTCCCGTAGGTACAAGGGTCCTAAGCCGTATAGGGCTTTAAAGGTTAAAACCAGCACCTTAAACCTGATCCTGTACTCCACTGGGAGCCAGTGCAGCTGGTATAGCACCGGGTGAATGTGATCTCGCAGCGAGGACCCCGTAAGGAGTCGCGCCGCGGCATTCTGCACCCGCTGGAGTTTCTGGGTCAGTCTCAAGGGCAGCCCCACGTAGAGCGAGTTATAATAATCCAGTCTGGAGGTGACTGTCGCGTGAATCACAGTGGCTAGGTCAGGGCGAGAAAGGTAAGGACCCAACTGCTTAGCTTGGCGGAGATGAAAAAATGCCGCCTTTGTTATAGCTGTAATCTGCGCCTCCATGGAGAGGGAGCTATCGAAGATTACACCCAAACTCATAATGGATGGTGCTGGCACTAATTGCACCCCCACAAGAGATGGGAGTTGCCCCCTCAATCCCATATCGTCCCGTCCCAGCCAGAGGACCTCTGTCTTCGAAGGATTTAACTTCAACCGGCTCCCACGTAACCATCCAGCCACAGCTTCCAAACATCTGATTGGTGTTAGAGCCATGCTAAAGCCCCAATGGTGGGAGAATCTCCGACCATCTGTGCAACTTAAGAGAACACCAGAAAACGAAGCCTTTGTGATTTGAGCAGAGAGAAAATGGAGAAAAGAATGCAAACTGCTTGCTCCACTGGACAAGAGAAGCAGCTCCCAGTTGCTTAGCATGTTAATAAATTAAATTTGGAGTGTGACTTGGAGGATAAAGCTCCCCACTTATTCTTATTCTTGCAATGAATTAGCCCTTTACCCCCCGGTTACAACCATTAAAGACAGTAATTAAAAGCAATTTAAAACAACTGTCACCAAAATAAGGTGGGTCCCATGGACTGCAAGAAGATCAAACCGATCCATTCTGAAGGAAATCAGCCCTGAGTGCTCACTGGAAGGACAGATCCTGAAGCTGAGGCTCCAATACTTTGGCCACCTCAGGAGAAGAGAAGACTCCCTGGAAAAGACCCCGATGTTGGGAAAGATGGAGGGCACAAGGAGAAGGGGACGACAGAGGACGGGATGGTTGGACAGTGTTCTTGAAGCTACCAGCATGAGTTTGACCAAACTGCGGGAGGCAGTGGAAGACAGGAGTGCCTGGCATGCTCTGGTCCATGGGGTCACGAAGAGTCAGACACGACTAAACGACTAAACAACAACAACAATATGCGCAAGCAGGTAAATGCATAACATTTCAGCCGTCCTTCGTTGACTTTGGGCGGCAAAGAGGGGGGAGACAACCAGATGCCTAGAAACTTGGGCTTGGGGAGAGTTGGATTCAAGTCCCTTTTTAGCTTTAGGAATTTAGAGTCCCCTGGACCAGTTGCTCATCCTGATACTAGTCAACCTCACAGAGCTGTTTTGGGGTGAGGGGGGAATAAGCCATTTCACAAGCACTAGGTCCCCATGTTGCTGGCACCTGCTCACAACACCTTGCCACAATTTAAGCTGCATTTCCGACAGTCATAGCAGTTTGTTTCTCTTCTCCACCCATCACTACGGTTTGAAAACTTGCTGGTTGCAGCAATGCTTGATTTAGTGTGAATGTGCTTCTCAAACCACTTTCTTTGAACATAAGGATCTGTTTGTGGTGAAATAAGAATGCAGTTTCACAGATCAATGAAAAACAAGCTAAAATAGGTGACATAAAAGGAAAGGGGAATAGGGAGCGAGGAGGAAAGGAACAAGCTCAGGTACTAGTTCTTCAAGTTATAATGACCATTTGGGGTAGAAATAGTGATGGAGTGACTGTTACTAGGTGACAGTTGCAGAAGAGCCCAAGGCAGCTCTGAGCCGCAGCGATAGAATAACCCTTATTTGTTTCTCTCTCTCTCTCTCTCTCTGCTCTGCAACTTCATGCAATATTGGCACTTGCTCAGTTCTATGTATGCCTATTCCCAGCATGGCCTACTTTAAAAAGGGTTCAGTCTAAGCCCTGATGTTTCATCCGTTGTGTCTTTTTAAGTCACACTGTGTTGTGCGCCTTCAAACAGCATTCTTGAACATGTTTATTGCTCACATTGTTTTTCTGCATTCTGACTGCCAATGCAAGAGAAATGTGTTAGGGACACAGCCAACATTTGTGTGTGTGTGAGTGTGTTTTTGGGGGGCATTGTCCATTCTAGGCAAAGTGGCCACTCAAGTCAGCTTCTCCCTGGGGTTCCCAACGTGACCTTTGGCCCCTCCCATTTGTAATGAGGGCTGCTTTTTGGACCAAGGATGGTGTGGAAGGGGCTGCGTGGTGTTGCCTGTCAGCAGTGGGGGTGGGCATCGGGCCAGACCCCCAACTCAGGGCGCCCGGGGCAAGGGGTGCGTGCCACCGCCAAGGAGCAGGGGAAGGTGCTGGAGGGGACCGAGGGCGAGTGATAAAACCAAGCCGAAGGTGAGAGGATTAGGGCTTATCTGCTCCCCCCGCCAATAATATTTTTATTCAAGTTGGCTCCCATGCTTGTAAAGATCGGTTTGCTGAAGGCTGCAGGTGGGGCAAGGGTGCTTTTGCTCTCTGGTCCTCCTTGCAGGTTTTCCACAGGCGTCTGGGTGGCTCCTCTTGGGCGCTGGACCAAATGGGACACTTTTGTGTCTTTCCATGTGGTGAATGGAGGCTCCCAGGGAACTTATGATGACACACAAATGAGGCCAACATCATGTAGGGGATGGAGGAAGGGGAGGTGGCGCTCAGGCAGGTGGGGGGGGGAAGGTGTATTTATTTCATCATGTGCCACCACCCTGTGGGAAATGCAGGGAAAGGAGAGCAGGCTGCACCGGTCAGTAGTCAGTGGCCCTGATAGTGGAGCCAGAGTGAGTCCTGCCTGATCTTTGAGAGGGGTCAATTCCACAGGCATGTGTTGTTCCAGCTGTTAGTATCCCAGGAGAGAAATCAGATGCACCTGCTGCCGAAATGACGCTCCTTGGGGGAGCACTGTGTATTTGGGGTGGGGCTGAGAAACACAGGGAAGGTGCCCTGCATAATGTATGGGGCAGCACAGGCCATGGGGCCCCTTCTGGAAGCTGCCAGACTGCAGCTCCCACCCTCTCTGACCCCTGGCCATGCTGGATGAGTCGGAGGGGAGTTGGAGTCCAGCATTATCCAGAGGACACCCCATTTGATGCCCCCGATAGACAGAATCCAGCCTGTAAATAAGGAACGTTAATGCATCCACTCAAAACACATTTAACTGAGCAGAAGCCCCACTCAATGCAATGAGGTTTACTTCTGGCAATGTGTGGAGATGGTGAGGCTGTATTTGCAGAGGGCATTTGAAGATGATGCCCTGTTCAATTTTTTTTATTTTTCTTCCCGTCTGAGGCCTCTAGAGCAAGAAGCTATCCTGCGTGACATGGGTGAAGGGGTTCGTTTTATACTCCTCTATTAATCCAACAATGCATGCATTTTCACAGCTGCATAAGGTCTTGTGGGGAGAGGAAGGTTTCCTAGAATTACAGAGTTGAGGGTCCTCTAGTCCCACCCCCTGCAGTGCAGGAAACTTTTGCCCAACGTGGGGCTCAGACCCACAACCCTGGGATTAAGAGTCTCGTCCTCTGCCAAATCAGACACCTCAAATAGAAAACAAGACTGAAGGTGAGAAAATTTATTAGGACTCCTAAAAGTGTGACTGTGTCTCTAAGAAGCTGCAGAGGGAATTCTGGGGAAAGGAAGGAAAATGCAAAGCAAGAGCAACCCATTTTTATTCTGTTATTTCTGCTGATTTTGACTGGAATGAATCCTCTCAAAGGGCCCTTGGGAAACTGCCCAACCTGCTCTTGGCGGGTAAATGGTTTTTATGTCAGTCACTCTGGTCTGGAGAGAAACTCCTGCTGGGCCTGAGAGGCAGATTTAGTCCCTTCAGGAGATACTGAGGTGGGTTTCATATCCTCCCAGATCAAAGAAAGGGAGGAGGGTCTCTCCAGAGAACGAGGCTCCTGAGAACGTGTAGAGTTCGGCTCCTGAGTCAGCGTCAGAAAAAGACACACGTCCCCCTTCATAGTCCAGAGTCACCCGGATCCTCCTGGGCTCCTCACTCAGGGACAGAAGAGAGTAATCAGGGGATGTCCAGGCCAAGTACTCCCCTCCCCACTTCCCCACAGCCCAGATCCCTTCCTCAGGACTGAAGTCGAAATAGCCCTTTCTCTCCACAGACTTCCTGGCAACCCCCAGAGTCCAATATTCCCCACTTTCCACAGTGACTTCCCAGAAATGTCTGCCTTCTGTGAATCCCTCACGTCCCAACACACAAGGCCGGTAACTGAATCTCTCAGGATTGTTGGGCAGGGCTTGAGGTTTGTCTCCCCTTCTCACACTTTTCCTATCCTCGGACAGGATGAGTTCAGGATGGGCTGTGTCTGGATCCAGAGTGACATTTGCTGTTGGGGAGAAGATGAGGGAAAGAGAAGAATAGGCAGAGTCAGCTGAGAGACAGAAACGGACATCCTGATAATAAAAAACACCCCCAAACACCAGATTCCCTTTCAGATTTCTTTGCATCGCATGCTAGACTGAGACTCCTCCTTGCAGATTCTCATCAGAATAAATATCTTCCTTGATGGTTTTTAAATCAGTTTCCCTCACTTTCTTATATCCGATGTGTATTGTGCCTGCCCTCCTCTCAAACCAGGCATTTTCTAAGGGGAAAAACCACCCAGGAAACCTTTTACTCATCTCTTCTGTGTTATCTAAGGAGAAAGAGAGGAGAATTGGAGGAGGCAGGAGAGGGGATTGGCCTTTGGGGAGCTCTGGGTTGGGCTGGGATATGAGGACACCCCCCCTAATAATAATAATAATTTTATATTTGCATACTGCCCTTCATCCATAGGTCTCAGGGTGGTTCACAGCATAAAAATACAACATAAAACCACATATAAGCCTCCCCTCACTTTCGCGGGGGTCATGTTCTGGGCCTCGTGCCTACAAGTGAAAATTGTGTTAAATGGGGAGCCTGTTTATTCCTGCTCTCCATCGCTCTCACCCACTTGGCCTGTCTTTGCCTTCCTCCCCACCATCTTGGAAGTCTGGGGAAAATAAAAGGCAGGTAGCACAGCAATTTTACAAAGGACAGCTTATTCCATGCTTCTCTTTTGGATGTAATATATAACATAAGACTAGTTCCATGGAGGGAAGAGGGAATAACTCAAAAAGTTACCAGTTAGGAGCTTAGACAGTCATGACAGGCAAGTGTGGGGTTGCCGTACATATGGACTTTCCTTAAGGGCAGGGGGGTGTTAACTCTTGCCCTCCCAGATTCCTCCTCCAAGATCTTGTAGCTGAGCCAGTGTCCTTTTAGTTCAGCCACAACAAAAGCGTTTTATACAGGATGTGGCTAGCTTAAGATGCTGCTCTGTTGCGATTCTCTGCTCTAAGCTAGCTTAGCTGGGTGCCTTAGATCTGAGTCTAATGCACTAGAAATTTTTTCACGGGTTACTGTAAACCAAACCAAGCAACTTGAGACATTTTGCCAAATTTTAAAAATCCGCCCAGGGGAGAAATTTTAATCATGAAAATAGAGGACCTGTCTGAGAAAAAGCTCACATGGAAAAGCAACCCAACTCTCTCTAGGCAGGAATGAAACTCTTCCCTCTTTTTTCTGATCCTTCTGGGCAGTTTCTCTCCCTGCCTTCTGCACCTTCAAGTCCACCCTCTCTGCCTTTGTGGTACAAACAGCAGGGCCAGAGTCAAGCTGTACAGAAGAGACTCTTGACCCCCATGAAACACTAGCCCCCTCCTGTGAATTGGGGTCTCCATGTGAAATTTACCTCTCAGAAGATTTCTGAATGACTGAACATCTGAGGAAGCAAAAAGACAGGCTTAACAGGCTACAATGCAGTAGCTAAAAAATAAATCTTTTTTTACAAATCATCACCATAACATAGCCTCTGTTGTTTCCTTATTTCAAGCAAAAGGTGAAATCATGCAAAGAAGACAACTGCAGGACTAAGTAGTGATGTTAATTATTCTCCAAAATATAATTCTTGAGAATGTAATATCACTAGGCCTAAGGAATTAAAACAACTAACGAGTTTAGTTGCAATTCCTGCATTGCAGGGGGCTGGACTAGATAATCCTTGGGATCCTTTCAGACTCTGCCATTCCATGATTTCATGGGAAAATCATAAATGGTAAACCATACTAGAAAATGGTGGAATACAATCATTCAAAATCCACAAATGAAATGGGGGTCTGAACTGGATGGATGAAGAAAGGTTTAACATCTGCCCCAAGTAAACTGGTGGGGAAAAGCTGTTGAAACTGGAATTTCCAAGTATGCTGACAAACCAAATTGCACAGGAAAAATCGGCAGAGCTTTGCACTGTACTTCCAAGGGTCTCGTGCAATGGGAAGTCCTCCCTCATGGAATGGGGCTGATCTCCTAAGAACTGGGGGAACTCTGAGGAGATGGGGATGGCTGAAGCACGAGAAACGGCTGGTGAGGTTGAAACTGAGGAAGAGGCGGCTCTGGCCTTGGCTCTGCTGCTGGGAGACCAGCCTGGCAGGAGGTGGAGGAGGGACTGGGTGCTTGCGGGTGCCCTTTTTAACACACTTCACGAGGGAGAAATCGAAGCAAATCAAGAGAAGCCCCAAAAGAACCTCTCCAGAATTTTTTGAGGGATAAAAAAATGCAAGGGAGATTCCTTATACATGAGAACTGGACAAGATGGCTATTTAACTGACCCTGCAGGATTCTCCTTAAGGGCTTTTGTAAGATATTGTAAGGCTCTGAGGCTTTTTCCCTACCACAAAGCAGTATATACATTTTATGAAAGAAAGCAAAATTTATAAAATTAAACAAAAAACCAGGATAATTGTCTATAGGCAGGAATGGAACTCAGACTGGTGTGCAGGTTCTTCGCAGGGCCAAGCTCTGCCCCCAGTCCAAGCCTTCAACCTCCCTCCCAGTTCATTCATGGGACAGACAAAGAACCCAAACACCACTAGAGGACTGTTTCCCAGAGCTACGCCATTGATGGGGGTCCGAAAATCAGCACAACAGACGGTTCAACACCCATGAAATATCAGTCCCCATCCCTCCTGTGAAATTGTTCCACCCCTGGAAATTTACCTTTCTGAATCTGTTCACTGAATAGCAGAGCATCTGAGGAAGCAAAAAGATATAAAGTGTAAGGGCAACACTCTTCCACCAGAAATAAATCTCCATGCAAAAGTAACACTTCATAACGTGGCATCCTTAAATTCAAGCACAATTATTAAATATTAATTAAATTGTACAAAAAATAATTAAAAACAAGAAAATCATAGGAAGAATCTATGAAAATAACTAAAGCTTTCAAACTCAGCAATCACAAAGCAAGCTTACAAATAAGAGAATAAAAACATTCAGCATGAATCCTGCTGGTCTCTGAACTTTGTCCCTAAATTGGGCTCTACATTGGAGGACTGGAGGGGAGGCAGAGCAATAGGAATCCCGTAAAAGGAGGCAGAGGGGAGATGGAGGCAGCCTTAACATCTTCCCCAAGTAAAGTGGGGGGGGGGGGGATCATTAAAACTAAAATTCTGAAACATAAGGAGAAGCAAAAGCCGATGAGGAAGGATTGGCAGAGATCTCAGGCAAAAGAAAGTCCTCCCTCACAAACTGTCAAGGGAATTGGGGTTGCTTGTGTGTAAACCTCCAGCTGTTCCAAACTGCTTAGGGGTGGTTGTGTCTTCCCCTGACTGAGCAGCCCTTGGCGCTGCTGCTCAGTCGCTAGCAGAATCCGTGAGTGGGCATCTCCTAAATTTCCTCCAGCATAAGAATTCCTTAACGGACAACCTTCGCCTCGCCTCTCTGCGCGGAAGCCTTCTGCGCAGAGTGGGCGTGCCGAGTGGTGGTCCTCCACCCTCCTCATTGACTTCACTGGAAGAGTCTCGGAGCCTCACCTCCGAGATGCTCTCTCCCTCTCCCTTCTTCCTGGTGTCACCTGGACTTCCTTCCCCAGATGACGTTCTCTCTCTTCCCTTACTCGTTCCCTCTCCTGCAGAATCTGGGAGCCTTGCCTCTCCCCTCTGCTCTGATGTCAGTTCCCTGACATCCACCTCCCTCCCAGGGCCCTCCCCCCCCCCCCCCGTCCTTTCCTCGGAGGTGATGCAGGAAACCCCCGGAAGGAACTCTCCCCTCCATCTGATGATTCAAACACCCCTCTCCATTTGCTGCTGTCTCTTCTCTCTCCCCAATCTCCCCAGTCGGATTCTTCTTCGGACAATTCCCCTTCCTCCTCTTCGGAGGCGGGAAAACCCGCAAACTCTTCCTCGTCATCGGTGGTGCCAAATTGCTCCCCCCACAACCTCTCTGGTGGTTTGGGCTTTCTAGGATACCTGCTATGAAACTCCTCCTGCAGATTCTCATCCCTAATCTCTTCTGCTGGGACCCATGCGTTTTCCTCTTCTGGCTCCCCCTCCCACGCCACCAAATATTCCACTCGCCCCCTCTCCACCTGGAATCGAGAATTTCAGCTGCATGGCCACTGAGTTCCCTTTCCTCCATCTGTGGATGCAAGGGTGTTTCACTTTGCTGACCCAGAAATTCCCTCCCCTCCCTGAACGGTGAGAGTAAGGACCTGTGGAACACGGGGTGCAGTTTCATGTGAGATGGCAATTTGAGCCTAAAGGCCACCGGATTAACTTGCTGGGCTACTTCGAACGGTCCCAGTCTCTTCGGCCGTAGCTTCTTGCACCCTCCTTTGAACGGTAACCCTTTGGTAGACAACCACACCTGGTCCCCCACTCTTATGGTTTCTCCCTCTCTGCGGTGCTTGTCTGCCTGCCTCTTGTACTCTTCCTTGGCCCTTTCCAGGTTTAACTTAAGCTGTTGGTGTAAAGCCTCCATCTCTTCCACAAATTTTTCAGCTGCGGGAACACTCCAACTTCCCTCCCCTTCCCCTGGGAAAGCCCTGGGGTGACACCCGTAATTCGCCATAAACGGACTCATCCCTGTGGACACATGTTCTGCGTTATTGTATGCAAACTCAGCCAGCGCTAATTTGTCCACCCAATCATTCTCCCTCTCGTTGACGTAGCAGCGTAGATATTGTTGAAGTATGCTGTTAGCTCTCTCTGCTTGTCCGTTGGTTTCTGGATGTCTGGCCGTTGAGAAACTAACCTCAACGTCCAGCAGACTCATAAGCTTCCTCCAGAATCTGGACGTGAATTGCCGGCCTCTGTCGGATAAAATCCTCAAGGGGGCGCCATGCAACCTGAAAACATGCTCTACAAACAGCTTTGCTGTTTCTTCTGCAGTCACCGCATGCGAGCACGCAATAAAATGGCACATTTTGGTCATCAAGTCAACTACCACCATTACTGCCGTTTCCCCCCTGGCCTTGGGTAAATCCGTCATAAAATCAATGGATACCGCCTCTCTGGTGTCGGTAAGGGCTCCAGTAACCCCGTAGGTGCTGTCCTCTCCCCCTTCGCTCTCTGGCAGCACTGGCACCCGCGTACATATTCTTTCACATCTTCCCTCACCTGTGGCCACCAAAACTGCCTGGTGACCAGTAGCACTGTCTTATGTTGGCCAAAATGTCCTGCCGTGGGGTTGTCATGCAGTTGTTTGAGTATTCTGCTCCTCAAATCCCCCTCAGGTATGTACAATGCACCCTTATAGTACAATGCCCCGTTCTTTACTTCAACCCCCCCGAGTTTCCCCAGTAATACCAATTTCCCTGATCTTGGTTTGTGCATACTGATCATCCCTCGTCAAACCGGCCAGCTCTTGCCTCCCTACGAACACTCCCCCCCCCACCCATTTGTCCTCGGGTATGACATAACGCGCTTCTGGCCCTCCCTCCCCTTCATCTTATTCGGGCTTGCGGGAGAGGGCGTCTGCTCTGACATTTTCCTTCCCAGGCACGTACCTAATCTCAAAATTAAACTTGGAAAACTCCTGAGCCCACCGCACCTGTCGTTGGTTCAGCACTCTCGCTGTTCTCCAATATTCCAGGTTCTTGTGGTCAGTACACACCTGGACTTTGTGCTGTGCGCCTATGAGAAAATGTCTCCATCGTCGAAAGGCCTCGTGAATTGCCAGCAGTTCCCGATTGTACACTGTATAGTTTTGCTCTGACTTGTTCAGCTTCCTGGAAAAGAAGGCACACGGCTTCCACTCCCCCTTTCCCTGCTGGAGCAATATGCCTCCTACAGCTCTGTCTGACGCGTCCGTCTCTAGCCTCATCGGCTTCTGCAGATCCACATGTAGGAGCTGCTCTTCCGACGCGAAAGCCCTCTTAAGCTTTTCAAAGGAACGCTGGGCCTCTTCCGTCCATTCGAACTTCTTCTTACTGCTGAGACAATCCGTTATGGGTGCCGTTAGATGGGCGAAGTTCTTGATGAACTTCCTGTAGAAATTTGCAAACCCCAAGAACCTCTGCACGTCCTTCCTGTTCTTGGGAGGCTTCCATTCTAGCACGGCCTGCACCTTGCCTGGGTCCATTGCCAGACCTTTGTCTGACAACCTGTAGCCCAGGAACTCCACCTCTCGGGCATGGAATTGGCATTTCTCCAGTTTGACCCACAGCTGGTGCTCCTGCAGCCTTTTCAGCACTTCCCTGACATCTTTCACATGCTGCTCCTCGTTCTCTGAGTAGATAAGCACGTCGTCCAGGAAGGCCACACAATTCTTGTACAGCAGGGACCCCAGCACGTGGTGCATGAATGCTTGAAATGTGCTGGATCCCGATTGTAATCCGAAGGGCATAACGAGATACTCAAAGGCCCCCAGAGGGGTGAACATCGTGGTTTTCCATTCATCCCCCTCCCTCATCCTTATCAAATTGTACGCCCCTCGAAGGTCCAACTTGGTAAAAACCTTCCCTTTCCTTACCCTGGCCAAAATGTCATCAATCCTGGGCATTGGGAAGGTCACCGGTTCCGACACCCGGTTGACGGACCTGTAATCTACGACTAAGCGGGGTTCTTTGGAGTCTCTTTTGTCCACAAAGAACACTGGACTGCCCCCCACCGCCCTTGATTCACGTATAAAGCCCCTCTTCAGGTTCTTGTCAATGAACTTCCGCAACTCCTGCATCTCCCTGTCTGACATGGCGTACAGCTTACCCACTGGTAACTGAGCCCCTGGGAGTAGGTTGATCTGACAGTCAAAGGGTCGGTGAGGGGGTAGTCTATCCGCCTCTCTCTCGCTGAAGACTTCTTCCAGGTCTGCATACTGAGGTGGTACTCTCACCTTTTCTCCCACCACCATCCCTGGCACCCTGGCTACTGCCATCCTCGGGGTTTCCCCTTCGTGGCAGTGCTCTACGCAGTGAGCTGACCCAAAGGTGACTGTCCGCTGGTGCCACCCTACTACTGGGTTGTGCAGTGCCAGCCAACTCATTCCCAGTATGATAGGTGGTACTGCTAAGGTGGCTACGTGAAAGGCAATTGTCTCAGTGTGTCTAGAAACTGTCATTTTCATGGGCGGGGTCTGGTGGGTTACTTCCCCTCCCAAAAGTTCTCTCCCATCAATAGTGGTTACTTGCAGGGGATGTTCTAGAGGCACCACCTGTAGCTGGTGTTCTAGCGCAAAATCCTTGCTAAAGAAGTTGCAAGAGCTGCCTGAATCCAGCAGCGCCTTCACTTTGATGGGGTGTCCGTTTGGGAGTTCTAGCACCACCTCTATGGCGATGGCTGCTCGGGGAGGGTCTGGTTTGGGCACTTCTACTGGTTGCTCGCCTGGCTGCTGTGCCCGCCTTCCTGCAGCCAAGCACTGCCGTTTCCCGGCGCCTCTTTCTTTTCCTCCTCACTCCCCACTGCCCCCACCATTCCTTGCCACGCCTTCTTCTGAGGGCATGCTCTGGCAAAATGTCCCGGCTGCTGGCATAGGAAACACCTCTTACTGGTTTTCCCCTCCTTCTTACGCACCTCGCTGGAGTTTGAAAACCCGCGCGCGCACGCGCGCTCCTCCAATCTCCATTGGCTCCTCGGGTGGCACAGTAGACGCTGGCATGTCTGGAATGCGGTTGTCATGCCAACGCTCTGCTCTCCCTTCCTGCCTTTCCAGAGCGCGCGTCTCTTGTCGGACTCCTACAGCGAGCGCCAACTTGGTCAGCTGGTCCATCGATTCCGGGCGGGGTGAGCGGGAAAGTTCGTCTCTCACCCAAGAGGATAAGCCCTCCTCAAATAACATTTGTACTGGTTCCGAACTCAGATCCCACCCAAGTTTATGGATCAGCATAGCAAATCTCGACCAGTACTCTCTCACTGACTGGTTTCCTTGTTTGCACCCCATCAGTTCTTTGAGAGTCACACTCTGTTCAACATCGCTCGAGAACATGTGATCCATTGCGCTAAAAAACTTTCTCAGGTCCTTCAAAGCCGCGTTCTCCGCCGCCATTAAGGGTCGAACCCAGTCTCTGGCCCGCCCCTCCAGGTGCCCTACCACGAAAGCGACTCTTCCCCCATCGTCGGCAAAGTCATCGTACTGCAGATCCAGCGCATACTGCACTTCTGTCTTAAAAGCGTTATAATCTCTGGGGTTGCCCCCAAACTTCTGCACAAGTCCTGGTACCTTTCTTGCGATGGGGGTAATCTTCCCCTGGGCATCATGTGTCCTCCTTTCATCCAGCCGCGCCGCTAGTAGAGCCAGTTGCTGCTCCAAGTCTCGGTTTCTCTCCTCCAGACTCTGTCCGCCTTTGGCCCCTTCTCCTGCGCCGGCTCCTCTGGTTTGACTCATGGCTGTACCCCGGTTCTCTTGCACACAAGCAACGTAAAGGACTCACGGATTGCTGTCAAGGGAATTGGGGTTGCTTGTGTGTAAACCTCCAGCTGTTCCAAACTGCTTAGGGGTGGTTGTGTCTTCCCCTGACTGAGCAGCCCTTGGCGCTGCTGCTCAGTCGCTAGCAGAATCCGTGAGTGGGCGTCTCCTAAATTTCCTCCAGCATAAGAATTCCTTAACGGACAACCTTCGCCTCGCCTCTCTGCGCGGAAGCCTTCTGCGCAGAGTGGGCGTGCCGAGTGGTGGTCCTCCACCCTCCTCACTGACTTCACTGGAAGAGTCTCGGAGCCTCACCTCCGAGATGCTCTCCCTCTCCCTTCTTCCTGGTGTCACCTGGACTTCCTTCCCCAGATGACGTTCTCTCTCTTCCCTTACTCGTTCCCTCTCCTGCAGAATCTGGGAGCCTCGCCTCTCCCCTCTGCTCTGATGTCAGTTCCCTGACACAAACCTTCTACAAATCTTTAAGGTTCTTCACAAGCATAATTGTGCCCTTTGGGGCTCATGTGCTCTTGCTTCCACTCTCAATGGGGGAACTCTCAGGAGATCTTGAAGGCTGAAGCCCTAGATATGGCAGCTGCAGGGGGACGTCTGAGGAGGAGACGGCTCAGGCCTTGGCTCCACGGCTGAGAAACAAGCCTGAGCAGGAGGCAGAGGGGGAACTGGGGGCTTCTTAATGCCCTTTGACCCCATTCAGAGCAGGAGAACCTCCAAAAGGACAAACTCAGATTGTATAGACAGGGAACCACAAGGAAAAGGAGGTTTCGTATAACTGTAAACAGAAGCACATGGGAGGAAAAAATCCTGACTTTGCTCTACACTCTGGTTCAGGCTTTCTTTCCCAGCGTCACAATATACATGGGCCATTCTGGAGAACAGGAAATGAAGGCTGGAGCACCAAGAAGGAAGGTATCCTGGGATTGCTCAATTCCATGCAATAAGAGCCTGGCATGTTCAGTTCTGAAGAAGTAGCAGAATTCCCAGGGTGAAAGCCTGGCAGCCAGTTTTCAATACCTTTAAATTGTTTAATTGCATTCTCCACAAAATCACAGGATTCCAAGATCCTGTTCCTCAGTTCTGGAGGGAAAGCCAGTGGCTTCTCTGGACTCTCTCTTTTCTCATACCTGGTGAAAAGAAAAACAGTGAATGGCCCCATTGTGGCCCCATCTCCCTAATTATTGCAGGAGATTTCAATAACATGAACAAAGTGGAAGTTTATTTCCCAACAGGTTTATTTCTACCACAGATGAGACCTCAGTCCAAAACCCCTGAGGACAGCTGTCAGTGGCTTCGTAAGGATGCTAAACAGAACAAGGGACAAGATGTAACCCCAAGCGACACCACCGGAGGGCTCCCATGGCTTCAAACTATGCTGCTCCATAACAACTTTCTGGGAAGGTCCCAGGACTTAAGAACCAAACCCCTGAGGTGGAATGCCTGCAATCCCTCCCTCCCTGAGCCTCCCCAGAGGATGTGAGTGATGTCCAAAACTGCCCAGTGGTCAAGGAGAGCAACCTCCACCCTCCCTTCACCCCCTCTCTCACCCAGGAAGGGCACAACCCCATGCCCCATGGGACTCTCCCTCTAGAGGCAGGAAACAACTAGACCCCCCACTCAAGACCACCTTCAGCTTCTCACGGTGGAAACGCTCCCAAGAAAAAGAAAAAGAACCCACCTATTGTAGACCAACAGACCGTCCCTCCCTCAGTGCCTCAAAGGGGCTGAGTTACCAGAGTTGAGGGGCTTCTAGTTGGACATTGAAATATGTCCTAAGCTCTTCCCAAGCATCTTTGGCACTTTCTCTTCTAGATGTTTGAAATTACCAGAAAGTCCATGGACAGAAAGTGCAAGAGAAAGAAAAGAGCCCCCATCCCTTTGTGAAGGGATGTGGGGAGAGAGGGAGGAGGCAGTTGACCTTGATCCTTGGAGGGAGAATTGGGGGCTACAAGTTCAGAAGAGGGGGCTCTACTTTTACCTGTGAGGTGCTGCAGGGAGTGAGTCCCACAGTCCCCCCCCTGCAGCCCCTGGAGGGCCATGTCTGAGTTCCTGCATCTCAGCTCCAAAGAGTGATGCTAATGGAAATGAGCCAGATCCACTTACCTCTGCAAGGTCCTTCTCACATCCTAGAGGGAAAAGGAGAAGAGAATTCACTGCACACCACAGGCCACACAAGGAAGACCCCCTCAGACCCTGGCCCTCGGATGTCAGTCTGCCTGGCACATGCCAAGTTTTTGTGAGGGATGGCGGAATCAGCCCGTTTTGGTTTCTCACAGCTTTTATTTTCCCAGTGTAAAATTATTAACTGTTCTGATTTCAAGATCTCCACATTTCCATATTTTAATAACTTTAATCCAATTTGCATTGTGCTATTCAGACAAACGTAAGCCTAAAGGATAATCCTGCCACGGCACTGTCCCAGTCCCCAAATTTCAAATTCTATTTTCCACCTGGAAATAAAAAAAAGCACCTGCAGCATAAAATGCCTCCAAAGGGGTAAAAAAACAGCTCAGTGTTTCTTTGGGGTCACCCACACTTCTGCTTTTCCTGTGCCCAGAAAAGTTTGTGCTGCCACTTTCCCTCAGGAAAAACCTGCTCAGTGCAACATCAAAACAAACATCAACCCAGAGAAAACCTGGCTGATGTTTACTCTAATTCAGCAGTAAAAAGAGGGTTTTCCTGGGGGAAAGGAGTGGGACAAGCAGCAGTCTGGATGAGTCCCTCTGTCTTGCACTTTGCTCACTGTGACTGAGCACCATTTTGGGCCAATCTGTATCCATGGGGAAGGGGATCAACCCAGAAATCATGGAGGGAACGGGAGAAGAAGCTTGGTCAAGAGACTGGCTCATGTCGGAAGGAGGCCTGAACGCATCCTAGACGAAGCCCCCCACAGCTGAAAGGTGTTCAGAGACAAAGCATCAGCAAAGAGCAGAAGATCAGCTCCTGTTCCATCAAGAATACAGACAAATCTCTACTCTGCATTCAGGTGAGTTAAGCATCCCAGGTCTCTTGGGTCTTCCTGTCCATTACAAACCTGACTAGAGGCTCCATCATATCAGCCCCTGCACTCCTTGCATACATGAAAGGGGCAGCCTTTTCCTGGAGCCTTGGGCTGTTCCTGCCACCATCTTACCTGCAGGAGTTCACTCGCTGGCTGCTGACGCTTCTCCTCCATCTCCTGGATGATCCTCTCAAGAGAGGAGAGTTTCCTGGAGAGTCTGGCCAGCTGCTCATCCCTTCTCCCTGCAATCTCCTTCTCCACCTCTTCCATGCGAGTCAGCAGACGTTTTTCTTGTTCTTCCAGGAACTGGCGCAGTTCTCTGAACTTCTCCACAGTCTTCAGCCTCTCCGTTTCTGTTAATTTCTGCAAGAAAAGAGGAGGTCTGAGTGTGGAAGGTGATCAGCCTTCAAAACATCAGGAAGAGAATTGTGAGAATTCTACAGGGAGGACACTTCTGATTTTTAATAGACATGAAACCAACCACCAGTTACTAAAGAAGTAAACCTTTATTTTGAGGGGAGGCCCTCTCCATTGCTGTTTCTGTTGATTTCTATTTTGCAGAGGGCTACAGCCTAAAGGAAGGAGCATTTTTTCCCTAGCCATGGATAAGTGGGATGTAAAAATGTACATATAGAAAGACAACTCTTTAGTAATATTGATGGTAAATCAGGATTTGAACTGAACTACTTCCACCCTCTCAGCTCACAAGTCCTCAGGCTTCTCCTTCACTGCTATTCATATAATAAACAACAATGGAAAATAAACTCAAATTAGCTGCATTCAAAAGTGAATTTACCTAATTTGCTATTGCTGAAAAAGTATGGAGACCAAAACAGAGCAATCCTTTGAAATTCACACCTGTAAATTGTTCAAGGTTGACCCAGCCAGGTAATGTTCACAAAAAATGGATTTATGAGGGTAAAGTACATATAAAAATATTTATACAAGGAACATCTGATTCATTTTCAGAATAATAAATGAATAAACAGACTGATATGGAAAAAGGAGAAATGGGGAAAAGCTGAAATGGGCAGATTTCCCCACCCCTCCTCAGTCCTGACTCAATTCTTCAAGTGCTTGTTCCCACCCTAGTGATAAGAGTGGCACTTACCAGGAGGTCTTTGCTTTCCTTGTCCAGGGCTGCTTGATGGGCCAGAATTTCCTCTCTCTCTTTCCTCAGAATCTCCAGGTGGCGACAGATCTCTCCCTGAAAAGAAAAAGGGAAAACTCATGTTTGAAAGAGACGCACAGAGAGATGAATATTACACTGGCTTCTTGGGCCCGATGGCCTTGCTATAATAGCAAGGTAGTTTACTGGAGGAAATAAGAGTCTAGAGGTTTTCAACCTTTTTGGGTGCATGACTCCCTCGTCCAACTACCTTCTTTCTGCGGTGTCCCTGTGGGGCTCAGGATCCCAGTTGGGTCCCCCCCTTGCTTGCAGCCCCTCACCCTTTCTTGAACACCCTTCCTTGCGGAGGGCTCTCTCAGCCTCCTCTCCCCTCTCCTTAGGAGTCCTCCTCTGGGTCTCTGAGCTGCCCCAAAGAGAGGTGCCTCCTCACGCTGCCCCACAGGAGCCTGGGACTTGTCTGTCCCTTCCCAACAGCAAGGGTCCCTCGCCAGTTTCCTTGCTTCCTCCGAGGTCGCCTCAGCTCCTGGCAGCCCACACCCCCTGGCCAGCCCCAGAGGCACCATTCGCCAACGGAGCTTGTAGCCAGGGCTGCTGCAACAAAGAGCTGCGCAAGCCTTTGGCAGATCCCAGGAGGGAGGTAAGGAAAGAGGGACAGAGGCCAGTGTTGCCAGCAGCACCCCTGAGCATCATTCAAGGCACCCCAGGTGCCACAGCACACTGGCTGAAAACCACTGCGGAACTGGGATGGGAAAGTTTTCTAGCGCAACAAACTAGTCTGGAGAAGAGCAAAGGCAGCCCAAGAGGCTAGAGAGACAGGGATAGAGCAGCGCTTCTCAAAACTTCACCCATTCCAAACCCCTCTTCTGCAAGCCTAGGGCTTTTCCACCCTTCCTCTTGGCCCCACTGCTCTGCCACTTAATTGGGTCAGATGGCAATTCAGGTTTTCTGCTACTTCTCAGTTCTTTTCTCTGCAGTAGCCAGAGCCCACGTGTGCTTGGACCACCAGGGGAGATTTAAGAGCTTCTTCCATTTCTGGGCCAAAGAAGTTCTTCCTGGGCCAGAATCCACCTAAGTAGCTCCTTCGGTCAGAAGATTGCAGTCTGGTCATCCCACCAGTTCAAAGGGGCAGCTTCATTTCATTATCATTACTATTTTGTGGCATTTTTAGCATTGCATGGCACAGGAGCATTTTTGCACCACTGTAGTAGAAGAAGTGAATGATTTTAAAATGGATTAAAAGGCATTTTATAAAGTTTCTTCTGAAGCAGAATGAGAATCTTATCTTTTTTTATATAATAGCACAGGTCCAATTCTGAGTTGTCATGGCAAAGTCATCTTCCCCCCTTGTCTTTGCAGATGCTACTCTGGAATCACCAAGTCCTTTGCCATTTGGGATGGGAGGAGATCCTCAGCAGACACCCCTCCCCCACTGAAACCTCATTGCACAGGCCCCACAGCACCCCCAGAATAAGCCTGCTCCTCACCAGTAGGTGCTTCCACTCCGCCCCCACTCCTAAATCTGCGTCCAACAGATACTTGCGGGGCAGGGATCCTGCACTATGTGGTCAATTCCTGGCCACCAGTCCCCCCCCCCCAGCTCATCCCTTGCTGCTCTCTGCTTTGCAGGGCATTGAGGACGCATCCTGCTAGCCAAAAGAGACTTGTAGTTAGTTGTGTACATGCAATTTACACTTGCAGTGTTCTTCATATGTACAAAGCAACCTGCTGGGGGATGTGAATGAGGTTAACCCTTTCTCTCCCTCCCACAGTCCCAGTTCAAATAGTTGAAGCTGTTGTGAGTATTTCAAGGGAAGATCCCTTTGTCCCCCTGGCAGAGAGAAAGACTTCAACTTCCTCCTCCCAGACCTCAGGTTTGCCCTTGGCTGCTTTTAATGTGAGAAACAACCAATTAATGCCATGCCTACTTCGGACCTGAATCCACAGCTATTTCTCCCCCTCAAGATCCAGGGATCTCCTACCTTGTATTCCTCCAAAGCCTCTTCCAGAGGAATCACCTTGTGATTTTCATGTTCCTTTGATTTGTCACACACCAGGCAGATGGGGGCTTCATGGACTTTGCAGAAGAGCTTCAGGGGCTCCTGGTGCTTCTCGCAGACTCCTCCTTTCCCTCCTTCCTCCTTTCCCTCTTGAAGGCTGAGATTCTTGATTAATTCTACAAAGTTTGCCAGTTGCCGGTTGGGGATGAGGCTCCTCCTCTGGACTCTCTGTCTGCACTGAGGGCAGGAAGCCTCTGCCTCTGATTCCCCCCAGCACTGGATCAAGCAGGATCGGCAGAAGTTGTGCCCACACTCTGCGATGATCACTGGATCCTTAAAATATTCCAGGCAGATGGGGCAAGTGGCTTCATCGCAAAGATTCTGGACCGGACGCCCAGAAGCAGCCATGGCTCCCTCACGCCAAAGACCCGAGTTAAGTTTCACTTTCTCAGCGTTTAGTCAGTGGGTGTTTCCTTTCCTGGAAATGACTCAGGAACTCAGGAACCACGTGATTTGTTTATTTATTTTCTAAAAATAAAGCATGTTCCCAGATCTTGGCAGCTGCTGAATGTTTTATTCTTCATTGCTTCCCATGCTTTTGATCACACACACAAACACACAGGTACCTAGCAACTTGTGGTATCCATACTGTAACATTTTCATTCAAAGGCTTCCTTGCCCTTTTTGAATGGGAGAACATCTGCTGCTGCCCTAAATGGAGGCGAGTTCTGATTGAGCAAGCGGGACTTCAATCCTTCAAGACAACTCCTTTAATTGCACATTTATTCAAAATCCAATTGCAAATATCCTAGTTTAATGAGTGCAACGGAATTGATGAACTTGTCCCAGTGAGGCTAGCTTTCCCAAGTCTGCTGGCCATTTCCACCCCCCACCCCGCCCCTTTCCCAGGGGGCAGCACCGCCCACTCTGGCAAGCACCGCTTGAAACACGAGCAGGAGCACCTGAAATTAACCCCAGAAACAACCTGCCAGCCAAGGCAGCTCTGTTAGGGCTTCTAGGAGTACCAGCCCATTACGGAACGGAGGGGGGGGCACATAAGCCGCACACCACAGCCGTCCCCCGCCCCCCCCGCTCATGGCCACACGCGGACATGAGACCATCAGCTCGCCGGCAAGGGGTGGGTCCCCTGTTCCTCTTCAATGTCGCACCGAGCAGCACAGAAACCTCAACAATCAGCAGCTACCCTTGCTGCCTCTTTCTTTAAACCCGACAAACCTAGGTGGGTGGACCAGACAATGGAACTCGATATTTGCATACCGCTGCGCCTGAGCCAATCAGCACAGGGTACATGGCACACCCACACTAGCACTGCCAAGCTACGCTCCCAGCCCCCTTGCTTGGCCGCTATTCCCCTCCCAAAACAGCTCAGCTCCAGCCTTGGGCGCGCCTCCTTTATCAGCTTCCAACCCCCCCCCCCCCAAGCTCACAACAAGCCACGCAGCCGGGACAAACCTTGCCATCTTCGCAAGTCAGGAAAAACCATTACATTCGAACCACAAACGCCAAGCCCCTTGCCCATAAACTGGGAACCGAAAGGAAAAGACGCACAACTGTGGAAAAGCCTACGAAATCAAGGCTTGCATGGCTTTCATTCCTGGAAACTTCATTTCTCCTCTTTCCAAAGAGACTTCCTTTCCCCTCGGGCCCCGACACGATTCCTCACGACGCCAAACGGGGACTCACAGACGGTTAAGTTGTGGGTCAACATATCAGACGACACAGCGATTCTTCAAAAGAGCTCTTGTTTCTTCAGAGGCCAGAACAGAACTGAACTGAAGGGTTCAGCCGCCTGCTTATACAGAGCTCCACTTCAACGCAACAGGAACCACTTTCTTTCTTTTGTAATACTTTTATTTTGCTTTAAACAACTACATACAAATATAGACAACCAAAATTACAAAGGAAAATTCCTTAATAATAATAATGAAAAAAAGTAAAAAACTACAAAAAGTATCAAAGTATATGGCACAGAACATAAGCAACTATGGGAAAGAAAAAAGAAAAAGAAAAATAGAAAAAAAGAAAAAGAAAAAGGAAGATGAGCCAAAGCAGGATAGCTCATCTATTGTACACTTCCGTCAAGCTCACAACAGATCATTATTCTTATCGATTCTCTCTATCTGCATTCCAAAGGAATCCCTCATCTTGGTATCAGGGAGCATTTCTCTATGCGGTATCATTCTAAACATAGCCAGGTCTTTTTTGTTGAGCCCTTGTCCCCTAAATAATTATTTAAACATTCCCATTCTTCTTTCACCAATTTTTTAGGTTTATCTCTTATTGCATCTGTCAGCTTTGCGAGCTCCAAGTACTCGCACAATTTAACTGCCCATTCCTCTTTAGTGGGTGTATTTTTATCTTTCCAGTGTTTTGCCACTATAACCCTTGCTGCTGACAGAAAGTGGTCGTCAGTCGTCAGTCAGGAACCACTTTCTGTAACTAGCCAATCACTGAACGTCACTTTCAATCCCTTATTTGCATATGTGGACCTGAGTGAAAACTATCTACAGTATCCCCCTGCTGGCCCAGGGTGAGAACTGCAGTACATAACACCGACAATGGAATGACGCTCCCAAGTCACCCCTGTTCCTTGCTTCCTCCGCAGGGACTGGAAATGGACAGAGATGGGCGGACTCACGTAAGTGGACACCGCACTTAGCGGCAGGCCTGGGGTGTTCCCTTGAGCAGGGTGAATGTAACAGACCAGCTAAGGACCAGAGCGCACCTGAGCACGTGCAGAGCGCATATGCCCCATCACTGAGCAACTTCCCAGCCCCGTTGAATTTGTCTCAACCATTTCTGTACCGCTGGATTCCCATTGTCTCTAAGCAGTGCACAAGGTATTCCATACAATGATAAAGAGTGGAAATTATAAAATAATTTCCTGTGAGGTGGGCTAGGCAGAGCCCGTGACTGGCTCAAGGTCACCAATGAGCTTCACGCCCAAGTGGGGATTTGAACCCTGGCCTCCCAGGTCCTGGTCCCACACTCTAACTCTAACCACTACACCACACTGCCTCTCAGTAGCTGCTTAGGGATGGGACTGGGGACTCTGATTTTACCAGGCTTGGCATTGCGAAATCGGGAGTGGGAGTGTGTGTGGGGTCTTGGGCATCCATCTTTAAATGGCGTTTTCCGGAACAGCAGAACCTGAGTGGGGGACGTTTTGCTGTTTCAGGGCCCAGCGAGCGCCAAGGAGAAGGAGGGGCCTCTTGGCAAGGAGGAGGCATCCCTGACACAGCCAGGCGAGAGGACGATGCTCTGGCAAGTCAAAGAGGAGAACTGTGGCATTGTGGGCTCTCAGGGTAAGGAATAGCGTTTTAGAGAAGATAATCTATGGTCCTCCAGGTGGGGCTGAGCCACATCTCCCCTCAGCCCCAGCAAGCGTGGCCAAGGATGATGGGATTTGTAGTTCAGCAACATCTGAGGGTCGAAGGTTCCCCACAGCAGGCCTAGGGCTTCAGTCCTAATTAGGTCTACTCAGAAGTAAGTCCCATGGGGGGGCTTACTCCCAGGTAAGTGGGGTGAGGATTGCAGCAAACCCCACAAACAGTTCAGGCTGCAATGCTAAGCCTGTTTCCAAGGGGTCAGCCCCACTGGGGAGACGGCAGCACTTTCTTTTCATACTCAACTCTACCAGGGCCCATTGGCTACGATTCAAGCACAGTGGAATCTCCTGTTTCCTCAGAGGCAAGTCTTGTGTGTTCAGTGAGTCCTACCCCCCCAATAAACATGGTTTGGGAGTGCAGCTTAGGTTCCTTCCATTTGAAATTAGTGGGATTTAGAAGATGCTTCATTTTGGCTAGGTTGTGTCCCATAAACAATAAAAATCTGTGTGTACTAAACAATTTAAATGTACTCTGCTAGCATATTGTTTATGAAAACAATCTGTTTATTTTTCTTTTTAATTATTATATAATATAAGGAGATAAAAACACAACAACTTAGTCCATAAGTCTATACTCATTGAAAACCACAAACCAAATACCGTATTTTTTGTCCCATAGGACGCACCTAGTTTTTTGGGGGGGAAATAAAGGAAAAAATGTTTTCCTTTATTTCTCCATAAAACCAGGTCGGGGAACAGCGGGATGGCAGCGCTGCGCCTCCTCGCTGTCCCCCGAGCTTGTGGGGCTGGCCGATGTCTGCCCGGCGCGAGGGGCGCTCTGCTTCAGGGTGCCCCACGCGCCGGGCGGCAGGCTGCTATCCGCTGCATGGGGAGCCCTGCGGGAACTCCCGCAGGGCTGCCTAAGCTGTGGATGTCTTCCCGAAGCGCAGGGCGCTCTGCTTTCGGGGCGCCCGGCGCTCCGGGAAGCAGGCTGCTATCCGCAGCCTAGACAGCCCTGCGGGAACTCACGCAGGGCTGCCTAGGCTGTGGATGTCTTCCTGAAGCCTGGAGAGTGAGAGGGGTCGGTGCGCACCGACCCCTCTCGCTCTCCAAGTTTCAGCGAAAGCCTGCATTCGCCCTATAGGACGCACCCAGATTTCCCCTTCATTTTTGGAGGGGAAAAAGTGCGTCCTATGGAGCGAAAAATACGGTAAGTATCCCTACTTCATAAGTCCCGTTCTGCAAGTCAGTCAACTGAGAAATAAAGTTCTAGCACAGCAGCATATAACTGTTAATTTTTCTGTGGTTCTTTTCATATTTATCTCTTGCTTGTTTTGTCTTAAGAAGGGGGATGAAAATCTCGAAAAGGAATGTGTCCAGTGTCCAGAGTAGACTAAATTCCAGGAATATTATCTCGATCCTGATTCTGCAAATAAGAATCATTCTCTCTCTCTCTTCCCAACCCCAGAGGGGCTTCTGATTCCCAAACTGGACCTTTCCTTCCAAACGAAAAAGGGGGGGAAGATGTTCTTGCAGGAACCAGAGCCAGGTAAAGGAGGCTGGTGAAATCTGCTGGGTGATGCTTGCAGTTTGAGAAGAGCTCTGGGTGCTGCTGGCCCCTGACATTCTTCGGCAGCTGCCGGGGGCCACTGTGCTATGGCAAGGGCTACAGCCGATACCTCCCCCTGACTGCTCCCCCCCCAGGCTAAAAAATACCTTTAAAGATTCATTACTGACATGAGAAAGGACTTCTTCACAGGCTGCATCGTTAAACAGTGGGATTTGCTGCCACAAAAGATAACTGTAGCCACAAATTTGGCTGGCCTTAGGACAAGTTCATGGAGGATGACCCTGTTTCTCACCTGTGCTCTTGAGTGTGGGGGGGGAGATGCCTCTGAATGCCCATTGCTGAGAATCACAAGTGGGGAGGGTGTTGTCGGCCCCTGGAAGAAGAGCATGTTGGACTCCGTGGGCCTTTGGCCTGTTCCAGCAGAGCTCTTTTTCCATACTTATAACCCAAAGTTAGAGAGACTCCCTTCAGGAATCTGTGGCGGGAGTAGACAGTGATAATCAGGATCCCCTGATAACTGTCATTGTTCAGTGTGGATCACCTAAGTTTCCTGACAATGCAGAACTTCATCCCCAAAATTATTTGTGGAACAAACAGCCATGTTTGCTCACTTGGCCGAGTCAGGGGGTTGTGAAGAGGTGAGATTCATTGGGAGACCTTAGGCTAGGAGGTGTTTAGGGCTCACAGGACAGTCATCCTTAGTATTGCCTCTCTCTGCAAAAAAAGAAGAAAAGTTTGGGGCATGTTAAATCCATGTCTAATTAAAAGAGCAGCGACTGTCGCTGTGGAGTCTGGATAAGGAGAGCTCTAGTGATCAGTCACATGTCGCTTACCAATGAAGAAGCCATGAAGGATTTGAAGTCTGCTTGCCAGTAATGTCTTATACATCTTTGCTAGTTTAGTAGGGGTCAAATACCACTGGTACATCATTTTCATATCATTTTCTTTAAATGTGCAACATTCCATAAATTTTAAATAACCTTTCCCAATCTGCCACCTGAATATTATGTCCCAAATCCTTTGCCCAATGTATCATTCCCAACTTGACCTGTTAATCTTTTGTATGCCACTCTAAAAGCAAGCTATACATTTTAGATAATAATTTAACATTATTTTCTCACAAATCTTTTTGAAATCTTGATATTTCACAACTAAAACCTTTATTTTTAACTATCTTAAATATATCATTCATAAATAGGACTGTTCTTAAACCGAGGTACCACTGAATTCACTTTTTTCTAAGATATTGCTTCTACAGGGTGTTTTTTTGCTGTACTAAGTTCTTGTATATTTCTCATACCATAAAGATTGATTTTCTTAGATCATTCTGAACACCTTTATGCACCTTAGCTTCTCATACCATAAGTATGCATGCCATCCAAATCTGTTGTCATATCCTTCCAAATCTAGTAAATCTGCATTTTTCAATATTATCCATTCCAAGAGCCAGCAAAGCCAGGACACCTCTTAATATAATTTTAAATCTGGCAGGGCGAAGCCTCTTTCTTTAGCATCTGTTAGCAATTAATATTTTATTCTAGGTCTCTTCCTTTGCCAGAAATATCTTTTTGCCATTCATTGAGGCATTCTGTGTTGCTGATCACCAGGACGGACTGAAATAAAAATAACATTATTGGCATTAAATTCATTTTTATAACTGATATTCTTCCCCCAAAAGATAACTTCATCCTACCCGATATTTCTAAATTTCTCTAGAATCTCTTTCCAAGTATTTATATAAATGTCTGTATGTTAATATTTTTAGCTTTAAACCATACCCCCAAATATTTAATTTTCTTATGTATACCTAGATCTGTAAGTTGTTGTAGCTCCTTTTATATTGTTCCGTCACGTTTTTCACTAAGGCCTTAGTTTTATTTTTATTTAATTTAAAGCCTACTACTTGTCCAAATTCTTGGATCCTCTCCAGAACCTTTGGTAAACTATTCTTTGGATCTTCTACAGTAATCACAAGGTCTGGTCCTGCTTGAAGGTTTTCCACAGGCGTCTTTGTGCCCTTCTTGGGCGCTGGACCTAATGGACCACTTTTGTGTCCTTCAACCTATGATGACACACAAACGTCGCCAACATCATATAGGGGAGGGAACAAGGGGAGGCAGCCCTCTGACAGGTGGAGGGGAAAGTGTCTTTATTCCGACATGTGACACCACCCCGTGGAATGCCCTCCCATCAGATGTCAACGAAATAAACAACTATCTGACTTTTAGAAGACATCTGAAGGCAGCCCTATGTGGGGAAGTTTTTCATGGTTGAAGTTTTATTGCTCTGTAATTATTATTAATAATATTCTGTTGGGAGCTGCCCAGAGTGGGTATGTTATGTACTGAGTTGAATAGGATCCAAAGGGCAGCAGTCTGATTGGTCCTAAAACAAGAGGGTCCAGAATGAAGCAGTCGGATTGGTCCTAGAACAATGGGGTCCAGAATGCAACAGAATGATTGGTCCACAGGAGCCACCCAATCCAGCTCCAGGTGGATGTGAATCTGCAACCTGATTGGCCTACGGGAGAATCCCGGAATTAGCCAATCACGTGTGGCCCATTGTGTAAATAATGTATATAAAGTAGACATTCTGGGGGAACTTCCATTCCTCCTCACCAACTATGAGCTGAATACATAGCATGAAATCCACTCTCAACTCTGAGTATATTTCAGGGGCGTTGTCCATTCTAGGCAAAGTGGCCACTCCAGTCAGCTTCTACCTGGGGTTCCCAATGTGGCCTTTGGCCCCTCCCATTTGTAATGAGGGCTGCTTTTTGGACCAAGGATGGTGTGGAAGGGGCTGCGTGGTGTTGCCTGTCAGCAGTGGGGGTGCGCATCGGGCCAGACCCCCAACTCAGGGTGCCCGGGGCAAGGGGTGCGTGCCACCGCCAAGGAGCAGGGGAAGGTGCTGGAGGGGACCGAGGGATAAAACCAAGCCGAAGGTGGAGGGGATTAGGGCTTATCTGCTCCCCTCGCCAATAATATTTTTATTCAAGTTGGCTCCCATGCTTGTAGAGATCGGTTGCTGGAGGCTGCGGGGGGGGGGGGGGCAAGGCTGCTTTTGCTCTCTGGTCCTCCTTGCAGGTTTTCCACAGGGGTCTGGGTGGCCCCTCTTGGGCGCTGGACCAAATGGGACACTTTTGTGTCCTTCCTTCCACGGGGTGAGTGGAGGCTCACAGTGAACCTATGATGACACACAAAGGAGACCAACATCATGTAGGGGATGGAGGAAGGGGAGGCAGCCCTTAGGCGGGGGGGAGGGGGGAGGTGTCTTTATTCCATCATGTGCCACCACCCCGTGGAAAACGCAGGGAAAGGAGAGCAGGCTGCACCGGTCAGTAGCCCTGATAGTGGAGCCAGAGTGAGTCCTGCCTGATCTTTGAGAGGGGTCAATTCCACAGGCATGTGTTGTTCCAGCTGTTAGTATCTAAGGAGAGAAATCAGATGCACCTACTGCCGAAATGACGCTCCTTGGGGGAGCACTGTGTATTTAGGGTGGGGCTCAGGAACGCAGGGAAGGTGCCCTGCATAATGTATGGGGCAGCACAGCCCATGGAGCCCCTTCCGGAAGCTGCCAGACTGCAACTCTCATCCTCTCTGACCCCGGCAATGCTGGATGGGTTGGAGAGGAGCTGGAGTCCAGCATTATCCAGAGGACACCCCATTTGATGCCCCCGATAGACAGAATCCAGCCTGTAAATAAGGAACGTTAATGCATCCACTCAAAACACATTTAACTAAGCAGAAGCCCCACTCAACGCAATAAGGTTTACTTCTGACAACGGGTGGAGATGGTGAGGCTGTATTTGCAGAGGGCATTTGAAGATGATGCCCTGTTCAATTTCTTTTTATTTTTCTTCCTGTCTGAGGCCTCTAGAGCAAGAAGCTATCCTGCGTGACATGGGTCAAGGGGTTTATTTTATACTCCTCTATTAATCCAACGATGCATGCATTTTCACAACTGCATAAGGTCTTGTGGGGAGAGGAAGGTTTCCTAGAATTGCAGAGTTGTGAGGGACCCTGAGGGTCATCTAGTCCCACCCCCTGCAGTGCAGGAAACATTTGCCCAACGTGGGGCTCAGACCCACAACCCTGGGATTAAGAGTATCGTCCTCTGCCAATCAGACATCTTAAATAGAAAACAAGATTGAAGGTGAGAAAATTTATTAGGACTTCTAAAAGTGTGACTGTCTCTTTAAGAAGTGAGCTGCAGAGGGAATTCTGGGAAAAGGAAGGAAAATGCAAAGCAAGAGCAACTTATTTTTGTTTGGTTATTTCTGCTGATTTTGACTGGAATGAATCCTCTCAAAGGGCCCTTGGAAAACTGCCCAACCTGCTCTTGGCGGGTAAATGGTTTTTATGTCAGTCACTCTGGTCTGGAGAGAAACTCCTGCTGGGCCTGAGAGGCAGATTTAGTCTCCTCAGGAGATACTGAAGTGGGTTTTATATCCCCCCAGACAAAAGAAAGGGAGGAGGGTCTCTCCAGAGAACGAGGCTCCTGAGAACGTGTAGAGTTCGGCTCCTGAGTCAGCGTCAGAAAAAGACACACGTCCCCCTTCATAGTCCAGAGTCACCCGGATCCTCCTGGGCTCCTCACTCAGGGACAGAGGAGAGGAAACAGGGGAGGTGCAGGCAAAGTAGCCCCCTCCCCACTTCCCCACAGCCCAGATCCCCCACTCAGGGCTTAAGTCAAAGATGCCCTTTCTCTCCACAGACTTCCTGGCGACCCCCAGAGCCCACCATTCCCCACTTTCCACAGTGACTTCCCAGAAATGGCTGCCTGCTGTGAATCCCTCACGTCCCAACACACAAGGCCGGTCACTGAATCTCTCAGGATTGTCAGGCAGGGCTTGAGGTTTGTCTCCCCTTCTCACGCTTTTCCCATCCTCGGACAGGATGAGTTCAGGATGGGCTGTGTCTGGATCCAGAGTGACATTTGCTGTTGGGAAGAAGATGAGGGAAAGAGAAGAATATGCAGAGTCAGCTGAGAGACAGAAATGGACATACTGATAATAATAATAAAACCCCCCGAAAACCCCAGGTTCCCTTTCAGATCAAGGGGATTTCTTTGCATCGCATGCTAGACTGAGACCCCTGACTCTCATCAGAATAAATATCTTCCTTCTTGTTTTTTAAATCAGTTCCCTTCACTTTCTTATATCCGATGTGTATTATTCCTGCCCTTCTCTCATCCCAGGCATTTTCTAGGAGGAAAAACCACCCATTAAACCTTTTACTCAGCTCTTCTGTGTTATCTAAGGGGAAAGAGAGGAGAATTGGAGGAGGCAGGAGAGAGAGAAGCTGCTTTCCTCTGACAATCTCTGTGGGAATTGGCCTTTGGGGACCTCTGGTTGGGCTGGGGGAGGAGGACCCCCCTCTTCTAACAACAACAGCAACAACAAATTATATTTGCCTACTGCCCTTCATCTACAGGTCTCAGGGTGGTTCACAGCATAAAAATACAACATAAAACCACATATAGGCCTCCCCTCACTTTCACGGGGGTCACGTTCTGGGCCCTCGTGCCCACAAGTCAAAATCGCATTAAGTGGGGAGCCTGTTTATTCCAGCTCTCCATCTCTCTCACCCACTTGGTCTCTCCTTGCCTTCCTCCCCACCATCTTGGAAGTTTAGGCCTTGCCGCCAGGGAAGAGGAGGCAGGTGGCAGGGCAATTTTACAAAGGACTGCTTATTCCATGCTTCTCTTTTGGATGTAACATATACCATAAGACTAGTTCCCTGGGAGGAGGAGGAATAACTCAAAAAGTTACCAGTTAGGGGCTTAGACATTCATGGCAGGCAAGTGTAGAGTTGCTGTATTTCGAAGAGCAAAAAGAGGACACATTTGCCAACTTCTACTCTTAACCATGGATCGCTATGACAACACTCATTTTAAATACCCCTACTCTATGTAGGCTTTCAAAGCTGTGATATACTGCTAGTAGCAATGTTCTTAACTTTCAACAACCAAATAATAATAATAATAATAATAATAATAATAATTGCTCCCTCACTTGCCACTTTAAAGTATTTGGGCTCGTGTTCACATCTTTGTGAATGCAAGTGTGCACAGAACAATTTATTAAACTGTTAAACATGTACATATGGACTCTCCTTAAGGGCAGGGGGGTGTTAACTCTCGCCCTCCCAGATTCCTCCTCCAAGATCTTGTAGCTGAGCCAGCGTCCTTTTAGTTCAGCCACAAGAGAAGGGTTTTATGCAGGATGTGGCTAGCTTAAGATGCTGCTCTGTTGCGATTCTTTGCTCTAGGCTAGCTTAGCTGGGTGCCTTAGATCTGAATCTAATGCACTAGAATTTTTTTTCATGGGTTACTGTAAACCAAACCAAGCAACTTGAGACATTTTGCCAAATTTTAAAAATCCGCCCAGGGGAGAAATTTTAACCATGAAAATAGAGGACCTGTCTGAGAAAAAGGTCACATGGAAAAGCAACCCAACTCTCTCTAGGCAGGAATGAAACTCTTCCCTCTTTTATCTGATCCTTCTGGGCAGTTTCTCTCCCCCCCCCCCTTCTGCACCTTCAAGTCCACCCTCTCTGCCTTTGTGGTACAAACAGCAGGGGGAGAGTCAAGCTGTACAAAAGAGACTCTTGACCCCCATGAAACACTAGTCCCCCTCCTGTGAATTGGGGTCTTCATGTGAAATTTACCTTTCTGAAGATTTCTGAATGACTGAACATCTGAGGAAGCAAAAAGACAGGCTTAACAGGCAACAATGCAGTAGCTTAAAAAGAAATCTTTTTTTACAAAACATCATCAAATCATAGCATCTGTTGTTTCCTTATTTCAAGCAAAAGATGAAATCATGCAAAGACAACAACTGTAGGACTAAGTAGTGATGTTAATTATTCTCCAAAATATAATTCTTGAGAATGTAATATCACTAGGCCTAAGGAATTAAAACAACTAACGAGTTTAGCTGTGATTCCCGCATTGCAGGGGACTGGACTAGATAATCCTTGGGATCCTTTCAGACTCTGCTATTCCATGATTTCATGGGAAAATCATAAATGGTAAACCATACTAGAAAATGGGGGAATACAATCATTCAAAATCCACAAATGAAATGGGGATCTGAACTGGATGGATGAAGAAAGGTTTAACATCTGCCCCAAGTAAACTGGTGGGGAAAAGCTGTTGAAACTGGAATTTCCAATTATGCTGACAAACCAAATTGCAAAGGAAAAATTGGCAGAGCTTTTCACTGTAATTCCAAGGGTCTTGTGCAATGGGAAGTCCTCTCTCATAGAATGGGGCTGATCTCCTAAGAACTGGGGGAACTCTGAGGAGATGGGGATGGCTGAAGCACGAGAAATGGCTGGTGAGGTTGAAACTCTGAGGAAGAGGCGGCTCAGGCCTTGCTCTGCTGCTGGGAGACCAGCCTGGGCAGGAGGTGGAGGAGGGACTGTGTGCTTGCGGGTGCCCCTTTTAACACACTTCACGAGGGGGAAATCCAAGCAAATCAAGAGAAGCCCCAAAAGAACATCCTCAGATTGTGTGGAGGGATAACAAAATGCAAGGAAGATTCCTTATACATGAGAACTCAACAAGATGGACATTGAACTGACCCTGCAGGATGCTCCTTAAGGGCTTTTGTAAGATATTGTAAGGCTCTGAGGCTTTTCCCTACAAACAAGCAGTATATAGATTTTAAGAAAGAAAGCAAAATCTATAAAATTAAGGGAGAAACCAGGATAATAGTCTATAGGCAGGAAAGGAACTGGCGACTGGTGTGCAGGTTCTTCGCAGGGACAAGCTCTGCCCCCAAGCCAAGTCTTCAAACCCCTCCCAGTTCATTCATGGGACAGACAATGTACCCAAACGCCAGTAGAGGACTGTTTCCCAGAGTGACGCCATTGATGGGGGTCCCAAAGTCTGCAGAACAGACGGTTCAACACTCATGAAATATCAGTCCCCATCCCTCTTGTGAAATTGTTCCTCCCCTGGAAATTTACCTTTCTGAATCGGTTTTCTGTATAAAAGAGCATCTGAGGAAGCAGAAAGATATAAAGTGTAAGGGCAACACTCTTCCACCAGAAATAAATATCCATACAAAAGTAACACTTCATAACGTGGCATCCTTAAATTCAAGTACAATTATTAAATATTAATTAAACTGTGCAAAAAAATAGTTAAAAACAAGAAAATCATAGGAAGAATCTATGAAAATAACTAAAGCTTTAAAACTCAGTAATCATAAAGCAAGCTTACAATTAAGAGAATAAAAAAATTCAGCATGAATTTTGCTGGTCTCTGAACTTTGTCCCTAAATTGGGCTCTACGTTGGAGGACTGGAGGGGAGGCAGGGCAATAGGAATCCCGTAAAAGGAGGCAGAGGGGAGATGGAGGCAGCCTTAACATCTTCCCCAAGTAAAGTGGTGGGGGGAATCATTAAAGCCAAAATTGTGAAACATAAGGAGAAGGAAAGTTTGATGAGGGAGGATTGGCAGAGCTCTCAGGCAAAAGGAAACCCTTCCTCACAAACCTTCTACAAATCTTTAAGGTTGTTAACAAGCATAATTGTGCCCTTTGGGGCTCATGTGCTCTTGCTTCCACTCTCAATGGGGGAACTCTCAGGAGATCTTGAAGGCTGAAGCCCTAGATATGGCAGCTGCAGGGGGACGTCTGAGGAGGAGACGGTTCAGGCCTTGGCTCCAGGGCTGAGAAAGAAGCCTGAGCAGGAGGCAGAGGGGGAACTGGGGGCTTCTTAATACCCTTTGACCCCATTCAGAGCAGGAGAACCTCCAAAAGGACAAACTCAGATTGTGCAGACAGGGATCCACAAGGAAAAGGAGGCTTCGTATAACTGTAAACAGATGCACATGGGAGGAAAAAATCCTGACTTTGCTCTACACTCTGGTTCAGGCTTTCTTTACAGGATCCAGCGTCATAATATACATGGGCCATTCTGGAGAACAGGAAATGAAGGCTGGGGCACCAAGAAGGAAGGTAACCTGGGATTGCTCAATTCCATGCAATAAGAGCCTGGTATGTTCAGTTCTGAAGAAGAAACAGAATTCCCAGGGTGAAATCCTGGCAGCCAGTTTTCATTACCTTTAAATTGTTTCATTGCATCCTCCACAAAATCACAGGATTCCAAGATCCTGTTCCTCAGCTCTGGAGGGAAAGCCAGTGGCTTCTCTGGACTCTCTCTTTCCTCATACCTGGTGAAAAGAAAAACAGTTAATGGCCCCATTTTGGCCCCATCTCCCTGATTATTGCAGGAGATCTCAATAACATGAACAAAGTTGAAGTTCATTTTGCAACAGGTAATTTTCAGGGTTCAGCTTCATCTCTTGACACCCACCTCCAAGCCCTGGTCAGTGGCTTCATAAGGATGCAAAACAGCACGAGAGACAAGATGTAACCCCAAGCGACACCACCGGAGGACTCCCATGGCTTCAAACTATGCTGCCCCAAACAACTTTCTGGGAAGGTCCCAGGACTTAAGAACCAAACCCCTGAGGTGGAATGCCTGCAACCCCTCCCTCCCTGAGCTTCTCCAGAGGATGTGAGTGATGTCCAAAGCTGCCAAGTGGTCAAGGAAAACAACCTCCACCCTCCCTTCACCCCCTCTCTCACCCAGGAAGGGCACAACCCCATGCCCCATTGGACTCTCCCTCCAGAGGCAGGAAACAACCGGACTTTCACCCCCCCCACTCAAGACCACCTTCAGCCTCTCACGGTGGAAATGCTCCCCCAAAAAAGAACCCACCCATTCTAGCCCTACAGACCTTCCCTCTCTCTGTGCCTCAAAGGGGCTGAGTTACCAGAGTTGAGGGGCTTCTAGTTGGACATTGAAATCTGTTGGTACATCCTAAGGTCTTCTGAAGCATCTTTGGCACTTTCTCTTCTAGATGTTTGAAATTACCACAAAGTCCATGAATGTGCAAGAAAGTGCAAGAGAAAGAAAAGAGCGCCTATCCCTTTGTGAAGTGATGTGGGAAGGGAGGGAGGAGGCAGTTGACCTTGAACCTTAGAGAGAGAATTGGGGGGCTACAAGTTCAGAAGAGGGGGCTCTACTTTTACCTGTGAGGTGCTGCAGGGAGTGAGTCCTACAGTCTCCCCCCTGCAGCCCCTGGAGGGCCATGTCTGAGGTTCTGGCATCTCAGCTTCAAAGAGTGATGCTAATGGAAATGAGCCAGATCCACTTACCTCTGCAAGGTCCTTCTCACATCCTAGAGGGGAAAGGAGAAGGGAATTCACTGCACACCACAGGCCACACTAGGAAGACCCCCTCAGACCCTGGCCCTCAGATGTCAGTCTGCCTGGCACATGCCAAGGTTTTGGGTAGGAATGGCTGAATCAGCCAGTTTTGGTTTCTCGCAGCTTTTATTTTCCCAGTCTGAAATTATTAATTGTTCTGAGATTTCAAGTTCTCCACATTTCCATATTTTAAAAACTTTAATCCAGTTTGCATTGTGCTATTCAGACAAACGTAAGCCTACAGGATAATCCTGCCAGGGCACCGTCCCAGTCCCCAAATGTCAAATTCTATTTTCCTTCTGGAAATAAAAAACACCTGCAGCATAAAATGTCTCCAAAGGGGTAATAAAACAACTCCGTGTTTCTTTGGGCTCATCCACACTTCTCCCTTTCCTGTGCCCAGAAAACACGAGTCCAAGTGGTTTTATCTTTGCCCTGCCGCTTTCCCTCAGGAAAAACCTGCTCCTTAGAGCAACATCAAAGCAAACGTCAATCTGGATAAAACCTGGCTGAGGTTTGCTCTAATTCAGCAGTAAAGAGCGGGTTTTCCTGGAGGAAAGGGGTGGGACAAGCAGCAGTCTGGATGAGTCCCTCTGTCTTGCTCTTTGGTCACTGTGACTGAGCACCATTTTGGGCCCATCTGTGTCCATGGGGAAGGGGATCAACCCAGAAGTTGTGGAGGAAACGGGAAGAGAAGCTTGTTCAAGAGACTGGCTCATGTCGGAAGGAGGCCTGAACGCATCCCAGACGAAGCCCCCCACAGCTGAAAGGCATTCGGAGACAAAGCATCAGCAAAGAGCAGAAGATCAGCTCCTGTTCCATCAAGAACACAGACGAATCTCTAGTCTGCATTCAGGTGAGTTAAGCATCCCAGGTCTCTTTGGTTTTCCTGTCCATTACAAACCTGACTAGAGGCTCCATCAACTCAGCCCCTACACTATTTGCATGCATGAAAGGGGCAGCCTTTTCCTAGAGCCCAACCTTGGGCTGTTCCTGCCACCATCTTACCTGCAGGAGTTCACTCGCTGGCTGCTGACTCTTCTCCTCCATCTCCTGGATGATCCTCTCAAGAGAGGAGAGTTTCCTGGAGAGTCTGGCCAGCTGCTCATCCCTTCTCCCTGCAATCTCCTTCTCCACCTCTTCCACACGAGTCAGCAAACGTTTTTTTTGTTCTTCCAGGAACTGGCGCAGTTCTCTGAACTTCTCCACAGTCTTCAGCCTCTCCGTTTCTGTTAATTTCTGCAAGAAAAGAGGAGGTCAGAGTGTGGAAGGTGGTCAGCCTTCAAAACACCAGGAAGAGAATTGTGAGAATTCCACAGGGAGGACACTTCTGATTTTTCAGAGACATGAAATCTTCAGTGGCTAAAGAAGTAAGCCTTTATTTTGAGGGGAGGCCCTCTCCATTGCTGTTTCTGTTGACTTCGAATTTGGAGAGGGCTACAGCCTAAAGGAAGGAGCATTTGTTTTCTAGCCATGGATATGTGGGATGTAAAAACGTATTGCAGTCAGATACAACAGTCCTACAATGCACATGCTGGGGAATGCTTTGTATCACTCAGGAGAAAACTTGCTAGTTCCTCCTGAGCTGAGACAGACTTCCTTTGCATGTGAGTGAATGTGAGTGTGGCCTGTTCTTGGGAGAGGAGCACACGGCCTCCATGTTCTGCTCTGTGTCTTCTCCATTGTGTGTTCCTAGGAGTTAGGAGAAGTGACTGCTCAGTCGCAGTCACTTGATACTATTTCCATTATGGGATAATTCACAAAGTTATATGTTGTTCTGTAAATTAAGTCTGCCTTCAGGAATCTCATTGTGAACTGGATGATTGTGAGTAAACTAGTTTTCTGTTAACTTTAATCAGATGGTCATGTCTATTCTTTTAGGAGGGATATAAAATAGGGAAACCAGGAATCCTAAATAGTGAGGCTCAGATGAGCCTGCAACTAGCTAACCGCTGTGTAATTTAAAAGGGGGATTGTTTATCATAGAATCATAGCGTTGGAAGAGACCACAAGGGCCATCGAGTCCAACCCCCTGCCAAGCAGGAAACACCATCAGAGCACTCCTGACATATGGTTGTCAAGCCTCTGCTTAAAGACCTCCAAAGAAGGAGACTCCACCACACTCCTTGGCAGCAAATTCCACTGTCGAACAGCTCTTACTGTCAGGAAGTTCTTCCAGAGTTTAACAACTCTGCTAAGTTATAAAACTTGCCAGCGAAAGTTATGGATATAATAAAATAATATATCTTCTCCTGCCTCCCTAAACATCCCCACAGGATATTCCCTGCATGTTTTGGGGAATGGCATAACCAGAGTTCATAGCTGTCCAGAGAACGTCTGTGGACATAAAACACCCTCAGTTTAGACTGGGACCATGGAGGTGTAGGAAGGCAACAGAAACAGAGGAGGATGAAGAGAAAGTGCAGAGTTTATCCCCGTAGCTCCCTGAATTTCCTAAAGATGAACAAGAGCGCACATTTAGAAAGACAATTCTTTAGTAATATTGATGGTAAATCAGGATTTGAACTGAACTACTTCCACCCTCTCAGCTCACAAGTCCTCAGGCTCCTCCTTCAGTGCTATTCATATAATAAACAACAATGGAAAATAAACTCAAATTAGCTGCATTCAAAAGTGAATTTGCCTAATTTACTATTGCTGAAAAAATATGGAGAATGAAACAGAGCAATCTTTTGAAATTCACACCTCTGAATTTTTCAAGGTTGAACAAGCCAGGTAATGTTCACAAAAAATGTATTTATGAGGGTAAAGTACATTTCAAAATATTTATACAAGGAGGTAGCCACCCTAACATCTGATTCATTTTCAGAATAATAAATGAATAAACAAACTGATATGGAAAAAGGAGAAATGGGGAGAAGCTGAAATGGGCAGATTTCCCCATCCCTCCTCCATCCTGACTCGACTCTTCAAGTGATTGTTCCCTCACTAGTAACAAGAGTGGCACTTACCAGGAGGTCTTTGCTTTCCTTGTCCAGGGCTGCTTGATGGGCCAGAATTTCCTCTCTCTCTTTCCTCAGAATCTCCAGGCGGCGACAGATCTCTTCCTAAAGAGAAAAGGAAAAAGTCAGGTCTGATTGAGACACACAGAGAGGAGGTGAATAGTGTGCTGGCTTCTTGCGCCCAGTGGTCTTGCTATAATAGCAGAGTAGTTTTTTTTGAGGAAATAAAAGTCCAGAGGTTTTCAACCTTTTTGGGTCCATGACTCCCTGGACCAGCTACCTTTTTTCTGTGCCAGCCCTGTGGGGCTCAGGGACCCAGTTAGGTCACCCCTTGCTTACAGACTTCTACCTAGTCTTTGCAGATGCTACTCAGGGATATCAAGGGAGCTCCCTTTGTCCCCCTGGAAGAGAAAAAGACTTCAACTCCCTCCTCCCAGCCATGCCAGGAGCCCTCAGGCTCCCCCTGGGCTGCTTTTTACATAATAAACAACCACCAATTCATGCCATGCCTACTTTGGACCTGAGAATTAAAAAGAAAACCTCCCAAGAAGAATCCACAGCTATTTCTCCCCCTCAAGATCCAGGGATCTCCTACCTTGTACTTCTCGGAAGCCTCCTCCAGAGGAATCACCTCGTGGTGTCTGTGCTCCTTGGATCTGTCACAAACCACACAGATGGGGGCTTCATCCTCTTTGCAGAAGAGCTTCAGGGGCTCCTGGTGATCCTTGCAGACTCCTCCTTTTCCTCCTTCCTCCTTTCCCTCTTGAAGGCTGAGATTCTTCGCTATTTCTGCCACATTAGCCAGTTGCCGGTTGGGGATGAGGCTCCTTCTCTGGACTCTTTCTCTGCACTGAGGGCAGGAAGCCTCTGCCTCTGATTCCCCCCAGCACTGGATCAAGCAGGATCGGCAGAAGTTGTGCCCACACTCTGGGATGATCACTGGATCCTTAAAATATTCCAGGCAGATGGAGCAAGTGGCTTCATCGCAAAGATTCTTGACGTGAAGTCCAGAAGCAGCCATGGCTCCCTTGCACAGAAGATCCGAGTTAAGTTTCACTTTCTCAGTTTTCAGCTACTGGCAGTTTCCCTTCCTGGAAATGACTCAGAAACTCAGTGACCACGTGATCTTTTTTTTTTTTTTTTTTTTTTGTCCCCAGGTCTTGGCAGTTGCTGAATGTTTATTCTTCCCATGCTTTTGATTACGCATACAAACACGCAGGTGCCTAGTAATTTGTGGTATTCATACTGTAACATTTTCATTCAAAGGCTTGCTTGTCATTTTTGAATTGGAGAACATCTGCTGCCGCCCTAAATGGACGGCAAATTTTGATTTAGCAAGTGGGACTTGATTCTGTGAAGATAACTCTGTTATAAGAATTTCAAGGTCTTATATATCTAAAATAAATGTTCATAAATGTACCAAGCAAACACATACATAAATGTATAAACCACATGTCTGAAACCCCACAGAAAAAGTCCTGAAACCATTTTGTCTCTCCCAAATGACCTCAAATATTTCTCTGCAAGGTCGAAAGAAATGGGGAACCTCCCCATTGTCTCTTTGCTCACTAATCCTGTCTCAAGGGCACATTTAAGATGTGAATAGGGTGAGCCTGTGACCTGGATTCAGGAGAGTAGTTATCATAACAAAAGAGCAGCCAGGATGCCCAGGTAATCCAATCAGGTAACCTGGCAGACAGGGTAAAAACAATGCACTCAGATTTATTGTGTAGTCCGCCCCTTCTCTGATGTTTCTGGGGGGGGGGTGGTCTAGGGCTACAGGGTGGGCAATTTCAAAGTCTATATAAGGGCGGGCACACCTTTGTCCGGGTCCTCCTCCGTCCTCCTGCCTGTGAGGGGAGCACCCTGTTGCAACAGCTTTAATAAAGATCAGGCTTATAGCCACTTTGCTTTCATATATCCTGGTCTGGTCTCTGTTCATTTCCCGGCCAGTTTGAGCCTTAAAGGTACGCTCTCTCCGAAGGTCCAGTCTTCCTTAAGAAGGTGAACCCCTTGAAGGCACCTCTCAATATTCTTATTTCCTTAATTACACATTTACGGTATTCAAAAGCCAATTGAAACGATCCTAGTTTAATGAGTGCAACAAAACAGATGAACTTGTTCCAGTGATGCCAGCTTTTCCAAGTCTGGTAGTCATTTCCACCACCAGCTCCCTGCTGCCTCTTAGCGCCCCCCCCCCCATGTCATGCCCCCTCCCCTTTCCCAGGGGGCAACACTGCCCACTTTGAGAAGCACTGCTTACAACACTAGCATGAGCACTTCAAATTAACCCCAGAAACAACCCGGCAGCCAAGGCAGCTGTTTTAGGGGTTCTGTGAGTACCAGCGGCAACCCTACCCAGGGATCTGGCTGATAGTCGTCTCCGAGGGCACAGCACACGGCAACAACCCAATCTGGAAGTCCCTGGAGAAACTGGATCAAGCGCTCTGACCTGCCACTTCCACGTCTCAGCTTTCAGGAAATCCCGCCAGGGCCACGGCTTGGGCGCAGCTCCCTGGCCCCTCTTCCCTGACCCAGCCCTGCAGCTCGTGAGGAAGGATGGCGAGGAACTGCTCCAGGGTCAGCAGGTCCACAGTAGTGTTCTGAATAATGTTTTTTATAGGGTAGGGCAGGGGGCGCAGGAGCAATGCCCCCCCAAAAAAGTTTGGGATCCGCTGGAAGTATCTGGGCTACAAGAATCTGTGGCTCCCCCTGCCTGAATCTGTTCTGGGTTTCCCCCTGACCTTCCCTAGCAGATCTGGGTGGGCAGGAAGGGGAGGAAGGGGACAAAGTCTCCTTGTGCTAGTCCAGGGGCGCCGACTTATAAAAAATATTGGGGGGGTCCATACCGGGGTCCTGCCGCTGGTTCGCTCGGGTAGCCGGGAGAACGCAGTTCAAGGTGGCGGTGTTGGGGAGAGACCCTCGCTCAGGGCGCCACAAGACTTGGCGGCCGGCGGCCTATCTGGGGGGTTTTGGAGCGTATTTCGGCGGAGCGATTGGGGAGGAGGGGGCTTGTTGCCAGATTCTTCAGCTGGGCCGGAGATCCGCTGCTGGGGGTCCCTGGGCCGAGTTGTGAGCACGGCCTGCTGAAGGGAGATCCAGCCGATTGCGCGACGGGGACGGCCGGGGCTCTCCGGCTAGGGCGCGCGGCTGGCTGGCTGGCGAGGGAGCAGGTGGGGAGGAGGCGGGGGTCCTCACTCTCTTAGGAAATGCACCCGCGCGCCCGATTGCCACGAAGTCCGAAGGGTGCGTGTGTGGAATTAAAAAGCAAAAACGAGATACGGGCAGGGCAGGCAAAGAGTTTTCCACAAGAGGATGGAGGACAGCTTGAAGAGAAAATCACTCAGGATGAGACAGTCAAATCAGCCATGATAAAATGGGCTCAGGATATTGGGTATAACATCATGTTTGAGGACTGGGAAAGGTTATGGACCACCGGAATGAAATTCACGGCATGTAATGCCTTGAAGGAAAATATTATGAAAATGATTTATAGGTGGTACATGACCCCAGTCAAGCTTGCAAAAATATATCACCTGTCTGATAATAAATGTTGGAAATGTAAGGAGGCTGAAGGGACATTCTTTCACCTCTGGTGGACTTGTCCAAAAGTGAAGGCCTTCTGGGAAATGATCTATAATGAGTTAAAAAAGGTATTTAAGTATACCTTTCCCAAGAAACCAGAGGCCTTCCTCTTGGGCATTGTTGGCCAGAAAGTGTTAAAGAAGGATAGAACTTTCTTTATGTATGCAACTACAGCAGCAAGAATACTTATCGCAAAATATTGGAAGACACAAGATTTGCCCACACTGGAAGAGTGGCAGACGCAATTGATGGACTACATGGAACTGGCTGAAATGACTGGCAGAATCCGAGATTTGGGAGAAGAAACAACGGAAGAGGACTGGAAAAAATTTAAGGACTATTTACAAAAACAATATAAGTTGTATGAATGTTAAAAATTTACACGATTCGGAAACTATAGCTTCAGCAATTAGATTTGGGAAACAGGAAATTATATTTTAAGTAAGAAAAGGTCAAAATCTAAGGTAATACTATGTTTAATTTAAGATATAAGTAACTGATGAAAAGTATGTTAAATTTAGAGGTATAGTATTTGAAAAGTACAAAATAAGGTACGAAACAAGGTAATAATTTGCTGATATCTTTATTATAAAGAATGCAGGGTAAGGGAGATGCGAGGAAGTCCAGTTAGTTATATAAAAAATGTGTTGAATGGTTGGTTTTCTTTTCTTCTTTTTCTTTTTTTCTTTTTCTTGTTCTTTTACTTTTTTCTTCAGTGTATGTTTCTAACTTTGTATTTGAAAACTTAATAAAATATTTATATATAAAAAAAGGGAAAATCCTTTCGCTTTTCTGGGGCGCAGGAAAGTGTCAGAGCTGGAGGTTGGGGAAGGGACCCCCTTTGCTCTGCCCTCTTCTCCCATCTTAGATTCGCATGGGGGTCCCCGCCCGAGCTTGCCTGGCCACCGGGCCACACAAGGGCCGCGCTCTACGCGGCGCACCTTGCTAGCCGCGCAGCTGTCCTCCGCGGCTGCGGAGCGGCCCTGCGCCGGTGCCCAGCCCCTCTGGGCGCTGCTCAATGGGGTTGCCAAGGAGACAGGCCGGCCGCCCCCCTCCCCCGGCCCGGCGTCCCCCGGCCCGGCGCCCTATAAAAGCCGCAGACGCGCCAAGCGTCGACAGGCAGAGCCAGCGCGGCGGCGGCGCTCTGCTGGAGGGGCGCCCGAGATTATTGGGGGGGCTCTGCCCCCCCAAACAATTTTTTGAGGGGGCTCGGGCCCCCTCAGGCCCCATGGAGTCGGCGCCTATGTGCTAGTCCTAAACCTTGAGTTGGCGTACGCTTCATTGAATGCCACCCGAGATGTGTATCTGCTCCTGCTTGAAGCACCCCAGAACCCAGAAAATAAGTCCACAAAGGACCTGGCCAGCTCCCAGTCTTGACTGGTGGCATCTCTCAGGGGGTCTTGCAGCAGAGGACTTTTGGCATCATCTGCTACCAGGCTGCTTTTTAATTGTAGGTCTCAGGGATGGTGAGCGGGATCTTCATGCAATGCTTGTGCCCTGTCCCTGAGCCCGTCGTCTTCCTCTCTTCTGTCCCTCACAGCCAATGGAACAACGCTCCCAATTCACCCCTGTTCCTTGCTTCCTCCTGAGGGACTGGAAGTGGCCGAAGCTGGGCTGACTGAGGTAAGTGAAGGTTATCCTGAGGGAGGGCAAGGTTAGTGGCAGGCCTTGAGCAGGGCGAATGTAACACCGAGCTAAGGATCAGAGAGCACCTGAGCATGTGCAGAGTGCATATGCCACATCACTGAGCAACTTCCCAGCCCAGTTTAATTTGTCTCAACCGTTTCTATACCGCTTGATTGCCATTGTCTCTAAGCAGTGCACAAAGTATTCCGTACAATGAGAAAGAGTGGAAATTATTAAAAAAATTCCTGTGAGGTGGGCTAGACAGAGCCTGGGACTGGCTCAAGGTCACCAATGAGCTTCATGCCTGAGTGGGGATTTGAACCCTGGCCTCCCAGGTCCTGGTCCCACACTCTAACTCTAACCACTACACCACACTGCCTCTCAGCAGGTGCTTATGGATGGGACTGGGGACTCTGATTTTACCAGGCGTGGCATTGCGAAATCGGGAGTGGGAGTGTGTGTGGGGTCTTGGGCATCCATCTTTAAATGGCGTTTTCTGGAACAGCAGAACCTGAGTGGGGGATGTTTGGCTGTTTCAGGGCCCAGCGAGCGCCAAGGAGAAGGAGGGGCCTTTCTGCAAGGAGGAGGCATCCCTGACACAGCCAGGCCAGAGGACGATGCTCTGGCAAGTCAAAGAGGAGAACTGCGGCATTGTGGGCTCTCTGGGTAAGGAATAGCGTTTCCGAGGAGATAATCTATGGTCCTCCAGGTGGGGCTGAGCCACATCTCCCCTCAGCCCCAGCAAGCGTGGCCAAGGATGATGGGATTTGTAGTTCAGCAACATCTGAGGGTCCAAGGTTCCCCACAGCTGGCCTAGGGTTTCAGCCCTAACTAGGTCTACTCAGAAGTAAGTCCCAGGGGTGCTTACTCCCAGGTAAGTGGGGTGAGGATTGCAGCAAACCCCACAAACAGTTCAGGCTGCAATGCTAAGCGTGTTTCCGAGGGGTCGGCCCCACTGGGGAGACGGCAGCACTTTCTTTTCATACTCAACTCTACCAGGGCCCATTGGCTACGATTCAAGCATGTTTCCTCAGAGGCAAGTCTTGTGTGTTCAGTGAGTCTTACCCCCCAATAAACATGGTTTGGGAGTGCAGCTTAGGTTTCTTCCATTTGATATTAGAGGGATTTAAAAGATGCTTCATTTTGGCTAGGTTTTGTCCCATAAACAATAAAAATCTGTGTGTACTAAACAATTTAAATGCATTCTGCTGGCATATTGTTTATGAAAACCATCTGTTTATTTTTCTTTTTAATTATTATATTATATAAGGAGATAAAAATGCAACAACTTAGTCCATAAGTCTATACTCATCGAAAACCACAAACCAAAATAAGTATCCCTACTTCATGTCCCGTTCTGCATGTCAGTCAACTGAGAAATAAAGTTATAGCACAGCAGCATAGAACTGTTAATTTTTCTGTGGTTCTTTTCATATTTATCTCTTGCTTGTTTTGTCTTAAGAAGGGGGATGAAAATGTCAAAAAGGAATGTGTCCAGTGTCCAGAATAGACTAAATTCCAGGAATATTATTTGGATCCAGATTCTGCAAATAATAACCATTCTCTCTCTCTCTTCCCAACCCCAGAGGGGCTTCTGATTCCCAAACTGGACCTTTCCTTCCAAACGGAAAAGGGGGGGAAGATGTTCTTGCAGGAACCAGAGCCAGGTAAAGGAGGCTGCTGGGTGATGCTTGCAGTTTGAGAAGAGCTCTGGGTGCTGATGGCCCCTGACCTTCTTCAGCAGCTGCCGGGGGCCACTGTGCTATGGCAGGGGCCACAGCCGATACCTCCCCCTGACTGCTCCCCCCCCAGGCTAAAAAATACCTTTAAAGATTCAGGACTGACATGAGAAAGGACTTCTTCACAGGCTGCATCCTTAAACAGTGGGATTTGCTGCCACAAAAGATAACTGTGGCCACGAATTTGGCTGGCCTTAGGACAAGGTAATGGAGGATGACCCTGTTTCTCACCTGTGCGCTTGAGTGGGGGGGGGGGGAGATGCCTCTGAATGCCCATTGCTGAGAATCACAAGTGGGGAGGGTGTTGTCGGCCCCTGGAAGAAGAGGATGTTGGATTCCGTGGGCCTTTGGCCTGTTCCAGCAGAGCTCTCTTTCCATACTTATAACCCAAAGTTAGAGAGACTCCCTTCAGGAATCTGTGGCGGGAGTAGACAGTGATAATCAGGATCCCCTGATAACTGTCATTGTTCAGTGTGGAACGATTAAGTTCCCTGATAATGCAGCAGTTCACCCCCCCCCCCAAAAAAAAATTATTTGTGGAACAAACAGCCATGCTTGCTCACTTGGCCGAGTCATCAGGGGGTTGTGAAGAAGTGAGATTAATTGGGAGTCTAAGGTGTTTAGGGCTCGCAGGACAGTCATCCTTAGTATTGCCTCTCTCTCCAAAAAAAGAAGAAAAGTTTGGGGCATGTTAAATCTATGCCTAATTAAAAAAGAAGCGACTGTCGCTGTGGAGTCTGGATAAGGAGAGCTCTGGTGATCAGTCACATGTCACTCAGCAATGAAGAAGCCATGAAGGATTTGAAGTCTGCTTGCCAGTAATGTCTTATACAGCTTTGCTAGTTTAGTAGGGGTCAGATACCACTGGTACATCATTTTCATATAATTTTCTTTAAATGTGCAACATTCCATAAATTTTAAATAACCTTTCCCAATCTGCCACCTGAATATTATGTCCCAAATCCCTTGCCCAATGTATCATTACCAACTTGACCTATTGATCTTTTGTATGCCACTCTAAAAGCAAGCTATACATTTTAGATAATAATTTAACATTATTTTCTCACAAATCTTTTTGAAATCTTGATATTTCACAACTAAAACCTTTATTTTTAACTATCTTAAATATATCATTCATAAACAGGACTGTTCTTAAACCGAGGTACCACTGTATTCACTTTTTTTCTAAGATATTGCTTCTACAGGGGGTTCTACAGGGTGTTTTTTGCTGTAATAAGTTCTTGTATATTTCTCATACCATAAAGATTGATTTTCTTAGATCATTCTGAACACCTTTATGCACCTTAGCTTCTCATACCATAAGTATGCATGCCATCCAAATCTGTTGTCATGTCCTTCCAAATCTAGTAAATCTGCATTTTTCAATATTATCCATTCCGATAGCCAACAAAGCCAGGACACCTCATAATAAAATTTTAAATCTGGCAGGGCGAAGCCTCTTTCTTTAGCATCTGTTAGCAATTAATATTTTATTCTAGGTCTCTTCCTTTGCCAGAAATATCTTTTTGCCATTCATTGAGGCATCCTGTGTTGTTGATCACCAGGACGGACTGAAATAAAAATAACATTATTGGCATTAAATTCATTTTTATAACTGATATTCTTCCCCCAAAAGATAACTTCATCCTACCCAATATTTCTAAATTTCTCTAGAATCTCTTTCCAAGTATTTATATAATTGTCTGTGAGTATGTTAATATTTTTAGCTTTAAACCATACCCCCAAATATTTTCTTATGTATACCTATATCTATAAGCTGTTGTAGCTCCTTTTTATATTGTTCTGTCAGGTTTTTCACTAAGGTCTTAGTTTTATTTTTATTTAATTTAAAGCCTACTACTTGTCCAAATTCTTGGATCCTCTCCAGAACCTTTGGTAAACTATTCTTTGGATCTTCTACAGTAATCACGAGGTCTCGTCCTGCTTGAAGGTTTTCCACAGGCGTCTTTGTGCCCTTCTTGGGCGCTGGAGCTAATGGACCACTTTTGTGTCCTTCAACCTATGATGACACACAAACGTCGCCAACATCATATAGGGGAGGGAGCAAGGGGAGGCAGCCCTCTGACAGGTGGAGGGGAAAGTGTCTTTATTCTGACATGTGACACCACCCCGTGGAATGCCCTCCCATCAGATGTCAACGAAATAAGCAACTATCTGACTTTTAGAAGACATCTGAAGGCAGCCCTATGTGGGGAAGTTTTTTATGGTTGAAGTTTTATTGCTCTGTAATTATTATTAATAATATTCTGTTGGGAGCTGCCCAGAGTGGGTATGTTATGTACTGAGTTGAATAGGATCCAAAAGGCAGCAGTCTGATTGGTCCTAAAACAAGAGGGTCCAGAATGAAGCAGTCTGATTGGTCCTAGAACAATAGGGTCCAGAATGCAACAGAATGATTGGTCCACAGGAGCCACCCAATCCAGCTCCAGGTGGATGTGAATCTGCAACCTGATTGGCCTACGGGAGAATCCCTGAATTAGCCAATCACGTGTGGCCCATTGTGTAAATAATGTATATAAAGTAGACATTCTGGGGGAACTTCCATTCCTCCTCACCAACTATGAGCTGAATACATAGCATGAAATCCACTCTCAACTCCGAGTATATTTCAGGGGTGTTGTCCACTCTAGGCAAAGTGGCCACTCCAGTCAGCTTCTCCCTGGGGTTCCCAACGTGGCCTTTGGCCCCTCCCATTTGTAATGAGGGCTGCTTTTTTGACCAAGGATGGTGTGGAAGGGGCTGCGTGGTGTTGCCTGTCAGCAGTGGGGGTGGGCATCGGGCCAGACCCCCAACTCAGGGTGCCCGGGGCAAGGGGTGTGTGCCACCGCCAAGGAGCAGGGGAAGGTGCTGGAGGGGACCGAGGGATAAAACCAAGCCGAAGGTGGAGAGGATTACGGCTTATCTGCTCCCCCTGCCAAAAATATTTTTATTCAAGTTGACACCCATGCTTGTAAAGATTGGTTTGCTGGAGGCTGCTGGGGGGGCAAGGCTGCTTTTGCTCTCTGGTCCTCCTTGCAGGTTTTGCAAAGGCGTCTGGGTGGCCCCTCTTGGGCGCTGGACCAAATGGGCCACTTTTGTGTCCTTCCACGGGGTGAGTGGAGGCTCACAGGGAACCTATGATGACACACAAACGAGGCCAACATCATGTAGGGGATGGAGGAAGGGGAGGTGGCGCTCAGGCAGGTGGGGGAGGGAAGTGTCTTTATTCCATCATGTGCCACCACCCTGTGGGAAATGCAGGGAAAGGTGAGCAGGCTGCACCGGTCAGTAGTCAGTGGCCCTGATAGTGGAGCCAGAGTGAGTCCTGCCTGATCTTTGAGAGGGGTCAATTCCACAGGCATGTGTTGTGCCAGCTGTTAGTATCCCAGAATAGAAATCAGATGCACCTGGTGCTGAAAAGACACTCCTTGGGGGGAGCACTGTGTATTTGGGGTGGAGCTGAGGAACACAGGGACGATGTCCTGCGTAATGTATGGGGCAGTACAGGCCATGGGGCCCCTTCCGGAAGCTGCCAGACTGCAGCTCCCACCCTCTCTGTCCCCTGGCCATGCTGGATGGGTCAGAGGGGAGTTGGAGTCCAGCATTATCCAGAGGACACCCCATTTGATGCCCCCGATAGATAAATAAGGAACATTAATGCATCCACTCGAAACACATTTAACTGAGCAGAAGCCCCACTCAATGCAATTCTGCCTGACGTGGGTGAAGGGGTTTATTTTTGAGTCCTCTATTAATCCAATGATGATGCATGCATTTTCACAGCTGCATAAGGTCTTGTGGGGAGAGGAGGGTTTCCTAGAATTACAGAGTTGTGAGGGACCCTGAGGGTCATCTATTCCCACCCCTGCAGTGCAGGAAACATTTGCCCAACGTGGGGCTCAGACCCACAACCCTGGGACTAAGAGTCTCATGCTCTGCCAAATCAGACATCTCAAAAGGAAAACAAGATTGAAGGTGAGAAAATTTATTAGGACTCCTAAAAGTGTGACTGTCTCTTTAAGAAGTAAGCTGCAGAGGGAATTCTGGGGAAAGGAAGGAAAATGCAAAGCAAGAGCAACCCATTTTTGTTCTGTTATTTCTGCTGATTTTGACTGGAATGAATCCTCTCAAAGGGCCCTTGGGAAACTGCCCAACCTGCTCTTGGCGGGTAAATGGTTTTTATGTCAGTCACTCTGGTCTGGAGAGAAACTTCTGCTGGGCCTGAGAGGCAGATTTAGTCTCCTCAGGAGATAATGAGGTGGGTTTCATAATTTTCCCACAGAAGGAAGAAAGGGAGGAGGGTCTCTCCAGAGAACGAGGCTCCTGAGAACGTGTAGAGTTCGGCTCCTGAGTCAGCGCCAGAAAAAGACACACGTCCCCCTTCATGGTCCAGAGTCACCCGGATCCTCCTGGGCTCCCAAAACAGGGACAGAGGAGAGTCATCTGGGGAAGTGAAGGCCCAGTACTTCTCTCTCCACTTCCCCACAGCCCAGACCCCTCTCTCAGGAATGAAGTTGAAATAGCCCTTTCTCTCCACAGACTTCCTGGCGACCCCCAAAGCCCACAATTCCCTACTTTCCACAGTGACTTCCCAGAAATGTCTGTCTGCTGTGAATCCCTCACGTCCCAACACACAAGGCCGGTCACTGAATCTCTCAGGATTGTCAGGCAGGGCTTGAGGTTTGTCTCCCCTTCTCACACTTTTCCGATCCTCGGACAGGATGAGGCAGGGATGGGCTGTGTCTGGATCCAGAGTGACATTTGCTGTTGGGGAAAAGATGAGGGAAAGAGAAGAATATGCAGAGTCAGCTGAGAGACAGAAACGGACATCCTGATAAATAAATAAATAACACCCCAAAACCCCAGATTCCCTTTCAGATCAAGGGGATTTCTTTGCATCACATGCTAGACTGAGACTCCTCCTTGCAGACTCTCATCAGAATAAATATCTTCCTTGATGGTTTTTAAATTAGTTTCCTTCACTTTCTTATATCCAATATGTATTGTGCCTGCCCTTCTCTCATCCCAGGCATTTTCTAAGAGGAAAAACCACCCAGGAAACCTTTTACTCATCTCTTCTGTGTTATCTAAGGGGAAAGAGAGGAGAATTGGAGGAGACAGGAGAGGGGATTGGCCTTTGGGGAGCTCTGGGTTGGGATGGGATATGAGGACCCCCTGTAACAACAACAACAACAACAACAACAATAATAATTTTATATTTGCATACTGCCCTTTATCCATAGGTCTCAGGGTGGTTCACAGCATAAAAATACAACATTAAACCACATATAGGCCTCCCCTCACTTTCGTGGGGGTCACGTTCTGGCCCTCGTGCCTACAAGTGAAAATAGTGCTAAGTGGGGAGCCTGTTTATTCCTCCATCTCTCTCACCCACTTGGCCTGTCCTTGCCTTCCTCTCTACCATCTTGGAAGTTTAGGCCTTGCTGCCAGGTAAGAAAAGGCAGGTGGCAGGGCAATTTTACAAAGGACGGCTTATTCCATGCTTCTCTTTTGGATGTAATATATAACATAAGACTAGTTCTGTTATGTACTGAAGTTCTCACCCTGGGCCAGCAGGGGGATACTGTAGATAGTTATGTAAATGAAGGATCGAAAAGTGATGTTCAGTGATTGGATAGTTTTAGAAAATGGCAACAGTTACATTGTTCTGGAGCGCTATATAAGCAGGCTGACTGAGCTCCTCAGCTTAGTTCTGTTCCAGCTTACAAAATAAAGAGCTGCTTTGGAGAAATCGCTGTGTCGTCTGCTATGTCAACCCACAACTTAACAAGTTCCATGGAGGGAAGGGGGAATAACTCAAAAATTTACCAGTTAGGAGCTTAGACAGTCATGACAGGCAAGTGTTGGGTTGCCGTATTTTGAAGAGCAAAAAAGAGGACACATTTGCCAACTTCTACTCTTAACCATGGATCGCTATGACGACACTCATTTTAAATACCCCTGCTCTATGTAGGCTTTCGAAGCTGTGATATACTGCTAGTAGCAATGTTCTTAACTTTCAACAACCAAAGAATAATAATACCTATTGCTCCCTCGCTTGCCACATGGAAATATTTGGGCTCATGTTCCCATCTTTGTGAATGCAAGTGTGCACAGAACAATTTATTAAACTGTTAAACATGTACATATGGACTTTCCTTAAGGGCAGGGGGTTGTTAACTCTCGCCCTCCCGGACTCCTTCTCCAAGATCTTGTAGCTGAGCCAGCGTCCTTTTAGTTCAGCCACAAGAGAAGGGTTTTATACAGGACGTGGCTAGCTGAAGATGCTGCTCTGTTGTGATTCTCTGCTCTAGGCTAGCTTAGCTGGGTGCCTTAGATCTGAGTCCAATGCACTAGAAATTTTTTCACGGGTTACTGTAAACCAAACCAAACAACTTGAGACATTTTGCCAAATTTAAAAAATCCGCCCAGGGGAGAAATTTTAATCATGAAAATAGAGGACCTGTCTGAGAAAAAGCTCACATGGAAAAGCAACCCAACTCTCTCTAGGCAGGAATGAAACCCTTCCTTCCTCCAGCTGATCCTTCTGGGCAGTTTCTCCCCCTCCCCTTCTGCACCTTCAAGTCCACCCTCTCTGCCTTTGTGGTACAAACAGCAGGGGTGAGAGTCAGGCTGTACAGAAGAGACTCTTGGCCCCCATGAAACACTAGTCCCCCCTCCTGTGAATTGGGGTCTCCATGTGAAATTTACCTCTCTGAAGATTTCTGAATGACTGAACATCTGAGGAAGCAAAAAGACAGGCTTAACAGGCTACAATGCAGTAGCTAAAAAATAAATCTTTTTTTACAAAACATCACCAAATCATAGCATCTGTTGTTTCCTTATTTCAAGCAAAAGATGAAATCATGCAAAGACGACAACTGTAGGACTACTCTCCAAAATATTATTCTTGAGAATGTAATATCACTAGGCCTAAGGAATTAAAACAACTATCGTGTTTAGCTGTGATTCCCGCATTGCAGGGGACTGGACTAGATAATCCTTGGGATCCTTTCAAACTCTGCCATTCCATGATTTCATGGGAAAATTAGAAATGGTAAACCATACTAGAAAATGGGGGAATACAATCATTCAAAATCCACAAATGAAATGAAGCACAAGAAATGGCTGGTGAGGTTGAAACTCTGAGGAAGAGGCGGCTCAGGCCTTGCTCTGCTCTGGGAGACCAGCCTGGCAGGAGGTGGAGGAGGGACTGGGTGCTTGCGGGTGCCCTTTTTAACACACTTCACGAGGGGGAAATCCAAGCAAATCAAGAGAAGCCCCAAAATAACATCCTCAGATTGTGTGGAGGGATAACAAAATGCAAGGGAGATTCCTTATACACGAGAACTCAACAAGATGGACATTGGACTGACTCTGCAGGATCCTCCTTAAGGGCTTTTGTAATATATCGTAAGGCTCTGAGGCTTTTTCCTACCACAAAGCAGTATATACATTTTATGAAAGAAAGCAAAATCTATAAAATAAAAAACCAGGATAATAGTCTATAGGCAGGAAAGGAACAGACGACTGGTGTGCAGGTTCTTGGCAGGGACAAGCTCTGCCCCCAGGCCAAGCCTTCAACCTCCTGCCCAGTTCATTTATGGGACAGACAAAGAACCCAAACACCACTAGAGGACTGTTACCCAGAGTTACACCATTGATGGGGGTCCCAAAGTCTGCAGAGCAGATGGTTTAACACCCATGAAATATCAGTCCCCATCCCTCCTGTGAAATTGTTCCTCCCCTGGAAATTTACCTTTCTGAATCTGATCACTGAATAGCAGAGCATCTGAGGAAGCAAAAAAATATAAAGTGTAAGGGCAACACTCTTCCACCAGAAATAAATCTCCGTACAGCATGAATCCTGCTGGTCTCTGAACTTTGTCCCTGAAATTGGGCTCTACATTGGAGGACTGGAGGGGAGGCAGAGCAATAAGAATCCCGTAAAAGGAGGCAGAGGGGAGATGGAGGCAGCCTTAACATCTTCCCCAAATAAATGTGGTGGAGGGAATCATTAAAGCCAAAATTGTGAAACATAAGTAGAAGCAAAGGTTGCTGTGGAAGGATTGGCAGAGCTCTCAGGCAAAAGAAAGTCCTCCCTCACAAACCTTCTACAAATCTTTAAGGTTGTTAACAAGCATAATTGTTCCCTCTGGGGCTCATGTGCTCTTGCTTCCACTCTCAATGGGGGAACTCTCAGGAGATCTTGAAGGCTGAAGCCCTAGATATGGCAGCTGCAGGGGGACGTCTGAGGAGGAGGCGGCTCAGGCATTGGCTCCACGGCTGAGAAATAAGCCTGAGCAGGAGGCAGAGGGGGAACTGGGGGCTTCTTAATGCCCCTTGACTCCATTCAGAGCAGGAGAACCTCCAAAAGGACAAACTCAGATTGTCCAGACAGGGAACCACAAGGAAAAGGAGGTTTCGTATAACTAGGAGGAAAGAATCCTGACTTTGCTCTACACTCTGGTTCAGGCTTTCTTTACAGGATCCAGCGTCACAATATACATGGGCCATTCAGGGGAACAGGAAATGAAGGCTGGAGCAGGAAGAAGGAAGGTATCCTGGGGTTACTCAATTCCATGCAATAAGAGCCAGGCATGTTCACTTCTGAAGAAGTAATAGAATTCCCAGGGTGAAATCCTGGCAGCCAGTTTTCATTACCTTTCCATTGTTTCATTGTATTCTCCACAAGGTGATTTAGTTCACCGGATTCCAAGATCCTGTTCCTCAGCTATGGAGGGAAAGCTAGTGGCTTCTCTGGACTCTCTCTTTCCTCATACCTGGTGAAAAGAAAAACAACGAATGGCCCCATTGTGGCCCCATCTCCCTAATTATTGCAGGAGATCTCAGTAACATGAACAAAGTTGTAGTTCATCTCCCAACAGGTAATTTCAGGATTCAGCTTCATCTCTTGACACCCACCTCCAAGCCCCGGTCAGTGGCTTCGTAAGGATGCTAAACAGCACAAGGGACAAGATGTAACCCCAAGCGACACCACCGGAGAGCTTCCAATGATGCTATCCCGTAACAACTTTCTGGGAAGGTGCCAGGACTTAAGAACCAAACCCCTGAGGTGGAATGCCTGCACTCCCTCCCTCCCTCCCTGAGCTTCTCCAGAGGATGTGAGTGATGTCCAAAGCTGCCAAGTGGTCAAAGAGAACAACCTCCACCCTCCCTTCATCCCCTCTCTCACCCAGGAAGGGCACAACCCCATGTCCCATGGGACTCTCCCTCCAGAGGCAGGAAACAACTAGACTTTCACCCCCAACTCAAGACCACATTCAGCTTCTCAAGGTGGAAACGCTCCCAAGAAAAAGGACCCACCCATTCTAGACCAACAGACCTTCCCCCCCTAAGTGTGTCAAAGGAGCTGAGTTACAGGGGGTGGGGGTAGGCCAAGGCTTTGAAAACGGTATAAGTGCAATTTATTCAGAACAAAAGGCTAAATTAATTGTAAATAACGTGGTGACCGAAGAATTTAAGATAGAAAAAGGGACACGACAAGGTTGCCCAATCTCCCCATTGCTTTTCATATCGGTCCTGGAGGTCCTGCTGAATATGATTAGAAGGGACCAATTGGTTAAAGGGGTACAATTCGGAGCTAAACAGTACAAATTGAGAGCATTTGCAGATGACTTAGTATTGACATTACAGGAGCCAGAATCTAGTACTAAAAGGGTTTTGGAACTGATTCAAGAATTTGGTCAGGTTGCAGGATTTAAACTGAATAAGTTAAAAACAAAGGTCTTAGAGAAAAATTTAACACCGATTGAGAGAGAGAGGTTTCAGAACGAGACAGGTTTAACAGTGGTTAAGAAAGTGAAATACCTGGGGATTAACATGACAGCAAAAAATGGGAATCTATTCAAAGACAATTATGAAAAATGCTGGGCTGAAGTGAAAAAAGATTTAGAAATTTGGTCAAATTTGAAGCTTTCACTGCTAGGCCGTATTGCTGCGGTAAAAATGAATGCATTGCCTAGAATGTTGTTTCTGTTTCAAACATTGCAAATTTTGGACAAAATGGACTGTGGCAGAGCGATATCTCTAGATTTGTCTGGCAGGGCAAGAAGCCTAGAATAAAATTTAAAATACTAACGGATGCAAAGGAAAGAGGTGGATTTGCCCTGCCAGACCTTAAACTTTATTATGAATCAGCAGCTTTTTGCTGGTTGAAAGAATGGCTGCTTCTTGAGAACACAGACATTTTGGATTTAGAAGGTTTTAACAATGTATTTGGATGGCATGCATACTTGTGGTATGATAAGGTCAAAGCACATAAAGCATTTAAAAACCATATTGTCAGGAAAGCATTGTTTAATGTTTGGATAAGATATAAGGACCTACTGGAAAACAAAACCCCAAGGTGGCTGTTACTGATGGAAGCAAAAGCCCAGAAAAAACTCAATATGGAGGTCAAATGGCCGAAATATTGTGAAATTTTGGAACAAGAGGGAGATAGACTGAAATTGCAGAGTTTTGAGAAACTAAAAAACAAAGTGCGAGAATGGAGGCATACAATTTGGACAAGAAAATTGGCTTCCAGGTGGAAAAATCAAAATTAGAAACAGAATTGTTAGAACCCAAAACTAAGATTTTGTCAAAGATGTATAACTTGATGTTGAAATGGAATACTCAGGATGAAATGGTGAAATCTGTTATGATTAAATGGGCACAGGATGTTGGACATAACATAATGATGGCTGACTGGGAACAGTTATGGACCACAGGTATGAAGTTTATGGCATGTAATGCCTTAAGAGAGAATATTATGAAAATGATATACAGGTGGTACATGACACCAGTCAAGCTGGCAAAAATCTATCATTTGCCCGATAATAAATGTTGGAAATGTAAAGAAACTGAAGGTACATTTTTTCACCTTTGGTGGACGTGCCCAAGGATTAAGGATTTCTGGGAGATGATTTATAATGAAATGAAAAGGGTATTTAAATATACCTTTCTGAAGAAACCAGAGGCCTTTCTCCTGGGCATGGTCGGCCAAATGGTGCCAAAGAAGGACAGAACTTTCTTTATGTATGCCACAACAGCAGCAAGAATACTTACCTCAAAGTATTGGAAGACACAAGATCTACCCACTCTGGAAGAATGGCAGATGAAGGTGATGTACATGGAATTGGCGGAAATGACTGGCAGAATCCGAGACCAGGGAGAAGAGTCGGTGGAAGAAGATTGGAATAAATTTAAAGACTATTTACAGAAATACTGCAAAATTAATGAATGTTAGAATGATGTCAGAATGAAGTTAAGTGTTATAAGCAGCAATGTTATAAAGGTGTATGTAAAAATAGATTGTTAACAGGTGAAAATCCAAAGTTATGATATTTTAAGTTAAAGGTTTAAGACTAAAACAAAGAGGGAAAGGAATTGCTGAATTAACCAATAGAACTGGAATACAAAAAAGGGAGGTGTGAGAAGGTCAGGGAAGCAAGGAAATGAATGTAAGGTATGGAAAGATTGATGTGTTTTTTTAAGTGCTTTTTAATCTTTTTTCTGTATTTTGTATTTTTCTTTCATTTTTTTTCTTTCCCCCCCCCTTTTATTTATGTAATTTTTTCTTTGAAATCTTAATAAACATCATTTTTTTAAAAAAACAAAAGAGCTGAGTTACCAGAGTTGGGGGGCTTCTAGTTGGACATTGAAATATGTCCTAAACTCTTCCGAAGCATCTTTGGCACTTTCTCTTCTAGATGTTTGAAATTACCAAAAAGTCCATGGACAGAAAGTGCAAGAGAAAGAAAAAAGCCCCCATCCCTTTGTGAAGTGATGTGGGGAGGGAGGGAGGAGGCAGTTGACCATGAACCTTGGAGGGAGAATTGGAGGGCTACAAGTTCAGAAGAGGGGGCCCTGCTTTTACCTGTGAGGTGTTGCAGGGAGTGAGTCCCACAGTCTCCCCCCTGCAGCCCCTGGAGGGCCATGTCTGAGGTTCTTGCATCTCAGCTTCAAAGAGTGATGCTAATGGAAATGAGCCAGATCCACTTACCTCTGCAAGGTCCTTCTCACATCCTAGAGGGAAAAGGAAAAGGGAATTCACTGCACACCACAGGCCACACTAGGAAGACCCCCTCAGACCCTGGCCCTCGGAAGTCAGTCTGCCTGGCACATGCCAAGGTTTTGGGCAGGGATGGCGGAATCAGCCAGTTTGGGTTTCTCACAGGTTTTATTTTTCCAGTCTGAAATTATTAATTGTTCCGATTTCAAGTTCTCCACGTTTCCATATTTTAATAACTTTAATCCAGTTTGCATTGTGCTATTCAGACAAACATAAGCCTACAGGATAATCCTGCCAGGGCACCGTCCCAGTCCCCAAATTTCAAATTCTATTTTCCATCTGGAAATAAAAAAAGCACCTGCAGCATAAAATGTCTCCCAAGGGGTAATAAAACAGCTCAGTGTTTCTTTGGGCTCACCCACACTTCTCCCTTTCCTGTGCCCAGAAAACACGTGTCCAAGTGGTTTTGCCTTTGCCCTGCCGCTTTCCCTCAGGAAAAACCTGCTCCTTGGTGCAAAATCAAAGCAAACATCAATCCGGAGAAAACCTGGCTGAGGTTTGCTCTAATTCAGCAGTAAACAGTGGGTTTTCCTGGAGGAAAGGGGTGGGACAAGCAGCAGTCTGGATGAGTCCCTCTGTCTTGCTCTTTGGTCACTGTGACTGAGCACCATTTTGGGCCGATCTGTATCCATGGGGAAGGGGATCAACCCAGAAGTTGTGGAGGAAACGGGAAGAGAAGCTTGGTCAAGAGACCGGCTCATGTCGGAAGGAGGCCTGAACGCATCCCAGACAAAGCCCCCCACAGCTGAGAGGCGTTCGCAGACAAAGCATCAGCAAAGAGCAGAAGATCAGCTCCCGTTCCATCAAGAACACAGACGAATCTCTAGTCTCCATTCAGGTGAGTTAAGCATCCCAGGTCTCTTGGGTCTTCCTGTCCATTACAAACCTGTCTAGAGGCTCCATCAACTCAGCCCCTGCACTCCTTGCATACATGAAAGGGGCAGCCTTTTCCTGGAGCAGAGCCCTGGACTGTTCCTGCCACCATCTTACCTGCAGGAGTTCACTCACTGGCTGCTGACGCTTCTCCTCCATCTCCTGGATGATCCTCTCAAGAGAGGAGAGTTTCCTGGAGAGTCTGGCCAGCTGCTCATCCCTTCTCCCTGCAATCTCCTTCTCCACCTCTTCCACATGAGTCAGCAGGCGTTTTTCTTGTTCTTCCAGGAACTGGCGCAGTTCTCTGAACTTCTCCACAGTCTTCAGCCTCTCCGTTTCTGTTAATTTCTGCAAGAAAAGAGGAGGTTTGAGTGTGGAAGGTGCTCAGCCTTCAAAAAATCAGGAAGAGACTTGTGAGAATTCCACAGGGAGGACACTTCTGATTTTTCATAGACATGAAACCTCCAGTGGCAAAAGAAGTAAACCTTTATTTTGATTTCTAATTTGGAGAGGGCTACAGCCTAAAATAAGGAGCATTTGTTTTCTAGCCATGGATATGTGGGATGTAAAAACGTATTGCAGTCAAATACAACAGTCCTACAATGCACATGCTGAGGAATGCTTTGTATCACTCAGGAGAAAACTTGCTAGTTCCTCCTGAGCTGGGACAGACTTCCTTTGCATGTGACTTAATGTGAGTGTGGCCTGTTCTTGGGAGAGGAGCACACGGCCTCCATGTTCTGCTCTGTGTCTTCTCCATTGTGTGTTCCTAAGAGTTAGGAGAAGTGACTGCTCAGTCGCAGTCACTTGAGACTATTTCCCTTATGGGATAGTAAACATAGTTATATGTTGTTCTGTAAATTAAGTCTGCCTTCAGGAATCTCACTGTGAACTGGATGATTGTAAGTACCGTATTTTTCGCCCTATAGGACGCACCGTCCCATAAGGCGCACCTAGTTTTTTGGGGGGGAAATAAAGGAAAAAATTTATTTCCCCCCCCCCAGGTGCGGGGCTGGGGAGGCCCGAGCTTCCCCCGACCCCAGCCCCCAAACAGGCAGCTCTCTGCAAGCCGTGAGAGCCCAGCGCTGGCTTCCGCTACTTGCGGAGAGGTCCGCGAAGCCTGGACGCGCTGATCTCAGTGCGCGCAGGCTTCGGCATGCCAGTAATTCTCCGCAAGCAGCGGGAGCGCTCCCGCTACTTGCGGAGAGGTCTGTGAAGCCTGGACACGCTGATCCCAGCGCACGCAGGCTTCGGCATGCCGGCAACTCTCTGCAAGCAGCGGGAGCGCTCCTGCTGCTTGCGGAGAGGTCCGCGAAGCCTGGACGCGCTGATCCCAGCGTGCGCAGGCTTCGGCATGCCGGCAACTCTCTGCAAGCAGCGGGAGCGCTCCCGCTGCTTGCGAAGAGGTCCACGAAGCCTGGAGAGCGCGCACCGACCCCTCTCGCTCTCCAGGCTTCAGCGAAAGCCTGCATTCGCCCCATAAGACGCACACACATTTCCCCTTCATTTTTGGAGGGGAAAAAGTGTGTCCTATAGGGCAAAAAATACGGTAAACTAGTTTTATGTTAACTTTAATCAGATGGTCGTGTCTATTCTTTTAGGAGGGATATAAAATAAGGAAACCAGGAATCCTAAATAGTGAGGCTCAGATGAGCCTGCAACTAGCCAACCGCTGTGTAATTTAAAAGGGGGATTGTTTAACAACTCTGCTAAGTTATAAAACTTGCCGGCGAAAGTTATGGATATAATAAAGTAATATATCTTCTCCTGCCTCCCTAAATATCCCCACAGGATATTCCCGGCATGTTTTGGGGCATGGCATAACCAGAGTTCATAGCTGTCCAGAGAACATCCGCAGACATAAAACACCCTCAGTTTAGACTGGGACCATTGAGGTGTAGGAAGGCCACAGAAACAGAAGCGGATGAGGAGAAAGCGCAGAGTTTATCCCCATAGCTCCCTGAATTTCCTAAAGATGAACAATAGCGCACATTTAGAAAGAGAATTCTTTAGTAATATTTATGGCAAATCAGGATTTGGATTGACCTGCTTCCACCCTCTCAGCTCACAAGTTCTCAGGCTTCTCCTTCACTGCTATTCATGTAATAAACAACAATGGAAAATAAACTCAAATTAGCTGCATTCAAAAGTGAATTTGCCTAATTTACTATTGCTGAAAAAGTATGGAGAACGAAACTGAGCAATCCTTTGAAAATAAACACCTCTGAATTGTTCAAGGTAATGTTCACAAAAAATGTATTTATGAGGGTAAAGTATATATAAAAATATTTATACAAAGAAGTAGCTACCCTAACATCTGATTCATTTTCAGAATAATAAATGAATAAACAAACTGATATGGATAAATGAGAAATGGGGAGAAGCTCAAATGGGCAGATTCCCCCACCCCTCCTCAGTCCTGACTCGACTCTTCAAGTGCTTGTTCCCTCCCTAGTAACAAGAGTGGCACTTACAAGGAGGTCTTTGCTTTCCTTCTCCAGGTCTGCTTGATGGGCCAGAATTTCCTCTCTCTCTTTCCTCAGAATCTCCAGGCGGCGACAGATCTCTTCCTAAAGAGAAAAGGAAAAAGTCAGGTTTGAAAGAGGCACACAGAGAGGAGGTGAATAGTATGCTGGCTTCTTGCGCCCAGTGGCCTTGCTATAATACCAAAGTAGTTTACTGAAGGAAATAAAAGTCCAGAGGTTTTCAACCTTTTTGGGTCTTGGCTCCCTGGACCAGCTACCGTTTTTCTGTGCCAGCCCTGTGGGGCTCAGGGACCCAGTTAGGTCACCCCTTGCTTACAGACTTCTACCTAGTCTTTGCAGATGCTACTCAGGGATATCAAGGGAGCTCCCTTTGTCCCCCTGGAAGAGAGAAAGACTTCAACTCCATCATCCCAGCCATGCCAGGAGCCCTCAGGCTCCCCCTGGGCTGCTTTTTACATAATAAACAACCACCAATTCATGCCATGCCTACTTTGGACCTGAGAATTAAGGGTCTGCATAAAAGGCGGATCTACACGGATCCTCATGGATCCTCCACTTTTTTAAAAATAATTCCAACAAATGCAGTGTCAAATCACACCTAGAAGGCACGCCTACAAACTGGACTATAAAAAATGTGGATCCAACACTTTGCCGCGCTGCAGCACCACAAAAACATGGATCCGAGGCACGGATCCTCATGAATTCATATGATTTTTATATTGAAACAAAATAAAAACACCATGCTACTGTAGACCACATCTTAGTCGGTAGGAGGAACCAAAAAAATCACGCATCCACTGTTTCGTGTGGCCGCAATGGCGCAAAAACATGGTTAAAAAACACGGATCCTCATGAATCCTCATGATTTTTGCACTAGATCAGCCCAAACTCACTGTCAAATTACACATCATGTCCAGGGGCACAGCATCCACCACAGAAATCACGGATCCATGGCTTCCTGGCCACTCCAAGGCCCCAAAACGTGGTTTCGAAGCACGGATCCTCATGGATCCTCACGCTTTTTGCATTGGGCCAACCCAAACTCACTGTCAAATCACACATCATGTC